CTGGAGGGCACTTTGAATTATACCGTGAAGAAGTTGCAGACGGCGTGCTCCGATTGGTAATTCAAGGTTGCTAGCTAGCAGTAGTCTGTGATATTGAACTAGGGAAAAACGGAGATGGGAGCGTTGCGGCTTTGGGTAGAGGTTAAGGAGAATGAAAAGGGAAGAGGAGCCAGATAATGAGTAATAGATGTCAGCAAATTGAGAAGCTTGCTAGACTGGCTAGGAAACATGAGAGGACCGGAGAGGGAAGACACAGCATCTTATATGCGCTCACAATTTTGGAGCCATGATTTGTAGCAGACTTCAATTGGACAGGCGGCCGGCTCCAGACTATTTTGGGCCAAAAGGCTCAATTTCACTCAAATAGCGGGCAAGGCTCGAAAGACGAGGTGTGACGGCACACCAGAGAAGTGGATCGAAGTCATACTGTGAAGCTCGGGCGATTTTGCCCGTAGCGGCTTTCATGAATGGGTTTGGGGCAGGCTGCAGACTCGTTCGAACAAATGGTGACTGGAAGATCGCTTGACTATCACGTCTACGTATTTCGAACTTGGTGTATACCCTGCATCATGCAGGTGAGGCTGGTCTTGATAGCCGAGATCGAAGAATCTGATGAGGCGCGCATGATAGGTGCGCGATTGGACAAGAGCTGCAGTTTCATTAGCCTTGAAAGCTGCCTTTGACAATGCGTGGGGTACGGGGGGCGTAGAAACCGGGCGCCAAGACCTGGGGCCAGGGGATTAAGCCTATCAGAAGATGGGGTTGATGAGGTTGCAACGGTCTAGGCTTGCTCAGCGTGACTTAGACGCAGAATTTCTGCGGGCGTGCTCGACTAATAAGAGAGCTTCCTTCCTCCCTCCTGCGACTCGAATCATGAGGTGGGGAAGAGTAAGCAGAATGCGTTATAAGTAAGCCAAGGGACACCCCGACGTCAGCACCGCGCTTCGGTCGACGTTTCCGTCAATGTCATTTCCAATTGATCTCTCTTTATTCTTCCATCAAAAGTCCATTCTTCACATGATTCATTGTATGCTAATTGCTTTTTGCTAAAACCCAATCTTGGCTATGTCTCACTAACATTTTCTCGACAACTTCAGCCATCCTTCTAGGTTCGTCATCCTTCTAGGTTCGTTAGATCGTGCTCGAACGATTATCATGTGCATTGGGGTATCTTGTTCGGTACTAGTTATGTCACTCACAGGTTCGATGACAAGTCTTGATCGTCGCATCGTTCCTGCAGCTTGCCGTTATGTTTGATGAAGTGCTCACTTTAAGGGCTTATGATGGGATTGTGGCCCAAAGTGATGATGAATGTTCTTCGCACCCGACGCCAATCGAATTACTGCCAACATGGAAATGCACGTTTAAACGGCCGCCTGTGCGTCAGTGGGCGAGATAAACCACCTTTTTTTTTCTTTCTTTTTCTGCTATTAGGTTTTGTCAGGTAGACTAGGCTATTCCGAGTCTTTGTGGTTTTGTCGCGTTGTGACGACCTGGAGCAAACTCTTCTGCAGCGGCATTTCAAGTCAACCGAGCATGACCCATCGAAGCTCTTCCCTGTGATCTTAACCTAAGAGCATAATCACAACTAAATATTAACAATCTCCACATTGCACTCTGATCCTTGTAGTGCCAGAGAATTCATATCAGTCTTTCCCGTCCTTAGTTCGATAATATCGCGGAACTGGACTTTTCAAATCGATGGCCATGCCTGTCCAAAAGAACAAACGCTCTAGGTCGCTGATGGGACGATTTAGATCATGTTCTAACACCGACAACATACTCAAATAAGGCAGCATGCTGTTGTCGTTTTATAGTCGCTATCCGACCTTGAAATAAGCTTAAATAGCGGGATAGCCCGGCCGAGTCTAAACCTAAACTTTGTCAAAGGGCCTACAGCTGCGAGCGTCAACCAGAAACGATGAGCACTGATTACCAAACCTTCTGAAAATAGTCACATTTCAATTGAATCATAGAAGAAGAGCTCGTGTTCATTGCATCCGTGGAAATGCAGCAGCAGCGAGTGGCAAGTGGACCCGCCATTTGAAAGCATGAACATTTGGTGAACCTAATAAAAGTGTGCTTTCTACATATTTTATACTCACAAAATGTAAATGAAAGTACAAGGTCTGCGACAAAACGTGGCGTCACCGTCATTTTCGGGGAAAAAGCAGTTGTTGTAGGTCTCAGTCAGACTTGAGATGAAGTACAGTACGTATCAATGACTAACATCCTGTACTCTCAATGGATTCCCAACGCTTTGTTTCTTGCCGTCGTCGCACGAAACCCCCCGGAAACCCCGCTGCCTCAAGTCGCATCGTAGTTGCGGATCCGACCCACACGGAGCCGACCCGGTCGAGTCCGTGCCAACCGTCTCATCCAACCTTATTCTCCCCGCTAACCTAGATAGGTAAAGCGGGCTCGGGAGGCGGCAACGGCGCCAAGTATACGTTCCTTGCGTTGATCGTCCGGAGTTTGGTCCAGGGATGCAGGCTGGAACAGTGACAGATGCTGCAACCAATGCAAGAACAGCTCGGCGCACTGTCGCAATTCACTTTTTGAACTTCGACCCGATATTCTGAAGAAGATTGTCTTCGCTGCCGGATGGCTTCCGGGACACGGGCCTACCACCGTCGACCCCGCCGGACCCGTCGCCGGCCACGTTCGAGGCGATCCGCGCTATGTCAGTAGCGATCCTGGCAGATCGAACCCGCCGTCCTGATACACAGCCAACGTGACTGTGATGCATGAACTTGAGAGCATCGTCGGAACTGAACATGTGAAGTCGCAAGTTTGCCTGGGCTTGGGTTTGGGGGCGATCGGGTACGCCTGACGGCCCGACGTTGCTGTGAATTCATGTCTTAGTAGATGATGCTGATAGAACTCTATCAGGGCCCCAGAGGTAGGCTGATGAGTGGAATATTGAGCGATACGTGATTAAGCTAGCTCAAGCTCTTGCGTGGGATGCATACCTCGGGGCGGATCCTTGTGTACCATGCTGAGACGTCATAATGATCTCTCAAGAAGAAGAGAAGTGAGGGTTGTATAATATGAAGAATTGAATAAGAAAATTACTGGCGAGGATGCCGGGATGAGGAAGAGATGAGGATGAGGTTGGTAGCCAAACCGGCGCCGTTTGTGGAGACCCGTAAAGTCTGGCGAATGGAAGGTGAAGAGATGAGGCCGAAGAATCGGAGTTAAAGAACCGAGAGATAGATTTGATGTGAACGAGCTTTTTCGCGGAGTGATAGCCATCAGGACGAGAGACAGATCGAAAGGATACCGGCTCTTTATGACATTTATTCGACATCTTGGTTTCGAGGGCTGCCCGAGACTGGAGCAAATAGAAGGGGGGGAAATGGAAGCTGAGCTCTGTGGATTGGGTTTGGAAGGAAAGGGAAGGTAAGGGCGCTCACTCACCGGCCGCACAGGTTGCTCGTAAAGCGGAGCGGAGGTACCGGCTGGAGTTCCAGGGCTTGGACTGGTGGCCGGCCGCGCCAAGAGTGGCTGTGTTAGCCGCGTTGATTCGCCCCTCCGTCCGGAGCGACATACGACAGCAGCTGTGACGCGCCCGAATTGACGCAGAATATCAACTGCGCACATCCTGAATTCGAACAGTCCACAAGGCGGTACGGGAATCAGATAGGAGTCAGGTACTGTTGCTATGGAATCAGGTGGTGGACTACCCGCCATCAAGTCTTCTTCACGCCCCGCCCTCTGGAGGTAAGGTAACCGCGGGGTCATCCAAGACCGGGATGTGGGCGGTCGCTGATTTACACAGGACCAGACGACACTGAAGTCGGTCAGTTGGTGACACAAGGCAACGCCGCGACTCTTTGCCTGATGCCGTTTCTGACACTATTTTGGCTGATACTGGTCGGAGGAATTATCCAGAGGGGCGCGCCTGTGCTTATGAAGAATACACTACGGCCGACCTGTCCGGATATGAAGTGCTTGCCAAAATCAGGCTGCGACAGAGTAACCGCAGTGTTTGATTTCGAGATGTCTTGGCACAGCTCGCAAACCACTTACAAACATATTTCCGGGCTTCCACCTTTCAATGGTATTGATTGCCCATAGGATAGAAGGCCAAAATGTTAAAGCTCGAATTGAGCCCTCGACAATCACTATAATGTAACTAATCAACCTATCGAATGTGTTGTACGATCCGTCAAAATCCACGATATTGCTGACCTGCACCTTACAGTGGATTTAGCCGATTCTTACTGGCGCTAAGGTAACTGGCGTTCTACACTGGCGACACCGAGCCAGTGCAGCAGCGAAATCGAACCCAGCGGGTGCTTGGAAACTCCACCACAATCGAATTTGCACATGGGCTGGGAAGGAAGGGGAATCGATTCGGTCTATCTCTATCTATATGAAACTGAAGAAATACAATTACAGCCCTACAAAGAAGCGCCCAAGATTTTGGACCACCGCAACTTCGGAAAAACTGGCGACAAAATCGGAGGACGCCTGTTGCTTCGAAGCGCCTGCGATCTGGCGATCATGTCCGACTGTGCGTCATAATCCCCAGCGGCAACTCATTGTTGTTTTCGCTCACTGTGCCAGCGATTCTTCTTGAACCCGCGTCCATGACAAAACACAATGAGAACGTGAAGGAAACAAATGAAAAAAATGGGTATAGGAAATAGGAAATAGGCTAGGGAAGAAACTCGAAACAGAGCAGCGGAGAGGATTGTGTAAGTCGAAAAAAAAGCATCGTAGCAGGGTCGTCCAGCTTTTTCAATTCTTGGATTGGTCGCATCTAAAGATCGCGGGGTGAAATGGTCGCGAATCTGTTTGGTTGCAAGGTCAACTTCTAGGTAATCCCCGTTCGCGTGGGCCGTGGCCGGAGGAAAGACCCACCTGTCGCCTGCGGTCTGGCTTAGAGCCAAAAAGAATATTCCGGGCGGGCGCCGGCACTGACAGCCGCGCGATGGCTTCTGTCAAGTCTGGTAAAACGGTGCCGCACGCTAAGGGTAGCCTTAGAATATTGTCTACTTGTTGGAGAACTGGCTACCGATGCCCTTCAGATCCGTCGAGGCTGACTGCTGGGGTTGGTTGTTTGGGACACCATTGCCGTCAAGGTTCGGAAGTAGCTGGTTGACCCTGTCGATGACACCCTTAATGGCGTCTTGCCGTTCCTGGTGTCTGGCGGTGCTGCCCACGCCGGCGGAACGGTCCGACAGGAAGCTTTGCAACGGCGTTGTTGTTGTTGTTTCGATTTGGGGGTTGAGGACGACGGGACGAACGACGGGTTCTCCACTGGAAAAGCCAAAGGTTAGTCCGACTCAGCCCATTATGGAGAGGTTTGACAGAAGGAAGATGCTGAAGAAGAGACAAGAAGAGACCAGAGTAGAGGGAAAAGAGATTGCACTTGCACTTACGTGGTGGCAGAGCCCTGGCGAGGTGCGTTCGATGTCATCTTGTATGGAAAGGGAGGTTGTTTGTAGTGCTAGAAGATGGCGAGAAACCCGAATCAACGTGATATGTTGGTCGATGAAGATATTTGGATGGCTGTGTCTGGTAGAGAGAATACGTGACAAGTTCTGGTGAGGTGCAAGCTCGGACAAGGCCAAGATCCAGATGCAAGAAGGTCAACGGAACTGGGAAAGTTGAAACGGTAATTTGGCAATGACAAGGCGTAATGCGAAAGCTGAGTAGACTGAACGTTGCCGATGGGATTGAAGAGAGGCTTTATAGAATTTCTATTCTGTGCGAGAATTAATGGGTTACCAGCTATTTAATTCGTTTTCCTGGCGCGAGGAGGAGAGGGTGACTGGTGAGGGACGCAACGCGAGGACACTGAACTTGGGCCCCATCCCAGCATCTAAAAGGTTGGTACCTGGTCCTTACCTAATCACCTGGCCCCACAGTGTAGTACGCTAACCTATCAGATGCCGGAATAGATGTAGAAAGTTTAGACCCGAAAGAGGGTTCAACACACCCCCAGCCAGTCCAGCCCCACTCCTTCCAGGTTAGGTACCTTAGCCATACAGCGCATCTACAATGGCAAAGAAGATGAGCACACTCAGGCTAGGAGAATCAGAATCTGAACCATCAAACAAGCCATCTTGCCCCATTTGTACACTGGCGGCAATGGCAACGCTCACGCCTCCAGACGTCGCTCATCGAAGCTTCCTGCCAGAAAAGCCGTAGTAAGTTCGAGTCACAGAGGTTCGTTCGTAATGGGACAACTGTCTATCTGAGGTTTCTACGCCTGGTTGACACAATGATGCCCGCCTGCAACCAAGGAAAATTCACTAGCGACTATTTGCGATGAATTTTGATGGGCTACTAAAGGGGCCAGGGGTGTGTTCCCAGGGGTGTGTACCGAGGGTTGCAAGGCAGGAACCGTCGAGCAATGGTCACTCCGTCCAAAGGGTGGAGGGAAAACGGGAAGACGTGGACTCGGACGTTCGTTGTTGCTCCTTCTGGGAGGAGATTGACATTGTGGACTTTTAGCTGCTGGAGAACAGTTTCTAAGGCTGATCCTTGCTTCCGGTACCTTACTGATAGGGTTAAGTACCTTACAGTATCTTACCTACCTCAAGGTACCTAGGTAAGGTACCTTAAAGAAAGGTACCTGAGTGCCTGTCCGACTTCATATCCATCAGGGCGGTGAGGATGACAATCCCGACTGTCATCAGAGCAGGGCAATAGGAGCATGAGACTTTTGCTCTAGGTGTAAAGCAGGCCTCACTCAGGTATCGGCGGGGCGCCTTTTCCGCTTTGCTTAGGTGGCCGGATACTTCCTGATGACCTTCACTCACATCCGCTGGTACCTGTGTAAGCCGAGGTTACTCGCCCCTCCTAGGAGCACAAGGAAGTAATCCCATTCGACGACCAAGAGCAGCCTCGAAACAACACACTCACACACGCAAATCTCGTATCCAAGATTCTACTGCTACAATGCTTGATTGCTGCCAGCACCATCACTAGATTTTGGTGCTCGAGGGAAGGCACCCAACCCTTATTAGGACGTCGTGTCGGAATGTGCTAAACCCCATATTCACAGCAGCTGCCGCATCGTGGTGTGAGTTTCCAAAGTCACCATTCCGCCCCAAGCCCAGGCGGGGCAGGACCCGTGGCCCGGTCGGACAACACCTGGTGCCGCGGCCTGGTTGGGGAAGAGCACCAAGCTGAACCGCGAGACCTTAGCAACCCAGGCGGTTTGCCTGGACCGCAGCGATGGAGCCACGGTTGACAGTTGTCAATAGGCTTCACAAGACGCATCAAGTCAAAGACATAACGTCGCGAGCCGGTCCAGACTCTAAGGTCGGCTCAATAACGTCCTCAGTTGTTGCCGAACTGGCCTCCGGTTTGACCCTCCAGATTTGGCGCGGGCGACGTTCAACGCTGGTGGCCTCCGTCCCCGGGGGTGTCGGCTCCAACGGTACTGGCAGATAGCTTATCAGCGCCTGCAGCAACATGACGAATGTCGCGTACTCGCTCTGTCTGCATGGAGGGGACAGAGAAGGTCCAGACCAAGTGTGTGCGATGCATCGAGCTCAGGGGCGCGACCAAGAAGCACCGGATGGAGGCTTGGCGGCGACCACAGGGCTCATCACGTGCATGGACAGCGCAGAGAAAGAGAGACGTGACAGCGTGACGGCGAACACAGTGGCAAGAAATGGACGCGTTGTTCTCTTACCTCTGTCTACCACCCTGTTAGGTGGTTCGCATGCTGGGGTGGTTCGCAGACTTGGGTGGTTTGCGGTGGTTCGCATACCAGAACCATCAAGCAAACCAACAATGACGTACCCAGGATCTTCCACCGGGACGCCCATGTTGCTCCCGCTCAGCCACAACCCCGGCGCGTGGCCAGGCGGACCCACCTGGCATCAGGCCCGGAGCAAGCCACCACCACTAAAATTATCTTTAACCAGGCATGCAGAGACGATTGATGGAGTTACCTGTTTCAGTGTTTCTTCTCGGCTCTTACTGGACACTTTGGATGCTGAGAGAGCTGTAAACGCTCCCCGACTGTGATTTCTTCACGCTTATTCTTCACAGTTCCGAATGAGATAATCAGCCAGGCTGCGTCACACGTTCCAGCTCTGGAGCTGGAGAGAGGAGAAAAAGACTGAAATGCCTCTTTATGAGAAGAAGAACAGCGTGAGCTGCGGTAAATTTTAGAGAGAAATCAATCAAAATGGTAGAAACCGAAAGTCTTGGATCGGGAACAAATGCATCATTCTCAATTGAAAAACTAGGCGATTGTGAAGACACTGGACCGGCGAAACATTTCCCGTCCTCTGTAAAGTTCACTCGGTGTGGGGCCGTAGCCGGCGCGGAGCTCTACTCCACTTGTTGCGGTTGGAACACTAACCGGGGCGTTTGGGCCACGAGCGGGAAGACCGGGAACTTGTTCTGGCGGGCGCCTCGGATGACAGCTGCCACAATTCTGCCGGGCTGCGCATTCGCTGCAGCGGCTCCGAAACTAGCTGCAGCGGCGTGGACACCAGTTGCTACTAACCCCGCATAACCGCACCTCGGGCGTGTCTCGAATTGTCGGAGAACTGCTCCCCAACACCCTTCAAACAAAGCGAAAGAGATCTTGTAGTTGGAGCTTCAGTAACAGCGCCAGTGTAGCTGGCGCTGCTTGGAAACAAGCGATCAATCTCTCCAATGGCTGTCTTTGTAGCCTTTTCTCGTTCTTGAAGCTTGGCGGGGCTGCCGAGACTGGTGATATTCGGGTCGTGGATGGCCTGGCTTAGGAGGAAGCTTTGTTGACGTGTAGATGAAGTCTGTGCTTGTTCGACTATCCGAGGGGCGGTCTCGTCATGGCTACCGAGTCCACCGAGGTACGTGTTAGTCAGGTTGACTTGGCTCAACATATACGCATGGACCAAGGCGCGAGCGACAAGGACGTTATGAATACAAGTGGGATGGGAATCGAATGCGGAATGGAGGGAACAAGGACTAGGAAAAGTTATACGTTAATGACTTACGTGCTGGATGAGCCCTGGGCAGGAGTGTTTGATGTCATGTTCTATGGAATGAAGCGACTGAGAAGAGACTGTCTTTCAAAGGCAAGCTTTGGGGAACGATTTCAAGGGCGAGAAGAAGATACCAGAGCAGAATCTGAACTTGAATACGCCTCTGCTTTAGTAAGATGAATGTCGAGTGGTGGTGGACGGACAGATCTCATGGGAATATGTAAATGGCAACGCTCTTTAACTTATAAACGTAGCAAATCTTCTCATCCTACGTACCACGCAATCCCATCTGAGCAGACACACACCCAAACTCCCGCTCCCTTTTGCAGCCAGGCACAGCAGCGGCACCGACTAACAGCAGTACGTACCTTTCCTACATGCCAGCCCTTTTCACCGCCACTCGGCATCATTTTGCTGCGCCAACGCAGCCGTCTTGGCTGGTCCAAGCTCCCCTCGTCATTCTAGAAGCTTTCCCTAAACGGCTGCCTATCCCAAATGTGGCTTGGTGTTGTAGGCAAAAGGAGAAAATCAGCCTGGCGATCGTTCCGCCCGACAGCGGGGCACCACTCCATTGCGTATTTCGGCAATCACTGTCACCGTACGGATACCAACCCGCGGTCCGGACACTCCTGCATGGGTCTTCACAGGCGAACCTCATGGCGAGACACGTTACACGTCGCTGATTGGGGTTTAAATGGCCGATGAGGAACAAGTTGCAACTGGTTTAGGCGGACACACAGGCGAGTCATCTAGCTAATTCGCAATTCCAGCAGCAGCATACGGGTGAACGAATGCGCCTTGTTTGTACGCGTGAATTGAATACACTCAGCAAAGTGGAATAATTACCAGTAGGAAAAGAAAAACCGAGGCATTTTGTATTCATACAGCCCTCCGACCGTAATCGCGTCTTGCGAGTAGAAACACTTTGCAGCATCTCTCCGACAGCAAGGTACTTACTGTGAACCTGATGCGCCATTGAACTGGGATCCAACACCCGCTAAATCGATAGAATACCCCGCGTTTCCGGGTCCGATTGTTATCGCGAAATCCCGGAGCTGCTCATCCACCATTTCAATATTCGCCCGAAGTCTGTAGTAACGATTGCAGAGCTCTTCTCCACACACAGCAGCAGATGGGATATTGGCGTCGGCGGCGTGCAGGCTGATGTTGCACGGCTTGCTCGCGACGTGGATGTCCCAGTCTTGGGTTTCGGAGCCGGTGGCACTGTAAGTCGCTTTTAGGTGGGCGGTTACACTAAGGTACTGGAGGTAATAAGGCTATTAAGTGGTACTGAGTTTAGGTTGTTTCCACCCGTGTAGTCTGTGCACTGTCCAGACACGTGGGAAACAGCCAATCGAAGTACACCAATTTTGGTGGGCCCACACCTGCCCCGACCTTGCCGGGACGTCGGAGTATTGAAGACTTGAAGATACGGCCCCGACGGTAAAGTGACAATCAAGATAATAAAAAAACGCAATGAGGGGGGAATAGTTCTCGTACCTTTTTGTACTGTCGTTCACGGCTTTGGTCGAGGGCATGATTCGATTGATTGGATGAAGTACGACGATGAGCGGGCTCACGTGGAAGAGGGAATTGCTTGTTGCTAAATTCGTCTTGAGAAGGCGCAGAGAAGCAGATGGTGTAGGTGTAACGCATTATCAGATGAACGGTTATACCGAGTCCGAACATATAAGCAAGCAGTGATTTCAATTTTGAGGTAAACCCATAGGATACTTCCTTCCAGACAGTCGGGCGCATCTGCTCATCGCGCGTAAGCATTGGTGCTTACACTGTGATTCGCTCAATTGATGTTTCAGGCTTCCGTCTCACGGCGCCGGTATCCTGGTAGCCAACCGAATGCCTCCCTCGTCGCGCTAGTAGGATCATCGAACATCATTTTCAGCAGGCATCACTTCGTTTTCTTACAAATATGACGATTCATTTTTTTCAGGCATGTGACCTGGAAGCGTTTGTATCAAGTTTGAAGAGTGTTGGCATCGTCTACAGCCTACCACTCGCTAGCTTTCGAGCCTCGGGCGGGTCTATGTCAGCATCCTCTGAAGAGCTGTCGTGTGGCGCAGGAGGCTTCATCATCACCTCTATATCGTCTTTGGTGTTGTGATGCATTTCGCCACACTGCAAACAGACTCGGGAGCATCGGATCAATTGGAGAAGCAGTCGGAAATGCTGTGAATGCGTCAGATAATCCCGTTTGGTCAGATTCACTGACTCCTCGCGCACGGGTTACGGCTTGGTGTGCACCTGGAGTCGGAGCCGAGCGCTGGAACATAACATGAACGGTTGGGTGGTGAGAAAGTCGGTCCGAGGTGGCCGGCCACGCCGGGGAGGGAATGGATTTGATTTTCTGAATCGACTGGAGTTAGTTGCCACAAATCAGGCTGCGATTGAGGGGTATCTTTCCCCGGACCTTGAAAATTGACTCCGTTCCCGTGTGCGCCTCTATGCGAACCATCAGCTCAAGTTGCGAACCATACCTATATTCAGGCGGGGTTTCCGGGGGCTACTACCTTACGCTAAAGCCGACTCACACCCGAAAAACGAGAGTGACGGTCGTGAAGGCCAACAACAAATCTACTGGTCCTCATCTGACCGAATGAATGGCTCTGTAGGTAGTATTGAATAAGGATAGCGCTGGAGGTTGTCGGATTTGAGTATGTCGTCTACCTATTCTTAGAAGCGCTGTGGTAATCGGCGCTGGTGTCAGCGACCAACCATCTGCCAGCGCACGAACCAGCCAGGTGGCGTCTCCCCGTCCGAGCCGCTGTCACGCAAAGTTTTAGGGTCTTGCCGGAGCATGTCACACGTCACCCGAAACTCTAGTGCAACCTGCGACGATGCAATTCGGACTTCAAGCAATTGGGTTCAATTTATTACGGTAAATGAGACCCAATACCCAATAAGCTGTCGTCACCAGCAGAACTTGTCGCAGTGACTGGTCCTTTTGTGGAGCTTGGCTGTGCTGAAATCCGTCCCATGAGTTTCTCAACGTCGCCTTGAAGTTGCTCCTGGCGGTGCGACGAATATCCATATTGCCCAGTACTCGGCGCTGGTATATTCGCCAAGGCATATTCGCTCGGTATGTGTTTCTTTGACGAAGAAGTCGAAGTTGGTGCGATTCCCCCGGCTTTCATCGTGCGGCTTGAGTCTCAGTGTCAGTCTTGGCCAATACTTTGGTACAACACGCTAACGCGGTGAGACATTCGGGACCGAGCGCCGGCACAGCGGCCGAAAGCAACGAAACCTGGAACCCGGGAGGCTGGGAACACGTAGGAAAAACGGTGTCTCACCTCAACTAAATATCGAGGAACAAACTTAATTCGCTTAACTTTACCGAGTCTTGAACTCAAGTGAGTTTTGCAAACCGGTCCAGCCGGACTCCGTCCCTAGCTCTGAGGCTCGTGTGTGGAGTACTGAGTGATTGCAACGAAATGTACGGATGACAGGAACAACTCAAGAAATGCCAGGCGTCCGTGAAAGTTGATTAGAACCGTGATGTCTCCCATTAAGAGATCGAGAATCCGCGATGGGATTTCCGCCTCTTATATACCTTGTATGCTGCTGTCGACAGGGACGCAGTGACTCTTCTTACCATGATTGCTTGCAACAGAAAACGTGGACTTCACGATTTCAGGCCTACAAGTTGGCCGCGAATCCTGGCTACCGGCATCAATGTGCATGAGGCCGCCGTCCGGGAGCCTCAACTTCCAATTTAGGTACCAAGAAAGACGGCGTGCATGCCGGCGCCGGGCAGAAGAGGTAGGTCATTCTCCTGCAGCGGACACGATTTAATCAGATCGTCAGACAACACGAGAGGCCGGCCCGGCGACCTGCCTTAACGGGACAGCTCCGCAAAACTTCCAGCCAACAGAACCGAGCGGGCAAAACCGGAGCGATCACATTTGAGGCCCATCGCGGCAACTGGACCCCTCCGTTACATCACTAGCAACAAGTCCCGGCAGTACGAGACAAGGGGTAGGAGACACCCCTCGTCCGTATTCCCTCATCCCCCTCGATGGTTTCCTAGGAAGCTACGGTTTTCGCGGGCAGCTGAAAGAGGCAGGTGATCATCGGGCCTCGTTCCGATCGAGACCACCTTCTTACTGGTGTAGAAACATGCTCAGTCTCTGGCCCGTCGGGTTTCACAGTTCCACTATGAGGAAATGGACGCAGCAGGAGGAACTTCGGTTCTGGTGCTTCGGCGAATGAGTGCTGCAGTGTATGCGTACTGCCGGATCTGGCAGTGTGTCAGCATATTCCGAGGCCCGTGACAAAGTCCGAGTTTTGAGTTGCCTTTTGACTAAGCGGTGGCTTCATTTTGACAGTTCAGGATGCATATCACCGTCCAGTGAGTGTGCGGATATTCGTCCCGTGCGTCGATGATGTCGCGGCCCGCAGTACAGATTTCCTGCAACACCAGCATTTGGCAGTTAACTGCAGCGTACTACTACGTAAGCTGCAGAAAAGAAGCTGCTTACGACTGTCTGGATTGATCCATTTTGGAATCTCACTCGTTCAGTCAATTGCCGCTTTAGGAAATTGGACGTGTCTTGTCGCTTGGTGTTATTCCCGGCAGGGGTATTTCGCGCTTTTGCGCCGCGTACCATTATCAGGTGCCTCCGGCAATGAATCACCACAACGATCCGATCAAATGATTTGAGCAACTGCATGAAATTGAGATAAGCTTGTATATTTGAGTCATCGCGCCTGTCTCTCGACCCCACGGATTATAATCCTCAATAGCCATCCGCTTATCAGTTATTCGGCCGCTGTGCCTTACTGAACTGCGCACCTATTCCGACGAGATCCGCTTCCTTGCTCGTTCTCCGAGGCTTCGACAGTGGAATCTCCTCGGGATTCGAGTCGAGCAGCCGAAATGGCCGCATGATGTCGATAATTTGCACGGCGATATGGTCTTTGCGCGGGCCGAGCCGGTGGAAGCCGGCGACTACGGGGCCGGGGATGTGGGTCAGCGCATGGGCGCTCGGCCGGTTCGGTGGTGGCGCTGGGTGAGCGATGGATTGGTCGGCGGGCTTTTGGTCTCCGTTGTCGCTGAAATTCGGGGAGTTAGCACCGGTGCGACGAAGAAATAAGTCCCAAAGACCAAGATGGGATGGAAAGCAGGAGTTCTTCTAAGATTGTCGAATGGAGGGTCTGGAAGAGTATATCCGTACCTTAGGGCGCTTCCCACATCTGGGACGATTGAATTCATCGATGAATGTGGTGGTCTGTGGAGATGTTCTCGAAGTCCAGAGAAGACGTCGCGGTGTTTGTGAAAGGTTGCTAGTTTCGCATTATTAAGTTTTGAAATTGAAGGATGAATCTCATACCGTCGAAAGTAAAGTAAAGTCTTGAATGATATAGACCAACCCTCGCGGGCACATCTCACCGTTGGAGGAGCTCGGAAAAAGGGGTGGGCGGAGTAAAGCGGCATACCCCACGCCCTCCACGCCCTCCACGCCCCCCACGCCCCAGACGTGCATCCAGCAGCACACTCTGCTGTACTGCCGCTACGATGATGACCTAAGCTTGCGAAATCCTACCGTCCACACCCCTTGCTGAATGTTTGTATTCGTCAACACTTCTGGCCTCTGCAGTTGACGACAGAGTGCCTAACAAGTCGTCGTGTTGCATCGCTGTTAACTCCAGCTCCACCAACATGAGCCTCAAAGCAAGTCGGCAGGAAGAGCTGATTCTTACAGCGGACTGTGACCACATAGTTCAGCACGCTCACAAGCCATGTCCTGAATCGCGTACGCCAAAGTAATCTTTGGCGATATTTAACCGTGTTCCTTAGGTAGTAAGCTCCGTTTTTCCTACCTACCTTCCAGGTCACCTTACCCAGGTACCTTACCAAGGAAAAGTCTGCCAGTTGTGGTCAGCCAATCACAAGGGGTGCGTCACTGCCACCACATGTCTGTTTGTTTGCCCCGCATGTTGAAACAAATCCATTGGACAATATCAGGTCTTGTTTGCCCCACCTGCCCAACACACTCACTACCTGAGAAGGTTTAATGAGATGATAACAACCATAACAACAACAACATCATCCCGTCACCCAGTCATCCAACTGCCCTCATCCGACGGGGTCGCGCGAAGCATTGCGAGGCTACGAAGAAAGACCACGGATATGGATGTCACGGACAACATCGGCGACGCCGTTAAAGAACTTCACGCCGACCTCCGCCGGAAGTACCAAATTCATGCGGCCAAGCTGGAAACTGCATGGCGTTCGTTCGACAAGGCGCAGAGAACGCGATGCATCCGTGCTGGAGCCGCCGACGGTGTTGTCCTGAAGCATAACCTCGACATCAGTCTCGGCAGCGTGTACAAATTCCTTCCGGAATGGAATCTTCGCGATATCACCGAGCCTGGCTCCGACTTCCTTCTCGACCTCCTCAAGCACCGCGCCACTACGACTCTAGAGCAGCAATATATCAATGGCCCGAACGACGGTCCTGGAGACCATGAATACATTGTGGAGATGATGCAGAAGAAAAATCTACGTCACGTTGCAGAGTTCAAGGACTGCTACACGTTTTTCCTCGACAAGTATTATGGACAGTCTTTTCACTTCGTGCGTGAGAAACAAGCGACACTGGCGCAGTTTGCCCCAGCCGTTCGAGCTCGTCTTCTCATTCCTCAGTCAACTGGCCAGTTGATCCTGCAGAGACAGCTCCACCTGCTACAGGTACTCAACATCATGATCGAAGACATCCTCGACATAGGCTCGCAGACCCGCAACCGGAAGCAGATGCCTAAGAAGGATACCGACTTTGGCCCGATCGAGGCATTCTCGAGCTTGTCTGTTAAAGATGCGCCTGGCAAGGTCCAACTCTCAGAAGTAGTCGCTGGTGCTCGCGATCGAAAGGCGGCTCTCGAAGAACGTGTGGAGCTATTATCGGCCGAGCCCGTCGTCCTTGCTCATGCCGTCAATGACGTCTTTTTCAGCCGCCCAGAGCTCCTTCCTGACGAGAAAGGCCGCTCGTTGCCGGTTCACACCGACAGGTACATCAATGCGGCGTTCTTCGACGCTGTACACGGCGAAATCCAAGCTGCCGCTATTTGGGCATATATTACCCGACTCGTTGAGCTTCTTGAAGTCCCGAACTCCGAAAAAGCATACCGCGCTCTGGTTCTTCAGGAGCTTTCCAACGTATGTCATATGGAGTATGAACGCTCCCAGAACCTCTTAAAGCGTCACCTTGCCACTGCAGATGGTCCTAAGCGTTTCAAGCGGATCTCCAACGCCTACGACAAAGCCGGAAATGCACGCCTCAGCATGAAGTGCAAGCCCGAGGAGCTTATGATCGCTGATCCTCAACTCCATTACCTATTGCGTCTTTGCCAATCCGAGACCACTGCTGCGAAGGCCATCGACTGGATGAAGAAGCTAGGCGATCTCTACATGACCCGCCCCTCGGAGCGCGAACGCATAGAAGAGCGCCAGGCCGAGGCGTTCTTTGCTTTGGCCGTCATCACTGGGTTTGTCCAGGATCTTTCGTCCGCTGTATCTCTCCCCGCTCCTTCTCGTAAGAAAGGCCAGGCATTCTTGCAGAAATCACAGCAGCTAGAGTGTGAGCTCGCGCCTTTGAAGAAGGAAATCGACCTGCGAGACTACGCCGCACCAATTGACCACCTTCTGGAGCCCGGAATGGCTGAAAGTGCCCTGGGTGCTTTTGAGAGCTTCATAGTCGACAACGCTGGAACGAAAATGGGATTTCTATATCAAGACATCATCACGGATTGTCTTGCTCACCTCCAGGATCAGTACGAACAGGCCAAATCCCAGAAAGAGAAGGATGACAAGATCCAACAGGAGAAGGACTCCCAGGCCACACCATTTCCATTCTTTACCACCGAGGAGCCCAAGGAAGTGCGCATCGAACGCCGCAGGGAGAAAACCAAAACGCGCCCGTCCCAGGCGTCCGCGTACGAATTGGCCCCACGCGATGAGCCCCCGATCGGGCAACCGCAGTCCGCGCAGTCCAAAGAGATCATCAAGGTCAGCGCGCCGACCGGCGAAGTCTTCGACACGCTGTTCAACAAGTCGAAAGCTCGAGGATCAATCAGCTGGACGTCTTTCGAGGCAGCCATGGCTGAATTGGGCTTTTCAGTCTTTCCCAAGTACGGTTCAGTCTACACCTTCCGTCCCCCTTCACACTCGACGGAAGCGAAGCCGTTCACTATTCACCGCCCGCACGGGGCATCTATTGATGGTTACAAAATTCTCATCCTGGCACGGCGCCTGAAGAGGACGTATGGATGGGGCGAGGAGACGTTTGTGATTGACTGAATTGGGGAGTGCAGCTGGAGTTGCTGTAATGATTATGGCGGGGTGAATGTCAAGATGGTAGTTTTCGCTAGGACCATGGGGTTATATCAAGATGACTGTGGTGGTCTTCGCGACCTTACTTCTCGGTTGTATAGGCTGGTAAGTACCGTGGCACAAAGATCTGGTGCTCAGGAAGTATATGGCACGTGGCTGGAAGAGGCAGCAGATAATTTGTGTGTGGCCTCATTGGACCAGATAGTACTCAAGAAGAAGTGCAAGATACCTGACGTATAAGTTCTTAGCCTGGCCGCCATTATGTGAAGCACCAAGGGCTCGTGCTGAGGAGACCCCCAGCGAATGAGACCGGATTGACTTGGATAGAACAATTTAGAAAGTAATAATCATGGAGATCCTTATGGTTTGAACGGCTTCGAGAAGCGAACTAGGAACGCTGATCTCCCTATTCATCACCGAGAACCAATTGGATCCCTCGAAGCAGCTGGCTCAATGCAAACACGGCACACACCGTGTCGACCTAGACGCCCCGATCCTACATGAATAACGACTAACCCTGCTTGGTTCCTGTTGACATTCATGCATCTACCTGCCTACTTGATTACCCACGTGCGCAAGGTGCGTATGCCTCGTGGCACCCCGGCTGTGATAGGTGTGGCTCCCAGCGGCCCAACCGCCATGTGGGGGTGAGATCAGAAGATCAGATCGCCGAACCCGGGATCGAATCCGTACCAATATAACATGCATTTGTTCATTTTGAGATTGTGAACCTCTGATGGCCTCTGGCGAAGGCAGGTACGTGTATAATCTTGCTCATGTCAAGAACACGTTTATCGTGTTTAGTTGTTGGGACGATGAAATCAAGACGGGCCAAAACTTCGAGAACTCCCGTCGAGATCCGTAATACCCCAGACCTAGGAGAAGCTAATGTCAGACGCCACTGCAGGTTGGGCTCCAATTCATTTACTGGCGATTATTGGGCGGGAACTAATCGACGTACCTTAGTAGCGCCAATATAGTGGCGAGATGGGGGAGGATGTCAGCTTGGTAGATGACAGGGAAGCCTGTATGACAGGGAAGCCTGTATGACAGGGAAGCCTGTATGACAGGACAGGGGAAGCGTCTAACGGGGCCGATTCAAGGGTCGTCTTTTCAGTGTCAAAGGCGGATGAGGATTTGTTGTCGATGGCGTAGGATCCCCGTCAGCAGAATGACGGGGAAGCAAATTTGCCATGGCAGTTGAGCCGGCGCCCACGTGGCTGCGAGGAACCTTGCCACCCACATCGAATATTAGTGTGCCAGCCAACGTGGGGTGTGAGATCTCCCTCCATCAGAGTTGCCCATACGTTGACCATTGGCTGGCCGTATTTAGAGAACACGTCTCTGCGCAAGTGCGCGCCTGCAGCACCCGCCAAGGTTGTTCTGGTTCGATCCGGAGCCCTGCCCCGTGTCGCGACTCGCAGAGCTACGTGGTCATCTCTTATTGTTGATTGAAGTTGGGCTTGGTTCTCTCTGCAAGAAGGAAATGATCCCTCATGTTCGCATAGCTTTCCCTTTCGGGCGTTGACGTGCTTGAATGTTGCAAACATTTACGGGGTCAGCTTGAGCGACGCTTGTTCCGGATTTCCTCAACGCCTCGCCGTTCGAATACCAACCATTGCGCTGCAACCCCTTCTGGGAAAATGCACGCTTCTTCTGGCGCATCCTTGCATGGATGCGTTCGGCCGTAACTCATACCTGACAAGCAGTCCCATCGATTCGACAACGGTAATTGTTATGCGACTCATTAATGCACATTCATTTGGCCTTTGAGGATCTAGAATTCGCGAGTCATGCTGTCGGGCAAACCATCAACTGCAGTCAAACAGGTCGAAGAAAAAGGGACTGCTGCCGAGCTTACTTGTTCTCAATCTCGTCTATTGTGAAGAGGGTGCGGTGAACTCGAAGCGGTGAGCGTTGGTTCTGTGGCGGTTTTGCAGCATTATCTCGGCGCAGCGACGATCACAGAATGAATTGACATGTTGGGCGCCGGGCTTCACGGCAGTGGCTACCGGGACGAGCGGCATTCCCCATGCACAAAGAAATAACGCAGCCGCTTGACACATGTCCCAGAGGTCCCGAAGCTAGTATTGAGACAAGTTCGAAAGGGAGGAGGTTCAGAGAATCATTTGGTGCTGGTGTTGGTTGAGACGGAATGTTGCCGGAGAAAAGTCTCGAAGAACTCGGCTGCTTGCCATTCATGCTCACTGACGGGATCCCGATGACAGGGATGATAGGCGACGGGCCGAGGCTAGGCGAGCTTATCCGGGGCCGGGCGGAGCCGATGCCGTCAGTGGGGCACATGCCAGGAATGCCGGTTTGTGCCTCCGGCAAGCCGCTGCAGTGGCTCAAGCTCCCATGTCGAGGTGTGGCTATTCCCTCTCCCTGGGTCTAGACTGAAGTTGATCGGCTTTAATACAACGAGACTTTGGCCAAGATTCATCCCCTTGCAGCCAGCTTTTCGCGTAAGCGGCCACTCTGACCCAGCCGCGGCTACTCGCGACGAGGTCTTGCTCATTGGTTTATCACAAGGTTTAGTTCTCGAGGAAAGGAAACAGATGATATCTCATTGAATCTAACACAAATATCGCTATCCCAACGCTTCAAATACCTCCCATAACTCCAAGCAGAAAACCTCATATGCGGCAGTCATCCCGTAGATCGTACACGGTACGGTAGCGGCAAGCGCGGACGGCTGGAGGGGCAGGTGCCGCTGTTGCTCTTACCACACGGACATGCAACTGCATCAAAATCGAATGCGGAAAGAAGGTCTTTCTTCCCATTCCCGTACCCGCCCGATCAAACTTAAACCTTCCAACCTCAATCACGACCTCATCTCGCCAACTTCTGTTCGTTCCCGGTAGCCAGCATTGACGATGCGATGGCGGCTGGTGATACCGCGCATCGAATGCCCACTGCGATACCGTCATGAACTCTGAGGCGCACTGAAGTGGCGATCTATATTGTCGTTGCACTCTTGGGCGCGAGATTTATAAGCCTTAACTCTCTTCTTCGCATCGGCCTCGGGATTCTTGGAGATGCGTTGTTTGAAGTCGTCTTGTCCGGCAAGAAAGTCGTTCACACGAGACCTTGACTCGGTGTCATGCTTGGTTTTGTTCGACTTGGACCTGGTTCGACTGTCAGAACTTCCTCGAGACGGTGCCTCAGAGAGAGTGGATTACTTTTGTGAGGCGCCACAAATAGCAGAGGCTTGAGAAGCGGGCATGTTGAAGCGGACAGCGCCTGGTAAGTCACGCAAAAAATATGCGATGTGATGCTGATGCAGTAGAAAATATTCAGATTCTGATATGAACAGCAAGAGCTGCAGGTTGATATTTGTCGAGGAAAGTCGGGGATTTGAAGACCAGGAGACTTGGAGAGGGGATCGAAACGATACTTATGGACCTGCGTTGAGACTTCCATCGTGTCTTCTCAGCAATCTCGGCCGATATACCCCAATTGGGAGCGGGACAGTCGTACGAAATCTATGGCCTCGAATTCAGCACGATAGTCAAGCAGACATCGCAGCAGCCTCGGACGATCAACGCCACCCCTGGGCCCTGGCCTCGACAACGAGTACCGGCACGATTCCTATTGGTGTAGATCGAAGCAACGACGAACAACCGCAATACTGAGGCCATGCATGGGGAAGCATGTCCAAGATCCCGTGGCCCCCGGGTGGATGGAACGTGCTTCCACGCTCACCGGCAGCATGGCTTGGTGCCCAGTCATGGCTGCGGTTGGGCGGTTGGAAGAACGTTTTCTTATTCCCATCGACGGAACTCCTTAGAAAACGACCCATTTTCAACGGGAATTTAACCCAATAACGCATTCCGGGCAACTTTCCGCTGGCTAGGCCACGAACCCGCAAAAAGTGTCCCCGCTTGTCATTTGCTACCAGGAACCAACAAGCTTTCCGGAAGCGCTCCCCGGCGCTAGCACCATCGACGGCCCTCCGGATCGATTGCCATTGGGGAAAAAGAAAAGATGCGCAACCAACTCTTCCCAAAACTTGCCAGCTTCGTTGAGGCGCACGCACCAGTGGGACGGGCCTGGCCGTCTTCCCCGAAGGATGGAGGAGGCCACTTCGGTTCTTATTCGAGGCCAAGATGCTGTTGCCACCTTGTCACCTTCGTTCTTTCGGGCAAGGTGGGCGAGCGGTGAGGTCAGCTGCAGGCATAGCGAATGCCAGAATAAGGGAATCCGCAGGTCGCATTCCGCCTCTACCCGCGGCCGTTGAGCCGACCCCTCATTGGTACGAAACTGAGGCCAAGGGTAAACGCCATTTGGCTCGCCATCGAAATTACCCATTCTCCGATTTGAGGCCATGCGTCCATTCGTCAACGTCATCGGGGTTTTTCGTGTATCACACCAGACGTGCCGTCAAGGGGTTCCTCCTGTTCAGAGTTTCAACTGGGCACCCTGCGATGGCAAGGAATTCCGCTGCCAGGTGACCCTGGTCTTATCTGATTGCGTTTGTTTGCTCGGTTCATGGAGTAAAGCGGTAGCACAGAAATGATCCTCGACATATTTCTCCGCGTGCGACCCGACGGAAATAAACAGGAACTCCACGCGATGCGCGCTTCGAGGAATTGGGTTGGTACGTCAATGGCCAGCTTTATGGTTCACACCTCAACACCAGCCAAGTGCCGACCTTCAATACAGACGAAGTTGAAGTCCATTTAACCATTTTTTAGGCTTCTTATTCCCGCCGCCTGGACCATACCATGTGTCATAAGTCATCTTAGCGGGGTCACCCCTCACTCCATTCAGATGACAGGTGACGCATCCCCACCTCGACGCATCATCCGTTTGTCAACTCACCATCCCCGGCGAGATAGCATTTCGGTGAAAAGCCATTTTCTACCGAACGTAACACAGACACACCGGTACGTCACACTCGGTGAGAGTGCGACCAGATCGCGCGCTCTGGGGATCTGCGTTTGACTGCATTACTCACACCGTAAACATACGGCCGTGTACGGCCTCAAAGGCCCGACATGCATATAAGCCGAGCAACTCATCTCGGCTGATCAGTTTTCATATCGCAGCATGGCATTTTACAGCTGATCTGGCGCTGCGATCAATATTTCGCTACTGAGTACGGGCAAGTTTTACCGGACGACGCATCGTGATCACGGTCAGCGCCCCCTGACACTCCGCAGGACGACTAAGCGAAACCCGAAAGATTGTTTGTCTCGATAAGTCGTCAGCCAGCACCATGTCAAGGAGATAAAGTTTATTTCGAGCAAACGTCGGCGTAGTCGGCATCAGGGGTTGAATCGAGCGGATGCTGGATTGCCGGTGTGTTTCGCTTACGCTGTCGGTGAGGACTGGCAGTCCCTGATCCGGCCTGGTGCAGGTCTCCCAGCGCAGATGCCGACCTGAAAGATGCTTTTCCCCAACAACAATATCGGATCGGGCCTTCGGCTTATCTTGGTGTCGCATCCGGGTCTCTGACCGACTTCCGCGGCGATGATTCTCTCAGCCCATGCAGCAGGGGTCAATGATCCTGGCCAAGCCGGTGTGGACGAGCGACTCATGACACCGGTGATCATCCGCTCTGAGCTCCGAGGAGGACTCTTTCGAGCCGCCGGCAGGCAATCGTCGGCTTTCCAGCCCTCAGAGATTATGTGGAAATTGCGTCAGCATCCCTGCAGCTGGTTCAAAAGACTGGTGCCTGAGCTAGGTCAGTACTCATCTCGTCAGCTGCGTCTTATCAATCTTACATGGCCGGCTGCCTACTCTAAGGAGGGTCAACGGCTATCGAATTCAACGCAGGAGATCATTTCTTTTACCCGCCAGGAACTGATCATGAAGGAGGAATGCCACCCGAAGACGTCAAGTCAGGGACCCGAGAAATCATTATCCTCGTTCACATGTTTCTACCAAGAGCTTGAACTCCGGAGTTGAAACTCGCTCTTCAACGGCTACAATGCACTGGAGCCCATCATAATATCTTGGCTGTTCTTGTCTCCAATCTAGACCGCGTAGCGATTTCTGCGGTTATACCGATGTGTGCAACTTCCCAACTTCTGGCAACGCTAGGGTTAGCTCCGGCTGTTAAGGGCGCTTAGACAGCCGTATGAGACCATACTGCGCGCACAGTCTTCGCCAAGCCCGCCAATGAGTCCAGTTGTACGATACATAAACCTGAGTAATTGCTGCGCAGCGGCGGGGATTCGTTGGTTTCCACAACGTGTTGAGCGCGCCGACTTTGCTGCATGTCATATGCAGGTCGAATACCAATATCATCATGGTCTTCGAGCACGACTGGCTAAGTTCATATGATTTAGACAGGCTTTTCGAAACGCCAGTCTGTTGTATGCGAGGATTCAAGCATGTTCGTTAATAGTGACCTATTACTCATGTGACGGCAGATCACTCAGATGAGAGCGCATACGGCGGAATAGAGGTTTCATAAACAAAAAGAAATGATATACTGTCAGCAGATCTGAGATGGAGCAACCAATTGGATGCCATGGATCAGAAAAGAAAGCTAACTCGGAAGCCGAGCCGTTTTCAATGACTAGCGTCGTTATCAGTTCCATCGTCTCACTGGCGTAGCGCACAGAAAGGATTTCTTCTTCTTTTGCTCTAGTACTAAAATAAAAAGAAAAACAAAAAGGATGATGGCTTGAAAGGGCGACGAAGGTAGACGCTGAAGGGAGCGTTATTCCGCCGCCTATTTGCGCTTTCGTCTCGCTTCCGCCGGGTTTGAGATATTTATACATATCAGCAGTAACAAAAGTCGAGAAAAGCTCCGACTTAACAAGTGTCTTGACTTGATGTTCAATAAGTTTTTCGAGTTGAACGAGGCATATTACGACCTGTGATGATGCATTAGATTGCACGATCTCTACACCGCACCGTGGGACGACACCCAAACACGAAGGGCGCATAAATGAATTTGAGACTTTCTTTACTTCCAAAAACCATCGACTGCGCAATTGTTAAAGTCCGCATAGAGTTGGCTGCAATGGATCCCTAGGATTCTCCCGGTTACAAAAGCCTGAGATGACATGGACGAGACGGGAGGATGAAGTCGATTTAGACTCCCGCCACGGCGTTCTGGATCTCGCCACAAAGAATGTCACATACTAAAACATTTGGTCTTGAATAAAGCCTAAGCCCAATCATCCTGTCAGAGCAAAAGTTCCGTCCGAAGTTCGACGGAAACGGACCTGTCAAACGTCTGTGCGGTGCCACGGACGGGTTCCTTGTCAACGGGGCGCGTTGGTTAAACTAGAACAAAAAAGAAGGAAACTTAAAAGAGACGTCGGTTGAGTGGAGTGTTTAGGACGGTACTCGGTTCCATGAAACATGGCACGAGTTGTGGCCCTTCGGACGTATGACTTGCACAGGTGAACCGAGGACTTGGGTCTGTACGCAGGTTCCCCCAGACTCGTCAATTCAATCCGCCCCGGAACCCTCGACGTCACCCGACACTTCCAACTGGCTGCCGAGTACTCTCCACCTCACAACCATTCAAAACGCAAAAACCGAAAGTCCCGCATGAACGATTGCAATAAGCCTACCTAGCTACCTCCACCCGACTCCCGACCCAGTGGAGGCCGCCGCCGCCGCCGCCGCCATCAATCCCCGCCGTAGCCCTACGCACGCACGCAGTCTCAGGGGGCGCCCATGTCGCGACGGGACGGCAGGGATGTATTGTGGTTTGGTGGGTTCGCTTACGTTACAGAGCATATTAATCCCCGAACGCCTCGCACCATTCCGCGTCCGCCGTGCCGGGGGGGTGGAGGGAACCCGCTTCGCCCGCCGGGACCCAGACATTGGTTTCTGCCCGTAGCCCCGGCAGATATTCTCCCGACTAAAAAATCCCACTAAACAAGGTCCATCCATCTGTGGATTGATGAGATACGCTAGTGTGTAAAAGGGCCGCGTGTGCGGCGGGACTCGTTATCGCGTGTATGAGGCCAATCATCTCCTGGAGGGGGAGCATTTCTTGGCTGCCGCGCAGCTGGGAGAAGGAGACGCGCGTGCGATGGGGAGGTGGTTAGGGGGCTTGGTGTCGTTTTGCTTTCGTCAGCGCGAGAGCGAAGTGACGTTGTGGGCTTTTTGGGCCTTACATGCGGACTTAAAGTAACGGACCGATGCGGTGACGAAGGCTTCTCAGTGGAGCTGGGCTGGTTGGGGATAAAGCATTGTGCTGAGTTGGAGAAGCCTGGTAAGGCAGAGAACGGGGGTTTGGAGGAGACAGGACGGGGGTTGGTGGTGGTGGTGGCACTGGATCAGATCTGGGGGACAGCTCGGCGGTCTCGGTTGGTCACCGCCGTCCTCCCGCCAGATCGGTTCACGCAGGGGACCGAAGAATGACATTGGCGAAACGATGCTTTTTTTATTCCTTTTGTAAACGCGTATCAGCCCAATTAACCAGCTTGGACTGGTGATATGTTCTGAGATTTGAGAATACATGCTCTTCCATCGTAGCCCGCCATTCATTATCGTCCCCTCAATTCGTCATTCAAGTTTCCATTATCGAAGAGGTCAATGTCGTACAGGCATTAAGGGAGGGCATGTAGAATCGGAGATGTTGTACATGACTGGTGGGGGATGCCAGAAGAGGGTTGGATTTTAGTGTGTTCGGGCGGCGGAGCGCGGTGTCGGAGTCTATTGGGTGCGGGGAGGGTTGGCGGTGTCTTGTTGGTTGTTGTCTTGCTCAGATGGAGTCTCGCGGGAGGAGATGCGGTCGTTGAGGTTATCGCCGGTGTTGTTTATGAACATGTCGAAGCGGAGCTGTCGTGAAGCCGATTGATCCGTACCCTGAGCAGGCGCGTTGCCCCTGTTCTATTCTTAGCGAGGGTGTCAACGATGAACGGGAAGAGATGTGACTTACTCGTGTACGCTGCCATGTTCAACGTTCATGGATGAGGTCTGGGAAGCCATGGTGTTGTTGGAGGAGTGTCGGCCGTGTGGTGTGGGTATCTCTTGGGAGGGAAAGCTGCGCGTGTCGAGGGCGGTAATTACAAGGAGTATGGGATCTAGAACTTGAAGAAGAATGACGCGAAAGTATGCATGTAGATGCAGGAGCTCGGAGGTTTTTGACTCTGAACCGAGCGGCTGGCTGGGAATGCAGTGGAGTTCTAGAGAGAGGGAAGGCCAGCCTGAGACTGAAAGAAAAGGTGTACAACGGATGGTCTAAATCTACAGCCGAAGGAGGAAGAGTAATGCTAGTTCTATGACGAGAAAAGGGCGAGAGAAGGGGAGCATCGTGGGGATCTGGGCGGTGATAAATACTTCATTTAAAAAAAAAAGGGTGGAAGGTGTCGACCTGTAGGGCGAACTACCTTTGGACGCCTCATATTCCCAAGGTGCGGTCAGGATAACGGGGTGGGTGTGGTAAATGGGAGTCGAGGACGAAGAGATGCCACCCCAAAGGACTGACTGCCCAAGAACTTTGCTCGAGAAAAAGCAGAAAAAGACGGTAGGAAGTGGTCAGAGACTCACAATACCTAGGGTGGAAAAGATGTCCTGCACCTTGTAGGGACGCCCTCGGGGTAGATCATGGCCCACGATCGGCAGAGACGGGAGTCGGGGACGGTGTACCGAATGTACCTACTCTCAGGACCCAGACAGATGAAAAGTGCAGAAGACGTACTCTGTGAGGCCCACTCACAGTCTGATGTCTGCACTTCTGAGGGCAGCATTTTCCCTCTGATTCGCAAGTCTCGTCATGCAGCACCCCCAAATTTCCCCTTCCTGCAGCTTGATCAAATTTGAACGCCCGACAAAGGCACATTGAAGCTAATGCCAGGGAACAGGAAGCAGACAGGGCGCCGCAGGAAAGGGTGGCGAGCCGTGAATGCGGCTGCCGAGAACTCCACCGCAAACCTGGAAACACCCTGTCTCACTCGATTCCCGGCAGAGATTGGAACAGGGTGTGATTTAGGGCGATGGTTGGTTGAAATATCCCCTGCACGTACCGGGCTGCCAGCTCACGCAACCAACATGAGGTAAGTCAGGTACGGACACACGCAACGCGTAAAACGCTGCAGCAGAGAATAGGGATCTATCTCCTCTCTGACTGACGAGAAGAAAAATTTTTCATCGGCCTCTAGGTATTTCGATGATCAACCCGAGCCTGGTTCTGCGGGCGCGCCAACACAGCTACGCAGGCACCTCAACATTCCACAACGCAGTGCGGGGTGCATTAGCTTAGCAGAAAGAAAGGTTTGCTGCACTTTGCTTCTTGCGCCTTACGCATCGAATTCTGCATGTATGTTGGACTGGCCGGCCTGTAGAACATCTGCAGCATCCATAGCGCTGGTTTGCATTGTTTGCTGTCCGCACTAAGCGGGACGGCGCGAACAAAGGCTCGCTGCTTGTTGGCCAGCGTAGCTGTGCTATTCGACGGAGATGGTCTGCATTCCAGGCATGCGGCGAAGGACCTGAAACAAGACCAGAAGACAATGGGCGGTCTCCGATCGAAGCCACCGTTTCTGAAAATAAGAAAAAGCCAGTCATGTTGTGCTTCGGAGACAGGCATTCCATAGGCCAATGGAAAAACCCGAATAACTGGTCAGTGGGTGAAGGTCTCACCCAGAAACATAACAGCCGTGATTGGTAGATGGATGCCGAATTAAGGCTGGATCGGCAAGCGGGAAATGGCGTAAGCTTGAGAATCGCAGATGGGTGACGCTGCGTCGTACAAATGGCGGTAGGCGTGTTTGAACGTTTTGGGATACGAGATATGGATAACCAAGGCGATCAGCAGGGCAGACTTGAAACTGGCGAGGTATGCTGCCTGGAGGAAGTCTGCGATTCCAGGTTGTAGCTTATCGGGCTGCTCATGCTCAGGCTTTCGGGTGGCTTGCGAGGGCTGCAGCGGGTCCTCAACAGCCTACACGTACAACCGTTCCCGCTCCGCTCCGGCGAACAGAATCCGCTCATCACGGCCCCGCCCCGGGCCGTGAATGGCAAGCGTTTATCGCCGGCGGCCAATAATGGTGCCGGAGGCCTAAGATAAGAACATCCCCACAGGCGAATGAAATTTTTGACAGTTTCGCGCCGGCTTGTGGGATCGATCCCGCCGGTTCGCTAACGCCAGCCGATCCACAGCAGGTTCCGTTTTGCTCACCAAAAGATGACAATTGACGTCGCTCAATTGGCCCGACTCGACGGACCCCGCACCCGGTTGCACTGGTGTTTATTGCAGCCGGGATAGCCCAGAAGAAAATAAACCAGATCCTTTGGCAGGCCATCCGGGTTCGCAGATCTAGATGAGACCCTTAAAGAGAACTTGATCCCCATCTGTTGCGGCGGCGTCATTCCTGTGTGAAGCACGTGCTGTACACCTGTTTTTGCAAGCTCTGTTTCGTTGCAAGGGTGTTTATACAACACAATGGAGCCTGAATCTTCCAAATGGAAGCACCAGGTGAAAGGTGATTCGATATGTCTGCTGTGTGTGATGCATGACCTGACGTGCAGCAGTGATGTTCCTTGGGGACGTCGCAAAGTCCAAAGAGGAGAGACGACTAGTTCGGAAACTCGGTAACTGAAGGCTCCTCCCGAACGTCTGGTGATTTGCATATGCTGACAAGGACCGGGTTCCGTGCCGTGCAGACCTCTTCGTTCTGGTATGACCCCACAATCGTGATAGGTGCCAAATGCTTCGGAACTGACCCTGCACAGACGTATTGCTGCTTCAGCTACTTCGTCAACTATCTTGGTAGGAAGACTTTGTCTTTTCTACTCATCGTTTAGCTGACGGATATTCCAGATCGTGCCGCTTTTGCGAATGCTTACGTTTGTACACCCTCTGACCGTCAGTGGCTTCCTGCTCACAATAGCAACCTAGGTCGCAGGGTTGAAAGAAGACGTCGGTCTTCACGGCTCACAGTACAATGTTTTGCTGTCGGTAATGACCGCTGGGTACGTCGGTCTAGTCCATCATCGCTCCGGTGTGCTCTAACATGGGCTCAGATACGTTATCGCTCAGATCCCACATGGCATCGCCATCCAGAAAATCGCTCCGCGCTTGTGGCTGCCGTCGATGGTGTTGCTTTGGGCTGGATTAACCATGTGCACTGCTGCATGCAAGACGTACGAGCAGATGTGTGTCGTGCGCTTCCTTCAGGGTATGGCTGAGGCAAGCACGTACTGCGGGACGATGTACATCATGGGGTCGTGGTAGTGAGTGGCCCCACAAAGTGTCGTTGGCTTCATGGAAGAGCCACGTACTGACACGAACGTAGCAAGCCCTTGGAAATTGCCAAAAGAACGGCCATCTTCACCGCCGTGGGCCAGGCTGGTAGCATGTTCGCTGGTGTGATGATGACGGCTGTCCACAAAAGCATGGACGGGTATGCTGGACTGCCTGGATGGAAATGGGTCTTTCTCATCGGTTCGTTTCCGCCGCAGGACATGCTTCTGTCATCTGTTAGTCTGGGCCAACGCTAATGAGGTGATAGACGGAATCATTACCCTGCCGGTTGCCATTGCGGGTTTCGTCTGCTTCCCCGACATCCCCGAGCACACAAAAGCGCACTTCTTCAGTCTTCAGGAAGAGGACATCAAGCTTGCGATCAAGCGCCTGCCCCCGAAGAGGGAAGACGCACATAACATCTCTCCCATCTCTCTGGCCAAGCGGATTTTGGGCCAACCATACTTGTAAGCCGCTCCCCTCCATCGAGTACCCCGCGCATCGGGCTCTCCACTGACGGTGTCAGCTACGTCCTCGGAGCCTTCTCCATTGTTACAGGGGCCCTCGAGGCGTTCTGCGTGCAGTCGCTATTCCTCCTCTGGATGAAGTTCCACAGCGACCGCTACACCAGCTCGCAGATCACGACGTACCCGCTGGGCGTACAGGGAGTTGCCATCGCGTCCAACATCGGAGCCGCCATGTACATGGACGCGACGGGTCACCGCCTTCCCGTGGGTTTCCTGGCGTGCGGCCTGCAGCTTATTTCGACGGTGCTCATTCTCATCCCAACCGTTCCGGATGCGGGAACCTTCTTTGCGTATTATCTTGCAGGGACCAGTTATATGGTCAACCCGCTATTGTTCGGATGGGCCAACATTATCTTGAAGAGAAGCGGTGACGAGGCGGCCCGAAGTGTGTTGCTGTACTGGCTGAACGCTATTCAGAGCACGTTGTACACTTTCTGGGGCATCGCTCTGTACCCTGCGGATGAGGCGCCGTACTGGCGCAAGGGAGGGATCGCCATGTGCGTGGTCGTGGTCATCATGGCCTGCATGTTGTGGGCAGTGAAGTGGCTGGACAGAAAGTCCCTCGCCGAACAGATTGTGGAGGATGAGGACTGCCCGACGGAGGTGAACCAAGTTTCCTGAGTCCAAAACCTGGAGGCAGATGCTCGAGGTAGTCAGGAGACGACGGTGATCGACAGGGCGCAGGACGTAGAAGCGTTCGGATAGCTTGGGAAGGGGTGGCGGATTTGTCGAACTGCAGGGTGTTGTTGCATGATAATTTGGTCGATCAGCAAGAATTGCACATGGTGTGCGTCGTACGCGAAATTTTCAGGCGTCCTTTGGAGAGATCCGTCAGAGTCTGGGGGTGTGCAACGTGGCGGGCGTTGGTGTTGATTTGGAGTTGGAGTTGGAGTTGGAGTGAACGACGATCGCCAGGGCCTGGAAACATGGTGGAAAGTGGCAGAAAAGCGGTGTGGGCTGCAATCGGACTGTTCACTCTTCGGGCAGGAAGTCTTAATTCACCACAACCCGGGCGAAAGTATTGCAATATCGTGAGAGAAAGACCAGTCCGTCGAGAGCGCAGAAAAATGGCAGGGACAAGTTCCGTCTCAATTGCCCCTGCTTCATCTGTGCCGGTAGGGGTCCCATGCCCCTGCACGTCGATTGGCGGCCCCTGCCGGCCATCCCTACAGCCGCTAAACGACGGGAATGGGCCTCCCCGCTGTGACATCGCGATAGGTTCATCCCATTTTTTTCACTGGACGCCAACAAGACCGGAAAGACTTCAATTTTTAGAAATAGACAGCCTCATGACCAGTGTCGTAAACGTGACACTGCTAGTTACTTTTAGCAGGACGAACAGGACCGGAAAGATCAGCAGCGATGAAAAGCAAAACAAACAATGAGCTGCCTCGGGACTTATGAATCCTCGAGCTTTGCCGAATCAGGCATACAATTTCACCCTTATCTCATCTTCACCAGCGGCCTTGCTCATTGTTGAAGAGGGCGAAGATGAGGCTCCCTATACGGGTAGCGGGTACGGGGTACCCTGATGACCTCACTTCCTTAACGGTCGGCCGGAACGACGGCACTGCACAAAATGTTTGCTTGTCAAAATCTAAGATTAGGTATGCATAGAACTAACCGCAAGCTCTATGTATTTTTGATAAGAAATCTGCCACTCACACGGCGAAAGCCGCACTCATGAAGGAGGTGCTGGACGAACATTAACAAACAAGGCAAGAAATCGTGATCGCTTAGGTTAAATTTGGGGGCAAGTGCGGCACAGCTTCCAGTACATCATCGTACCCGACAAGTCACCTTTTCACCGCGTGTGGACTGATATTCTCCTGGAACATGAAACGTCTGCGGCAGTCAGGCACCCCTGAGATCTAGAGTTTTTCCAATGAGGTTTCGTTTTCCACACCGCTAGACTGGCGTCGAAGACACGAGACTATTTCGAGAAGTCGAAGGCGACTTCGTGTTATTGAAGTTGCCATTGCTTTGCATCCGCAGGTTCCGGGGCTTCTGCATCGTGCCCTATCTGGCCTCAATTTTCTTCTTCCATCTGACAGATGTCAAGTCCAGAGACTTGTACGACGCCAATGGTAAGCTGGGCGATTTGGTCCCAGTTTCAGCCACACTGAGTGCAAATGCAACTTTCCTAGAGAGACGTGGCCTCGCAGCGACCGGGTCCAAATGCTCGGGTTCAGAAAAGTGCCAGAAGCTTTCCATATGAGGGACTTGTGCAGAATTCAGCCAGCCACATTCGCATTTCTCTGCACCATGGCTAGTCGACGGTAGTGTGCAGGATCGGTCTGATAGTGGCGTTCTCGATGAGAGCGGCCGGTGAAGAATTCACCGGCCATTCTTCACCGGCCACGTTGATGCCTCCCGACCTCGAAGGGCATGCGTATGCGACTGACCGCTTCTCTTTCCCACGCCGTTGGAAGTACCGCCAAGCAGGTTTCTTATCTTGATCAGGCTGTGAGAAGCCATCCCCGCACGTTGTGAATGCTGAGGTGGATGGTGACAGGCACGAGTACCCCACACACACCCCTTTCCAAAACGAGCTGGTTGCATCATCATATTTCTTTTTTCTCTTCTTCAGCCCTCAACTTTCTCCAACGATTTCTAGACCGCTTCTTCTTCAGCGGTCGTGGAAAAAGCAAATTCTTGACGGCGGTGTCGCCTTTATTTGGGGGCGAAACTGATGAGGCGAAATTCAGGAATCCGATGCCATATCATCACAGAATGGTACCTTGCAGAGTACCTTGCCCGAACCAACCGTGAACATATTTAGGTCTCAATGCATATGTGCAATCACTTTGCGTTTGCACATCATCGATGAATGCTCACCGCTCCCGGGTTATCAAATATCGTTTCCAGACGAGGCTACTGGTTTACACCGCCTTCCAAGGCGATAATATTGCTCGCCCCATATCCGAGTGTACCTGATGGCGGCCAGCATCCAAACTTGGGACGAAATTTGTGCAGTTATGATGTAAGGTAGTTTAACGTGAAAGGTGGTTCAAAGTTTCTGGCGGCTGGGCAAGCGCATTTTCGGCCGAAAGCTCAACAACTACATCGCACCTGTCATCGTGCTGCTAGCAATTCCAGAGATAAAATAATCGAGTAAGCTATGACGTGGACGAGGAAGGATGGAAGCTACTGCGCATATACTGAGGGACCACTTTCTCAGAAACTCAACGACGACTCCTCTCAATCCTTGGAAGAGGTTCTAACAGTGGTGACTTCATATATATACTTTCGAAATAACCAACTCATTCATCACTGTGGACAAAGAATCGAACATATTGCATTGGTATCTTGGCACATGTTTCCTCAAACCCTTAATATGCATGATGTAGTGCTGTTGAGAATTTGCAGTGTAAATTCAGTGAACTTAGTTCACCAAACGTTCAAAGCAAACGGAAAGGTAACTCTGTTTACTGTTGTTGAATACATTCAGCCGTAAGATCAACAGAAACGCTCGTCGTTCTCTAGCTGAGAATAGCCGCCTACAATGGCATCTCGTTCTGATTAATTGGCGGAACTGTTGCTTAGCTTGTTTATCCCAAAGCCATCTGAATCCTGCAGCCTTAGCTCAAAAGTCCCGCCGGCAGTAATTATTCAGGTGAAGCAATCGAAGTCAATGACGGATCCCCCAGCCCGCCCGACATGCGGAACTCAATATCAGGCTGAGAAGCAGCGTGTTGGAGAGCCCCCCTCACTGTGAAGTCTGCCAGCTCAAGTTCCTCCCCAACCACCTGACGACATCTCAGCTGTCTTCGTCGTTCCTAAGCACAATAGTCAGCTAGAACGTCCTACAATATCGTAGAGACTTAGGATGCCGCAACTCGCCTTTTCTTGCTGCCATAACTTCGCGACTACATCCATGACTACGAAGAGACCAAGTGGCAGAGCCAAATACTGCCCAGTCGAGTTGAAAGAATCGATGTTATCAACTTTATTCCACCTCAAAGTTGCTTCAATGCCTGTCACGGACAGGATGAATGAGGCGAGCCACAATCCAGCACAGTAAATGCGGTACTTTCTAGGCCTGCGTGTTAGCGCCTCAAAGACACTTAAGTTTGACCGAAGCAGTTCGGAGACTTACTTCCGGTTTTTCACATCCAAGGGGGTGATCAAGCGAATCCCCAGTTGAGCGTGAAAGGGGAGGCCGGACACTTCGCGGAAATAGCCGTGCCAGCTCTTGCACCACTTGAGCAGGCGGAGGAGTCTCGGGCTCTTAGAAATTATTGAGGTCTGGAGAGTCGGATTTGATCTGAAACCCTCTTGGCTGTGATCAGGCCCCCCAGGGTCGTTGTCATAGTATGTAAACGTCTGCGAGACGTAAACCCTAATCTCAGGGACTAGGAGAACGGCGAAGAATGGAATTCCAATCGCTATAGGTATGGCCATACCTGAAACAATCACCAAAAAAACATAATTGACTGCGCAATACGCAGGACTGGGGTCTAGCAGGCTCCCGAAAATGAACTGCTGAGTCCCACAGGGCATTTTAGCGTATGAATTATCGTAGCCATGGAAAGTAAACCAGAATCCATGGTAAAACATAAGAGCGTTGCTGGTGTATCGAACGCCCGAAAGCCAGTCCAATTGAGTCCAGCGAGTGCTGTTGCCAAGTCGATTTTCGTTCGGGGCGGAGTTGAAGACGCAGACGGCACCACCCCAATAGGCCCAGTAGAGAACCTTAATCTCGATTCCGAATACGCATGGCCGAAGTATCTCGAAATATGTTGCTATGCATAATATCGTATTGAAAGTCAGCAAATACGCCTTCTGTATTGTCCTGCGCTTTCTCGGGGCTAACAGCTGATTTGCCAGCAGAGACGCGATCCAGTTGAGGTAGATACCAGCGCGAACGCCTTGGCCATAGAGATCCTCGTTGGCTTTGAATCCCTTTGTCTCAAGTTCTCTCGCTTCTCCTCCCGAATAGCAAAGTGTGCTGTTGTTTCGCGTAGCGAGGAATCGCTCTTCACTGAACGTGATGTTGTGGACCGTCTGATTCGGAAAGAAGTGATGGATATTGGGGTACTGGTTCCAGTAAATGCTTTCCGTGAAAAGCGGTGCCTGCTGAGGCGGAACTCTCGTTTCACAGGCTCGAAAACTTTGCGGCATGGCGCCGATCTCTGACACGGGAAGCCAGGAGGGATCCAAGATGCGTACAGCCTGGCAAGCCTGCGTCCAGCCACCGCTGGAGACATGATAGTAATAAATCATGAAAGGCACTGACATCGCAGCGTACAAGCTGCATACTTGGTATATGTTTACCATGCTAGTGCCCAGTAAACTGTTAGAGCTTCGTCGCCAAATCGAGTAGGCCGAGGCCAGTAAAACCACCAGTCCTCCGACAGCCACCAAGGTTTGCAGACCTAAAACCCACAGAAAGAGCCGCGCCATCCAGGAGTCATTGGGCTCTGAATTGAAGCTCCAGATGTAAAGAAAATCGACGAGGACTATCAAAGAGAGCAGTAACCAAGCCACCATGTATAAGATAAGCGGAATTCGGATGATCGGCCACTTCTGGAGACCAGTGTCCCATGAAGAGCCAATTAACTCTTCAATCGAAGGGTCAAATAGTTCAGAGTCGGTTTGTCTGTCCCCAGCCGACCCGGCCTCCACTCCTGTGGCAGGTTTTGGGCTACTTGGCGCATCGTCTCTTGGGCTGATTGGAGGCGAAGCAGGGTTGTTTGGAAGAGCTTCGACCGCTGATGATGATGAGTCCATTAAAGATATCGGTGTGCATGAACTGAGCACCTGCGGTGTACAAGCTGTGGGAAAGATAGGGGGAGTGCAACGCGATTGAAGCTTCGTCAAGCGCCTTTTAATGCTGTACGATGATCAGGTGATCAGACAGAGCATCCAATCCGCTGCGTTGGCATAAACGGACGGTGTCAAGTGCACGTTTACTGACAGGCAGACAAGATCCCTGTCGACCAAGCCCGCCGAATTAGGGAATCAGCCCGCGGGAGTGAATAAGATGACTCGGCAGAAATCAGACTGGAGTCTGCCCTGCCACCCAACAATGAGCCGCTTTTTAGTTCACCACCTCCATGCTTGCCAACACAGTTTCTGAGACGCGGTGAGCTGCGCCGCACGGTAGTCTTTCAGGCTTTCTCCATTGATGCCCACAGCATGGTGTTGCCTTGGCCTGGAGCACTTCGGCTGGACAATAAACCAATTGCCTCTCAATACATATGTATCCCCTAGAAATATCAATAGCAGTACGAAAGACAGGCTCAAGTTCTGTTTCTCAACATGTCACTGCCATGAGTACTACTCTTAGGCCTGAGACTAGACTCATCGTCCTGTTTGATTCCAGCACAATACTTACCTAAAGCCTTCGAATGCCTACCAAGTTTCAGTGCGTTCATATCTCAGCTAGTCCGGCTTTTACTGCTCAGAGAAATAGCTCGAGCTGGAACTTTGTCTCACCAGGCCATTTGTAGCTGATGTTTCTGTCTCGCCGTAAACGCGACAACATGTTCCCTACTGCCGCCGTAGAACCATCAAGCGCGCACGATAGCACCGAGAATAATGAATTCTCCGAACGGCGGGAAAATGGAGTACTGTATTGTTGAATGCAGCAGTAACGCCGGCTGGGAAAGCGAGCAGGGTGTCGATAGCAACACAAATCTGATCTACGCTTCTATCTTCTTACTTGCTCGGGTGTTTACGTGGTTCTTAGTGAAGAAAGCCTTTCTAGGAAGGCACTATCGTCTTCTTTTTCTTGTTTCTTCTCTCGGGTACTCCATGGTCTCCCACCACACGTCGTTTAGTTGCCGCCCCAAAGCTGTCTGTCGCTCGAATGTCAATAACAGCGCGGTCAAACTTTCTGATCGCATCGGGCGACAGTGACATTTTGAGTGACATTTTGAACCAGTTTTCTGCATCTGCAAATGCTGGCGTAGTAGGAGGGATTCTGGACAACACCAGGGTGAAAACCCCGATCAAAAAGTCGATGTTGCGCTGACTTTCCCGGTCAGGGAACAGATCACGTTCGGACATATACCAGAAGTTGAACTGCTGAGCCACACTTCCAATCTCTCTTCCATTCTCCTTTCCGGTGACCAACCTGTTCACCATGACGTCTCCGACCATGTCGACTGCTTTCAACATAACGACGAGTGTCTGCTCGTACTTCTCCGGTCGTTTTATGAAGTCCGTTCTCCACATCCCTAAGAAGAAGAGCAGCCAAACCGGCACCTCCAACTGGCGCTCGTTCCGAATCCACGTCTTGACCATCACATTGGGATCAGCTCCATGTTTGAGTAACATAGACAGAATATTACCATCGGCGTAGTCAAAGATCCTGCTAAATGTTTCAGTTTCTCCACTGCCCGATGTGCAGCGAGAAACCAGAGCCGCCAAAGGACTGCGAGACTCTTCGTCGCTCTCATTAGGGTCGTGACCAGCTTCAAGAAGGGTCTTGAATATCCAACACTGATCCTCTCTGGTGAACTCGCAGGATGAATCGAGAAGTATATGAAGCGGGGATTGAACTCGCTTGTCGGAAGGGCCCTTGAAAAAGTCGTGATCGAGGGTCAACTTGTTCCGAACATAGCTACTGACCCCTGCTTCTAATACAAGTCGTCGAAATATCACGGTTGCCAAAGACGGGTTCGTCATCTGGATCTGCCCCCGTGCAATCATTCGCGGTATGCTTTGTTCCATGTTGTCCAATAGTGCTGCCGTGACCGCTGCAGAGCTTTCGCCATGCATATCGGCATGACGAGCGTACTTGAGGGTTCGTCTCAGTCTGTTGACGAAGCCACGTATTTCAATCATGGGATTACCGTCTGGTGTAGCGCCCCGGGCGAAGGTCGAGCGTTTAATCCATGCAATAGAAGCTTTCAAGAGTGACAAACTGAAGCAGCAATTGCTCTTGGTCTGATCCGCCAGAAAATCGGCCATCTTGCCAGTGCGCAGAAAGTCGTAAACGGTTCGATGTAGGAACTCCATGCGATCTCCGTTTCGCTCCAACAAGCCCTTACATCGACCGTTAATGCGCCGAGAAACGGTACGGAAGAGCTTGTTGAGCAACCCGAGGTCGGTGGACATGAGTTCGGTAGCTTCCTTGAAGGCGTAATTCTCGTCGTCGTACTCAAGGTCGTGGAACGAGAAGATCTCCAGGCACAAGGGCTCCTTGGCTTCAAGTGCGAGTGACAACGTTCCCGCCATCTTTTCGTTGTAAAATGGGTCCACAGTTTGTATGATGTGCCAGAAGAACTCTTTGAGATCTGCTGGGAAACTTGAGAGTCGCCTTTGCAGATCTGATAGACTGTCGTCATTGGTGAGGCCTTCTCGTAGCAGGCGGACAACCAACGTAACCCAAAGAAAGACGCCATTGGACTTGGATACCACTTCATCGATCAGAGACGGCCACGAAACGGAACTAGTCTCTTCTTGCAAAACACTCCACCTGGGATGTTCTTGAAGACGGCATTCCGTATAACTTCGAATGTCGTGGTACGTAAGCTCATGCATGTAGAGCTTGGAACCGGCGCGGTCTCCTAGCGCGTCTTCGAAGACGTTCCACGGCCTGCTCGACACACACACCTTGATGCAAGGGTTCTGGGATAGTCGAATGAGAGTCTGACAGATGTCGATGTGGTCGCCTTCGAACTCATCCAGACCATCAATAAAGAAGCAGATTTTGAATGAGAACTCGTCAGTTTCGTCGCCGATGAGCCTAATTAGACCCTCCAACTCAGACTGTGTCCATCTGGCGGGCTCAGTGGAGTGATCCCAGCGGTCTGACATGAGCTTTGGGATGAGCTCTGGCTTTCGGGAGAAGATTCCGAACAGGAGCGACCGCAACAGACCGTCTATAGACCTTTGAATCGGCGTGCCATAGATCGTGAAGTAATGGCTGATCATCAGAAGATCATGTCTTCCGGCCCAGGACCTTAGACATTTTGATGATTCTTTGTTGTCCGCGATATACTTCATGAGTGTTGACTTTCCCGAGCCTGGCTTTCCGGAAACCCAGAACAACGGTTGATCGCTCTTCAGCCAACGCCGCAGCTTGCCGTAGTCTACTACTGCCTCTCTGTTCTCGTCCAAACTCCACTTGAAGGTCGTTGTGTGAGCGCTAGGTATCTTTTCGTGCCGAGCCGGCCTGTCTTTATAGTTGAGACTCGCCAACACCTGAGCTTCCTTCTCGAAAGCTCTTGCCTCAAGCGAGAGACCCGAGATTCCAGAACAGATACTGCTGACTTGATCTGGTCTTTCCATGCGACTTTTGGATGAGTTTTTGACAAGTTCTTTGACCTCTTCGATCTGACGTAGAACGGCATCTAGTCTCGAGCCGCTATGGAGTTGCCAGATTCCTCGTCCGAGATCTTTCACACAGTCGCTGATAAACAACGTGGTTTCGCTACCATAAAGTGAGCAAGAGTCTCAAATAGATGATCCGACGAGGAGGCAAGCCTACTTTGACGCTGCACACAGCAATAGAGTCATTTGTCGCTGACGGTCGGCGATCCGCGACCTTAAGTCTTCGATTTCGCTCGCTTTCCAGACCTCAGCGAGGGCGGCGCGGAAGCTGCCCCAGTATCGCGGGCCCTTTGTCGAGATATCTTGGAGTTTGCTCAAAATTGCAAGCAGATCTGAGCAGTCTCTTTTGCAAGCTGCCGCGCACTCTTGAAGTGGCTCGCTCTGCTTTGATAGACGGCCGACTAGGATACTGGTAGACTCTGAAGGCGGCTTCTCAAGTCGTGTGTTGAAATTCATGAGCGTCCCGCAAATGTCCCGGAGATGATCGTTGTTACCGCTGGTTCCCGTGGCGGATGCGTGGAGTTTCCGGGCGTCGTTGAGGAGGCCTCCAACGAACTGGATGAACTGAAGGACATTGCCGGCCATCGCAACTGCCGTGACAGGGTCCATGGCTAAAAGCTGCTGGTTCTCAAAGGACTCTCTTCAGCGTTGAGCCTCATGAAGGACTCTCAAGAAGGCGCTGACCGCGCGGCTAATTGATGCTCAAAGACGGGCTTTGCATTGGGAGGAAAAAGAGACGAGTGCTCCATTACTTATTAATTCCAATTCTCCATGAGTTACCTCAGCTAATCCTGCTACAGGGGCTCAACCAAGGGTAGCAAATGAGAAGCGCTGCAGTTCATTGCAGCCTGATTTCTCTCATGCGTCTCGATGCACTGCCACGTCAATAACGTGGACCGTCACATTCGCTAGGATGCTGACAGAAGTCCAGTGACGCTTCCGCAAAACACGTTAGTGGGCTTGTCGCGTCCACAAGCTACCAAGAGAGTTGAAGAATTTCTCAAGTTCCAACGGTGCACGTAGCCGACACAATTGAAATGATTATTTACACAGGCGGTATTTTGATCACAGATTGTTCAAATTTTGTGTGGTAGTCTTGAATTAACTAACTTCAAGTTTTCAGGAATCATTCCTTGATGCATATCAAGTATGGTTGATGTCAACAGGTCTCACATAACAATAAAGGCGTTGTAGACCTTGTAGCATTTGCAGTGTCTTTCTTCCATCACAACGATGATCTCTAATTCTCCCCTTTCGTGACAAAGACTGGATCAACATTGTGTATTGCATTGTTTGTGAACAACGTATAGTCAGTTATCTGACTAACTCATTGTCTCCAAACCCACGAGAAACTATAAAAGTCGTAACCCGCACACGCTGCAATGCTCTTATTGACCCAGAATCCATACAACAACACAACCTACAATCTCAGACAGATCTAACACTTACAGAATCAACCAACATCCAAAAAGCCAAGATGCCTCCCCGCGACATTCCTCAAGACACCAACAGCTCCGACACCAACAAGGATTGCACAGCATGGGATAGCGAGCTCCTCAAAGGCGTGCTTATCTGCTCAGGCATCGCCGTCGTTCTCTTCGTGATACTCTGTGAGGTACTGGTGTACCGCCACAAAGAGAAGCAAGGACGAGTCCAGGCTGAGCAACAGGTCAAACATTTGACCGAACACTACGAGGGCATCATCGCACTCCAGGAGTCCACCATCGCGATCTACGTCAACCAATGGGGACAACTCCCGCAGCATCTTATCGACGGAGAGGAGAGAAACCCCGGCAGACACACGGATCCCGGCGTGCCTGTGGCCTCCGGATCTCAACCTCCCAGGGCTTACGTTCGGTGGAACGCTCACCAAGGCGTGGACGAGCGTGAGAGAGGTTCTAACATGCGCTGTGCTAACGGCGGTGGTAGTAGTGACAGATTGCCCCCGCTCTCCTTCCAGAACCGTTCTGTTCCCGAAAACGCCAGGCCTGGGGTCAGAACACTTCCGGACGGCTCTGACACATTCGTGGTCAGCGTTCCAGACGACGTCTCTGACGATTACTCTGCAGACGGAGGTCCCAGTAGCAGCAGTCGTTATGATAGACAGCGCGATGGCCAAGTTAGTCCCGTCTCGAGCAATGCGAGTGTGAGAAACGACCACGACCTCTCCGCCTCCGTTTCAAGCGGGCGTTCACTCACCCATGGGCGTCGCGACTTGACACGAGATCAGCGGATGTAGAACAATAGCCAGGAGGAATTGGGGGATGCAGTGTTGGCGGAGTCATGTTGGGAAAGGTAAGTCTACGTCGCGGGCGACGTCCTCATGAGGAGTGTGTCGGTATCAATAGATTCAAGAAGCAATAGAAATGTGAAGCTGTTTCCAACTTTTATTCTATTTACATGAACGGCAATAATTATGAAGAGTGAACTCTGTAGTCTTAGAATCATCTTGTCTTCTCATAATGAATATCAAGACTCCGATATCCGTTTAGTTTGGGTCTGGCTCTCTTATCCTTCCCTCCTTCCCGCCATTTAGTTGATTTTTGACCGAGCCAACGGTCAGTCATCGGAACATGATGTAAACTCGACAATGTTGAACTTGATGAGCCAAAACATTGCGCTGGCTCGTATGAAAAAACCAGCAGAAAGTTTCGAACGGAATCCGGGAATTATTCTTAAGCTACGTGTAACAAGCTTCGCGGAAGGTACATCAAAGTCTTCGCAGCTCATAGTGAAAACTCAGCCGGAGTTCGAATCACCTTGAACCTCTTCACAGAGTCTTTGCCAATATTAATTATAAGTTCAGACACAGCCCACATAGCCAATCAACTCAAAGTCAAAAGATCCCTTCAACTCACAAACACCACCCTTTCACGGACCACTCGGTAACAACGACCTCCCTCGACAAGGGCCTTTCACGAAACCCGACTCGACATCGAAACAATGAACAAAGGACGGAACAACCTAACAGACCCCTCTCTTCAACCTACCAAGTCCTACCAAAGCCAGGCCATCCTTTGCTAAAACAATGCTCTCTGCGGTGTCCTCTTGTTCGGCCGCGATGAATGAACAAGGCCCAGGCCTGTGCGACGACCTCAAGACCGAGGCCTATATAGCCTTCCCATGCGTCCGTCTTAATGTCATTTTCGTTTTCATCATTCTCAACACCATCGCCATCACCATCTCATGTAATCGACGTCTTCGGTGGAGGTGAGTCTTCATCAGCCTCAGGTCTCGCTAATCTGGCCCCAGAACCCCCCCGATCCGTTTCTCGAAATTTCCTCATTCACATTTCAAGTCGCTTCATAGGTGAGTCTATCCCCATCTCCTAGCTAACTTCTAATCAGATCTTTGAGCCCGTATGACTCCCGAAGCATGGATCCAGGTACGTTTTCAAGCTCTGTGCGGTATGTGCTGACAGCAGATGTTCACGGCAAGATCTTCCCCACGACGGGCGCCACTTGTAAGTATCCTTACATCCCCCGTTGCAAGCTGACGTGAGAAGAAACACCGTGAATATCCGCCTTCCGTCACATTCTCGAGTTCCTGTAAGTCTCATCCCACCACGGCATTTGACCAACTAACCACAGACCCACGCAAACTTGACTCTCTACACTCACTCATTTCCCAGCCACACAAGTAAGTTCCCCCTATTTCTTCTTCGTTAACAAGTGTCCAGTCTCTATTGAAACCATCTTTCGTCTCATCAAGTAAGTGATTCTTTCCCCTCGACAGGTTAACCGCAGACAGGAAAACAACCCTCAAACCTCGAACTGGATTCCTGATCACGAGCAACTCACCAAGGTAAGCCCTACCCCTTCTCACCGCAAGCTAACGAGATAGAAACGTCCATAAACCCTCTTCAAAACTGCTCGACACAGTCTGCACTCTAGAGGTGAGTCCTTCCTCTCTTTTGTTAATCCCCATTCGCAGTGATACCACGAAGACGACATTCCGAATCTCGACAACCTCCCCGGCTTTCCCTCAAAGATACCAGAGCAAACAGGTACGTGCCCGACCATCTGGCCGAAAGCTGACGGGATAGACCGATTATAATACACGATTCCCGTCCCGAGCCTGAAATCCTTGTCGAACCCTGCCGAGAAACTCTTCCCGAGACTGCAAGAACGTTTATGAGATCCCGACGCGACCGAATGAGAAGAAGAAGATGACGAAGACAACGACGAATCACGATAGTGATGACGACATCTCGAACCCTCGATTCTATATGGTTTATTTGTGGGTTACAGGAGACGGAGGAAATATGACGGTCAGGTTGGTAAAGGACTGGAGGAATGTTTGGGAGAGGGGAATAAGCAGGATTACGGGCATTGAGCTGAAAGACCTGTACTGATGTCAAGTTCACAATGGCAAAGACACGTCCACAAACCAATGGATTCAAGTGGAATGAAATACCTAACGCCGAATTTATAAGCGCCAATAATCAACCCTTGAGGCCGTCTCAGCCGTTAATCATAGCAATCGTTCAAAAGAACTTGCTCTTCAGTCCTCCCAGGACCACATTCCGTTTCTGCTTGTTGATGTACTTGCCGACATCATCCGCCCATCCTGCACTCTGGTTCTGCAGGTTATCCATGTTGTCGCTCATGATGTTGAGCTTCTCGGTGCGCTCGTTGAGCTGCCTCGTCAAGTAGTCGCCCCAGCCCTCCTGACTACCGCCTGCAGCGGGGGCTGCTTGGCCTGACCGCGCCGCTCTGGCTTCCATAGCCGCTGCCTGAACCATGCGCCTGCTGGGAGGGCGATCAGGGGCGATGAGAAGGTCGAGATCCGTCGGGGAGATGTACTGGGTGCCCGATAGCCATTGCATGTTCGAGATGGTAGGACGCGGCGGGGTGATGAGGTCGGGGTTGATGAGAATGTCGGGGCTGACCTGGAGGTCCCTTCCGGTGCCCCAAACAGACAGCTGGGCGATCTCGCTGGGTCCAGTCCAGCCAAAGACATCGCCAGACTGTGTCACGACAGATGCAGTGCTGCGACTGCTGTCAAGCATCGGAAGCGGGGCCTTGCCGATCTCCTTGAGGCCAGGGATGGAGAATGCGCGGGTTGTTCTATCGCCAAAGACGGCGACAATGGCGAAGCCGTGCAACTCAAACTCGGTGACGTTTGCCGCGTCGCAAAGCATGTCATCAAAGGACTTCGAAGCACCCTTCGCCCCGGCGGGCTTGAAGATGCGAATCTCGGTTTGTGTGACTAGTCTTTGTTAACCATGACACATTTTATGTCTCCAAGAGCGACTTACCAGCAATTAGGACGCCGTTCACTTGCTGACCGTTCCTTAGTCCAGCAACAATAGGACCGGTCGCGAATGCAGGCTTTCCAGAGTCCGCCATGATCGGGCAGAGGGCAATGACCTTGCCATCAAACTGCTGAGCCCCAGCGAGCTTGACGGAATAACTGTTGCCAGAGGGCAGAATCTTGAATGTTGCAACTCTGCCTGTGTTCGTTCCCACGAAACAGCAGATGCTCGAGTAGTTGTCGCCCTCAAGCGTCATGACGCTGAACTCGATGACAACAGGCCATTCCTTTCCGCTGGACTGGCTGTGGCCCTTCAGGAAGGAAGTCCTCTTTTCGGTCTTGGCAAATTCGGCCATCGACATCTGATAAATCACTGACGGGCCGCGCAAATCAATGAGACTGAAAAAGCCACCTTCCGAGCCGACACCGACGAAGCCAACATCGGAGACACTGACGGCAGAGATAGGGCCCTGCATCATCTCATACAGTTGCCAGGGCTGCAGACCCTCCTTCAAAGAGGGCTCCGCTCTAGAACTGATGTCTGTCAGGCCGCCTGGGTTAGGCGCCAAATCCTCATGGTGATCCTTCCCAAAGAACCTGTTGCCAGCCCATCTGTAGATGATCATCTCGCCGGTTCGTGTGCCCACGGCGAACTCGCCGGTGTTAGGTGACATGTGCATGGCGGTGATGTCGATATCTTGGTAGCGATCAAGAGACCTTGCAACGTCGACTTGGAGCATCATGGGGTTTTCAATCTCATCGTCATGCCCAGAGTCCCAGAGACGCACCGTGCTGTCGCCATGAGCGATCTGGAAGATGGTGCGACCTTCATACCTGCGCCTTGGCTTCGAGGCTTGGGCACCACCCTTGAGAAGGGGTTCACCCTGATTCCTCGTCTCAACCATGCCCAACCAACGGCCTCGATCCAAAGTCTGAACCGCGAACCTGTTGACGTACGGATGGACGAAAGAAACAGAAGGATGGAGTTGGTTCGTCGGGCTGATGGGGTATCCTGAGGGAAAACTCATAGTCAAGAGCTCGCCCGATGACAACAACGTCATGACGGCAATCGGATCCTGTGCTCCGGCGAAGTATGGCGACAGGCGGGGGATAAGGAGGAAGTCAGATACCTGGGCTCCCGGAGGAGTTTGCAGGTTTACCTGACGCTTGCCGCGCAGATGATCCTCGAGGACTTGCCATGTCGAAGTCGCGTAGACTGGTGTCTGTCCAAGTTCGATGAAAGTGAGGCCCTTATCCGGAGTCTCCGGGTTGTGGCCACCCGCAATCAGCAGCCCGGTGTCGTCAGGGTTATCCTTGCAGCACCAAGCAATCTTGACGTATGGCTCCCTAAACCCGATGCGCCCCTCATTTGGTGACGGTTGATCAATCTTGAACTCGTCGAGGGTCCTTGCCATGATGACACGGCCATCCTTCGGGTCCCAGAACACCAAGCTTCCATCATCATGGGCCGTCATGATGAAAGTACCGGTGGGATGCCACAGGGCGTGTGAGAGTCTTGGGCGCCGAATCGTATCGGGCGGTTCTCCTCCGCCACCTGGCGCACCTGGCTGTAGAATATACTCCAAGAACTGTGTAGGCTTGTTCTGCTTGAAAGAGTAGACAACGACTCCAGTGGTGTAGGCGATGAGCAGTTTTCCGATGTCCCTCGGGTGGAGTGAGATGCTGACGAGTCCAACAACTCGGGCTTTCGGGTCCTTCTCTTTCCAAAAGTTCGGCAATCTGAACGATTTCGTCAAAACCTCCCTGTCGAGATCATACGCCAAGACCTCTCCCGTCGCCAATCCGAGGAAGGCCCAGTCGAGCATGGGGTCCGTGATGAGGGAGACGACGTGACCCGGGCACACCAGACCGGCGATGCGCTTCGCAGTATCAAGATCCCATATTCCGAGCTCGTTCTTGGCGTCAAGGGAGACTAGTTTGTTGGCGGTGAAGTGGAGAGAGCGGAAGGATGTGTGCCTTGGCGGCTCGATGACCTTGTTCACTCGGTTTTGGCCAAAGACGAAGATCTTGCCGGGGCCAAATTTGGACTCGTTCGTGGCGATTGCGAGAAGCGACTGGATCGGGTCGTAAGCTAGGCAGCTGCGGAATCTCTCGTCAGTGTTGTCCAAGAACCGATGCGCCTGCGGGAAAGCCATGCATCGACGCGCGTCGACGTGGGGTAGCTACTGACCTGACCTGCGAGTTGATGCCGTAGGCGGACTGGTAATCGGGAGCAAAGAGCTCAGGGAGGATTGAGGCAGACAGGTCAGTCTGCATGCCTGTCTGCTTTCCTCTGAGAAACGCGGCCATTGTGAGAGAGCGGTGCAAGTTGGATCTGGAGTTGTTGGAGGGAAGCCCGATGAGCATTGGGCGGTCCCGTACTTTTCATTTACCTAGGGCGGCCGAAGATCCGCTCGCTGTACCTTGGCGCAAATTGGCGGGGTGCCCGGCCGGTGGGCAGTGAGTGATCCAAGACCCTGCATTGCAGCTGCGACTGGGACGAACGTCATAAAGTTACAATTTGGCCCGTGCGGAGTTACGCGGGTCCAAGCTCGGTTATGCACGTGATGATTAGATAACGGGCGGCACGTACCTTCACTTGAGGTGATGGTCGCCGTCTCTCAGGTTCATGGACTGGTGAGGATAGATGTCAGTTCTTGCATACATCTTGAGCTATGGGAAGCTTTATCAGAGATTTCAAAGACATAACTCACTTCATATCATGAAGAGATGCTACGTCATCAAGCTTTTGAAATGGCCCTTTTCGTGAATGGTCACAGGTAGATTGAGGCCGATGAATTAGAGATTGACTATATGATTAAGTCTAAGATTTACAGATGAAAGTCTACTCTGAATGCTACAGTGAAGGGTATCAGTTGCCAATGTCGGCGCTGGGAAAGCAATGGCTATGCAATTTATCTCTCTTTCCAGACAAGCACACTCAAACAGATCCGGCAACGGTGCCCTCCTCGGCACGCTTCTCCTCGTTGTGTCCGTGAACGGGAATGGCACTGGTAGCACTGGGAGGGATTAGCATAATTCAAATCTGATGTGCGGAAAATGGGCTGCCCGAGAGCCGGTCGGGTGATGAGTGGGACGGGCTCCGTGAAAGTGGGTCTATTCCCGGATCTGATCCGGCAGAGCTCATTCTTAAGACGTCCGAAAAACGAATCTCCCAGCTTCCAGCATCGACGAATGGCAACCCGGGTTGAAGGCAATGCAGGTGACGAAACATTGGTAGAAATGGATGAAATGGGTAACTTACAGGTCATCCTCGCCAGAGAGCTCCTCAAGAGTCTTGCGGGCAGTCTCCGGGATCAACCAACTGGTGAGGAAACCGCAAAGCATGAACAGAGCGAAGATCTGCATGATGTGGTTCAACCAGGGAGTAGTCCATCTGGGGTCCGTCTTGGCAAGGGTGGCGTTGGCGCCAATGGTGCGAAGAGGTCCGAATACCACCTGAGCGATGATGGCACCAACCTTTCCGGAGGCGGCGGAGATACCGTGGGAAGTAGAGCGGTAGCGGGTAGGGAAGCACTCGCCGGGAACGATGAAGGTGGTCGAGTTCGGGCCGGCGTTGAAAAAGAACTGGGCGAGAGTGTACAGGGCCATCAGGGCACCGCCGGAGAGGTTCCAGAAGTCGAAGCCGATGACGCAGAACAACAGGGTGAGGGTGAAGAAACCGAACAGCTGGATAGGCTTGCGACCGATGGTGTCAACGAGTGCGGCAGAGACCCAGTATCCTGGAACAGCACCGGCCAGAACCTGTTGAACTCAGTTAGCTCTATCCTTGGTTTTTCAAGATGGGAGATGCGGACATACCAGGATCAAGTTGCCGACAGCGGTGCGGTGGAAGCTCTCGTACATGTCAGAACCTCCAGACCAGCCGATGGCGTTGAGAATAATGGCGTTGTTCAAGCCAAGGCCGTAGAAAGCAACGTCGAGGAAGAACCAAGATCCAGCAGTTCCGATGAGGACCTTGGCGTTCTTCCAGATGCTGTAGTGACGGAAGAAGTCCGACCAGGAAGCCTTGGGGACCTCGAGCTGCTTCTGAGCCTCCAGGCGAGCGGCGACGCGAGCGGCCTCGTCAACCTGAGCCTCACCCCACTTGCCCTGCTTGTAGAAGTCGACGTCACCCTCGGCCTTCTGGACATCGTTGTCAACGTCGAAAGTGTAGCGAGGGGTCTCGGGGATGGTAAGTCTGAAGTAGAGAGCGAGGCAGCCGGGAACAGCACCGAAGCCAATCTTTGATTCACGTTAGCTAACTCACAGTATTCAGAGGGCTGCTAGACTTACCATAGTGCGCCACATCTTGTCAACGGCAATCAGGCATGGCTCAGTGCTGGAGCAGGAAGCAGCCTTGGCGGCGGTCGACAGAGAGCCCTTGAAACCAGTAGTGACGATGAGCATCATGAGACCACCGGCGAGCTGGCCGAAACCCTGGTTCGCGAAGACCGCGTTCATCATGAATCCTCTCCACTTGGTGGTGGCGAACTCGGAAGTGATAATGGCAGAAAGGGGGTAGTCACCACCGATACCGATACCCTTAGATTGTTAGCAGGGCTCAATGGAAGATGATAGATCCCGACTTACCATGATGATACGCCAGAAGACGATGAGACCAGTGATGGAAACGGAGGGGGAGCCGGAAGAGAGAGCCTGGGCGATGGTGGCGATGATGATAATGATCAGTTCAACACCGTACTGCAGTGTGTTAGTCGCTGCTGATGATCAACTTTTCCTTCTTCACGTACCATCTTCTTACGTCCGACAATATCGGCAAGAATACCGAAACCGAGCTGACCAACGACAGTACCAGCGGAGGTGGCGACCTTGATAGCGGTATCGTTGTCGGCGGGGAGAGTTCCGCCGTAGTACACAATACCCAGCATGGAAGTGACGAGACCAATGGTGAAGATATCGTACTGATGTCGCGTTAGTCCGAGTTGATCTACCATTTAGGTATACTGAGCATACCGAGTCGGTGAAGAAACCGATACCCGCGACGATGATGGCACGGACGTGGTACCAGCCGAAGGGGGCCTTGTCGATCTCGGCCAGGGCCAGACGGCGGCGCTCGTTGGCATCAGCGACGTGGGCAAAGTCGTTGTTGAAGTTGTGGAAAGCGACGTTGCCTCCGGAGGTCTTGTTGTGCTTGGCCTCGCTGGCGGAGAGCTCGCGGGCAGTGGTGTTACCCTCGGCCGGGGCGGCGTGGGCGGCGGGTTGGATAGAGCCGTCCATGATGTCGATCTCCTCTGAGCCCCGAAACGAAACGATAGGCAAGGTTCGGAGAAGGGGTTCGGTGACTTTTGGTTACCTGCTGGGAAGGACGAGGAGCGCGAGGACGGAAACTCAAATGCGCAACAGCAGCCGGGGACGACTTTGACTTATATGGCTGGCCAGTTGTGGAACAGTGACTGACATGCCATCTGAGCTGAAGGAACTTCGTAGCGTCGCATGCATGGAAAAGGAACACATTGGTGGAGGCAGAGAACAGATGCGACGGACCAGGGAGACGCAGAGAAGGACATGGTTCGAGATCAGCCTCCACCTCGGAGACTACGTCCTAGCGTGGGAAGGCTAGGGAGCGTTGTACCAGATAGGGCGAGTGACAAGGGACGAAGCTACACAGGAGTATCAACTCGTGTTGCGTGCGGCAGCGAGTCGGCCATGTCAGACAAGAGAAAGCGAGCCCGTTGGCGTGGGATATGGGATACAAGACGGGGTATGCGGGATACGCTAAGAAGACAGGCCAGCCGAAGAATTAGACCCGGCATCAAGCAGGGATGCTCTGTTGCCCACGGCATGCGTGTGGAGCCGTGCTCGGCGACCGATTCGGAATGGCGTGTCGTTTTCACTTTTTTCCCAGACTTCGTCCCTTCGTCTGTACTTGGGCTGAATCTCAGACAACGCTTCCCGACTGGCTGCCGCCATTTTCACTTTCGCCTCTGACACCGGCAACGCTGCGCTCAAACAACGACAAACGGCTTCTTCGGGCTAGATCTGGGGAAACGACAGATTTCGAGCGCGCGCGTGCACGTCACGGAGCAAAGCGAAGTCTTCAACTTAACAACTCAGAGTTCCAACGGCCCGCTCGTGTCAATGTTGGGTTGGGAAGCCGGAACCAATGGGGAGACTCACCACGACAACATGGGCTTAACATGGGATGCCCGGCGGAGTCGATAGATGGCCTGGTTCGGACACTCGCGCGGTACCGCCCTAACAATTTCCGATGTTGTTTGCTCAGCCAAGGTTGACCCGGCACGACATCGAATCCAGCATCCTACGGGATCGGATTGCACCGCAGCCGGCAGCTCGGTCAAGCTTTTTGGCAACCTCTCAAGCAATCTTGGCTGCGGCAGATCAGTCTTGGCTTCGATCCAAGGAGAAAACTGGCATCTTGGCGTTCTGCCTGTTCGTCCAAGATACCGAAACTTCACATCGGCTCGAGTTGGCGCGTCTCTCGCGTCACTTTGATGACCATTATCGGCGTATTGACTCAAATGGGCGATGCCTTCGAGTAAAAGGGAACCTATCAGCATGCCTCAATTGCGCATACACTTCGACGCGGGCAAATCATTGTTGGCAAGTCGGGCAACGACCAGGACTGGGGCTGTCCAACTCTAGCCTCTTTCATCTACCGAAGGGGTCGGAACAAGGCGACCAGAATAGGTACCGCGCCTTAATTGACTGACATGTCCCTTTGCGCCGCAGGTACACTTTGATTTGAGCTGGACTGTCAGGCCGACTCTTCCGTGGGTCGGCCGGGGGAAGCCCGCGACGACGTTTCCGGGCCAGAGCCGGCCAATCACGGTGCCGCGTTGGAGCACGTTGCGACCGCGCCGCCGGGCGAGCAGCGACGTTCGGTCTGAATTCCTCGACAATGACTTACAACTCTTGTTCTGAACGAATTTCTGCAAAAACAACGAAAACTTCACAGTTGAAGATGATAAGATGTCGTTGAGCGTCATCCCAGTGCGGCTCTCGTACCCTGCTGGAACTCCCGCTGCTTGGCACTTGGCATCGCGGGACGTTTTACCACTGAAGTAACAAGCGCGCAATGATGCGATCGCCAAGAGAGAGGCCAAGCCCTGGGGTGCGCTGCCGGTGATACCCAGTCTAGGAATGTCGATATTGCAAGACTTGACAAAATGCAGCTGTCGCGTGCCCGTTGACTTGTTGCGGACGCCATCTCCGCCTGGATGCGCCGTCTCGCCCACGTGCTTGGTCGGCGTTCCCTGTTGGCAGACTAAAAGTCATTTGTCTTGATGAGCAGTTCATGTATGACGAGCGGGCTGTTACATGCGTACCCTTCCAGTGCTGCGCGCCGGAGGATGTATCCTTGTGAGTACTCGCGATCTGAAGAGCCTGATGAGGTGCCATTGAAGTTGCTCGTATCGATCATCCGATCAGTAGAAGTCTGGTCATCTTTGAAAGGTAGTTCAATCATCATGTCGGCGTCACTCGGTCATCCGAATCCTATTCCGACAGAGTTTTGACATCACTCATAGCTATCGCCACACTCATATCAGCATGTTTTCGCCAGTCCAACTTCTCCTTGGTAAAGCGTTACCAACAAGAAATCCACCAAAAAGACCCTCCTGACAACCCCCGTAGTCGTCAGCCAGCTAACAATCCTAGCTACAGTAGTTCCCTCACAAGTGACAATTCTGCGTCCAGAATCTCGGACTAAACAAGGGTCCAAATTCCAAAGGCCCTTCCGCCCATCTGGGGTGTGATCCAGAACGGAGTCCCCATTTACCCCAAGGGGCCAATTGAACCCCATAATTCGCACACGTGGGTGGAACCATTGGTCCCTCATCCTTCGAACGTGTATTTCAACCTCGGGTTCCCTCTTGGCATTCAATATCGGCGCTATTCTTACACGCGCACTCGAGGATGAGAGTCAGGCTTACCCTCGTCCGCAGGAAAAAGAAGGTCGCGGCGGCGTGCGCCGGACGACGCCGGTCGTGCTGTCGACTTGCTCATTCGGGGTCGTCCTCCGGCCGATAGTTGAGTACTTCGCGCTACATGGTAAAGCTTCGCAATGGGAAGGTCTCTAGCTATCATTTCAACTTGTTACCCAAAAACATGACTGGAGCGACTACATCCCCCAGCAACATGCTACTCTTTCAGCTTCTTCCAGGTTTTGAACCAATATCGATTCTCGAATCTTTTTGCGGAAGACTCAATCAGCATCCCATCCAGTCAGTCATTGTTATCAGAGATGATACCGCCTTCGACAACAGGCTGGATGACGCTGTCGCCAAGCAAAACCTCGTGACCCCTACCGTCCGCTGCGCGTCAGCCGCATGAGGTGAACCAATCACGCAAATATGCATCAATTACCCCGCCTCGAGAACGACGAGAGACGTGATGATTTTTCCATCGACTTTCATCAGTTCGTGAAGCAGACCGTCACATACCCCGGCAACAGCTCAGCAACATGTGGCTTCTCAACACCAAAACCTTGAAGTTGGAGGAACACGTCGACCCAGCCGCTATCAAGTACGCTATTCTCTCTCATACTTGGGAGGAAGACGAAGTGTCTTTTCGGGACATATCCGATCTCGACTTGGCCAAACGCAAGGCCGGATTTACCAAGATTGCAAAGACTTGTCGGCTGGCCCGCAGCAGGGGTATTAGACTCGCCTGGGTTGATACGTGCTGCATCGACAAGTCCAGCAGCGCAGAACTGAGCGAGGCCATCAACTCCATGTTTCAATGGTACAAACTGTCCGCAGTTTGCTTCGCTTACCTTTCCGACTTTGTTATCCGTAGCCCAGACAGGAGCTCGCGCGTCAGGGAGAGTTTCTTCGAAATCGCCGACGAGGACGCGTTCAAGCGTTGCAAATGGTTTACGAGGGGCTGGACTCTTCAGGAACTGATTGCCCCTAAAATTGTTGAGTTTTACGATTCGAGCTGGGGCCTTGTAGGGACGAAATCCCAGCTGCCGGAGATTCTCGAGAGTATCACTCGTATACCCCTCCAAGTACTTCTCAACTCTTCAAAACTTCAATCGACAATTGTGGCAGTCAAAATGTCCTGGGCAGCGCAACGACAGACCAAACGGATCGAGGACAGGGCGTACTCCCTTCTTGGCATTTTCGATATCAACATGCCTCTGATTTACGGAGAAGGTGCTAAAGCATTTCGTCGGCTTCAAGAAGAGATCGTGAAGGAGACAAACGATCTCTCTCTGTTTGCGTGGTCGTCCCCTAGCTCTGCAGTCAATTATCAGAAGTTCAGGGGTATCTTTGCAGACTCCCCCGAAGAGTTCGGGGACTGCTCATCCCTAAGTTGGAAGGGTAGGAGAGGGTCTCGACATGAATATTCTCTCACAAACCGAGGTGTTCGAATCGAAACTCTCCTTCACAAACATGGGGATGGCATTTGTATCATGCCCCTGGCTCTGATCGACTATCGTGATCATAGACATTGGCGTGTTGGTGTTCACCTTGTGCGAACTGCAAACGAATTCGTTCGAAGCAGCCCATCGACGACGATGCTCAGTGACGCCGTCGCAAAAGACAATGATGTACGCTTGCACACTATTTTTGTACAAAAGTCTGTCACGGAGCAAGAGTCATTGCATCTGGAAAGTCAGTTGCGCAGGTCTTTTCAAATCCGCAATGACATCCCAGCACCACTCAGAGTCGAGCGCCTGAAAGCACATCCCGACCACCTCTGGGACGATATCTACGATACCCTCATCAATGGCGACCCAGATGGAATTTTTTTGGCTTCACTGGCGATCACTGTTCGCCTGGGTGACAAGCGGCCCAAAGAGAACTTCTCGTTGGTTGTCACTATAGGGTCACATTATTCGAAAAGCGATACATTTGCGTTCATCCACGGCGAGAGGAAGCACATGCCAAGCCGTTTGGTGCACAAGACAGTGCCGGAATGGCTCAACGTAAACGCATCATCTGGAAATCATGTTTCACAACTGGAGTCGAGGCTCGGCGTATTAAGGAATGTGTCTCTTCCTTGGCTTCTTGAGAACGAAGCTGCTCACGAGGTATATTTCTGGGATACAGAGAGCCTTTTGTCTCAGACTGTTGCGGTAAGAAATGTGGCAAAGTTTGTGAGATTCGGGGTGCAGTTGGAAACGAGAACTTCTCCTGAGGGTCTCGTCTCATATGAGGTCATTTTGACTGGGGAAGTGTCAGAAATGGAACTTGATAAAGCTTTGAAAATGATTACCTAGGTCTCTGATTAGCATTAAGTAATGCTTAAAGCTCTTTTCGTTCGCCAAAGCCCACTCCATAATACACATATTGCTCACCATAAATCTAGCAGCTCTGTGTGATTACTGTTACGCTGGGCTTTCTCGAAGAACATGCTCTGAGAAGACCTTGAGGATGGATCAAGGGCTGAGTGGAAATGATTGAATCGTGGTTGAACGGACGTGGTTCGGACCACGGAAGATGATCCAAACTTGTGATCTTAATACGGTAGGGGTTGTGTTAGTGTCGCCAGATGAGTCTATGAATTGGACGACTGATTTGAGATAAGATTACGTATCAATCATCAGCAAAGAAGACCAGATTTCATGGAATTACATCAATTAATCCGAGAAAGCATTTAGATCGTCTTCACAGAGCCTCAGTATTCCCTCCCTCATGTTGCAAAAGAATCAAGCCACTTCAAGGCTAGCAACATACTCTCAGGCAATACGGAAGATGTCATTTGCGGGGCTCAAACCTTTGCGATTCGCGACAAAAAGGTCAGACATGTCGAGAAGCATCGCCTATTACAAGTAGCAACGACGAACAACTGATAAATTCCTTCAATTCAAGAGAAAACCACGACTGAATATCTCAGTTTGTTCAGGGACTTCTTCTCAAAAGTAAGTGCACCATGCAAAACCGTTTGAAATGTCCTGATGTAGGCTTCAATCTCACACGTCATCTGCCTCTCAGAATCGTCAAAACAGCAGCCCAACAACAAAAGACAGAGACACTGAGCTCAGAACAAGGCAATGTAGACGAGATACGAACTGACCAAAAGTTCATGATTGCAAATCTTTGTAGCTATCAAAGACTCACAGCTCATCCAGGCATGGACATTTCTCCTTTTCTTTCAACATCAAATATTCGTACTGTACTTCATTCCACTGAGGAATTTGATACCAAACACGCAAGATACGTGCTCGGCTATGAAGGCTGGGAGTGGATTTGTCTCTCCAGCATTATAAATCTGCTCGGATTCTTCCTCAGTGAGTTTAAACTTCCAGAGATTCTTCTTCTTCTTCTCCTCAACGTTTGATGATCTTCTTGAAGCTAACCTGTACAGTTCGCATAATCGACCAAATATGGTTACGTACTTTCAGGAAGCATAGCCGGAATCTTGAATCCTCAAAAAGCTGACATCACCCCCAATTGTCTTCGTCTCACATCGTCCGCTATGTATCCATTGGCAAAACACACGCCAGCCAGATGATTGCTTCGTTAGACAGATACGAGACAATGGTCAACTCAGTGAAGAACCTGCACCGTAGGATCATGGGGGTGACTGGTCACATGCTTATGGACTTCAAAGCTTGTCGACATATCACGGGGAAGGGCTCAACACGACCCTCGATTTTGCTGCCCAAAGGAGCAGTAAAGAGATGGAGCGACGTGGTGGTTCGAAACCTCATCTCGGAGCCGGTGCTTTGAAATTTGGACGAAGAATAGATAACCCGAGATCAACAATCCAGCGCGAGCACAACCATGAACCATGGCGCGTATGTGTATGAAGTCGAGCTGGGTATGGGACAATAATCTCAAGAAACGCGTCATCAGCGCAAGAGGCCACGAGGTAGCAGCCCGTATGCCTCACAAACCAACTAATTCGGTGGATCAACATGATCCCACGGCGACCGGACACACCTTCAAATACAGTCTCCCATGAAGCTGCCTTAATGACCACCAGCGGTTGATCTCATCCACGAAACCCTGATGCTCGCTTTTGAGGAACTCGATGTTCTCGATCAGCTTCGATACCAAGTCTTGGGTCTTGTGCAGTACTTAAGAAGCACATCCCGTAGAAAATTCACGACCAGACGCGATGAGGTGGCGTTGTTGTCCATCTTCCTTCGTCGTCTCTGGCCACTTCTCGTTTTTCGTATTCATAGACTCATCTAACAAACACGCCGCACATGTAGTCACTGTTTTCGCCCTTTTCGAGACAATCTTTCCCTGCACCTGTCACTCACTACATGTAGTTCTGCCACTTCAAGGTATATATTGCGGCGGTTCATCATTGATCTTGGGCTCACACGCCAATCCCCGGGTTAATTGCGAACGAGAGACCAGCCGAGTCTGATCGTTTATCTCGCCTATGTCGACCACGTCTGGCTCGGATATCACGGAGAGAGTCGAACTTACCCTGATACGTACACTATTGTCAACTTTGACGCTCATTTTATACACCTACGAATAAACAGCACAAGACGAAGGACAACGCATAAAAGGCAGACACGTTGGCGGATTGGACATCTAATACAGCTGGGAGAGACACAGAGTCTGGAGACGGTTATGCTCACAGTCGAAACAGGGGGCATATCGACAGCAGGTTCAACTTCGAAGGCTACAAGATTCGCTGCTGCTAATCCATGAAAGGTTCGAAGCGTGACTTAAAAAGGAACACTCAAAGTCCCCGCATCACACCCTCGTTCAAACGACACTGATTCAACTCCACAGCCACGGTATCGGCTCCCCGTACCTGACCACGCCAGTAAACAACGTAACTTCCATCTAATATCACCAAGACATCACCACCTCACCACCTCGCTTACGAGAAATCCACAACTGTTCAGGTCGAAAGCCACACAGACATCGTTTCGAAAGCCGACCTCAGGCCTGTCTCTCTCCCGGTTCCGGCCCCCATGCCCAAAAAGCAAAAAGAAAATCTCCGGTGAAGTTGGTTTTGGAAGACAGAAATATGTCCAGGTTGGAAACAAGTATCACACGAGCGAGCCACAGTTTCTCCCGTAACCGAGACGGGAGGTCCTGGACTAGACACCAGATCGCAGCCCAGATTCCAGACTGGTTTTTCGTCAGGATGTTTCGGCGAGGTTCTGTAGAACGAGCTCATCTCCTTGGTACTTCCGGTCACAGAAACATTATCAGTTACCGAGTGAAGGGGATTCACGTTCTTTCCGAGCTACATCTCGGATGGGAGCGACGTGAACTACCAAAAGATCCATGACGGGACTGGCAACGAAGGAAAAGCATCAAAAGAGAGAAGAAAACACTGACAGAAGGAATAAGCAACCATCAACTCGGTCCTAGTCCTGAGACCTGTCATCCCCCGTACCGCCGATCGATCACCACCCAGGGGGGTCGAGTGACGGGCGTCGGCCACGCGTAACAACAGCACACTCGAACATCGTCATTTCGACAATGCCATCCGCAACGGCTTTCGGGCGCGGAATCCCGTTCCCCACTGTTGTTATGCACTCGAGATGTCGTCGGGATAGGGGCTTCCCGACCCCGCAACGGCAAATGGCGACCGCCTGACGAGGCGCGGCGGTGTGGAAGGGATCTACGGGCAGCGGGCGGCGTATCTCCACTACAAATTTGCGTGAGTTTCCATTTCTGGAAGGCTAGTTGAGAAAGCCGGGCCAAAAAAGAAAGAAAAAAGGGTTGACGGGAATCTGGGGCATCGTATCGCGGTGGGGAGAGGTCGCGAGACAAGCTCACTTCTCCAATCGGCCTCGGTAGACGGGGGGCCACGGGACGATTTCACCAAATCGCCAAATCCAAGACATTCTTGTCCTTCGTCTCATGAATCTCACATTAGTAACCCGATGACGAGCCAGTGCAATTGGGTACCGATGCGGAGATTAAAGAGCTCCTGCAGGGTCTCCGGGTGGCGGGAAGTGACAGCTGTTGCTGGGGAGGGACAGGCTGGAGTTTTGACGTCGGACGCCTGCAGATGGGTGCGACTGTTGTTTCTGTGTTGCGAAGGGGCGGAAATGCCGTGTATGCCATTTCTGAAACATTTTTGACGGTCCTGTCCAACGCGGGAGACGGTTCGTTTCGTTTTTCTGCGTTGGAAGGATCTGGCCAACGCAAGCGATACGCCTCTGGCTTGGGCCGTGGTTGCGGGCTTACAGGTTGGCAAGGGGCACAGAGATTGAGAGGTGCGCCTCCCGCATCATAGACTTCAAGGCTGGTGGTCTTTGCGGCCTGTCAAGCAGCAGATTATCAGCAAACGCTCACTGAGAAGGAAAAAGGCAACGTGGTGAACATGACGAATGCCAGGAGAGACGGCGGTATGGACGGCATCGACGAATGCAACGGTGAGCATGCCCAGTGACAGCCTGAGTGGGACACCCTAGGAACATTGTCAGAACTCACCGCCATCGACTGACAGATGATGTCGTTGGACAACTCACGGCGATGTCCGGAGCAACCGTCGCGATCTGCTGGGAGCACACGGACCCCTCGGTCAGGCAGTCCTGGTCGCCAATTGTTGCGTTCCATCCCGACGATTCCGTGGGTCAGTCGCCCGATGCGGGAAACAGACAACCAGAGTCTTCAGGTGGCTGCCATTTCGGCGTGCGTGAAGTGTGAAGTGGGCGAAATCTCGATCTGGCGACAAAAGATTGTGTGCCCTGCAGAGCTTTGATGCTGTCATCGCCACTCTTGGGAGTCGCACAGACAGCAGCGCGGGTGCGAGATCGAGACAGGCGCGAGCAGACGAATTAGATTGGCTCATGCAAGGTCAGAAGAAACGCGATTTTGATGACGGCGTTGCGCGTCGGTAGTTTGACTCTACGTTCGGGACCGCAGGGGGAAACCGACATTGCGTCTGAATATAGCTACAGAAGACCGTTGGCGATGGCGCAGTCGAACTGTATGCAGAATAACTCGGGCTACTGTCAATAGTCGGAATCTTGTCGCCCGCTTGCCGTCTTCAATGCCTGCTCGTGACCACGGCCAGCAGGACTAGGAAGATGCCCCTGAAAATGGCGGCGGTTCGTTGAGATGCTGCAGGTACGCCAGATGGTTCCTGCATATGGCCCACTCGACTATATCGCATACAGAATCGTGGCATGCGTGGTTTTGCACGCCGCGCACTTTATTTCTTGCACTCTGCACGCGTAGGTTGGAGCGTTCAAAGACTGGTGGAGCGGTGTTTCGATCCGTCGCGCAGCGTGTCTTGCCCTCGAAGGTCCTGGGACGGCCAAGGGCTCTTTGGACAAGGCCAGGAACAAGCCGAGCTGAAGCTAGGGACTGATGCACCTGCTAGGGGGGGCGATCCTCATGAAATCGTATCCTGCCTCCCACGTGTCGTAGGCATGGGGAAATGAGAGAGCATGGACCAGGCTTAGGCAGTGCAGGCTTCAGTCCCGCCGCGCGCATCGCTGGCTCGGTTTAGTTCGATATCTTTCTGGAGCACTTCAAGCATTGTTTGGTGTTGACAAGCTTCACCAGAAAGCCACAATGTGACGGCGTTGGCGTCCGTCCCAAGAGTCCTTGTCAGAACATCAGTTCACCGGTGGCTGAGACCCCTTTTTTGCAGGTGGCGCGCCGCGACTCATCTGGCGCTCAACACTTGGAACTGCTCATCCATCTTGTCACCAGGACGCCACCGTGGTCTGAGGCCCGAGATGAATACGGTGTCATCAGCGTAGAATCGTTCATGCTGACAGAACGCATGTCAATCGTGCGTGCGGCCCCCGAACGAGATCATGCACTGCGTCGGTGACGCGCAGGTCCGGTGGGCGTCAGCGGGTTTGCGTCGATGAGAGCGTGGGATCCTTGGTGGTGAGCGACTGGCGATTTCAGCCAAGTGACGACAAATCCCAGAGGTCTGGCTACCCACAACGGCACTGGTATTCATGCGCAAGCATGATGCTTTCGCAAATGAAGGTCCCCTAACGCGTACGGGCCGCGATGAGGAACGACAGAAGAGTAGCGCTTGACGAGGTGCGGCATGCCTCGTTGCGGGATACGAGGAACTGGTTGCCCGCGATGTCAGGATGGCGTTGGCAAAAAGATGGCGATCTGGATATCAGTGCGACCACCTTAATTCGTGTTCCTCGCATGAAACACGAGCTCACCGAGAATGATCGGATGCCATGGGCGGAAAGCACGGTGAGCGAACGAGAACGATGAGTTGTAGCGCGGCTTGGAGGATTTCTTCCTGGCCTCACAGGGTTCGAGAGGTCCGTTCCACCCTCCACTAGTCCGCGCCCGAAGCCGAAAAGAAGCGATGATCTTGCAGAGCAGGTCCAGTGATGCGGGTGAAGATACCAACGGAAGCTCGTAGGGGGCACGCGGAAGAGGGTTTTTTTTTCTCTGCATCCAAGGCGTCTCTTCCACTTCCCGCTCCCTGAGGCAAGTGGAGTTACCCGATTCAGACAAGCGCCGATGGCTTCTTGGCTTCTGGCCTTGAAGTCTTCGGTCCCTGTCTGTCTCTGAGGCGCAGACGATGAAAATGTCAGGAAGACCGTGACAGAGGCACACCAAGGTGTGGCGCTCTTTGACATGCATGTATTTGCTGTCGAAGAAGGGTCAGAATATCTTCAGCACAGACCGCTGGCGGGCATGCTCGGGTGGTGAGCCGGACCTGGGTAGATTGATGAGGCCATAATCATGGGAGTGCGGCTTGTAGGCATGCGACGTGTCCAGAATGCCGCCGTTGGACATGTAGCCCAAACCTCGCGAGAAGTTGACAGCATGGCACTTGTTGTGCGTTTGGCCTTGGGGCTGAGATTCCGGACGCGAGAGAAGACCGCCGGACTTTGTCGACGTGCGGAAAAGAAATGGTTTCAAGCATGCCTGCGCCTCCCAAATGCATGAACGATTGGCGTCATAACGGTTTCTCCTGGTTCCTGGCCGGCACACTTTAAGCGGCAGGAGAAGTGGCGGGCCACGGCAGACACAGTTTGGATTGACGTCCTGGGACTTGGCTGTAGCGGCTCCGAGTCTGGCTGTTTGGCGGCTCATCATCCGTTCTTTTAAAAGAAAAGGAATCGAGAAGTCCGGTGTTCTGTGCGGCGTCCTCTCGGTCTGTGAGCAGCGGTTCCATGAGGCTTCTAGAGTTCCTTGCGAGACACTATTTTAATCTCTCTCTATCCTTTTTGATTTCAGTCTGTGGCAGGTCTCGCGGGAAAGGGAGATGCCTGGAGTGGCGAAGGGTGAGAAACCGAGGACGAAAGGGACGACTGCTGGCCCAGACCTCGCGGGGGATCTGCCAGGATGATGCGTTGGCGATACGTGTTGCAGTTGCCGCCACGCCACGGGACAATGCGACAGTTTGGAGGGTCTGGCCGGACACTATCAACGGCGACGACGTTGCTTGCCGAGGGTTCGTTAGTGCGACATGATGTGCGGCTGGTTCGTGGAAATCTTCTTTTGCCTTCTGTCAGGGCTTGCTTGGGTTGGGGTTCTTCAGCGTGGCCGGCGGCTAGGCATGTTGATCTGTACATATGTAATTCGGCTGTAACTGATTCGATGCAGGCGCACTGTGATTTCGGCAAGTGAGGATGTCGTCTGGTGGTGGTAACAGTATCGAGGTGCATGTATCTGCAGTCGCATCACGGACGTGAGAGATACGTAATGGAAGCTGGCGACGGCGAAATCGACAGCCGCCCAACCGCCGAACCCAAACGAATGGATTGACTTGGTCGACGGCGTCGGTGGAATGGAATTCGGCTGGTCCCTTGAAGACGGTTGAAGAACCTTACGGACTGCTGGGCCCGGGAGTTGGGAAGGCGGTAAAGAAGGCAGAAGAGAAGACCTGAGTCGAACGACCGAAATAGGACAAGCGGGTCGATCAGGCGGCCCCGTTTTCCTCTTATTCGTCATTTAGTGTTTAGCGGCAGGAGGTTTTCAGATGGAGGAAGGAAGGGTGGTGAAGATTGACTTCGTCGCGCCCACTCCCCTCAGCATTTAGGAAGAGTAATTAACTGCAGTACTTATTAGTGATTAAGCACATTTCATGTCTGCATTTGAAGTGTATGGTCATCCATAATACGTAGCAATAGACAGACGGCCGGCGATATTTGGGCAGCTTCTGTCCTCGGTGCCCCTGCTCCTGCCTCGAGAGATGGTCGGCCAAAGATGGTAAAGGGTGTGGGGCACCGGGGCATGCACCGTGGTGAGTGGACACTGAGCAGGTGCAGGTGGGCGGTCGACCCTCATTTCTTCGGGCTCCTATTCGCATGAGCAGCAGGAGCGATGGAACCCCTGCAGAATTCCATTCTCAAACACATTTTGGCGTTGCAGCAGAGCGGGACCAGTCATCGTCGTCCCATCCCACACTTTTTCTGTTCTGTTCTCTTTGTGAATTTTGATTTTCTGCCTCTTCCAGGGTTTCGACTGGTGTTTATTTTCTGATAGGTACGGACGATGAACACGTTGCGGTGTGATTCCATCATGGTATTTGGATTTCTACGGCGGTAAATTAGGGTGTATTTGATAGACAGTAGACGGTATGTGGTGAGCTTGTCATTACTTACATGCCTCTCTCCGGTATCAAGCTGTCGCATTCTGACAATCCGAACCACTTGGTGCTTTCTCGCAGCAGGATTGCCTGTAAAGTTAAAATCGAACACAACCAGAAGTTGTCATCTCCCTCGCCCAACCGGCGACACCGCTTCGGGCTCCAGCTCATTTAACCTTGACATCATCATCTTTCAGAAATACAACTCTCTATCAAGTTTATTGCTGCGCAGTCCTATGTCCGTTGCCCGTTGGGCTGCAGTTATCAGTTGCAGCCGTTGACGCGCCCGCAGACAAGACTCGGCGATGCTGCATCAGGCTGTAAACCCACGCCTTTCTTTGTTAAGGTGACTGATGCTGGTCGTGAGTACGTACCTGCTCGTCTACACAGTACCTAGTACTTGTATCCTCAGTCTTCAATCGCCTGAAGCCAGGAACCGCTCCGCAGATGCGCACGAGGCAAGGGGGCCGTTCCCCACCCTCTTCGTCCCCCCTCTTTCCTGCTTCAGTGCTTCTTCTTCTTCCTTTTCCCATCGCGCCTTCCCTTCCACTCACAAGACTTGAAGAAAAGATACGTACCCCTCAGATTTCCATTCTCTTGCTCGCAACGTGACCTCTGACAGGGGGCTCCCAGGTCTTGCCGGCCATGTTTGCCAGTCCTTGCCAGGGTTGGGCAGTTCAGGCCCCCATCCATCCTCATCCATCCTTCACTGCCCTGTATCCAGCCTTCACCCTTCCAATAATGTCAATCCCACCTCGCCATTTTGTGCAACCTTTGGAGGTCAAGTCCAAGTACCGACATCCAGTTCCTGTGCCTGAGGTGTCTCTGTCTCCTGTCCTGTGCCCTGCGCCCTGCGCCTTGTGCCTGTATTGTGCCTGCCCATCTTTCATCCGGCCCTGAATTATCCTCGTCCCTCCTCCCCTATTCCTCTACTAAGGTGTTCCCCTCGTCTACTGTCTACCGTCAACCGCCAGAATCGATCCCATCTTGTGCCTTAATCTCACTTTGCACTGCACTATCCTTCCGTCCAGTGCTACTCGTATGCACTCCTCAGGTTGTCTTCCCTGCTTCCACACTCTCTCATTCTGCCTGTTGACACACCACACACACCACACACTCACACAAATACACCCCAGTCACACACGTCCGACGACCTCTTGTCCCTCCTTTTGCACGTTCTAAATCGCCGCCCTACGCAGTCCTACCTCGCTGGACGGAAGTACCTCCCCTCCTTTCCATGTGAGCGGCGGTCCGTCTGTACTTACCCCAGAGACCCCCCTCTTTCATTCCACTCGCACGCACACAACCACCACACTCCCTCTCTCGCTCTCTGCCTCTCACTCTTCACTCATACAACTCGGCTCTGCTCTGCTTTTTTAATCCTATCCTCTCCCTTGCTTTGCATCGCTCTTGCAAAACGCCAGACAGCAGCCAGCCAGCCGTTGGTATCGCGCCTCGAACACTCCCATACCGAACCTCTTCACCACCCAACACAACACCAACACCAACACCCGACCCGATTGCTTGTCTGGATCTGGAACTGGAACTTCGCCGCTCCTAGCCTCGTTTTCAATTTGATCACCGCCGCCCACACTTTTGCGGCCGCGCCTGCCAAAGCTAAAACCGCGCTCCTATTTGTCGCGCCGCCCTATCAGCGCTGCCAAAAGCAATATCCAGTCGGCCTCCCCCCCGAACGAAGCTTTCGCTCGAAACACCACCGAAAAACCATCTTCGCATTCGAGAAGTCTACCCTCTTGGGCTTTTCCCTCACCCACTCACCACTCACCACAAATCACCTCGTGTCTCGTGGCGTTCGCTGGACGACATCCTAATTGTGCCCGTACACACGTATCCAATCAATCAAGCAATCCATCGATCCATCAATCGAGCGACCGAACTACTCGACCCGACAGAGAGCACCAATCGACCCACGACCAGACTCGACTCGCCTTGTCCGTCTGCCACACCCCCTCCATCAGCGCCGTGCCATCTCCCGCCTCGCAGCCACATCTTGCGAACCACTCTCCTTTTCTCCCGTCGCAACTGCCTCGCCCCGACAATCGCGCCCTGGGCTCTGTAACCTTTATTTTCCCAATCACGCTGGATCCTCAACGTCGCCTGCAATCTGCTCCACCCACTGCAGGGACCCTTCTGTTCGCAAACCGACCCAACAGCGTCGGCGATAACTTCAGTGCAGGCTCCCGAGGCTCATCGCTTCTAGGGGCTCGCTTGGGCGATCTGCCTGCTTCACAAAGCTGCCGTATCTGAGTCCTCACAAATATGTCCGTCATGCTTCAAACACCTTCCAGAGCCTCTACCGCCTCCTCCTCCTCCTTCCAACCCCTCTCCCGACAAAACACAATGTCCTCCTACGATGGATCGCGGTCCGCCCGCCAATCGAAGCGGTACTCCATGTCCGCGCTGTACATGTCCATGTCAGCGAACGAGACCGATCTAGAGATTGAGGATGACTTGGCCAAAGGTAAGGATCACTGTTACCCGCTTTGTCGTCTCTACTAACTCTCTATGCAGCGCAAAAGATCCTCCGCGAACTCAAGTCCAAGATCTCGTCCCAGTCAAAGAAGAACTTCGTCCTCGAGAAGGATGTGCGTTATCTCGATTCTCGTATCGCTCTCCTTATCCAAAACAGAATGGCATTGGAGGAACAGAACGAAGTCGCGAGCCATTTGGAAGATGCCACGGAAATGCAAGAAGGCGACTTTCCGAATGACGATAAGACGCAAAAGTACGGCAACTTGATGTTTCTGCTGCAATCCGAACCCAGGCATATCGCGCACCTGTGTCGATTGGTGTCCATGTCGGAAATCGATTCTCTTCTGCAAACCGTCATGTTCACCATTTACGGAAACCAGTACGAGAGCCGTGAAGAGCACTTGCTCTTGACCATGTTCCAGGTTAGTCGCGCGCGTTCTTGACACCGCCCGTTCGATACTGACGAAACCAGTCTGTCCTCACCTACCAATTCGACAACACCCCCGAATACTCGTCTCTTCTCCGCGCCAACACCCCCGTATCGCGAATGATGACCACATACACAAGGAGAGGACCCGGTCAAAGTTTCCTCAAGACAGTGCTGGCCGATAGAATCAACAGCTTGATTGAGTTGAAGGACCTCGACCTGGAAATCAACCCCCTCAAGGTCTACGAGCGAATGATCGAGCAGATCGAGGAGGACACCGGCAGTCTTCCACCTTCGCTACCCAAGGGTGTCACCGCTGAGCAGGCCGCCGAAAACCCCCAGGTCCAGGCCATCATCGAGCCCCGTTTGACGATGCTCACCGAGATTGCTAACGGCTTTCTGTCAACCATCATCGACGGTCTCGAGGAGGCGCCCTACGGTATTCGGTGGATTTGCAAGCAGATTCGCAGTCTGACGAAGCGCAAGTACCCCGACGCCAACGACCAGGTTATTTGCACGCTGATTGGCGGTTTCTTCTTCCTTCGCTTCATCAACCCGGCTATCGTTACGCCCAAGTCGTACATGCTCATTGATGGCCAGCCCGCTGAGCGCCCGAGGAGAACACTGACCTTGATTGCGAAGATGTTGCAGAATCTGGCGAACAAGCCCTCTTACGCCAAGGAGCCGTACATGGCCAAGTTGTCCCCCTTCGTTCACCAGAATAAGGACCGCGTCAACAAGTTCATGCTTGACCTTTGCGAGGTTCAGGACTTCTACGAGAGCCTGGAAATGGACCGTTATGTTGCCCTTTCAAAGAAGGACCTGGAGTTGTCGATCACTCTTAACGAAATCTACGCCATGCACGCCCTGATCGAGAAGCACCACGGAGAGCTCTGCAAGGACGATAACTCGCATCTTGCCATCATTATGTCCGAGCTGGCTGCGGCGCCTCCGCAGTTGCCCCGCAAGGAAAACCGCGCCATTAACTTGCCCCTGTTCAGCAGATGGGAGACAGCAATCGATGATTTGACTGCAGCGCTCGACATCACGCAAGAGGAAGTGTACTTTATGGAAGCCAAGTCCGTCTTTGTGCAAATCATGCGATCGATTCCTTCCAATAGCAGCGTCGCTCGACGACCTTTGCGACTGGAGAGAATCGCGGACGCGGCGGCTACGAGCCGCAACGACGCGGTCATGGTTCGCAAGGGCATCAGGGCAATGGAGCTTCTTTCTCAGTTGCAGGAGTTGAGGGTCATCGATAAGAGCGATCAATTCGGCCTGTTACGTGATGAAGTCGAGCAGGAGCTTCAACATCTTGGTTCTCTCAAGGACGGTGTCATCCAGGAGACGCAAAAGCTGGAAGAGGTCTACAAGACCATTCGCGATCACAACACCTACCTCATTGGTCAGCTGGAGACGTACAAGAGCTACCTTCACAACGTCCGTTCCCAGAGCGAAGGCACGAGGCGAAAGCAACAGAAGCAGCAGGTTCTCGGCCCATACAAATTCACCCACCAGCAGCTCGAGAAGGAGGGCGTCATTCAGAAGAGCAATGTTCCGGACAACAGGAGGGCGAACATTTACTTCAACTTCACGAGTCCCCTGCCGGGAACTTTCGTCATTTCTCTACACTACAAGGGTATGTTGATCGTCCGATGTGCATCCATTCATTTTACTAACCTCCAACAGGACGCAACCGTGGTCTCCTCGAGTTGGATCTTAAGTTGGATGACTTGCTCGAGATGCAGAAAGACGGCCAGGACGATCTCGACCTCGAATACGTCCAGTTCAACGTCACCAAGGTTCTCACCCTGCTGAACAAGCGGTTTGCGAGAAAGAAGGGGTGGTAAACGCTAGGACATGGGTCTCCCAATTCTCAACTGTACAACTTTTTCTCAGGAGATACCCTCGACTGGCTTTTGATGGCATTAGGCGTTCTCGGCATCTCTTTGGAACCTGATACCACGACGTTCTCGAATTCACCCCGCCCCCCTCGACTTTCCGCTGCAGCATTCACGTCCACCGATGCCATGTTACTCGCTTTCCTCGTTCTACGAATGTCTCCTCGCCACGGCCGCCTCTAATTCGATTCTTGACCATCTCGTTCAGTACCCATACGCATACAGGCGTTCTTACACCTCTCTCAACTGGATCTCTTTTATGCAGTATAAAGGCGGCATCCTCTGGACTAGGTCTACCGTACAAGATTATACTCGTGGATATGGGAACTTCATTTTTCTTCATCGGCCTGCTTCGTCCCGACATCGGTGACGAATTGGTGGCCCGGCTTGGTGGTCTTTTTGCGCGATATACCTGTTACGTCTATTTTTAATTGCCCTCGCGGCCGGAGCTGGAGGTTCATCTCGTGCTTGTTGGCTTTTTGGTCTCCAGTATTTGCGGTTATTTGGTCCATGTCCTTACGCGCGACGACGGCGCAGGGTTTTGTTCGGCTGGTCCGGCGGCTTTAGTGTATGTCACGTCTGCTTCGTTCATGTCTTGAAATGATAGGGTAGAGAGAGAAGGTTGTTTCCGAGTCTCCGAGTCCGGAGACTCTCGGAAGAGAAGGAATGAAATGACATGGATGATTCTGATGTCGAACTGCCGAACCCCCTCGCGATCGCGTACGTGAAAGTGTCTCGTGATTTTGGGTTCAGACCGTTTGAGCGGCGCATCGTCATCCCCGGTCCAGAACTAAGGAAGAAGGGAAATCTCGTTCTCGGTGAGAGACTTTTTCGAGATAACGTGGTTTGCCGTGTTTGCGCATGTCGCCCGGAAGTCAAGGTCGTCTGATCTCTCTCGGTGGGAACGAGAACGCGGGTTTGTTTGGGAAGGGGGTGAGGTGAGCTAACATAACGTCTTTCTGCCCTCCCTCCCCCGCGCTGCCACGTTGTTTTTTTTGGGTTTTGCTGTCGGCGGTGTTTCAGCCTAGTAGGGAAGGACGCGAGGAGGAGGGGAGGGGTTTTGATGGTGGGTGGGTGTAAAGGATGCGCAGTTCTGGAAGCGATGGTCGTTTTGGGGGGTGAGTGAGGGGATGTGAGGGGAAAACTTGGGTGTGGAAGTTGCCGGGTGGAAGGTTGGTAGGTAGTTGGGCGTTGGGTTCTGGGTGATTGGTGATTGGTTTCTTTTTTTTTTTTTTTTTTTTTTTGTGGTTATAACTGAAGGTGTTCGTGTTGCGGGCGGGAAGGAGAAGGATTTGGAGTCGAAGCTCGGACTCCTCGGGAGGGTGTGAGGAGTACAGGGCGTGGAAATCCGAGGGTTATTGGGTGGGTGATGGGAGATGGTTTGGTGACTTGGTTGTAGACCGGTGCTTTGTCGAGATTATGAACTTGTTTTCGTCTGTATTCTGTTGTAAGGTAGTAGACGGTCGGAAGGTGTGATGTGTAGTGTGAGATGTAGTGAAGGAAACCACCTCAATGTTGATTCTGGTTAGTTGTGTACTAGGCGATGTCATACCCCAAATAACAAGGTGAACTGAAGTTAGTAAACTGATATCTTCATATAATGGTATTACGTGGGTGGTTGCATTGTGGTCATGGTATAGGCTTGAGGATGTACGTAGAAAATTGAAGAACTCAATAGACGACGGAATGAAAGTTTTCACTGCCTACCCTCAAGGTGAGGCCAATAGTAAACTGTGATGTATGAGAGATGTTGATGTTCACATTAACTCATCCGGTTCTTACTAGGATCAGATGGTGATACCAAGTTATAAAGTCAGAGACCAGATGCAATGTCACGTTTAGAATATTCAAGTTGTTTAAAGCCTGTTGATTCCTCTAATCATATTGTGTATGTATGTCCAGTCTTGAATAGTGCTCGTACTGAGATACTTTTCGCCAACTCTACATCCCGCGAGAGATGTACTTTCTATGGTATCTTAGAGAAACCCGTCTGATGGGAAACAAATCCTGAGTCTGCGATCCAAGTCCCCGTTTCAACCATATCTTCGATCATTACGTACCAACCCTGATATCTCATTCCAACCTTTTCCTTCATACAATTACTTCCATGAACCCATTGGCCAAGAAAAAGCCTCTAGTGAAGCTCATTCTTCCCGTCCCAATCGTGCCAGTCCCGGTACTCGTCCGGGCCCAGGTCGTCCCTGCCCCTGCAGACCATGCCGCCGTACTCGTTGTGGGTGGTCTCCCACCAGGAGCTCTCGACGGTGCCGCCGTTGCAGAGGTGCATGACCTCGAAGCGCATGTCGAAGACGTTGGGGTAGGGCTCCTCGCAGTGGACGTGGCTGAGGAAGTGGCAGGGCGGGTCGTGGTGGTGGATCTCGTCCCAGTAGCGGTGGCAGTAGCCGGGGACGTCGGGGACGTTGTAGGCGCGGAGGCGGTACTGGCGGTTCCAGAAGCCGAGGCTGGTCATGATGCAGCTCGGGGGGTCGGCGTCGGGGTAGACCGTGGCCTTGGGGGTTTTGGTGGCCGTGGTGGTCTTGGTCGAGGTCGTGAAGCCTGAGGAGGTTGTGTTGGTGGGGGTCGTGGTGGGAGTCGGCTTCTTCTTGTCCTGGGGACCTGGAGATGTTGACGGGGTCGTCAGGGTGGATGTGACGGTCGTCGAGGGCGGCTTGGAAGATGGAGCGCTCGTAGCGGTGGGCGTGACGCTCGAGGTAGTCTTATCCGCAGTTTTTGGAGTGACTGTCTGAGTCTTGGTGACGCTGACCGAAGGGGGCGGCTCGGAAGACGACACGCTGGTGGTGGTGGGCGTGACGCTCGAGGTAGTCTTATCCTCAGCCTTGTGCGTGACCGTCTGAGTTACGATGACGATCGTCGAAGGAGGTGGCTCGGAAGACGTGACGCTCGTGGTAGGCGTGACGCTCGAAGTAGGCGTGACGCTCGAAGCAGTCTCCTCGGCAACCTTCTGCGTGACTGTTTGAGTTATGGTGACGATGACTGAAGGGGGCGGCTCGGAAGACGTGACGCTGGTGGTAGGCGTGACGCTCGAGGTAGTCTCCCCGACCTTTTGCGTGACTGTCTGAGTCAAGGTGACGATCGAAGGGGACGGCTCGGAAGACGACACGCTGGTGGTGGTGGTGGTGGGTGTGGCGCTCGAGGTAGCCTCCGCGGCAACCTTCTCAGTGACCGTCTGAGTCACGGTGATGACGGGAACCGACGACGACGACGACGATGTGTTAGGGAAGAAGTCGAGGGTCATCGGCTCGCGCGTGATCACGGTCCCCTTCACCACGCCGCTCTCGATCTGGGTGATGGTGAAGGTGGTGCCCGGGAGTGTCGTGATGGGGCTCACGGCGGCTCTGGCTATCATTGGGGTGACGAGGCTGGCGAGTTTGGCGGTCATGGTTGAGTTGATGAGAGACATCGTGATGGTTTCGTTGTTTGGTGTTTGTTGGTGGTTGTGTGTTTCTCTTTTCCTTGGTGTATTCTGAGTGAATAGGCTAAGGAGAAGATGTTCTGGTTGTAGGGAGAGATTATCGTGACCGGGAAAGAAGTTGGGGGTATTATATATGTTTAGAACTACCTTTTTCCGAGGGAGTGATTGTGTTTGGATGTATCTCCGTCTGGGTGTGAGGCCTTGGACTGATTGGGGGGCGTCCAGTCCAGTCTTTTTGTTCGAGGACCCTTTCGTCTCTGATTGAAGGTAAGTTTGAGAAGAGTCTGGTTCACAAGGTGGAAGGAGGAACATCAGCCCGGGGAGACACACGAGAACTCACCAAACAAAGTGCTAGCAAGCCATCACCCAAGGTGGACGAAGATGGACTCGATCAATCACAAAAATCTAAGTATTATCTAATATTCCAAAGGCTTATACACGGCTTCGCTGGTAAAGACCGAGGTATCTCAGCGCAAAAGCAAATCCAGAAACTTCGGTAACTACACATGTCCAAAAACCTTGACGTCTGCTGATTTGATATCTTTGTCGGCGGTCGAGCCACGGGCCGCTCTACGATTACTCTGCCAAAACTTCCATCCTGCCCACGAGCTCTGTCTTACTTCCACTGTTGTTTGAGGAGTTGGCGGAGGACGACGACTGGTTAGCCTCCTCTTTCTTCGAGGCTTGACTTCAGGCGGCGGCATGGCCACATTCGGAAAAACCTTTTCCTCGGATCCAAGATTTATGAAATACTGGACTGGCCATGTGATGAAGACGAATGTGTACCTCGCCAAAGAGTACCCAGCCCGCGTCTGCAGCAGTATGAGTGCTATGATAAACGGCACGCAGACGCAAACCATGGTCACTGCGAAGCGCCAGTCTTGCGGAGATATCGTGAACTCTGTTATGCCAAAGACGGACTACGCGAAAAGTCAGCCTTCATCAGTTCCATGATAAAAAAAAAGGTTGATGACTCACAATGACAAAAGTCAGGGGCAAAAACACCATGGAACCTAAAGTGAGAACCTCGATGTTGTCACCTTGCTCGATCGCCCGTCGGGACTCCTTGATGGAACTCCCGCTGAATAGTTGGTCTCGCAGATTCTCGATCTCCTTCCTCGTTTGCGCATTCTTCCTGTGCACCGCTTCAAGGTCCCGACAGGCACGCTCGAGATCGAGCCTGAGAAGCGCCATCTTGTCGCGGTAGGATTTGCCTTCGGGGGAATCAGGCGCCGGGTGAGGCCACAACGTCGGATGCCGTCCCTCCCAGAAGTCGTCTGGGAAATTGTCATGGTAGGCGGCCAGCATGGCGCGGAGACCCTCGTTGACGACGCCTAGGGTGTTGTACGCCCAGAAGTACCGCCTGATGTACGTGAAGTGCTTATCTTCGAAGAGGAGTTTGTCTCGCAGTCGGGCGTCGAACATAAATTCCGTTGGCGGGGTGATGAGCTTTGCGATGCGGGCGTGTAGTGCCAGATTGCGCTTCGTGGCGTCGCGATACTCGGTTACCAGGGCGTCCATGAAGGCGTAAGGGCCTGAAGGGAAGTTCTTGCGGCCTTCTGTCTCGCCGCCTCGAAGAGTGTGCTCGTCGTCCGGGAATGATTGGATGGATAGCAGATGCCATGGCGCGAACGTGTCGAAGAGGAAGCCCTCCTGAGGACCCTCACGGCGACGGGTTTGTTTGACGGACTGTCGTGGTTGGCCGGAGAGTGAGAGTGCGAGGATGGAGCTGCACTCTGCGATATCGATGTGGTCCCGCGAACGCTTGTCCGGGGGCCGATTGTCATACTTCTGCCATGGGGCGGGTTCGAGCCCGTCGCCAACGACGGTATAGTACTTGAAAGCGAAGAAGAAACCGCGCTGCCGGAGATAAGAGTCAGACGGGTCTTTGGCGAAGGCGCGGTGGACGTAGGCGGTGGTCTTTCCTTTGTTATCATGATCGGTGATGAGGTGGTTGAGGAGCTCCGACATGTCGAAATATGGCTTCATAGTCATGTGGAGAGCACCGAGCATCAGGGCCGAAGGCTCCTGGAGGATGGTAACGAGACCGACCGCCTTCCCATCAGCGTGGATGTTTTTGAGGGCGTTCCACACCGTGGGGGCATCGACGATCTGGCTGGAGGAAGGCATCATACTGTTGCCTCGCGGGCTTTGATCAGATTGCTTGCCGACTGGCCGAGGGCAGCCGTCCTGGTCGACATCGTATAGTTCGAAAGTCGAACTGACGTAACCCCGACTCTCGTACGCGGCGAAGTCTTCGAACCTGGTGTTCTCGCCAATCTCGTCTTGTCTCTTGATCACATCTGCCAGGGCAATGGCAGTGCCGCCAGTGAAGTCGACACGTTTGAGGTGATTGAGCAGCTGAGCATCGGTCCATGAGAGTCGTTCGATGAGCCTCGGTGCTGGTGAGGTGAAAGAGCCGTCGGATCCGGCACGGGGGATGGCGACGTCGAGTAGGGGTAGATATTCGACATCCAGCTCTGAGTGGATCGAGGAAGGTACGTGTTTCTTCTCATTGCCGAGTTGTGGCTTCTCTGTGGGATCGGATAGGGTTGAGCGGCGGGCACGGCGGATGGTTGGTTGGAAGGTGGCGTCTGAAGGGAGCACTGGACTTTGCACAGGGCTTTGAACCGGGCTGTGGGAAGGACGGAGGAGCGGCGAGGGGTGGAGGGTTGCTGAGGATCGTGAGTCTCGTCTTTCCCTGGCGGCGTTAGCCATGGACTCATGAAGGCTTTTGAGGTTGCGAAGGTATTGTTCGTGACTAGCTTCGACTGCCTTCAGCAGTTCCTCGGTGCTTGGCGAAGACATGATGCGACGGGCTACTTAAGATACTACGGATAGCAATAAATGAGAGTAATTGAGGTAATGATGCTAGAGTGTTTGCGAATGTCATAAAAAACTAACTGATGGGAACAATAAGAAATGAGGACGTTGACGCTTGGCCTTTTTCTACTCACCCGTCACCTCACCATCACTGACGGCGAGGCACTTTGCAACCCTACGTGCCTTGGTCCAGGCATCTTCAGGAAGATCAACCAAATGCGGCTGAGCCGTGGGAGAGTCGCAGTTTGCTCTGCGGGATACAACCGCCAAGGAAATGACTCTTCAAGACTTCATTCGAATGCGACGATCAGCCGAGGCACGTGGGATGTGACAGTGACAGGCCGAAGCGATCGCGGCCAAGCTCACCGAAACTAAGCTTTCGGACGCTCGGCCGGGGTTGAAGAGCACGGATGCGTTCCCCGTCTGCAGGTTTGTACGCCCCGAATGTGAGGTGACGCAAGCGAGAAACTACCGGGGATTGGAGATAAGCGACGAGCGGAATCCAGGTGTACGGACGGAAACCGGAATCCCAAGGTGAGCAAGGGTCGGAGTCGAAGAGCGATCGTGGAAAATAGGGCTGTCGAAGGAGGGCCGGTCGCGGGGCGGCTTGACGCGGCATAGCCCGTCAAAGTGCAATTATCGTGCCTTGGCAGTCGTGGATGGCGTTGCGTACTGACAGATCGTTACTAGACTTGACTCCTCTCACCTCCATCAAGTGGCTTTTTTTCGAGGTCCGAGAGTCAGGCAGGGAGGATGAGGGGGAGGGGTAGTTGGCGGCGACGGGACTCGCCGACCGTTTGAAAATGTCTCAATCGCATGATGCAAACGAACGCGCTAGATCATGTGGGATTGCTTCGCCGCATGGCACTTGGCTGTCTAGATTTCATTCTGGGCGAGGTCACGGACAATTAATGTCTCCGGAGCGTCGTCACAGGACGGGACAAGAAACATTCCACCCACACGTCAAAACACCAAAATCCCGCAGAAAAATGTGTGTATCATTCATTGCCAGTTCGTATCTAATTACTGGGTATCCCCCAAAAGCCACATATACTAGAAGGGCTCTGCTGTCATCATCCAGGTCGTTGTCTTCGTCTAAACCGCCATCTGCGCATATTCTAGTGAAAGACCTCCTATGCTGGCGAATAATCGGGGTATGAGCAAAACGTCAAAGAACCAAGGACACCAAGGACACCAAAAGAAATGCCTCTAGTGGGTCGCAACGGCGGCGTTGGCAGCAGGGGCGGGCTTGTCCATGTCGACGTCCATGGCATCGTCGACGTCGCCGGCAGCCTGGCCCTCGATCTCCTCCTCCTCCAACTCGTCCTCGCTCTCGCCTTCAATGTCGACACTGCCGTCATCGGACATCTCGTCCTCCTCACCCTCAGCCTGAGCGGGCTCGCCGCCCTCGACGCCTGCCATGGCGGCATCCTCGCCATCGACCTTCTCGCCGTTGGCACCAGCCTCGAGGGCCCCCTCGGCCTCCTCCTCCTCGCGCTCCTCGGCGCCGTAGTCTTCCTCGTCGGCGGCCAGGTCAGCCTCGGGCTGGTCGGGGGGGAACTCGGCGGGGGCAGAGGCCTCGTTGTCCCTGCATACTGGTCAGCTCCATTCTGCGTATTTTTGCTCTGTAACACGTACCACTTGATGTTGAAGCGGGTCACACGGGGCTTCTCAGCAAGAATGTTGCGGCGGACACGCTCGATGACGGGTCTGGAAGGGGGCTCCGCGGCGAGCTCCTCGGAGTCGTACTCATTGTTGACATAGTAGCCGACACGGACGAACTCACGGCCATCGTAGGCGCAGGTCAAGAGGACCACGGTGACACCGAGGATGTCGGCATCGGGAATCTTGGAGGTGTTGGGGGCATCGGCCTCGAAGATGAACTTGTTCGTGCCGACGGGAATGGGACCGACCAAGAGGCTGTCGAGCTCCTGATCGTACTGGTCGCTGTTTCCTGCGATTTAGCGAATGGCGGTGTATGTGAAAAAATCCACTTTGACTAACCTGGTAGCCGAGCCAACGTAGGTGAGCTTCCACTCGAGATCTGTAGAAAAAGTTAGCATTGACGGATTCTGGGCGTGCTGTTGGAAGAGAGGCATCGCCTACCCTTCTCGAGCGCCTCCATGCACTCGAAGGTAATCTCGAACTCATACTTGTCCGTGAACTTGGCGGGGTTGTTCAGGATCCGAACACCCAGAAGCGAAACCAGATGAGCCATCTTGGGATGTGGGTGACTGTGTCGTTTTGGGAAAGTGCAACGGGAAAGCAGGTACAAGAAAGTCTACGCGACTCGATCGAAGCAGAAACTGGATGAAAATTCGCGGTACAAAAATGCGACGAGAGAGGTGGGGTGGTGTTTGTGGGAGGTTCGTTTGTTTTGCGGGCGGCGGCAGAGATGAAAGAGAAGGTATTGTTCGTCCCGGTCGACAGCGACGGGACAACGAGACGTGGGACGCGCCTACGCTGACCGCGAATTTCGCGTAGAGTGGTATCCACTTCTGAGGCTAACCAATCCACGGGTCTAGCGTGGTCCTTCTCCAGCCACACTGAGGCGTCGAGCTTCCATGGCTTACCTAAGGTACGTAGGAAAGGTAGGTCCCGTTTGGCTGCCAATGAAGGCCGGCTAGGTTTGCCTTTCTAGGCAGCAAGATCGTATCTACCTGAATGACAGAACGAGGTTTGTATGACTATCTAAATTGTTTGAGACCCTTGTGGCGGGGGCTGATGCCTGTGAGGTGTGCTTGAGAAGTTGTCAAACGAAGCAACCGTTGGCTGGTGGCTAGGTGATTATCTTCAACAATCCGGGGCCGCCGCGTAGACGTGTTCTATCCAATGACTTTGTGAAACCAATGACGAGAAAGCCGTAAAACTAACGGCGTTATACATGAACCAGCAAACATGATGCATGTCCGACACTCAGCTGGAAAACAACCGTTTGGTACCATGAATGTGATCCAGTCTTGCCTTATCTTATCGGAGCTCTAGTACCTAAGTCCGAGATTTATCCAGGTGACCGCCTTGTAGCGCTAGTCTGATTGCGGCGCTTGCTCATCCTTCAATCTTTCTCTTCGCCAACTCTCAGCCTTCCAAATTTGCGTCCCGTCGTGCTCATCCTGAACGTCAATCGGTCCGCCATCGATCGCGGCCATCAGCGACCTTCCACCTTACACGTTTTCGGGGTGTTCCAGTTCTTTGTTCTTTTCTTGATCGTCTCTTATCCTCCCGCGATTCGATAATCCTGCTCTGGAAGCTGCAGCGCATCTGCGCCTCGCGATCCATCAGCTTCCATACGACATACGACAAGCCTTACCCATCCCAGGGTCCGCTCGCGACACTCTGCTGCGCAATTTCTATCATCGTCTAGGCATTTCCTACGGGTCTTCGCGACGTACGTCCAGTTTCACCGCCACGATGGATTCCGAACTCCCAGAGAACGGCCAACATGTTGAGGGTGCGTCTTGGGGAGAAGAGGGATATGGAAGACAAGAGATACAGCATAGCGACCAACAAAGTCAAGATCCTGCCTTCTCACTTGATCAAGCTGCGAATGGTGACCAAGAAGATGGTGGCGAATATGACCCTGCGTCAATCAGCTACGACCCAGAGTCGGTCACGATAACTCCAGTCCCACAGATCACAGATTCCCAGAGTCCGATCATTGCCACCGCGTCCCCGTCCACGTCCGCTCCGCCGAAGTCGAAATCCAGCAAGCCCAAGACACAGGGAGGATTCGTTTTGGGAGACTCTGACGATGAGGAGGATGCGCCGACTCCGGCGTCCAGCGCCGCTGCTGCGTCCGCCCCTGTCTCACACAACCTTTCCTCTCTTCACACATCCACACCAGTGCAGGTCACCTCTGCCGAGCAGCCGCACGAGGCTGCTCCCGTGAGAGCCCCCAGCACCGCGTCCGCATCTGCTGTGGCCCCCGTCCCTACTCCCACTCCCGCTCCAGCTATTGTTCCTGTTCCTGCGCCATCTGCCCCAGCTGTGCAGCCTGCCCTAAACAGAGACCCGAATGACATTTTTGGTGTTCTGGAGGATCGTGTGAAGGAGGACCCGCGAGGTGATCTGGACGCGTGGCTAGCTCTGATGGCCGAGCACCGCCGCAGAGACCAGTTGGACGAGTTGCGCAACGTGTATGACCGTTTCTTAGAGGTGTTTCCTCAAGCAGTAAGTCGGCTTCCGACAACGAAAACTTCCCGAGCTAATAGGCATACAGGCCGACATCTGGGCCGAATGGGCTCAGCTTGAGCTGGACTCGAACCAGTTTCAAACCGCTGAAGCAGTCTTCAATCGCTCCCTCGTCAACGCCCCGAACGTCAAACTCTGGACCGTCTACCTCAACTACATCCGCAGAAGATATGATCTTACCAACGACCCGAATGGTGAGGCGCGCCGGATCCTGACCATGTCATATGAATTTGTCATCAGCTCTGTCGGCATCGATCGCGACTCGGGTCAGCTGTGGAAGGATTACATCCAATTCATCAAGAACGGGCCTGGCCAAGTTGGTGGCAGTGGCTGGCAGGATCAGCAGAAGATGGATCAACTTCGCAAGGCGTACCATCGCGCTATCACAGTTCCCATGTCGGCACTCACGGATCTTTGGAAGGACTACGACCAATTCGAAATGAGTCTCAACAAGACTACCGGCCGCCAGTTCATTCAGAAGCGTTCCCCTGCATACATGACCGCCAAGGCATCTAACTCTCAGCTCGACCGTCTGATTCCCCGACTTCAGCGAACAACTCTTCCCCGACTTCCTCCCGCCCCCGGTTTCGACGGTGACCAGGATTTCATGGAGCAGGTCGATCTCTGGAAGAAATGGATCCAGTGGGAGAAGGAGGATCCTCTCGTTCTCCAGGAAGAAGAGCCCGAAGCCTACAGAGGCCGTGTGCTTTACTGCTACAAGCAAGCGCTCATGGCGCTTCGCTTCTGGCCGGAGATGTGGGTGGACGCAGCTGAGTGGTGCTTTGCGAACAACATCAGCAAGGACGGCAAAGAGCTGGGCTTGTCATTCCTTACAGACGGCATCGAAGCCAACCCTGAGAGCGTGCTGCTGGCGTTGAGGCACGGAGACCGTGTGGAGACGACTTACCCCGCCGCTGACGACGATGAGAGCAAGGCTGCCCGTGCTAAGGCCATCCGGGAGCCCTACAGCAAAGTCCTCGACAACTTGTACGCCATGTCGAAGAAGCTCAAAGAGCGGGAAGAGCAAGCGGTTCGCAAGATCGAGGCGGCTGCTGGGCCTGACCTTAACATCAAGAATTCCATCGAGCGCAACGACGACGACGTTGACGGCGACGCCCCGCCGGCTGAGTTTGGGAAGGAGGCGCATGTCAAGGCCGTTAAGCATGGCTTCTCGGTGCAGGCGGATATGCTGAAGCGTACCATCTCGTTTGTGTGGATTGCACTCTGTCGGGCTGCGCGCCGAACACAGGGCAAAGGCAGCGCCTCAGCAGGCCTTCGTCAGGTGTTCATTGAAGCCAGAAGTCGAGGCCAGTTGACGAGCGACGTCTATATTGCTGTGGCCAAGATGGAAGCTCTCATTTACAACGACCCTGCTGGTGGCAAGATTTTCGATCGCGGTGCCAAGCTTTTCCCCGAGGACGCGAGCTTCATGTTGGAGTACATCAAGTTTCTGCACTCCAAGGGCGACACCACAAGTAGGTCCCACCGTCCATGATTTAGATGACATTCAGCTAATTTTCAACGTAGATGCTCGCGTTGTTTTCGAGACCTGCGTAAACCGCTTGACGCAGAAGGAAGACAAGAAAGACATGGCCAAGTCACTCTACTCCTACTTCCACAAGTATGAGTCGCAGTTTGGAGAGCTTTCGTCGATTGCCGAACTTGAGAAGCGCATGTCGGAGCTCTGGCCCGCGGATTCCAAACTCACCCACTTCGCCAGCCGGTTCTCGGTTGAGACCTTTGACCCTATCGCTTATCGGCTCATCATCTCGCCCGCTGTCCAACTGCGACCCAAGATGATGCTTCCTGTCCCCGAGCAGCCGACGTCGGTTCGCCAAACTCCCATGCCTCCCCCGCCCGTTCGGCAGACTGCCAGCCCGGCCCCGCAGTACATGGGCGTCGTCAACTCGCCTAAGCGGCCCTTCGTCGGCGATGATTTCGAAGAGCTTAACAGGCCCCGAAAGCTCGCACGCGGAGAGTCCCCGCTCAAGGGTGCTGCCGGACGCCGACTAGACCAACAACGTCGGAACCAAGGCGCACCTCTGTCCCGAGACATCACCTTCTTCCTTGGTATCTTGCCGCCGGCCCACGCGTACGCTCAATCTCCCGACGCCTATCGTCTCAACACCTACAATCTTGTGAACCTCATCCAGAACACCCCTGTGCCGGACTACAGCGCTTGGAAAACCAACCAGGAGCGCAGACAAAACAATGGTATGCAATCCCCTTCCGATGGCCGTCAGGCTTCTGGTGATTATGCCGGATACGTGTTTGGTGCACGGAACTCTCCTCAACGGGCCTTGAGTCCTTTTGACGGCGTTGTACGCTTCCAGCCCTCGGGTTACAGGAACTCTCCTCTCCGACCTGGGTCTAGCGGCGATTCTCCTCACACTGCTGTTTCGACGCAGCAAGGCCAGCAGTTACCGGCTGCTGCTGTGTACAATGGAAGCCTCAACTGGACCCAATCACCTTCTGGCTACGACCAGGCATCGGCGCATTCATTTCGCAGACATCAATATTGAAGACGGACTAACAAGTGGATCCAGGGGCCGGTTTTCGCAGGGGCTGGGCTTAATCGTCGCAATTGAAGACATTTAGGCATCGTCTCATGGCTTTTTTTCTCTCACCACAGGCCGATTTGGGATGGTTCTTGGGAGGCATCTCAACGCCCGGAACCTGAGAAACACAACGAAGTTCTCGACGCACCACGTAATGCCGGCGTTCATACCATCGGGGCTCATCATCAGGGCCATCACTTTGTTAAGGCTTTCCCTGACTTTCCAACGCCCCTGCCCAACGAGGCTATTTTCTTTTTCGCATTTCTACACGGGGACGTGGTCGCCCGTCGACTTAGCTGTTCTGTATAATACAAAAGTTTGGGAGGACCGCATTACTGGGGCGTTTGGGGAGGCAGAAACTATCTTGACGTGCTTCCACGGGAGCACGATCATGTCAAACAGAAACGCGTCATTCGAGCAACAGCATTCAACGCAACGACTGGGCGACGAAACAATTGGGAAGGACCGTACGTAGGAGGAAAGCATTGGCGGGTTCGTAAGTGAGCCAGCAACCCAATATACCAAAAAAATACCCTGAACTTGCTGCCTTTCCTTGTCTGTCGTCTGGTGATATCCCATGTTTTGTTCTGGTCGTTGTCTCAGTGGTACTCTTTGAAGGGTTCACCTGCCCTTGTCTCTGACGGTTGAGAGCATGCCTGCTGGGTGCAGACTCTTTCTGTTCTTTCTTGTCACCTCTGTCGGCATCCTTTCCGTGCAGCCTCACGAGTGGACAAGGCAACATCACTGGTGGTAGTTCCAGCGGGGAAAGTCCACCTTCTCTGCAGCCTCCCAAGGCTTCTCCTTGTCTAGGCAGCCTTTCAATGTCTCTCTAGATGACCTCAGTCCCTTTGAAACGGTATGATGCCTGAGGAGAAGGAGCTAGGCTCGGCTGAGGGCATCACCACCACCCGTCATGGCCTCAGCCAGCCAGCTCCAGAGCACCTTAGCTTGGTAAGGCAAGCAGGATCTCAGGTAGGAAAGAATTTTCAGATAGCGATATCTCGGTAGAATTGAAGCCATTCTGGGCTAGCCAGACCCGATCTGGTACTTGCCCCTGAGGCTCCCGTGTCCGTCCCCCTCGTGTCCGGCCCCCCTCCCGCGTCGACCTGTTGCCCTGCCGCCACCGCTCCCCCTTCTGGGCCGAATTTATTGAATTTTCCAAGTGCTCCGAGCTTCTTGATTTTTTTCTCCCACCAAAACACCACGATAATCCCATCGCCACCGTCAGCCTTGCCAGGAATCCATCATCGCCAACGCACCTCAGGCTCATCGTCCCTGCCGTCTTTTAGGCGGCCTGGCGCGGTTCTTTCCCTCTCAAAGGTGCGTAACCGGTCTTTTGACCTCCTATCCTTCCTTGTTGAGCCCTTTGGCTGCCTTCCTTGCGTGGGATGAACTGCTAGCGCGGTTTTGAGGCCTTCGAGATCCTATATAGTGCCACCTCCCACCCCTCCAGAGCTCAATCTTCTTCTCCCCCATCACACACATCACAACAACAACAGCAACCAGCAACCAACTCACAAGACTTCAGTCACAAGACACCTTCACTCTACCCACTTCAAGGTATGACACATACCTACACCTTGCCTCATACCTTCAGACTGCTAACATCATCAGCATCACCAGCTTTCCCAGCTTCCCAGCAACCTACCACTGCAACTTTCTCTCTTGAACTCTTCTTGAGGTAAGTCCAGACAACTGTCTCCTTCCTACTTTTTCTTGAACATCCCAGCCCCCCTCGCCTTCCTCCTTCCTCGGCCCTGCCTCCTGCCTCTCTCTCGAGCAGAAAGAACAGAATTTGCCTCCATCTTTCCTTCCTCTGCACTCAAGACCCTCCTTCATCACTACAAAAAAGACACACTCAACCCAGCACAACCCTTCTTCTTCATCTACAACACAACAATTCAAATCATTCACAATCACTCAACAACACACAGCCCAACCCAGCTAAGGTATGCCCATCACTGCCCTCCATGCTACCGTTGTTGTCATCCGGCTTCGTCCTGCGTCGTCCTGCCTCATCCTACCTCATCCTGCATCGTTCTGCCTCATCCTGCTTCATCTTGCGTCGTCCTGCTTCGTCCTGCTTCGTCCTGCTTCGTCCTGCTTCGTCCTGCTTCGTCCCGCGCCCTTCTGCATCGTCCAGCATAGTCTGTCATTGCTGGTGCTTCTGTCATCATTGTTACTGTTGTCACTGTTGTCACTGCTTTCATTGCCTCCCTTTTTCTTTTCTATCATCTTTCTTGCAATACTGACTATTTCCCAGACCATACCATCCGCCAACATGTCCGGACGTCCCCAGCAGATTCGCCCCTCCGCCATGAACATGGACGGCTCCGCCGACGGTCGCTCTTCCTCCCGCGGCCCCGGCAGCCCTGGCCGCTCTCGTTCTGGCTCCCAGACCAACCCCTTCGGCCCTTCCATGGGCTTCGACCCTGCCAAGCCCACCGGCGGCGCCCAGGAGAAGGACCAGGGCAACACCCGCATCGACCTCCCGGCGGAGGCGTACACAGTCGGCGCTGATAGCAAGAACGCCGGTGGAGTGCCCTTCGCCAAGCGCCCTGGCTACAACACCTCTGGCAAGGCCTGCAACCTCGAGGTCAACCAGTACCGCGTCAAGTCCTGGAACGACAAGATGTCTATCTACCAGTACGATGTCTCCATCACGCCCGTCCCCCTCAAGTACAACGTCGTTTTCCAGAAGTGCTGGAACCACCCTGCCGTCAAGGCTATGCTCAACAAGTACAAGACCCTTTGGCTCTGCGATGGTCGCAAGCTTGCTTGGAGCTCTATGCCGATCAACCGCGGTGAAGAGCGTCTCAAGATCGACCTCGACGAGGGTCTCCCTCCTCCGAAGAACGGCAAGCCTCGTCGCGACAACAGTTTCTTCTTCGTCATGCGCCAGACCAAGGAGGTTCACCTCGCTGCTCTCGAGGCGTATCTGGCCGGCAAGATGGACTGGGACAACTCTGTTCTCGAGGCGATGAACTTCCTGGACCACCTCGTCCGCCAAGGCCCGTCTGAGCGTCTGCTGTCGATCAAGCGCAACTTCTACAACGAGAGGGCCAAGAAGTCGTTCGACCTCGGTGGTTGCATTGAGCTCGTCAAGGGTGTTTACGCGTCTATTCGCATGAACCAGTCCTTCAGCGGTAGCATCGGAAGAGGACTTGGCATGAACGTCGACGTCGCGAACACTGCCTTCTGGAAGGGTGGCATGCCCATGCACATGTTCGTCAAGGACTTCCTTGCCACTTGCGATCGGAGATGGAGCGGTCTTGACCCCAACGGCATCGCCAAGCTTCTTGCCCCTGTCCGCCAGACTGACAAGAACGGACGCGTCCAGCTCACCATGTCGGAGGCATTCAAGCACCTGCGCAAGCTGGCGAAGATTCGTTTCACTCCCAAGCACCGTGGTAAGGAGAACTGGGACAAGATCTACCTGATCAAGTCCATCGCATTCGGTTCTGAGTACGGCGACAAGGGTGCCACCGCGGAGAACGTCAGGTTCTTGAACAACGGCGAGGAGATGAACGTCGTCGAGTACTTCATGAAGACGTACACCTATAAGGTCCAGTTCCCCAACTGGCCTCTGGTCGAGACGCAGCGGGCTGGTTTCTTCCCCATGGAGGTTTGCATGATCAAGCCCATGCAGCGCTACCCGTTCAAGCTGGACCCTGACCAGACTGCTGCCATGATCAAGGGTGCAGTCACGCGTCCCAACGTGCGCAAGGCTGACATCAACGACGCCAAGAACCAGCTCGCCTGGGGTCAGGACCCTTACCTCAAGCAGTACGGTGTCGTCTTTGACACCCAGATGGCCAAGACGACCGGCAGCCTCCTCGAGCCGCCCAAGATCCAGTATGCGAACAACGTTATTAGCCCCATGTTCGCGGGCCGCTGGGACTTGCGCGGAAAGAAGTTCTGGGTCGGCAACCGTGCCCCTCTTCAGTCCTGGGGTATTCTGATCCTCGAGAACGCCACCAACAAGAACGCCGCCGGACAGTTCGTCCAGATGTTCAAGCAGACTTATACAGGTCATGGTGGCAAGATCCTCAAGGACGCCGTCGTTATTGACTCGGAGGCGCGCAACAACAACGTTGCTGACGCCGTTGCCAGGGGCTATATGCAGATCAAGAAGGTCACCGGCATGACCCCTCAGCTGATCTTCTGCGTCCTTCGCTTCAACAACGCCGGATCCTACGAACGTATCAAGAAGTCGGCCGACTGCCGCTTCGGTGTCCTCACCCAGTGTGTATTGGCCCGTCACGTCGAGAAGAACCAGGGACAGTACCACTCCAACGTGGCCATGAAGGTCAACGCCAAGCTTGGCGGCATCACCTGCCGCATCCCTCACCCTTCCGGCCCCAACAACAAGGCCCCTGCCTTCTTCAAGGAAGTCACGATGATGATTGGTGCTGATGTTTCCCACGCGACCCCCGGTATCGACGCTCCTTCCATGGCCACCATGACCATGTCCATGGACAACGACGCCACCTTCTACGCCGCGGCCGTCGAAACCAATGGCTACCGTGTCGAGATGCTTTCGCCTCTCAACACCCGCAACTTCCTGGCTCGTCTTATGCCTACCTGGCATAAGCGCATGAACCACCCCGCCCCCCCTCCTCACATCATCTACTTCCGTGATGGTGTCTCTGAGGGCCAGTACGCGCAGGTTCTGGAGTACGAGATTGGTGCCATGAAGGAGATCTTCAAGAGCAAGTACCCGGGCGCCAAGCAGCCCAAGTTCACGGTCATCGTCGCTACCAAGCGTCACCACATCCGCTTCTTCCCGCAGCAGGGCGACAAGAATGGCAACCCCTTGCCTGGCACCCTTCTCGAGAAGGAGGTCTGCCACCCCTTCTGGTGGGACTTCTACCTCTGCAGCCATGTGGCGATCCAGGGAACGGCCCGCCCGGTCCACTACACCGTCCTCATGGACGAGGCCAAGATGTCGTCCAACGACCTGCAGAAGATGATCTACGGCCAGTGCTACCAGTACGCTCGCAGCACCACCCCCGTCTCTCTTCACCCGGCCATCTACTACGCCGATCTTGCTGCCGGCCGCGCTCGTGCGCACGAGAACATCGCCACCTCGCAAGGCTTCCGCTCCGGCCCGAAGGCGGCGGAGATGGTGGAGGAGTACGGCGCTCGCGGTCAGAGCATGTTCGAGGGCGACCGTCCCACCGAGGCTCTTCAGCTTCTGCCTCTGGGCGGATCCCCTGGCGAGGCCGACCCCGCCAGCACCGAGATGTTCAAGAACACCATGTGGTACATCTAGATGCCGCACGGGTCTGGGGACGATTACGATACTTTGGGAGCGAAAGTGGAGTGGGAGGAATGGGTAACTAGTCGTTGGGAGGGAGTGCTTTATTAGATAGCGCTGAGTACTCTAGATAGCGAACGTTACCATTCCTCAATCTTGATGTCCTGATCCCTGACGTGACTGTCCAGTGATACCATGCATCCTTCGGAGTAGCATGACGACGGCGGAGATAGTAACGAAGACAATAATAACACTGAGTAAAGACAACAGTTATGAAGACAACAATAATGATGCAGGACGACGCAGGACGATGCAGGACGACGATGGACGACGACGGACGACGATGGACGATGGAAAGCGATGACAACGATAGCAACAGCAACATCAGCAGTAACAGCAATAGCAGTAACAGCGATAGTAGCAGCAGCAACAAGAACAACAGTAACAATACCAGCAGCAAGAAAAATGACAGCGCAGAAGACGCGATCACGATCTCGCCGTCAGGGCGCGAAACTCTTGAGGTATGACAACAATTGCCTATGAATAAAGTTGAGGACCATGATTACTCTTCGTATACGCTTCGGGCTTGGTTCTGACTCTCCTGGTACTCGAGGAACCACAGAACAGTGATGGTTCTGGGAGGTATAAGTATGAGTTTGTTTTCTTCCCCAACTCCAGCATGTTCAATGTTCCGTTAGACACTGACATCCCGCACTGTTCTTCGGATCTCCTGCGCCGACGAGAAGAAAGACAACTAGCAACGACGACTCGCGAACAAGTTCGACCTGACAGACCAAACACGGTTGAATTTTCAGCTGTCTTCGTCACTCCTCAGCCATGAATCACGAAGGAGCCAGCCCTCCCACAAGCCGGGAGCCTCCCCCACACCTTGGGGAAAGAGTCCTCAAATGTTTGCTCTTATCTATGTTGGCGCTTCTGGGTCTTGCTTCTGGCCTTGCGCTCACGGCCGTCACCTTTGAAATTCTTACCGAAATGCCCGGACAGAGTGACAATGTCCTCTCCCGTTGGGCGTATTCGCTCGCCTTTTCGATTTTCTTCTTCTTCGGCGCCATCATAACGGTCGTTTTAGGCCTCGCGATCCCTTATATCTGGGTGAGTGAGTTCGTGTACGGGGAATAGTTCCCGGTTTCCGAGAGGAGCGGGTGGCTGGCTCTCGTGCTCTGATGGCCTGGTGAGGACGGCGTCTGCACCGTCGACTGTCACGCTCTTGAAAGCGAAGACGGGGTGAAGGCTATCAAGGTTTTATCTCGTCGTGCGAAGCGCCAGGAACCGCCCGAGAACACTAAACCGATGAATCCTATCGAACTTCGCCAGCGCATCGGGGGCAAGATGACGTGGTGATCAGGTTCGGGAAGACTACTTCGCCATCGTGACCGAGGACAACTTATCGCCCGACGAGCTGAGAAGCCAAAAGTTCGCGTTCATCGTCGCCATTTTGTTTAAGTTGCGGACTCTCAGGTTGGTGTACCAGATTCGCGGGTGCTTTCCGCAGGTTTATGAGGACGCTTTTGACGACGATACGCTTGTGGAGATTTCGAGGGTCGAGGGAGAAGAATGACTTATCGCCTGGGAGATGGAATGGTTTGAGATCCGCGTTTTCGTGGGGAGTTCTTTGTGATAATGTCTCTGGCGCGGTCTGGAAGGTGACTTTTGGGTGAGCTTGACGACGTTGGTTGCCTTTTCTCGGGCGCCTGGATTGCCTCTTGATATGCTCTTGAGACTAAAAGGTAGAAGCATTTAAACTTGATCTTTTTGGCTTCAAACCGTTTCCCGTGAAATGCCACATATCATGATATCTCGACTTCTCAACCTCAGCTACTTGATTTTCGTTAAGGATACGTGTCCAAGACGAACCAGATCCATCGTGGTTTTCCACACCGAAACGTGTCATCAACCTATCTGGAGTACACACATCGTCAGGGTTAGTGTGATTTCGGATCCTTTTACGGGGTGAAATAGGCAGCCTTCTCCGTCCAGGTAGATCGCAAAGCTTGCTGCTGTCTAAGTCGCGATCTACCACGGGAAAGGCCAGGTCTCCTGTGACTCAACCCGGACTTTCGGAGATGTGTTCTCTTGGAATTATATATCGAGCTCACGTTTCCGGGACTGGAGTCTCATTTTTCATTCAAGTTCATTCGAGCACCATTCATCAATACCAATCTCAAACTCGACCTCGGCTTATTCCTCAAGGTGTCGCACGATAACGACCTTTTTCTCACCCTCAGCCTTCACCACCTACCAATCTCACAACTCAATTATCATAAATCTGCCAACCAGAATGGCTACCAGAAAGATGACTACCGAAAAATACATCAAACCGAACAGACGCGTGGTGCTGAGGCCACCGGCAGTCTTCCTAGCTATAGCGGGCTTTCTGGCGCTCGTGTTGTTGCTTTGGCTCCTCGTACCCATCGGGTCTCAGAGCCTTCTTCGACATTAAGACGCCTTTCAACCATTCGTCGCTCCCCCCAACCAAGAGGGATGGTTTGGACACTTTCAAGCGGCTTTCGACCACAAACACTTGGTTATAAAGATTTTCGAGGCCGATATACTTATCGAACGAACACACACGGTTCTGCAAGTATGGGAAACCATGGACACCACTTGCTGCAACGAAAGCTAGCGGTTTTCCAGGGCCCGGCATGTCCAATACCGCGATGTCAATATGCCATGCAATACAACGCGGCAACCCTTATTATACCCGACTTGGAATCTCGCCACACCCAGCGAGAACACATTCTCTACACCACGACAAGGCCAATGACCTTTCACAATATTCCTCGGCGGATCGAAGATGAAAGGCAATCGTATAAAACGTTGAGGACGTTGAATCAGTCTCTTCGAACAATACCATCGATCTTAGCTCTGCGATCAACAACTTGATGAGCCGGTGCCGAAATCGCAAGTCAACCCTCATAAGCAACTTTCAAATTGGAAATAGACTTTTCGCCTGCTCTACGAGACAGGCGCTTCCATCGGAAATCCACGTCGTTCTGGAAAAGTGTCTGGTAACCAGCCAAAACGCTGGCACCTCGAGAACCTTTGGCACTCTTGGAGATATTTTGGCGAAAATCTTAACCATGGGTTATGGAGCATATGGAACTTTTTGGGGAGGGATTCACATCTGGAGAAGACGATGGACAAGGGTTTAGAGAAAAACGCAGTCCGCTCTAATGAAGCAAGCTTTACTGCTTCTCAATATCAAGGAACTAAATGATGTCCCAAGAAGTTCTCGCCCCGTCGATTTGATGATCAAAGTGAAGTCAAAACATTATCCATGGCCCCTTTCCGACATTGCCGTATCCGGACAGTCTTCTCCGAAGAACTCAACGTGGTGGCTCAAGCTAGTTCCATGGCTTAGAAAACGCCGACTTTTCAAACAGTAAAGAAGCATGTCCTTTGTCCGTTTCGACGCTAGGAAGAACGCTTTATCAACTTCAACCTGGAGCTTCCAAGCAGACTAGTTTCTTTGTTGATCGGGATGCCCTTGTGGTAGTTCCCCGAGAAGACTGTGATTTATCAGCCACACTTCTTCGGAATTTTCGCAAGTTGGGTGCCCCTTATCGAGCTTGATTTGAATTCTGTTATCTACTCGCTAGCGCTATCAATGAAATCTCTGGCTGAGCTGGTGGAATACAAAAGAGTGTTGGCGTGACATTTCGCAAGATCCCTTGACCAGTAATCCCGTAATATCATCAACGATGACACGTAAAGCGCTTCAACCATACCAGGAAACAGTAGTCAGAAGACAGACCAGTCCAGGGCTCATAGTCTTATGTGCGCTGGTCCTCTTCCTGATCAGCAGCCAGCTGGTTCTGCTATCCAAATGCGCCGCCGGTGCCGTCAAAAACTGCGGTTCAGATAGCCCATCACCAGTTCCAGACGCGGAGAAACCGGTCCTCAGGGTCGTCACCCCGTCATCATGGTACATCGACACCGGCTTCCGTCAGAACCGCTGCGTCGGCTCGAAATCCCCCTTTACCGAGCCTCGTGCCAACCTCTCAGACCCAAACACGCTCCGAGCACGCATCGGAGACAAATTCAAAACCCCAGGCAGGGAGGAAATCACATTTGACAAGCACTACACCGTGTCACTCAAGCTTTCGGAGGGCGACGTCCAGAACCATCTCGACACGGTGTGCACTCTCCTCAAGATTCCTGGTGCTCGCGGCTTCGTAAGCTATTGGCCGGGGAAGGGCGGGAGTCTGCGGTACTCGAATTACATCGGCGCCTTTGACGACGAGACGCTGGGGTATATCTCGAGGTTGGCTGGGGTGTATGAGATACGGCCGGTTCTTGCTTCGGGTGATACGGAAGGTCGGATGAGCGAGGGGAAGTCTGAAGATGGAGGAGATCGAAAGAATAGTCGATTTTTCAAGCAGATTAGCGAGTGTGTCCGGCGCGTTGCTTTTTGGATGACGTATTGAGACTACATACTCACAAAAAGACACTTAGTTGCGAAAATTGCGTTGAGCTACCAACAACGACCACTCTTCCGCAACGCACCCTTCAATATGCACATGTATGGTCCAACTCCACTTGTTGACGATAGATGACCTGACCGCACACGATGCAAACTCTGATCAGAAGTTTTTCTCCTTTTCAATCCCCTTTTCACATAAAAGCAGCTCATAAAACTGAACATTAAAGTATCGCACGTCAACAAGCAAAACCTCAGCAAGACCAACGAAAGCGAATCGCAACCATGTATCTCGCATTCTTCCAAACTCTCCTGGCAATGTTCCAGTTCCTCGTCAACATCGGCATGATGGGCTGCTCCGCCGGTCCCGACTCGTCACTTCATATCTTCTGCCCATTCGATTTTCAGAGCTCCAACACCCACGAAGCTCCCTCTCCAGTCTCCTCGACCCCCGAACCGCAGCCCGTCGCCGACGAGGACTCATGCGAATGCTCGATGCCGCCACATTACGTCCCGCCGGGAACGAACGAGGCGATGTGGAACACTCGCGGCGTATCCCTGCAGGCAAAAGGCAAGCTTTTCATTGAGGCAGGACGGCAAGCGTACCACCGGTATTGGGTCATCCGTCTCCACGAAGGTGCTTCGGAGGCACAGGTTCGGTCGCACATGAACCGAGTTTCCAGGTTGGTCGGTGGCGGGTGCGGCAAGGGATATATCAAAGAGGCGCCCAGGGTCGACGGGGAGTGCGGTTCGTGCGGGCTTCACTACGTCGCTGCCCTCGACGACAAGACTCGGGATTACGTTGCGAAAATGGGTATTGTGTACAGGATTCACCCCCTGTATAAACGGTCTTGAGTAGGCTTTCTGTGATAGGGGTCCGGATAAAGCAGGGAAAGCCAAACAACCTTGTGAGGTACATATTAAGGCAAGCTGTGTCCTAAACTAAACATTCTTCGCTACTTCTTCTACTACTACATTAGAACTACAGACGAAAACGACCAAAATAGTCAAACATCAAAGATCCGTTACCAAGCTGTAGTTCTTCTTCATCCCCCATCTAGTCTTAGACGTTTACCACCTCTTCCTCACCCAGACCGTCACGTCGTGGATGCAGCAAGCCCACCCGAAAGCCACCTACCTCAGGAGGACCTGGAGAACCAGCAACTCGACAGCAACATAATGATTCACACAGCCGACGTTACTTTTCCCACGACCGCCTTCGTATCGGTGATACCCTAAGTAGATCCCACGTAAAGGCGCCCCGAGCCGACGAGATCCTAGCCGTGGCCAGTATGAAGGCTTCTTCGATGACGATAGAATTGTAGAAATTTCAAACAAGTTCATGTTGTCGAGTTCAGGAAGAAAGAATAGGTCATCTGCCTCGGGGAACCCATGAAGATTCTTCCTCTCACCAGAACTTGAACCGCCAGGCTTTCAATCTTTCCAAGGTCGGTTATTTCTCCGCGCAGACTGTTGACGGAGCAGACTTAAGAAAACTCAGACGAATACACTTTTATCTTTACTTGGGTCATCTCCGATCGAACCTCTCCAGCAGTAATCCATAAACACCACCCCAATCTCCTCACAGCACCAGCCCCAACCCATCTCACACTCCAGCACCCGACCAACCTTCCCAACACCGTCTACAAAGCAACCTCATCTTCCAACATGGATATAATAGACATCATCTCCTGGACCTACATCGCCCTAGCCCTCCTCTCCAGCACCCTCGCCCCCTCCCGCACTCCCATCGTCACATCCCTCATCCACCATGACATCCCACAAAACCTCGCGCAAACCCGCTGCCCGTCCTCACCCCCCACTCCCCCTTCCCCGGAAATCCTCACCACAAAACTCCAACCCCCAAACCACAACTGTGAAGTCCTCAGTTACTTCATAACCACGCTGGACGCCAGAATCTCGGAGAACGGGGTAGAAGCGCATCTAGATGAAGTATGTCGCTCCGGGGCGGAGGGGGTTGTGTTTAGGATAACGGGGGAAGAGTACCTCGCGACGTCGGATAAGGGGACTTTGTGGCGCGTGGCAAGGATTGGGAGGTTATGAGGGTAGAGGTCCTCAAGGACGGGGGAGGGGATGATGTGGTGGCGTGAGGGCTTGATATAGAACTTCGATATTCAACGGCGTGGTAATGGAACTCGGGAACGTTGCGGCGCACGATGGTGAGGTTATGAGAAGACGTTGAGAGAGTGTATCGCTTACCCTACTTCAACTCACATACCCAGCCAAACACCTTTCACTCACACATCTCACTCACTCACTCCCATCCATCACCCCCATCAAAAAGCTTCAATGAACAGAACACATGGACCTCTTCGTTGTAAGTCGTGGTATAGTAGTAGTAGTACATGATCCTCATAGACTCGGAACGAAGCAACAAAAATAAAGACATGAAGAAAATAGAAGCACCATAGACTCGCTCCCCCACCCCCATCATTTTTTCCAACAATCCAGCAAAAAAAGCAACATGCCATTTTCTCTTCCATGGGGAGGTGATGTTCGATTCGTTCCCCGCAATAAAAAAGGGTCTCCTGTCCCCACGATACCTAACCCCCCCACATGAGCTCTCCGCCCCATGACATCAACACAAACCCACACTCGCAAAACCCACATCTCGGCGCATTACCTCCCGCGACCCAACACCAGCAATCCCTTATTTCGCAGTAACGACGACGTTGGGCACGTCGAGCTTCTCCCCTTTGGCGTTCGTGACGGGCATCTCGCGCCCGCTCTCGTCGGCAAAGTTGGAGCTCGCCTTGCGGCTCAGCGCCAGCCCCGCGATGGAGCGCGCGTTGGGGCCGTAGTTGATGTTGCTCGCCTTATCGAGGGTCTCCTTGCACATCCTCAGAAACACGGCGCCGAGCTCGGGGCGGTGCAGGGGGATGAGGCTGAAGAAGAGGGAGGCGGTGATGCGGAAGAGGGTCTTGCGGTGGAGGCGGACGGAGTAGGTCTCCTCGAGGAAGGTGAAAAAGACCTCCTGCAGCTCGGTGAGGAGGTCGGAGTCGGCCTCGTCGAGGAGGGGCGCGTCGGTGTCGAGGGCGCCGCGGAGGTCGTGGTTGTTGGCGCTCATGAAGAGGACGTGGTCGTAGCCGCAGAGGGACTGGAGGACCTTGCCGAGGTCGTAGTGGATGTCGCCCTCCGGGGTGAGGGTGTTCTCGAGCTGGCAGCGGACGTCGATGAAGCTGACGAGCTTCTCGTCCTTGGAGAGGATGGCGTTGCTGAAGACGGGGTCGCCGTGGATGACCTGGGCGTGGACGCCCTTCTCCTCGGCCTCGTAGGTGTCGAGGAACTCGTTGATGCGGGCAAAGAGGGAGGCCGCGAGGGGCCCGAGGGCGTCGTACTTGTCCTGGTCCTTGTAGTAGCGGCTGCGCAGCTTGGAGCCGTAGTTTGCGTAGATGTTGACGCGGTGGTTGGCGCGGGCGAGGGAGTGCTCGTCGAACTTCTTCTCGAGGGCCGGGGGAATCTTGAGGGTGGGCTTGTCGGTGCTGGCGGTGGTGTGGAGGGTGTGGAGGGACTTGAGGAGGGAGATGAGGCGGCCCTTTGTGATGGAGCGGCCGACGAGGAGGTGGGAGAATGTCAGGCCGCGGCGGTTCTCCATGGTGATGTTGTAGATGGAGGTGTCGGCAATGTAGTCGACGTTGTAGACGGTCGGGAAGATGTGGGCGACCTCGGAGGGCATGTGGGAGTAGAAGAAGAGCTCGCCGAGGATGTTCTCGGACTTGCTCGACTTGATGACCTTGTCGCCGATGATCTGGATGGTGTTGAAGTCGCGCGCGGCGATCATGCCGGCCTTCTTGGCCTCCTCGCCGGAGCCGGCCTCGTCCCCGATCAGCGCGGCCGGGTCGTGCTCGTCCAGGAGCCAGCCGATCTCCCGCATGGTGTCGAGGTTGGCGTTGACGGCCAGGTCGTCGACGTAGACGTCGGCGTACGGCTTGCCGAAGTGGATATCGTGGTAGGGGATTTCGTACTTGGCGAGCTGGGCGAAGGTGACGGGGCCGACGTCCGCGAGGACGGAGCCGATGTTGCCGTGATGTGTGCGCATACGGCGAGCGGTTTGCTATCGAAAGTTAGCCTTTGTCGTTTACTTGTCGTTTACCCCTGCCAAGTGTGCCAAGACCGCACTTACAATGATGATGTAGTGGCCCGCGTTGTACAGCTGCTGGACCAGGCGGATGTTCTTCTCGATGGGAGGGCAGGTCGAGTAGTCGCCGGCCACGGCGGGCACGCCGACGAGGGTCATGTCGAGGTCGAAGCAGAAGCGGCGCTTCTTCAGCTTGATCGGCAGGTTCGAGGTGTCCGACTTGAGGAGCTTCAGGAGGTCCTGCAGCTGCTCGGGGGTCCCCACGACGCTGAAGTCTTTTGTGCTCACGGGCATGCCGAGGTAGGGGACGCCGTTCTGGATCATGAGCGCGATCATCTGCGAGGTGTAGTACTCGCCGACCTCCGAGCCGTCCGGCCTCTTCATGTCGAGGTTCTCGGCGGCCCACGACTTGAGCTGGCCGGCGCTCGGGAAGACGTATGCGCCGGTGTTGGCCTTGTTGGAAATGGCCTTCTTCTCCTGGATGTCGACGATGCGCTCCAAGCCGTCCCTGCTGCTGTTAGCCCGGGCATTCCCCCTGCCATCTCTGCGACTCACTTTGTGGGCTCCGTCTTGATGTAAGAGAAGATGGGCTTGTCGCCGACGTCGGGGAAGTAGAAGCAGCCGCCGTGGCCCTTGGGCATGTTGCGAATGTCCTGGAGGACGTCGGCCCAGTAGATGGTATCGCAGTCGAGGGAGACGGTCTTGCGCTCGAGGTGCTTCTTGGTCATGCTCTGGGTGACGATGTACAGCTAGACGAAGGGATCAGCGACATGCGCTCGCACTTGGCACTGCCCCTCCATTGGCGAGCGGCGCAAAGGTAGGGAGAACAGCAACTTACCGTCTCGCTGGCGCCCTTGGTCTGGTGGCGCAAGCGCAGCAGTCTGAAGTCGATCTTGGAGAAGGTCTTGCTGACGAGCTGGCCGATCCTGAACTCGTCGTCGACCTCCTCGTTAATGGCCATCCACAGGGTGTCGCCGGGCTTGAGGCTCAGGTTGTCGATCAACCACAGCAGCATGGGGCGGCCGACGATGTTGATGAGGGGCTTCGGGTAGCGGTAGCCCTGCTTCGCGAAGCGGGAGCCGATGCCGCCGATTGGGATAATGACATTGATGGGCTCGTAGTCGAGGTTGTCGCCGTTGGCAGCTGCGGCGCCGTTGGCCGTCTTTGTCTGGGGAGCCATTGCGTCTCGTGGACTGGAGGGGTCAACGGCTGGCTGGGTGGGTGTGTCTTGGGCGGATGCGAAAAACAACAAAAAGGAGTGGTGCAAGTGTCAGAATGGCACTTGATCGCAAAGCTCCGTGGGAGGGGCGTGGCAGGTTCGGATCGGGAATCTGGACCTGTCGCGAAAGATGGGAATGTCTCTGAATTCTGGTGGGACCGTGGCGGTGAGGTGAGACTACGAGACACAACAACCGAGAAACAAGAACGTCGCACTGCTCTTCCAGCGAGGGATTAGAGAGAAGCCGTAAATGCAAAAATCTACACGATTCCAACCCAGCTCTTGGGAGGAAAAGAAACGGAAGAATAAAGCTGAAGAACGGGCCGGAGCTTTAGAGGAGGAGCAAGTAAAGAAAAAGGCCCGGCAACGAGTTAGGTGTCCCTCTCGTGTTGATCGGAGTACGTATCCCGGCACACAGTAAGGTAGGGTACTTGAAGGCAGGTAGCTGCACCTCTCACGCAACAATAACCGCGATCTCGCTATGTAAGCCGACAGGGGAAGAAAAAAAAAGTTCGGGTCTTCTTCTGGCGAAAATGGGCTTCGCTATTTTAATTTTGTCCAGCTCCAACGATCCAATGCGGGCAGCAGCCGCCCCCATTAGGGGACCATCCGCTTGTATCACCCTGTTCGTGCCCCTCTTCAGAGGTATCGTCGGCCGCAGTCATCCAGGTCCGTTTTGGAGGACAAGGATTAGGGGATGCCCCTCAGGGGTCCTCTTGGGGCGCTGATGTGCTTGGCCGGGCGTGCTGGAGCCAGAGGCAGAGGCAGACCACATCGTCACCAACATATTCCACGAGATTTGCAGCTGATAAAAAGAAGCTGAGCCACAGGAATAAAGGGGACGTTGGGGTTGCTGTGCCGTATCTGTTGCCCGAGGCTGGCTAACATCCAATAGACGCCAATGAGCTGCCATTCGCACGCCGGCCGGGAACGAGGTGTCAATGGATGCGGGAGTGGACCCCGGCCGGGGACACAGGTAGCGTTCGAATACAGCAACACTGTGAGATTATACCCCTGTCTCCCAAGAGAACCCTCGACGCCCGGACCAGCCCAGCCAGCCCGGCCAGACGAGACCCCAGACGGTCCAGCCCAGTCATGCTGCTTGCTGCTTGCTGTGTTGCGTCTAGAAGTGCCCGTATTTCCACCTCCACCTGCACCAGGCAACATCGCTTCATCCATTTCCTTCTCCATTCGGCTCTGCGTATTTGCAAGGGCCCCGAGGACACTCGATCTGCGGACCGCTATTAGCAGCGGCGGGTTGGCGGAAAGTCTGCCCCCATCTCGCGACGTTGTTATCCTTACCCTCACCTCAGCACCTGTGCAGTGTTTGAACTCTTGTGAGGCAATGTCGCCATGAGGGGTAAAGATGGACACCGTGTGATCGGGATCAGATGTGCGATTGACAAGGACGCGCGCGCACGTTTCTTGGAGAAAGCAAGCCGCTATCCGTAGATGAGGCGGACGGAAGCATGCGCGCTTTGACGTTCTTACGTAGTCCTCCAAACTGAACTGTTGTACGCAGTAAGGTAGACCTCATCCAACCGCCAGGCTGGTCATCCTAATTTCAGCATGCTCATGTCTGCGCAAACTGTCGTTCTCTTGGCTCTTGGCTTTCGGCTTTTGATTTGGGGGCGGCAGAACAAGACAGACCGTGGCAGTTGAGACGAAAGTAGTAAAGATGATCTCGCGTCTGCTTCAACGGCTGCAGAGAAAAGGCATTGCCAGAGAGAATCAAGCACCATCACGCTGCAGCCACCCGTCCACATCTCACCATCCCAGCTCCATCCCGGTCACGGAATCGCTTTGCTCATGCTGTCAGCCCTGCGTGGGATTGGCCGAGACGCACGCAAGGGGGGAGGAAGTCCGTCCAACGTGGGTACGCAGAGGCAGAGGCATTGGCATTTGTTGGCGGAAAGAGGGTTGAGTTGAATGAGAACTTGAACAAACTCGCATTGGGCGACTCAGATTGATGATGGCCTGATTACCCAGAGGAGCGCGTTTGCGAACGTGGTTGGTCGTCTAATCTTTTCAGTTGAAAGACGCTCATTTCACCTGCAGATGGTGATTTTCGTATGTCTTTATTAGGCTTGGCTGCCGTCGCCGGTCTGGACTTTTTTCCCCCGCCGGACTTTCGAGTCGTACGGATCGCGGAGTCGAGGCCGATTGTGAAGCGAACTGAATGATGGACGCAGGGCGCGTGATCCACAGGCCTGAACCCGATAACGCAACGAGAGCAAAACCAAACTGTGAGAAAGCCATCGAGGACTGCAACGACGACGACGACACGGTCCCATCAATGGCGAAGTCTGATGGGCAGCCACGTAAGATGGCAACGGTATGCCGCAATGAGGTAGCCGGGGACTTGGGACGGAGCGCACAAAGAACGTTGTTCTCGAGGCCGGCGGACCATGTTCTGAAACAGGCTCTTGACTCGGCGGGTTGACAGGCGGAGAATAAAGACGTGTCCGTCGGTAGTCTGTAGAGTGGAAATGGCACCATTTTTTGTTCCCGAAGGTACCGAGCGTTGGGTAGCATACCGTGGGCCGTCGAGGGAAGATGCTGGGAGAATCCGGGGAATACAGCGAGTCCTTGTTCAGATAAAGTTGTGTGGTGTGTTTCATTCTCCAGGGGAGCTGCCTCACTTCATCTTGGGCGGTGCCAACGGGGGAGGTTCCTGTTGCCGCCAAGGCGCGCATCCGCGTTTGAAGTCGTCGACGACGAGAGAGGGATGCGTGGACGACGGGTACGGACGGGTGAGATAGGAGGCTAAAGAGAGGACGAACCAGCAGTCCGAGTCTGCGGAGCTGTACGGCGTCGCGATGACGGGCGGCGACGTCGTTGTCCGTCTGTGCCCCGATGTCGCAGGCGTGGCAGGGGCGGTTTCCTTCTCGAAGCATATCGACGCTGGCATTCGATGCAGAATAGCAGCACCATCGCCAGTAAGGTTCACGGCGTGGTCCGCTGGGAATATGCGGTCATGCCAGGCATCGCCGGGTTCTGCCAGCCGCGCTTGTCGGTTGGTCTTCGGACTGAGCTCCGTGGAGTTGTTGGAATGTCGGATTTTCCTTCCATTTTTCTGCGATGCCAGAAAGTTGCGGCGGTGTATCAGTCATATGAAGTTACAGTCGTCGTGTGTGTGGTGATGGGAGACGCGTGTAGATGGAATGGAAGGCTCGGGATGGCGGGTCGAAATTCGGTATTTTTCGCTTCGTCTTTTTGGGCAAGTGCATGCCTTCCTGTCTCCTTCCTCGTCTGTTGTTGCCCCATTGCCCGGATACGAGACGACTTTTTTGATTGGCATCTGCGGGCGGCAGTGTCGAGCCAAGAAAACGATGTAAAGGAAGATTGATTGGCATTAAACTTTGTGTAGGTGGTTTTGGTGCCTGGATTTGAGTTGAGAATTATGGATTCGTCAGATAACGTCGGATTTGACGCAGCCTCGCCCTTTTTTTATCTCTTCAACTTTTTTTAGGGGACTCAGACTTGATCGGCCGAAGGCACATCAAGCCTTTTCTTCAGTCGATGTGATTTGACCAAACCATCTCAGATGTTGGACACGATCTGACTTGGCTTTGGCGAAGACGGCAAACCGGCACCGGTTTTCCAGCAATCCGGCCTGGCAGGAAGAACAAGCATCTCTTGCAGTGGTGCAGATGTGCCAGCCCTACCGTGGTGCGCTATCCTCTGGCAGCGGCCGGGCGACCACTGAGATGCTGCCGACGTGCCCAGGGAAGATCCCATTGGCGGCGATGGTCGGATATCCGGGCACGGAGCGTTCGCGAGTCCCATGTTAGTGCATGTGCGGTGGATGCCGCCGTGCCACTAACGCGCGTGTGTACTGCGTAACGATGAGCATGTAAGGGCGGAGGGGCCCAATTAACGCTAATTGATTGATGACCAGCAGCAATGTGAGATCTCTCCAGGCGGGCCGTACTGTGCGATTCTGACAAACACATGGGGCTGCTTTTGCTGTGTTCTGGAGCAGGCAGTCGGAAAAGACCACCAAAGGGCTCGTTTCCCAAGGTCCCATCAAGAGGAGGAACTCCGCACCAGTGGCACCTCATTGCTGGCGGTAAACTGACAACTTTCAAAAACGAACAAAAACAACTGGCGGCTGGTAAGCCTCCTGTCAGACCAGGCCAAGAAGGGGTTGGGCATCCACGCTGTCTCGGAGCGGAACGCAAAGACAGAATAGAAAATTCTGACACATTTCGCAAGCCTCTGTGATGTTGTCAGCGATAAGATTGAGTTTCCCCCTTTTTCTTGGTGTCTGCACTGCACTGCACTGCATCCCCTCGGTGGCGTCGTCCGCAGCAGCGTACGCGGTGCAGTAGGAGCTAGCACCTTGGCGGCGTGTCCAACGGCATGAACAGTAGATATCAATCTACATACACAGCGGTACACAGCGGTTTCAACCCTCAGCCCGGGAGGACGGTCATCCTGTCTCGAGGTGGATGGATGACCGTCGCAACTGGATCAAAGATAGCATCTTGTGTGTTGACAGTGACACCGATGTCCTGGCTCGACCTGACGTGGTACTGAGAGGCCCGTTGTCAGAGATCGGCTACTTTAATCCTGACACAGTGCGGCCCCTCCGTCCCCAGCGAACCCCAACCACAAGCGGCTAGCCCCCAAGATACCGCACCGCACCGCAGTACCTGTCCATGACCGCCGGGCTGCACCTGCACCGTGTCATCTCGCCGTCCAATTACATGACATTCAGTTCTATTTTCTTCACAAATCTTCCCACTTTTATTTTCCCAAGGTTCCTATTGAATTGCATTGGTCCCCCTGCTTCAGCGTAGGTTCCCATTCCAAAGTACCTTCAGACCCCTTGTAGCAGATAATGTACCTACGGGAAAGTATGTCAGCTTCATGTGGGCACCTCCAGGATACGGCTTCCATCTCCAGCGCGATTCTCTCAGTCTAGGTCCCCTTCCCCCCTGTGGCTTGCTTGCTGGCTGCTACCTTACCGTTGTCGTTGTGCTGCTTTCTGTTCCCCATTTCCGCGCTCCAAGCCAAGTGCACCTGCCCGTCGACTCTTTCGCTTCGCCGCTTCGGTACAACCATTCCTGCCTTCCTCCCGCCTCCCCCTTCCGTAATCCTAAGCTTGACATCCTTTTTCTTACCCGTTCAATTGTCTAGCGACCTTTTTCTTTCTGCGATCTTGGGCCCATCGCAAACGAATCCGACCGACGACGATATCGACGGACGAAAGACGAGATACAGACAATCGCCAGCGCATGTCGGACAAGGCGGCACAGAAAGCGTCATCTCCCCACCTCCAGGAAACCTAAAGACGGTCCAAGACCTTCCCTTCCTGCAACTGCGCTCGAGTCCAACACCACTCCTCGCCAACTGTGCACTGCAGCCCAGCAATTCCTGCAGGTGTCGCTGCCGAATTTCATCACGCTCGTTTCGCCCGGTCCTCCAACTTTCCCTCCGCGACGACCACGATCGACCTCGAACCTCGACATACAATAAACCGCCCTCCTGCGGCTGGTGAATACAAACAATGTTACGACACGGGAGCGTACTGGGGCTCTTGTTGAAGCCCCTCGGCTGGATTCCTAATGGCCCTCAGCATGCCGCCTACGCCGCTGCCCTCGGCCTGGTTGCAATCCAGGTCGGCATTGGCATTATCATGAAGATTGCTCAGACCGGCGGCTCATATTCCTTCTCGCCGTCCGCCTCGGTGACCATATCCGAGTTCTTCAAAATGGTTCTGTCCAGCATCTTCTTTTACAACGAGTGCAAACGTCGAGCCGCCGACGGCATCCGTCCCTCGACCCGCGGAGGCGGTAGCGGCTACTCCTCCCTTGCCACCTCCGAGTTGCCTACGAACGAGAGGAGTAGTCTGGACGAGAAACGTGAGGAGGAAGGCCTGAACGGCAGCGCCAGCTCGAGCAGCAGCTCCGCCGTCGACAAGCAGGCTCCCCTGCCGAAACTCGACTTGAGGACATACTGGAGCTATGTTCGCGGCGAAGTTACGAGAGACGTGCGATACGGCTTCTGCAACTTGGCGCTGTTCTACGTGCTTATCAACAACTCGGTAGGTGCTGGCATCTCCGTACACGTCTTTCCCAGCTGACTGGTTGTAGATTTTCGTTAGCTACAAGATGGCCGACCCCGGTACCATCCAACTGACCAAGAGCGGCGTGACATTCATCACCGCCCTCGTCATGATCGCGACCCTCAACACCAAGATCTCCAAGATCCAGTGGATTGCCATTGTCATGCAGGTAAGCTTCGCACGAGTTCAGTGTCTCGGCTCGCGCTAAAACCGCTCAGATTTGCGGCTTGATGGTTACGCAATACAACCCCCAGACGGGTACGACGTATCCTTTGAGCACGTATTTGATCTTGCTCTTCCAGGTCTTCCTGAGTGCTTCTTCCGGTGTGTACAACCAGGCGTTGCTCAAGACCGATGACTCGAGCTTGCACGCCGACAACATGATTCTGTATGCTGCGGGCGCCGCCATGAACTTGATGTGCCACTTGGTCATCAAGACCCTCAAGGCCGATGAGCCTGGCTTCTTCGAGGGCTACAACAGCTTCGGCGCCATCATGGTTATTGTCAGCAATGTCTTTATCGGCTTGGCCATCACTGCTGTCTACAAATGTTAGTGGATTCGACCTCCGATGTGTGTAAACCGTCTCACTGACCTATTCAGACGCCGACGCCGTCATCAAGTGCTTCGCGACGGCCGTTGCGACCGGCATTCTCCTCTACGTCTCACCCGTTCTCTTCGGCACCAAGCTCAGCTTTTTGGTCCTGCCCGGCACTGTCGTAGTCTTCATCGCCTCGTGGCTGTACATGGATAACCCGCCGCCAAAGGATCCTAACGCGGTGCAGTCAAACGAACCCCAGAAGATGTCTTTTTTCAGCAAGCTGGCGGCCGTCGCCCGCAAGTTCAACAAGATGTTCTTGATCGTTGCGACTTTCATCACCGTCGTCATCGTGGCCTTCCTGACAATGTCCGAGGCAAAGATGCCCGATTTTGCCAAGGACGGTGGTTCAAAGGCTCCTCCTCCGCCTGGGGCGCAGCCAGTCACCGGCACTGAGGAGAAGATTGTGTCGCCTTTCAAGAACACCATGGCAATGATCAGGTGGAACTCGGCTCGCCCTGAACGCATCCCGATGTTGCAGAAGTACGAGCCGTTCTTCCACACGGTTCACATCTCCATGCCCAACATGGTCAAGGACGAGGACCCCGAATTCCACAACTTGACGCACGACCAATTCCCCGGCACCTTCACCGTCTACAAGCAGGTTGCCCGCACGATGAAGCTCATCCTCGACACCCAGCCCGAGATCGACGGTCTCATGTACTACCACTTCGACGCTTGGATCGACCCTCTTGGCTGGACAGGCATGAACCCCTACAACATCCACTTCCCCGCCATCATCGATACCGCGCCGCCCTCTCACGGTGGACCCGAGTACATGTGCTTGACCGACATCAAGAACTACAACTGGTGGGGCTGGGGCCAGGACTTCCACCGCACCGCCATGGCCGCGGCTGCGGTTGTCGACAACTTCGACCTCGAGTACAAGGTGCGCCGAGATGAGTGGTGCGTCGGCTGGAGTGACATCTACTACATCCCCCGCCGGTTCTTTGCGGACTACATCTTCTTGTCCGAGGTTTTCGCCGGCTTCGGTGTCTTCCACGAGGTCGCCATTCCCACCATTATCCACATCATCGACCAGAGCCGCCGCCGCAACCCTTTCCGGTCTGTCATTGATCACATCAGCGATTGCTGGGGCCACTGCTGCAGCTCGAACCCCAAGGTTCGCGATGTTCTTGGTGCTCGGTGCGGTCACCGCCTCAACTACCTCGAGGAGGTTCCGACGAACGCCTTCTACGACAAGCTCGACGCCCAAGCCAGCATTCTTGGCCAGCCGCTCAACGCGACCAAGTATGCCATGACTAGCGCCGAGAGTGCCCACATGTTTGATAGTGCGGCCCTCGCTAGCCTCAACAATGGCGACGCGAAGAAGATTGCCCCTGCCAAGGACGACGCCCTCGAGGATGATCAGCGGGCGGACAAGCTGGCTGCGGACAAGACGGCACAAGAAAAGGAGAAGCTCAAGACGGAAAACGCACCTGTTGACAAGACCGGCAAGCCTGGCGACCCCAAGGCGGACCCCAGCAAGGCCAAGCCGCCAACAGAAAAGGAGGGCCACAAGGAACCGCCTAAAGAAGCTCCCAAGGAGGCCCCGAAAGAGGCACCCAAGGAGGCACCGAAGGAAGAGAAGAAGGATCCAAATGACGCCCTGAGGGACACCGATGCCAGGCGGAGGGTACGACGCGAGGTCGTCGCCGCCGTGGCCGGGCTGGGCTACTAAGCCGCTGTAGTACTCTTTTCATCATCCTACCTGTCACATTTACATTTTTCATTTCACTTTCTTCGAGATATCCCGCATCGGAAGGGGGACCCTGACGGTCGAACAAACGAGCAACGACACGACGAACGTAGCAGCGGCGGCGGCGGTGGCAGTAGCCCGGTAGATATTGCTTTTATTGCATGGACAGAAATGTATGTCCTCAACAAACTGAATGGAGTACGCGCGCATATGAGTGTGTGCGTGTGTCGATCTGTGTTTTTCTGGATACGGTACGATATAGACGTCGTCGTTTTTTTTTCCTACAAGCTTTCTTTCTTTTTTCTCCCGGGGTGCAAGGGCTGGTCGGAAGGGGGGAACACGGCGCAAGAGACGGGAACCGCCGAGGATTCACAAACAGTAGCAGCGGTTTTATTCATTTGTTTTTTCTCCGGTCCTGGGAGCACACAGCTGGACTGGACCTGGCTTTACAAAAAAGGAGTGTAATAAAATTTTTCTCATCTTTCTTCATTTGTCTTGTGCTAGTGTGTGAGATGTATGATGCAGGGGAAGTGTGATCGAAGGAGTCCTGCGCAGCGGATTTGTGATGAGAAAGGGATTGAGATAGAGTGTGATGACAATTCTCATCCTGAATCCGTTTATCTAGTTATCTGGTTAGTGAGGATTCAGATGCTAGAAAGGGGGAGCGCGTGATTGAAGGAATCCCGTATGTAAGAAAGTCCGACGGGAGTGTCCGACGGGGTGATCTTTAAGGAGGCGGTCTCCGGTGCGTGGTTTTGGGTTCTTGGTGGTGTTGCTCGGGGGCTTGGCTGGGTTTTGATGGGTTTGGTGAGGTATGTTCTATCGAGGGACTGGTCGGGGAGGTTTTGGATGGAGATGGTTGATAAGTGGCCTTTTGAAATGGGGATTAGGTTTGGGTTGTCTTGATATGGTGTTGAGTATTTATGGTCGATGTAGATCGGACGTTATATTCCTCACTTTCACCGCAGACATATTCACTCATTACACAAGATGGACAATACAAAAAAGTGATAATATGTAACCAATACTCTCCCAGACCCAAAAATGATTACAACTCCTCCGTAACCCACTTGTCCTGTGCCCCCGCCGCGGCCTTCTCCTCGTACGAGCCCCACGAGCTCCGGAGCGCCGTGGCCTTGAAGTCGAAGGTGATGCCCTGCGCGCCGTCGCCGCCGCGGGCGAGGAGGATGCTGTCGAGCGGGTTCTCGGTGAAGTAGAGCATGGTGCCGGCCTCGACGCCGCCGTTGACGTAGACCTCGAGGACGGAGCGGTCGATGATCCCGTGCAGTGTGAATTCGACACTCGAGTTGGAGGAGGATGAAGAAGGGGAGGATTCGAGGGCTTGTACGTCCGAGACGCCGAATGTACCCGCGCGGTCCCAGGCGTTGCTGGCGCGGGCGATGTTGAGGGTCGCGGAGGGGAGGCCGTCTGCGTCGGCGGCGCCTGTGAATTGGAACGCGAGGGAGACTTTCTCCGTTCCGGCGGCGGATTGGGAGGCTTGGAACGTGAGTTCGGCGGAGGCGGTGGAGCCCTGTTGCTGGAGGAGGGACTTGGGCATGCGGACGGTGAGGGACCACTCGACGGCGGGGTTGAAGTCGCGGATGACGGAGGAGGAGCCCTCGATGCCGGCGACGTCGGACTCGTCGAGGATGGGGTTCCAGCCGGGGGTGGTGCTGGCGAGGGCGGAGAGGTCGCCGGCGGGGAGGGAGACGAGTCTGTTGGTCGCGGCGTCGAGCCAGTGGCGCCGGATGCCGCCCATGCAGTGGCGCCAGCCCTCGGGGTCGGTCGGGGTGCAGCAGCCGTAGGAGGTGGCGTCGACGGCCCAGGTGATGGAGTAGGCGTCGCGGTTCGCGTCGTCGAGGTCCTGGAAGTGGAAGAAGGCGGTGGCGTAGTTGTCCGGGCCGAAGTCGAAGTCGTGGATGGCGTAGGAGGTGTCTTGACGCGGGTGGACGCCGCGGCGGGAGATAGGGGCGTCGGGGGTGAAGGTGGTGCCGTCCCAGGAGCCGGTGAGGTACTTGACCTCGGCGCCGCCGGTGGGGGAGCCGCCGCCGAGGCTGAGGGTGAGGACCCACTTGGAGCCGACGGTGTTGCCGGACTTGTCCTTTGTGGGGATCTGGAGGAACTGGGGGCACTCGATGAGGCCGATGTTCTGGCCGGGGTTCCAGATGGAGACCTGTGTCCAGCGGACGAGGTCGGTGGAGGTGTAGAAGGCGACCTGGTTTTCCATGGAGAGGACCATGGCCCAGGTTTTGGACTCGTGGTGGAACGAGATCTTGGGGTCGCGGAAGCCGTGGCGGTCGAGCGAGATGATGGGGTTGTTCTCGTACTGGTTGAAGGACTCGCCGCCGTCGTAGGACCAGGCCAGGTGCTGGGACTCCTGGTCGGGCTCCCACGAGGTGTAGTAGGCGATGATGTTGTCCTTGCCGCTGGTCTTGTTGGACGGGAAGAAGCCGGAGACGTTGTCCTTGTCGACGACGACGCTGCCGGACCAGATGGAGCCGTCGCGGGCGGTGGCCGGGATGGCGACCGGGTGGTCCACCCAGTTGTAGAAGTCGGTGGCCGTCGCGTGGCCCCAGTGCTTCACGCCGGATCCGGGCACGTTATCGGCATCTGCGGGTGATCAGCGGTGGCTCTTCATGACATAAAACGGACTAGGCCGAAAAGCCTCAATCTCAAACAGTGCGGCCCCCGGAGACATGCGGAGGAATGCGGTGTCTCAGTCCGCCCGAAAATGCGGGGTGACGGCTCGCTGCAACGGTTCATCATCGCGCATGTGAGAATTTCCGTCTTTGGGCAGCGTCGCAACAACCCTTCGCGGCCAAACGGGCACTAGCACGTGGTGCAGAATGTGTGCAGAAACCGCAGATCCAATGAAACGGGCGGAAACACGCCATCGAACATACGGCTGGGTTTGTGTTCAAAACGCGGCGTTTGGTGTTTGTCCCTGCGCGATGCGTTCCACAACTCAAAATTGGACGATAGGGGGACGGTTTGAGGTCATGAAAACCGACTACGACGATTGGCGAAAAAAAGACAGGAATTCCATATGAAACTTGATGACGGAAGAAAAAAGGGACTTACACTGGTAGTACATGTGCCAAACGCCGTCAGAGTCGATGAAGAGACCGTTGGGGTCGTTGAGCCAGTTGGCGGGCGGTGAGAAGTGAATCTGGGGTCGCCAGCGGGCGGAGCGGTCTGCGCTGGCCATTCTGGCTGCGTGGGCGGAGCGTCTCAGTTCTTGTGAGAGGTGCTGTTCTGATGCTGACGACGAAGCTGCTGCTGCCGCGTCTGGGAAGAATCCTGGGAGTGCGTACGTCGTCGTCGGGGCCACGGCGAGCAGTGTCGACAGGAGGGATGTGAAGAGGAGATTCTGCCGCATGGCTAGGCGAGTCCGGCTCCCCCGTGTTCCTTATAGAGAACCAGTGTCAAAGTCTCCGGGCGAGACGGTGCGGGTAAGCAGGCGGGCTGTACTGAGGGGAGGGGAGAGGCCTGAGGGCTGTCCCTGATCGACAGACTTGGGATGGATTGAGTAGCGGAACGTGTCAGGGAAAAGGTAGAGTGTGGACTCTTAGGACGAAAGCTTGCGGGAGAGAGAGGCGCAGTCGCTGGTTCAGCTGGAAACGCCGAGTTTGGCGAGAGTGAGATATCGAGAGCTCAAAGAAATGCTTTGTGGGAGATACTGGTGCTGAGAGAGACGAAAGATCGTGGACGTCAAGAGAGAAACGGCGGTATTTATCAACGGCCGAGTAGTTAATCGAACTTTCAAAGGGTCCTTCTTTATTTTTTTCTCGTTCAAAACATGCAGCCGCCGCGGGCAGCAAGCAGAAAAAAAAGGGCAGAAACGGCAACGGCCAAGCGTGTCGTAGTGCCATCGGTTTAGCTTGGCCTCCGCCGCTGCCTCAGAAGCAGTAGCACCGGCGCCGGCAGCATGTGGTACATGATTTCTGGCCATGTTCTTGGTGTTGGAATACGCCTCGGGATGAGAAATCAGAGGTACCTCACGACGACGCCAAGAGAGAATGGGGAAAAGAGGTGGCATCACACACCAGAGACAGGTCTCATGACAGTCTGCGCGGTTGGCAGGTGGCTGGCTCTCGTGGCCCTTGTTTCTCACCACCCCGCCGACTTCTCCAACTCGAGTGTTGACATTGGGGTAGAGGTGAAGAAACAGAAGTGAGTGAGTAAAGCAAGTGAATGAGAGACAGAGAGGAAAACACCCCGCAAAGAAGCCAGAAAGGAAAGGCCCCTCTTCCCCGGATCTTCATTGGTCGGGTGGCCAGGATTTCCGTCACCGGTGGTGGTTAGTGCCTCGGCGCGCGGCCGGGGATTCAGCGGCCTTGCTGCAGCGGAACACCATGATGGAACCACGTTTCTGGCGAGGACGATGCGGGGTTGTATGATGGGAGTAAACAATAACCATGTGAGAGGGTTTGTTGATTTTGGAATGAGGAGTGAGACATGGTGGACAATGAATGAGTGAGGATTCGAAATGTTTCTGACCTTTCTTTCTTTGACTTTGAACTTCTTTCAGACACTAAAACGGCCGAAAAGTGGGGTCCGCGGTTTAGTGGAGGTGTGCCCCTCACCACAGCAGCAAGAAACAAACGGCAGGTGCCCCTCCACGTCGCGATTGCTTGATGACGCCAAAATGTTCCATTGCTTGACAGATGTCTTCACGGAAGCCAAGACGGATCGCAGCGCTAGTGTTTGCATGTTTGGCCTGAGTATCCTCGATTTTACAACGGTTAGGTTGGCCGTATTCCAGCATAACCAGACAAACATGCCGTCTCTTACACCAGCATCCACTCCATCATCCGACCAGGCGGTCAGATCAGCTTTGCAACGGTACGTATCATCTCAAATCCAACTTTTCTCAAGACCGCGGATCTTCTAGATCACCTGGAAGGAAAAAATTAAGAATACTTGTAACGGCGCGCGAGATCTGAGCGAGACACGGATCGGCGCCGAGTCAAGACATGGGACATTGGCGGCCACGCGCCTCCCGCTCCCGTTCCCCTCCGTCCCTTCTCTCCCAGATCACCCGAGTCATGATGCCAAGGTCACCAGCTGCATGACGTTACCTTCATGCTCCCAAAAGTCAACGAGCATCGCGACTTCGTCTTTTGCCTTCGCGCTCACGAGGTGGTGGTGATGTTTTCGTCCGCCGTACGCGCCAAGAAAGAGGGCATCACCAAACCTCGAGAGTTGGAGAACCTGCATGGTCATTGGAGACCACGCGACAACGATGCTCACTTCGATGTAACCTCTCCCAGACCAAACCAACAACCTCGACAAACCTACGAGGTTCTGGCCTCACATTCATCGGTCCGGAGTCGGCCATTCCAACCTCGTTGCCAGAGACACCGATCCCAGTGCGTCTCTACAAGATGCGAGATGTCCTTCCCCTCCTCGGACTGGCCTCTTTCGCGGCCGTTGCGATGGACACGACGCACGCCAAGGGAGGGCATTCGGGCTTTCTAGCTTCTCTGCCAACATCACGAACCATCTTTTGCACGTCTGCCAAACCCGACAAGTCGCGTTCCGCGGCGCTGTGTGGTGTTTGTTCAACCGCCGGAGCTGCAGATAACCCAAAATCGACGCTGGGTGTTCGGATGACGACGTCGTCGCCGTGGCTCGTGTGTTCGATGCGACTATGCGACATGCGAGGGCCGTCCGCTGCCACGGCAACTTCGTAATGCCTCATGCAGCATGCGAGTGCACGTAGCATTCACCGCGAATCGGGATCCGATACCGACAGCGGCTGTTCCTGGCTTTTCCGACTTTCGCGGCCCGACCTCGTACGGCGTGCTGGACGACCACCGCGTCCACCGCGGAGATGTTGGACCGGGCCGGAGTGCTTAGCCTCGCGACGGATCCTTCATATGGGCTGTTGACGCCACGCCGCTCGCCGGAGATCCCAGGTGTTGCAGGTGTTGGCTTGACTCCGGCCGCACCTGACCATGGAAGCCCCATTCCGTTGTGAAATGCAATGAATAAAGTCTTTCCGGAACGACCGACGAGGCTACGTCTAGGCCGTATGTCGAGTGCGGCTTCATTCATAACATGATGTGAGGTCGAATCTGCCTCGAGCCGTTCTCGCCATCCTTATTCCCAGGATCCATGCCGAGCGAGGCGGAGCCCTGCGCCAAGGTCCGTCCTTTGGGGAAGGCCATTTGCCCCGGGATATCAGATGAGCTTGATTATCACCAGGGGAGGGAAGGCGGTGGGCGGCCAATGACGTGACGATCAAGGTGAGGCGGAGCCCGTGTGAGGTTATCGCAATGGAAAAGGCGGGAGAATGTTCCCCGTCAGATCTTTGTGGGTTTTTGACGGCGGGGAGATTACCGAGAGAGCGGTGAGAGTCAGACCGAGAATCAGAGGTCTGAGTCGTGAGTGAGGGATATCTTGGTTGATATCAACGTCATGCCTAATCACTAGCGATTTAGAGCCTCCATCGCACTACTCAACACCGTCGTGATGATTCCTCACCCAACCTCACCTTAGCCTCCCCGTACATCTCACCTCCAAACAATCCAGACCTCTCTCTCTCACGGAATACGGTCTGGGTCCCGTGGCTCCCCGAATCCACTCCTCCCTCTGGCGTCATGACATCGCTCGCCCCCATCTCCGGACGAATCAGACCGTCCCCTACCGCAGGCGGAGCGGAGCCCAACGAGTGTTGCTTTTACCATGTACGCTGGGCACGCATGCAGCATTCCCGAAGCGACCATTTCCTCTCTTTTCCAATTGGTCTTGTTGGTGCAAGTCACCCACACATGCGACCCTTGTAGCCAATGGGCGGACACGTTAGCGCCGCTTTCTTCACGTTTTTTGAGGCCCCCTCCCCACGTCGATTGCACCGCCCCCAGAACGAATGCTGGGCTGTTGGGGACGTTGGTTTTACTTAAGTAGAGGCGCGGCCCGGTTTGGGCTTGATTTTCCGCGAAAGGCAAATCGAAAGAAAGCTTCTCGACTTTTTTTTTTTTTCTTCCGCACTCGTACCGTGCCCCACAATTTGATAACCTCCGAAGGACCCCGCCGATCGCCGGACCGCAAAGCAACCTCTCACCTCCGAGATTCCGTACCTAGAACCCCGGAGCCGAACACCGCTTTTAAGATCCTGAATATTTCCCAAGGATCTTTGACAACCCCCGAATTCTCACACACAACAACCCACCGGAATGGCCCGATAGCATCACTACTCCCAAACACCCACCACCAACAGCTTACCGCAAAAACCACCCAATACCTCTTTTGGTAACCTCCCCGGAGTATCATCGACCATTCTGAGAAGCCGCATGCGGGGAATTTCCCCCGCCTAAATTCTTTGACTCGGTCAAAGCACCCCCCGTCTTCAACCGGGCTCGCTGTTGCCTCTAGTCGCCCCCTCACATCCCATCTCAATCGCCTCTGGCCCTCCTGACAAGGAGCTCCAGCTCGAAACCACCCACAGTCAACAAAACCACACACCGTCGACCAAGGTGGCGTTTTACCTGGACACCAGCACACGACCGAACCTACTCGACTCCTGTTACTGCGTGTTACTCGGCAACGAAATCTGCTACTGCGAGCACTACTACTCCCCGGATTCCTCCAACGCCTTTTTCGAATCCGTCACGGATCCCCCTCCCCCCCTCCAGTTCGCGTGCGCGTCGTCTCCGGTGACAGGAGCTCCGCCGCCGCCGCCATGGAGATCACCTACGGCACTTGGTGTCACGGAGTGTCCACTCGGCACCCCCTCCTCTTCTTCGGGGTCGAGCCCGACCCTGAGCCCCTTAATCGAGAATGAGAGCGACAGCGGCGGGAGTGGTAGCGGTGGTAGCAGCGGTGTCGTGAGTCCCGTTTCCGTGACTGCGCCCGCGTCCGCTGCTGCTGCTGCTGCTTCCGCCGGTGGCGTCGCTGGGGCTATTGATATCTCCCGTCTGCGGTTCGAGTGCCGCTGGGACCACTGCAGGAAGATGTTCAAGAGACCGAGCGATCTGACGTGAGTTCCCCCAGCCACCAAGTCTATTTTTTTTTCTATACGATGACGTTTTACTGACACGGCCGCGACAGCAAACACGAACGGTACCACGTTAAGGAGTACCTCTGCCCCTCCCCCGGGTGCGACAAGGCCTTCGCGACGCAGAAGGACCTCAAGCGCCACGGCAAGACGCACGGCACGTCCGACGGTGTCGACGCCGCCGACGCCGAGGGCTACCGGTGCCGCGTCGCCGGGTGCCGCAAGGCCATGACGGGCCACGTGTACAACCGGCGCGACAACTTCGTCAGGCACCTCCGGACGAAGCACGTCGGGATGGAGCTCGAGGGGTTCGTTGCGAGGGAGGAGACGATGATGTGAGGCGCGTTGAGTTTTGGAACATTGAGGCTTGAAGGGGTAGGGAATTGGAAAGAGTGAAGGATGTGGGGGATTTCACCTTTTTTTGATACCAGGGAAACGAAATCGGTTTTTTTCTTGCGATTTTCGCTTTGGTGGGCATGGCACGTTCGTGCTCGAGGGTTTTTGGGGTGGCCAAATGGGATATGATAGACACGGGTTTGGCAACTTTGCTCTTTTTGGGTGGGGATAGATAGCGGTTTTGCTGTCTCTCCTGTTTCTTCTCAGATACCTCGTCATGTTTTATGAATCTTAGACGGCTTGCGAGTCGTAGTTTCGCGGTTGAGTTATAGTAGGAGGTAATACTATGACGAAAAGTCTTAGATTCCTGAGGCTTTCGCAATTATAAAACCAACTTGTTTTACCGTTACTTGAAACGACAGACATGTCCAGCCTATAATTAGTTGTCGATTATGACGCCCTTCGCTTCGCTTCTTTCGTTGTTCAGTGAACATGACGTTGATAACCTACACGGCATATTGCAACAACTTCACTCCTCCATGCGAACGAGACACACATGTGGTCGCTGAATACGGCGATATGCCACGCAATGGTTTGAAAAAGCGATTGCTTCCGATAACATTTTCCATGGGCCGATTTTACCGGGGCCGCTCATCCCTATCCATCATGAAAAGCGCCATGGTCCCGATCGAGAGAGATTGCGGCGCGGTTGTGATACGTCACGTGTGTATGTAGCCTCTCAGCATGAGGGGTATGCATGTCAGAAGAGCACCACCCCATTCAGCTCGCCTGCACAAGCAGGCTTGGCAAGCCGCAGGCAGCTTCGCACAGCCCAACGAAGGCTTGTGGTCTCATCTTCGCCTCGTCCACGAGATGTTTGCAAATCCCCATCATTCACTCACCAGCCCGTAGCAACCCCACCCCCATGGAGGCCATCGCCGCCGTGGCGCTCGCCGGGAACGTGGCCCAGTTCCTCGAGTACGCCGTCAAGGGCGTCTCCAAGATGAACGAGCTGCTCAAGAGCCCGGACGGCACCCTGAAGGAGGACATCGACTTGAGGCTCATTGCCGACGGCACGCGTTACTACTCGAATAGGGTTTCCCTCAACAAGATTGCAAAGGGCACCGAGACCCGTCTGGAGGACGTCGACGCCGCGCTGGCGACCAAGAACGACATGAGCTTGAGGTTCGACTCTCCGACGTCCCCCGAGCGCCTCAGGAACGACGATATCCTTCAAGATCTCGTCTCGAGGTGTCTCGCCGTGGCCGGGGAGATCTTGGGAATCCTGGAACTCCCCGGGATCTGGGCGCCGAGGTCGGATATCTTTCTTCGGGTCAAGATCGTCACGAAGACGTTCTTGAAGCGATCCGAGTTGAAGGAGTTGTGGGATAAGCTGTGCGCTCTGAGGGATCAAGTTTCGGCTCATCTGCTGGTCCTTCTCCTGTAAGCTTCCTGTCGATTGGGTCCTTCAATCACGTCTCATCGGCGCGTTGTTAGAGTAATCGTGGTAACCGAGGAACAGGGAGCAGCAGAGCAGCCTTGACCAGACTGTTCGGAACTTGTGGCTGATGAGTGAAGAATCCTACGCAGACATGGGAAAGAAGTTGGACACAATCATACGGGAAATCCGGGTTGCCAACCAGACACCTCCGCCCGACGCAATCGTCCACGTGCCAGTCGTGCAAGACGGGGAGCCACCCAGTCCTCAGCAGAGTCTTGAAAAGGTCCTTGTGTTCACAGACTCGATGCTTTCGGTCGCCGGAAAGAAGAGGAACGGCATTTTGGATTCGTTGCACTTCGGCCAGCTCGAGGAGAGAGAATGGGCCATACCGGACGCCCATCGCGAGACCTTTGAGTGGATTTTCAAAGGCAACTCCGACAAGAGCACGGTCGGCATGGCCAGCGGCACCTTCATAGAATGGCTTCAGCAAGATGACGGCGTGTTCTGGGTGACTGGCAAGGCGGGCTCGGGGAAGTCCACTCTGATGAAGTTCCTGACGCACCACGCCAAGACCAACCGCCTCCTCTCGAAGTGGGCAGGCGATGGCAGTCTCATCATTGCCCAACATTACTTCTGGAGCTCGGGTACTACGATACAGAAATCACACGAGGGGCTGCTGCGAGCACTCCTGTTTCAGATCCTCACCCTTCAAACCGGCCTCATGCCCGTCGCGTGTCCGAGGCGGTGGAACTCGCCCTCCGCCGACTCTTTCAGCACATGGAGCCGGGCCGAGCTCCTCGGAGCCTTCGACAACCTGGGCGAGGCGGAGAACGCGACGTGGAAGATATGCCTCTTCATCGACGGCCTGGACGAGTACCACGGAGATCCCGCCGAGATGGTCGACATCGTCCAGCGACTGGAGAAACTGCCCCGCGTCAAGGTCTGCGCGTCGAGCAGGCCGTGGATCGAGTTCTCCGACGCCTTTGAGAAGCAGAGGTGGAAACTCTACCTGCACGACCTCACGACTGCGGACATACACAGGTTCGTGCGGGATAACCTCGCCGGCAACGAGCGGTTCGACGAACTCCAGCGGCGGCGCGGGGAGGATGCCGAGGCGCTCTCTCTCGAGATCACCAGACGGGCGCAGGGCGTGTTCCTATGGGTGTTCCTCGTCGTGCGGTCCCTCGTACGAGGACTGAAGTACGAGGACAACATCCGAGATCTCCAGACGAGACTGCGCGGCCTCCCGACGGATCTGAAGGAGACGTTTGATAGGATGTTGGCGACGATAGAGGACGTGTACAGGGTCCGCACGGCGCGGCTTTTCCTGACCCTGGCCCACGCCGCGAGCAGTTTCCCGGTGGTGGCGTTCTACTTCATGGAGTTCGGCGACGGGGCGCCGTCCAGGGAGGCTCTGCCTTTCCTCAGGGACTGGCCGGACGTGGACCTGGAGCGGGCGAGGGCGCTGGACGCCAAGAAGCGGCAGCTCGTCGCGCAGTGCAAGGACCTCATCTTCATCACGCCGGTGCCGGACACGCCCAAGCTTTTCGACCAGCGGGTCGGCTTCTTGCACAGGACCGTCGTCGATTACATCAAGACGGAGGACGTCGCGGCGCAGCTGGCGCGGGTGGCCGGCGGCGGGTTCAACCCGGACAAGATACTCCTCGACGCCAACGTCGGGCTGCTGAGGTCGCTGGTCCACCAGCACCGTCTGGTGTATATCCGTCCGCACCTGAGGCAGTGGGTTCTGGGGGCTCTGTACTACGCCCGGCGGATCGAGGTCCTTTCGGACCGGGCCGAGGTGGGGGCGTTGGACGATCTCGAGGCCGTCATCATGGGCGCGAACAAGAGCTGGGACTTTGGACATGCCATCGCGACTCTGCTCGACCGGACGAGAGACGACAACTTTGAACCGCGGTCCTTTCTGGAGCTGGTCTGCAGGTGCGACATGGCGTCATACGTGAGGAGCAGGATGCCCGAGTTGACGACGGCGGCGTTGGATACCGCGGCGCCGGGATGGAGAAGTCTGATCGACATCAGGCGAGGTGAGGGGTTTGAGGTGTGCGACTCTGATAGGAGCGAGCAATCGCTCGGTGACTGGAGACTTGGAAGGCTAGTCCGGTCATCGACCAAGAGAGAGGAGCTGCCTGGGTCGAGGGGTCTATCGCCGCTGCCCGTGGACTCTAGTCAGGCTTCATCGTTTTCGGAGGACTCTGTACAGATCGGCGCCGTCGTGTCAAAGGACGGGCCGAAGAGGAGGGATAGGGTATCTTCCCGGATGAGGCACCTTTTCCGGAGGAAATGAGACGGGGAACGCTGCCCGGTTTCTTTACTGTCTCGGGTTCGGCGGCCCGTACGTGCGGTATAAGTCCTGCGACGGTTCTCGGAAATCGCCCCCCTCAGACGTGATGATTTCTCTCAACGCCAGGACAACTGGAGAACCTTAGTCCGTCGTCGCTGGGTTTGCATCCGAAAAAAGGCAAGCGAATGCGGTTTTGGATTCACTTGCGAGAAAAGCCCACTCGTAAGTCATGTACAAATCAGCAATCGTTTTCTCTGAATATCCGCTCGACGTTTGTTGCCGATTGCGTATATGTCGGCAGCAGCGATCAAGACGGTATGGTATGTCTCTGCATCTCCGAATCACTTACGTCGATGAACACACCAACATTGCATAAACACCTCAAATCATACATGTCCAACATCCAAAATTCATCAAGCCGGCCCCCAAAGGCATTGCTCGCCACAAAGCCCGCAAAGCCGCGTGTCGTCAAACACCGGCGGCAGCAGACCCCCCGCCACGGAAAAGACCCGACAGGCCGGCCCAGTCCGCCGGGGAATGGTCCGTCCGTCCGTCCTCGGCCCCGGATCCAAGACCCCTCCCCCGCAGTCCAATCGGCTTCGATAACGGAGGGGTTTCCAACGGCGACGAAGAACCGACGCGTCTGCATCGTTTCTTCTCAACGCTACACGAGACCCAAGCGCCCAATCGTTCCGGGTTTTGGTCCTCTCAGGCGGGATACTCAGACGCAACTTGCGAAAGCTGCTTGAGTCGTGTTGCTGGGTGTAGAAGTAGGGTGGGAAAACCACTTGGTTGTATGTTTGAAGAGTTGTAATCGGCGGAGGATTGATGACTGGATTTGTTTCGACAAACACCAACGTCGCCGAGATTGCGTGATCGGCATGCCAAAAGGACAAGGATTACAATCCATACCTCGCCCAGAAAGCTGAACCTTTCAGCCCATCACTGCTCAAAAAACACACCTAGCCCACCAAAGGTCTACACCGTTCACCGAAGTGAATAACGCCTCGGTGAAAAAGGCACAAACCCCCCGTTTCATGTTATCAAAGCACATCGCCCCCCATCTGAACCCCACGATTCCCACCACCAAACGGCCCATCCCGCATCAATGAGTATCAATTGCCCAACAAACCCCCCAAATACGTGAGTGAATCACTGATTCGCCAAGGGTGTGTTTGTGTGTGTGTGTTGACGATGATCCCTTCCCCCTTCCCCCCCTCTTCCCGCTGTCAAGGTCGCATACAACAATCAATCCAACAACCCCCCCCTGCCATGCGTTCGGTAGCATTGACTTAATCTCGCCATGCTCCACCCAAAAACCACCTCGACCCTCATCATAAACGAGACGCGAGGCCAAAACAACACCCCCGAGAAACGTTAGAAGGCGAATTTTCATTTCTTTTTGAAACGTAGTTCTGTGTCTTGACCGAGGAAGGGAGATATGACGAAGAAAAATACCGACAGCGCGGAGCTGGCGCGGCGTCTGGATGGCCAGGTCATGGTTGTTCCCGACTTGAAGGGGATGATGAGCCATTGGCCGTCGGGGAAGAACGCGCACTGCTCGGACATCGAGGCGCAGATCAACGAGATTCTCGATCGGTGAGTAGAATCCGGGGTTTTCCGAGCCGGAAAATGATTTTTGAGGCTGACGGGATCTAGGACGGCTTCGGCCAAGGATAAGGCCAATGTGATGGAGGCGAACCCCGCCTTGCTCGCATCTTGGTGAGTTTCTCTGTTTGAGAGTGTCTTTTCACCAGCACTTGCTGACGGGAACATAGCCTCTGGCCCAACGCGTCGCTGGAGCAGCTCAAGACCCTGACCCAGATGGTGCTCTGGCAGGGCCGCCTCGATGACTACATCGAGACGTTGGAGTACGAGGATGCGGAGCGGGCTCGAGAGTTCCGCCTCAAGACGAAGGAGTACATCGCCCTCTATCTCTTGCTGTCGGACGTGCCTAGGGACCCGCCCACTGCGAGCGTGGTCGCCGATTTCCAGCAGATCGCGTACGTGATGTGCCGGAACTATGACAAATGTGAGCGTGTTGAGTGTGCGCTGCTGTTGTCTGAATGCTGACTTCTGTGTAGACCAGCGGAGGAACTTGAGAGTCAGCCTGTTCGACTACATCGACTCGACCATCTCGGAGATGAGATACATCCAGAGCGGTGAAGTACCGACGGACCGGTACTACGAGGATCTTCGCAAGCGGACGGCGGGTGCTGGGCCGTTGTGTGCTTTGGCCGAGTGAGTGAGAGGAACTTGGCGGGCTATGCGATGGTTTGCTGACGGCTGCAGGTTCGTCGCGGGAACTCAGTTGCCTGGATTCGTGAGCGGCTCGACGCCGTATAAGCTCATGTTGGATGCTGTATGCACCATCGTCGGACTGTGAGTCGCGTCGAGCCCGTGTTGAGGTTGATGGACTGACGGAGTAAAGGACGAACGACCTGCTATCGCTGAGCAAAGAAATGGTAAGTCGAGGGTGAAGGTCCTCCAGCGGCCGGTGACTAACGTGCTCCTAGCGCAAAGGACGAACATTCAACGTCGTGCCTGTACTCCTCTGGAACGGCGATCACGGCGAGCTGCAGGAGGTGGTCGAGCACGTTGTCGGAGAGATCGAGAAATGCGTGAAGAGTTTCGACGTCTGCGAGGCGAGATTGATCCGCCAGCACCGCGGCGAGGCCGAGGAGATCAAGCAGGTGACCGAGGCTCTGAAGACCATCTGCACCGGCAATTTGACTTGGAGGTCTGTGAATCACCTCTCTCTGCGGATGGGATGTGAATGCTGACGATGGACAGTCTTGAGTCAAAAAGATACAACGTCGGCGCGCCGGAGGATGACGGGAGTTTGAGGCAGGAGCTGAGGGCCCATTGAAGGAGGGAATGATTGACGGCAGGGTTGGTCGAAGGCAACGGGAGATGACGTTAATGGCGAAGAGAAGCCCGGGATTAGAGAAAGATGGCCGCGACGGCCGACGGAGGAATACCCTAATGATGAATGATACCCAAGCCTCAATAGTCGATGCAAGCCGGGAATGAGAGTCGACGTCGTGAACCTTGAGAGATACTCGATTCCAAAATCAGCGAGGAAAAAGAAAGGTGAGGCTTTTCGGGGACTGACATTATCAGAGACCTGCATGGCGAGCTTTTTTACGAAGACCGCAGGTTGGCATTATTTGGTTGTCTCACAGGGAAGGTCGGCGATTGGGGGCACGTCGCTGTGATGTCATGCTGTAATTTCCCAGCTCCAGCCAAGCGAGTCTGCCACTGTCTCAATCGGGGAAACAGCCCCCCCTGCCCCCGCCTCTTTCTGCCAGAGCTTTAAGCTTTCAGCTGGGGGAAGTGAGGGAGCTTCAAAAACATTGATCCATCCAACATCGCGCCGTCGTTTTCAACTTCAATCAAAGTTCATCTAGACCAACTCACATCCACCAACACAGCACACAGATACACACAATGGCTTTCCGCGCCGCCGCTAGAAGAGTCGCCCTCGCCCGCCCCGCGGCCCCGGCCGCCAGGGCGTTCAGCTCCACGCCCCGCGCCTTCGTCAAGGTCGGCGACTCGGTCCCCGACGCGCCGTACCTCGTCGAGAACTCGCCCGGCAACAAGGTCAACCTGGCCGAGGAGTTCGCCAAGGTCAAGACGGGCATCATCATCGGCGTGCCGGCCGCCTTCTCGCCCGCGTGCTCGGCCACCCACGTCCCCTCGTACATCAACCACCCCAAGCTCAAGGAGGCCGGCCCCGTCTTCGTCGTGTCGGTCAACGACCCCTTTGTGTAAGGCTTCCGAACCCTCGAGATTGGTTGAGAGAGTGCGATGCTAACTGGTTCACAGGATGAAGGCTTGGGGCGAGCAGCTGGACCCTGCACACGACAGCGGCGTACGTTGAGTTGCTATGTGATTGAGGGATTGAGTGCTAAATACGTCGCAGATCCGTTTCTTGGGCGACCCGGCTGCCGAGTTCACCAAGACGCTTGATGTCCATTTCGAAGAGAGTGTTCCCATCTTCGGCAACCTCCGTGGCAAGAGATACACTCTTGTCATCGAGGACGGCAAGGTCAAGGAGGCCCACGTTGAGCCCGACAACATCGGCACCAAGGGTGAGTTGAACTGTCAAGTCCAGGGATACGATTGCTAACTGATGGGATAGTCTCTCTGGCCGACAAGGTTCTAGGATAAGTATGATGAAGAGATTTCAAGACGAGGCTCAATCAGCTATAAGAAGAGAATAAAAAAGCGTGTGCCGTTAGATCAATGTTAAGATCTACCAATGATTCGCGAAACGCCATGAGTATGTGAGCTCCAATCAAGTTGATGAGCAGTCTTCCAAACCGAGCCAATTCACACGCGAGGGAACTTATAGGCTCAGATATTAGACCCTTAACCAGCAACAACGAGTGCACATGGCCAAAACCCTGGTCTTATTGTAAAACGGAGGAGCCGGCTGGGTTGAGACGAGAGCCGGCGGGGTGAACCCGACCTGGCCGACCCGGCGAAGGCCACATGGTGCCGGTGCCGGGCCGTTCCCGCCTGACAAATGCAAGGGGACCGCCGGCACCGGGCGCTTATCTAAGCTCAGGGGCTTATCGATAAAGATCAGCTGACTAAGAATGGAAGCCTGCAGGCCGCCGAATCCTGACTGGTGGCGCTCAGGGCAAGCCAGCCAGCGTCATGCAACCCACCCACACCAACCCAGACAGACCCAGCCAGCATCACGCAGGCAGGACAGGGAGGCCTTCTGAGTGAGGGAGAGAGGGGCATTTCGAGGGCGAGGGGCATTGACGCGCTCACTGACAAGGAGTCACCTGCACATTTGTCGACTGCAGCGACTGGACGAGAAGGACGCCGGGCACGGGGGGAGGCTGCGACTGGACTGGCTTCATGGCGGTGGCCCTTGACGCCTTTTTACAGCAACTTAATAGCAAACATGACGGGACTGGGACTGCATATGAGACGCCGCCATAGAGCGCCCCTCGAACGATGCTTCAGAACCGCAGAAGCCGCAGCACAAATCATGGCGGTCTAGGTACACACTTCAACCCTGCGCTTGAAAAGGAGAATGGAAAATGGGTGAGATTGAATAATAGGTAAATCCAATAGTCTCATGTCAGCCATTGGATTCAAATGCCCAGCCAGACACAGGCATCTGGACTTGCACTCATCCTCTCAGTCAGCAACTCCAGTCCTTTGCAGAAGAACCTAGGCAGAACAGACAGGGTGGTGAAGGCAGAAGTATCTTTCCTCAATGAATAGCACACAAAGTACCTCGCTCTCCATCGTGCCTTCCAACCAACAACTCCGTCATCCGCCCGCGCCCACCGACTCCAACAAACCAGCAGGACCTGACCAGGCAGGCCCAGGCGGCACCTTTCAGGTCAGGTCACTAACTGAACTGCCTCCTGGTCGCCTTGCCTCGCACCGCACTGCGACAAGTCACGCCTAACACCGCCCGCGCCCTCCCGACTTCCTCCCGCCTTTCATCCACCCAACCGCCAACCGCCGCAACCCATCCCACCACCACCACCACCACCGCTGCTTGTACTCGCTCTCGCTCCACGCCTTACTTTGCTCTCTTCTCTCTACTTTACTCACTTCCCGCATCCTTACAAACCCGACCGCTCTTCGCCTCTTCCTTCCACATCCCAACCACAGGCTGCCCGACCGAGTCCTTCCGCCGTTAGTAATCCGGCGACCGTGACTCTTCCTCCGAGGCGGCACCTCTCCCAAACCCTCTCTCCGCCATTCTCTGCCTGCTACCAATCCATCCCGGCCTCAGCCTTGGATCATCGCAGCCTGGACGTTATCGGCCCCTCCACTTTACAGTGACTCCCACCCAACCACGTCCGATACTCGATACTCGACACTGCAACCCCTCCCTCTTCGCTCGCACGCACGTCTTTACCTCTTACCCAGACTCCGAGTCTCGTCGTTTCCACTTGCGGAAACCTCCCCTCGCCTCCACCCAAAGTCGGCACGATTCCTCCCACCACCAGGAAGCGAAAGGCCGCTGAGGCGACGATATCCTCCAAATCCCAAGACGTTTTGCCCAACAAGAGGATCGCCTCGGCTGCCACTCAGGACGCCCCCCCAACACCTGTCACTACTGCAAGCAACGGTATGGATTCCGAGGAGGATTTCATGTCCGCTCTCTCCAGCGAGGACGAGATCATGCAAGACGACAGCGGCGACGACATGTCGGGTCCTGACGGTGAGTTTTCTGTTCCTAACCATGCCCACCTTGACTTCTCTGACGCGTTTGCCCTCACAGACTTCGACGAGGACGACTTCGATGACGAGCCCGACGTCGACCTCGGCATAGTCAAGGACTCGGACAGCAAGAAGAAGGTGGCCTACGACATTACCTACAAAGTCTACGAGCCCAAAGACATCCAAGCCCAACAGGATGACATGATTGACGAGGTTAACATGATCCTCAACATCCGCAAGGAAGATGTCGCGATATTGTTGCGGCACTTCAGGTGGAACAAGGAACGTCTGATCGAAGATTACATGGACACTCCCAATAAGGTTCTGGAGGCTGCCGGTCTTGGGTCCAACGTCACCGGCCCGCCAAAACTGGAGGCCATCCCGGGATTCATGTGCGACATCTGCTGCGAGGACGAGGACGGTCTCCAGACGTTTTCTTTGAAGTGTGGTCACCGGTACTGCGTAGACTGCTACCGCCACTACCTAACCCAGAAGATCCGCGAAGAGGGCGAGGCTGCACGCATCCAGTGCCCCACCGAGGGCTGCGGCCGCATCATCGACTCCAAGTCCCTCGATCTTCTCGTCACCCCCGAGCTCGCCTTACGATACCACGAACTGCTGAACCGAACATATGTAGAGGACAAGGATGCCCTCAAGTGGTGTCCTGCGCCGGACTGTCCGAATGCCATCGAGTGTGGCATCAAGAAGAAGGACCTCGACAAGATCGTCCCAACAGTAGCTTGCGGATGCGGGCACCGCTTCTGTTTCGGCTGCATACTAAACGACCACCAACCCGCTCCCTGCGAGCTTGTCAAGAGATGGCTAAAGAAATGTGCCGATGACTCGGAAACGGCGAACTGGATTTCGGCGAACACAAAGGAGTGTCCCAAGTGCAATTCGACGATCGAGAAGAACGGAGGCTGCAACCACATGACCTGCAGGAAATGCAAGCACGAATTTTGCTGGATGTGTATGGGTCTGTGGTCAGAGCACGGCACCAGCTGGTACAACTGCAACCGTTTCGAGGAGAAAAGCGGCACCGAAGCTCGCGATGCCCAGGCGAAGTCCAGGATATCGCTAGAGCGCTACCTGCACTACTATAATCGATACGCAAACCACGAGCAGTCAGCCAAGCTGGACAAGGACATATACCATAAGACAGAGAAGAAGATGGTACAGCTCCAGACCGCCTCGGGAATGTCTTGGATTGAGGTGCAGTATCTCAACCAGGCGTCTCAGACACTGCAAACATGCCGTCAGACCCTCAAGTGGACCTACGCCTTTGCCTTCTATCTTGCTCGCAACAATCTTACGGAGATTTTTGAAGACAACCAGAAGGACCTGGAGATGGCCGTCGAGGCCCTGTCAGAAATGTTCGAGAAGCCGGTCACGGAGCTTTGCGACAAGAAGTTGAAGGTCGACATCATGGACAAAACGTCGTACTGTAAGAAGCGGCGCATCATTCTCCTCGAGGACACCGCGGACAACCTGGCCAATGGTACGTTATCCGAGCCCCTCATAAAATTCAATGCTAACTCTCGCGCAGGTCGTTGGACCTTTAACGTCGATCTCATCAACCTGCCGACAGGTGCCGCCACAAGCAGCAGTCGCCGCTGATAAGAACAGCACAGTACGGCAAACCGGCTTAGAGAGAGCACGTAGAGATGAATTCGGAGTTTTTCACAACGCCAAGCGGGCTTCTACATACAGCCCCGACCCTCAAGACTACCACGCCAGTCTAGCAACAAACAGTATGGAGAAAGGCGACTACCCCGCCAGTCAGGAGGTCTTTTGGCTTTCCATCGGAAGCGGCACGAGAAAGAGAACCCCAAAGATGATGACACTTTTTTACATAGGGAAACGGTTTTCAGAGAGCGCTAGAAGGGAAAGCGCATCATGGGCATTGTGTACGGTACAGGTTGTCTTGTTTTTTTTTCCGGTTACACACACACACAGACTCCGCGCGTGTCCCAGGCATAGCGGCAAATTCAATGCATCATGCCTCTTTTTTGGGCAGAATACCTCCTCCACTCTCGCAAAACCCGGTGACATGCCTCGCCCCCGAAACTGATCGTCGACATTCGAATTTTTTTTCGATGTGCTTCGTCTGAAGGAGGCGTACCGTGACTTGTTGATGACTCGCGGTTTTATGTTTTGCAGAACCTACCTTGGGGCGAGCGAGGCGGCGGGGGAGGGGAGGGGAGGGGAGGGGAGAACTATGACGACGATGGTCCGAGGTCGCACGTTAGCCGGGGCCCCCGACGGCGATTGATGCAGGGGGGGATGGGAAATCTCTTGGCGACGGAACCCCGTCCGGACGAGTCGACGTCGACATCTCCTTCATCACTCATCTCTCATCTCTGGTTAACCTTTGATTGGGAAGAAGTTTTTCTCGAATAATTGCTTGTTTTAAAAATGTCCTTCCTCGCAAGATGTATTTCCTACCACGGCTAAAAAACTCCTATGCCTCTCGGGAGGGCAAAAGAAATGCATACAAAAAGACCAATCCGAGTCCAATACCACCCGCCCCGTTTACCCTTCTTCGCCTTTCCTCTGGGCCCACGCGCGAAAGGGGTGTGTGGCTACAAATGCTGCTTCTCATTCCATACAGCGTAAAAAGTCCAAATGCTTTCTCCTTTGAATGTTTCCATTAACGTCTTAAAAAAGTTGGTTGTTTGTCCCTCCCTTTCGGGGAGGAGGATATCATGATCATGTGCCTGGGACGGGCACCGCGCGATGGGTTCAAATCCTGTACGTCGCGTTGGGGTATCGCATTCGACGAGTCGTCATGGGGTTTTTCGTTATGATTCAGTTGTACACGAACCGGGAGAGGTTCAGAGCCCTGGGGCGGGAGTCTCGTCCGGGCTCGTCCGGGGCGCAGAAGACGTCGTCGTTCTCGCCGTCGCTATCGGGGACGAGCTGGTCCTCGCTTCCGCACGGCGCGTTGAGGGCCTCGACTTCGGCCAGGTCGACCTTGGGGAGCGGCACGAATGAGGGGTTGACCGGGATCGACTTGAGCAGCCGGTTCTTCCGGGGGCTGCGCTTGGGGCTCCGTTGGATCGAGCTCTTCGTGGGCGACAAGGTCCGGCGCGCCGGCGGGTTCTTTCGCTGGAGGGCGCGGGCACCGAGACGCTGGAGAGGAGTGAGCATCGGGGTTGCCTTGGACGCGGCGATGGACGAGCCGGCGGAGAAGGTGATTGAGGACGCTGCGGTCGAGGGGGCGGCGGTGGACGGCGTGAAGATTGACGATTGCTGCGAGACCGCCGTTGCCGGGGTGTCCGGCTGACTTGAGGGCGCCGGGCTCGGCTGTGAGTATGCGAATTTCCGCAGAGACGACCGTCTTGATGTTGTCTCCTCTGACTTCTTTTGGGAAGTCTCTTCCACCTCAGATAAGTCGCTCGGAGGGGTGGTCGATATCTCTTCATCCTTGCTAAACTGACTGTCTGTGCTGATAGTTGCTTCCGTGCCTTGGCTCTCTCCTGTGCTTTGGCTTTCCTCAAAGACTCTTATTGACTTCGGTTTCGGGTTGTGCCACTCGTCAAGGTCCGGGAGATTCAGCAACTCCTCGTCGATTAAGTCGTCGGAGAACAAGAAGCTATCCTTCTTGCTCTGGTTTGCGCTTCCGCTCTTGGGGAAGAACTTGCTCTTTTGGGATTCCTCAGATTTCGTTTCGGTGTGGTCCGTTTCGGCGCAAAGTCGGACCTTCTTGGGCGGTCGTTGAGAGCCACCTCTCATTAGCGCGTCGATGTCGTCCATGGGGTCCTTGGAATCACCCATGGTAACACGTCGAGAGTCGCTCGAGCTCGGAGGGGCAAACTGTTCCAGCATGTTCTGGATAGGCTCCGTCCGCCGTCGGAGAAGACGCGGGGAGGTTGTCGAACGGGCGGTTCGGGTGGGGCGAGGGGCACTCGGCTGTGATGAAGTACCTTCGATGTACGGCCGGGGCAGAGGGAAGACGCGAGGTACAAGACCATTGTGAGTGAGAGCTGCAACTCGTTCGGGGTCGACAGAGAAACAGTTGCTGTCCATCTCGCCCATGGGAATGCGTTGATGGCCCTTGAAGTAGGAGTCGATGGGCTTGACGGGTGGTCGTGTGCGTGTTGATGAGGAATTCGTTGCGAGAGCGTCGGCAGACTGGGAGTGTCTTCGTTTTGCATCCGACTTGGGCGACTTGGATCCAGGCATGGGCGCAGGAATTATCGTCTCCTTGGTCATCGGATTGACGTCTCCAACAGCGACGGCTGTAGCCAACTCAGGCTCAACGTAGGCACCGATGAACGGCATATCCTCCACCCCCTTGCCCTTCTCAGGCTCCGTCAGACAGACCATCTCCTTCTTGATCGGGCAGTAGACTCGTTGGTGGATGAACGTTAACTCGGCCTGGAAGAATCGTGGTAGGTAGTTCTCCGAAATGCGGTGCTTCCCCTCGAACTGACACATCCGGACCAATCGTTCGGGCGTCTTGTACTTGCGCAGCATTCGGTAAGCCGTCTTCAATCCCATATTGTTGATCCCCTCCAGGTAGTCGCAGCCGCTCAGAATGGCCATGCGGCGAAAGTCGGTATCCGTCCAACCCGTTAGTGACACCTCCCGACACGCGCAAAAGTCCCTGCGGTTGATTTCGATACAGTTGCCATACTGGTCCAGCTTCGTCAGGAGCCGCTTGCATCCAAAGACCAACAGATCCGAGTCCTCAGAAAGGATGCCGTCGATCAGGCCTTGGCGTTCGAGGTAGACGAGCTGAGCGTCGGCTTCGTACGGTGCAACGACGTACGAGACATCCATCTTCTTCAATTCGTCGATAAGATTGCGGGCCATTTCTGGTGTGACGTCGATGGCCTTCTGAAACTCGAGCTGAGCCTGTGATGACTTGCCGGCCTTGACCAGCTCCATGGCGAGCTTCTTGCTGTTCTCGCGTCGCTTTTCTCGGGATCCTTCGGTTGCGGCCTTGCTGGGAAGGTAATCGCCATCGAAGACCAGGTAAGGCTTGACACCAAAGTGCCGAAGCATCCTCACCCGGTGCATAGCGAAGTCGACATATCTGGGACGGTGTCAGGAGACGACACTTCGGACATACGGATATGCTTATCATGCACAGCCAGTGTTACTTACTTGCGGGTGGGCTTGCCTTGGGCTAGGTCAGCGGCGCAGGCGATGGCTCCACGATGAAGCCATCCGTAGGCATCGACGCCGAGCGTCTCCCCAGCGAACTTCTTCAGTTCAGTCGGCCTGTGGATGGACTTGAGCAGCGGGAGAAGGCCTAGTGGTGGTGAGAAACGCAATGCACGAGGCTCGAAGCAAGGGAGCGCAAGTACCTGAGACGCCCATTGTTGATCAAAGGGAGCGGTTTGCAGAGCTTCAAGGTGCGGACTAGGGGTTCCGAGGCCTTGGAAGGTCACTCTCAGTCCGGTTCTCAGGCCACGAGCCCGACAGAAAATGGCGAATTCGATGCTCTAGGCCATCCGTCGAGAGGCAAGACGCGTCAAATGGTGGATTCGCGTAGTTGAACAGAGTCGGCACGCCAAGTCAGGTGATTCGAGGGGAAAAGTAAACAAAGCACTTAGCGCTTCGCTTTGACTCGGAGAAAGTAGCGGTCGGTCGGATGGCAGTCGCAGTAGCGGAGGGGATGAGATAGTTGGGAGTTTGAAGTTGACCAAATTCACCGCGGACGCTGAGGTCAGAGGAGAGGAGATGTGCAGTGGAGTGAATCGCGGCTTCCTGCACGGGAAAGGGACGTCCGGGGGGACCTGGTCCTGCTATATTGGAACGCGGGTACACACACCGCGTCAGGTCATATCGCGACTTTTTTTGCTGTGGTCCAGGCGAGAGAGGTGCTCCCGAAAGGGCTTAGCGCAGGTGGCTCTGGATTTCCGGAGCAACGTCACTTTGGCCCGATCCGGCTGCAGGTTCATTGGACCCTTTTTCGGCTTTAGTGGGGCGATCTTTTTTTTCTTGAGAGTGCGTGCAGCGAAGACTGAGAATTGGAATGGGATTTTCATTTTCATCGTGGGGCACAGACACTGACATCTCAAGTAATTACTTCGTTCTCAGCTTTTGGTGTCTCACTCACGACATCTCACTCCTGCCACGTCATTTCATTTTCCGGGTTGCCGTTCAAAATGCCTACAACGTTATCCAAGACCAAGAAGCAGATTGCGAAGAAGCGCAACGGTCAGGTCGTGGCCCTGCATGAGTTCTCCCGAGACTCCAAGCGCCTCCACAAGGCGTCGGTGAGGGACGAGAAACTCGAGAAACTCGCCGCTGCCAGAGGCAAGAAGGAGGCACCTATGCGTACGCAGACCAATTGAGATACTGTGATAACTCGGTTCTGACTTGTTGCAGTTGACCGCGCCGCTTACTTCCAACTGGCTATTAAGGAGAAAGGAACAGTCCCACTCGAAATGGCCACCATCCAAGACCTCATTCACAAGTACGTTGGCGTTCTACATAATTCATGGATTATCAAGGCTGATTCAATGTAGATTTGTGCACCAGCATGATGAGGAGTACGCCGAGGTCAAGAAGACCCGCCGCCCTGGCCGTCCCGCGAGCGCCAGGGAGGACCTCCTCAAGCTGAAGATTTCGACTCTCGAGGAAGAATACAAGACCAACGGTTTCTGTCAGTGACCTCAAGTTTGCTCTCTCTTTCTTTATGATTAACACTAACGCGAACCAGTCCTGCCCGACCTGACCGATGCGTCCAACGTCAACCTGCTTGACCGCTGGGAAGGCTCTTGGTCATTCCTCACCTCTGTCGCCTGGGTGAGGATAACTAGCGACGGCAACGTCAGGAAATCCAGCTTCCCGCCCAAGGGCAGCTCCTAAAAACCTGACGGTAGCATGTCGGCGTTTTGGCGTTTGGGACGGGGAAACACTCAGGATTGGACCTCGAGGCAGAAACAAACAGCGAATCATTCGAAAAAGATGGGGACTTCGGCTCTAGTTTCTGAGTACGGCTTCGTACGGTGATTTTCGCGGGGGTTCTTCGCGGGTCGATGTCTCAGACAAACATGCGCCGTAACAGGAGTCTCGTTTGGCCGACAGACAAAATTTCTCCGGTTACATACAGCAATCCCGTATGAGATTTCGGAGGCGAAAGCTCGGATCACAGCAGACCACGCGCGGCCAAACCACTGGATTACCGACTTCACCTGCATGTTCTCCAGCATTGTCGCACAGGTCTCGACGGAGGGATTGGCGGCAAACGTGGTGGACATGTGGTCGGCGTGGGAATGCGCCGTATCGACCGTCTTCTGAGGGACTGCGGCATCCGTCGGGCAGGGCAGGGTTTGGACTGGTATCATGTAGAGGGCAAACGCGGTGGCCTCGTTTGAAACATCTCAGTAGATGCCGCAGGCGAGGCTGGAACACGATCCATCGATCTCCCAGCCCAATATCAACCCATAGCCGGCTTCCGTCGAAGAATCATTGGGCTGCCATGTCACACACCAAAGTGACGATTATGTTGCGAACCGCTGCCCCTGTCTATTGTCTGATGACTGACGTCTTTTCCTTCTTCCCCCGGAGTGGCTACCCGGTCCAGAACCCGGCAGCGATCTGCCCCGAGCCTCCTGGACCAGACCACTGGAACCACGTTGTTCGCCAAACAAGCCTGCCCCGAGCCGTGCCTCTCGTCTCATACTTAAACCTAGATCCCATCTGTTCCAAGTGCTACATCGCACAGCCGGTTCTCTCCTTCTGCCGTTCGAAGACGGCTACGCGCCTTCGACTTTGTGACGGCGGTCAGCACTGCCCCTGAAGACTCTCTCCACTTGACTCAGACCGATCCTCCAGTGGCGAGCCCCGTGGACGGTGTCGTGGGAGATCGCGAGGTGTAGAAGGATCGGAATGCCAGCGCTTACTCCCAAGGATCTCTCGAGTCCAAAGGTGTCACGAGGTTGGGCTGACCAGCTCACTGGTTCTCCAGGACATGGCAGCGGGATCTCAGGCGTAGATATAGTCCTCGGGAGATCTTCATCGTCGTCTTGTCGTCAATCATCTCCCGCCAACCTCAGAAACTCTACTGTCGATCTTGCTGATCTCCTCTGCTATTACACGCATCTATCCGCATAAGTTTCACGCCCTCTTCATAAGGTCAGTTCTGGTGAAGGAACTTGGTCTCCCGCGCCTAGCTGATAAGAGCAGTCACTATGTGCAAATACATCACGCACCTTCGCGTTTGCAACGTCTGCAGCCACGAAGACACAGTTCTCATCTCAGAGAGGCCATGTATGCTGGCTAAGAGAAACGGCACCTTCGGGAGCTGTGACTCGGGTATTGGCAGCGACAGCAACAGCACTCGCCATCACTGCTGGAAGTGCAAGGAAAGGATCCGTCGCGTCCCTCGCGCATCGTCCGCACTACAGCGGGTCAGTCTACATTAAGGGCATGAAATGGGAGACGAGATGAGATAGGTCAAGGATTGCCAAAGGCATGCAATGGGAGGAAAGTCATGGGCACGAAGGCACCCGAGTTTCTGGAGCGATGCTGGCATCGATGTCTTGGGATTCACCGGGTTGGCGGGAAGGATAGAAACAAGCAGCCAGGGTCCTGAAGATCCCCAGCAGCTTCACGGCGGCCCCTGTTGTTACCGCTTTCAGTCTAGCTGAGCACAATGATGAATTAAACAAGAATCTTCTGTGGATTCCTCCGAGAATGAGTGGAGGAAGTCGGGTGCTGTCGTGCTCGCCCAGGTCCTTGTTCGGGACGGAAGAACATCCGACCCGGCCTGGTCTGATGTCAAAAATTTTGGGAGCTCTGGAAAGCTTCTGCGCAGACCCGATTATCCACACCCTCCTCCAAATCTCTTCCATTGTCAAACATCACGAGTTCGACAGCACATCCCCCAAACAGCCACAATGCTTTCCATCAGATCCATCGCGCGCTCTGCGCCTAGAACCCTCACCCGCCTTACGGCCACCTCCCTCAGACAGACCGCCCGCCCGAGCGCATTCGTCAAGGCCTCATCATGGAGCGGCCTTCAGAGCGCATCCGCCTTTTCCAGCTCTGCCTTCAGAAATACCACTGCCGGCGAGACCGATGCTGAGCTGGTCGCCAAGCTCGACAGCGAGATCCAGTTCGAGGATGAGGTCAAGCAGAACGAGCAGCTCCCCGCCAGCGTCAAGGACTTCATTGACAACAGCCCCTTCGAGCTCCACGACACCCCCGGCCAGGAGGAGGTCAAGCTTACCCGCAAGTTTGGCGAGGAGAAGTGAGTTTCTATATCTGAGTTCAATCTTGAACGGCTTGCTAACAGCTCACAGGATCACCGTCACTTTCTCCATTGCCGACCTCGCCAACTACGACCCCGAGATCTACGACCAGGACCGCGCCCTCGACGACGAGTACGACCCCTCCGACATCCAGAACCCCAACAAGGAATCCGGCGTCCAGGCCGCCGGTGGCGCCCGCTCCGCCAACGCCGAGGAGGAGATTGAGGAGGAAGACGCCGACCTCGACGAGGCCGCCCCCCCTTGCCGCATGAGCATCGTCGTTGAGAAGCCCGGCAAGACCCCCGGCGCCCTCAACATCGACGCCACCGCCCAGGACGGCGCCATCACCGTCGAGAACATGTTCTACTACGAGGACGGCAAGCTGGCCCACGCCGGCTCCGCCGACCTCGCCCACGCCCGCGGCAACGTCTACCCCGGCCCCGCCTTCGGCAGCCTCGACGAGGACCTGCAGATCCTGATGGAGCGCTACCTCGAGGAGCGCGGCATCACCCAGGCCCTGGCCGTCTTCGCCCCCGACTACATCGACGTCAAGGAGCAGCGCGAGTACCTCCGCTGGTTGAACAACGTCAAGGGCTTCGTCAACGCCTAAGAAATGAAGATATGAACCAAAAAAAAAACGACAAAATTCGGCGGGGGGCTTATGATGACGCATGACGGCGAGGCGCGTGTGCGCGTGTGTAAGATGAAACGAAACTTTTGGAAGAAGCTTCTTGGCTTGTCTTTTAGCTGTTCCACTCTACAATGTACCATACCATGGCTTGGCTAGCGCGCCAGAGGCCCAACATAAGAAACTATAATATCAAAAATTCTCCTTTATCTTGGGCTGCTGTCCTGTCTTAGCTCATGCTTCAGCGTTGCGCTTGCTGCAGTACCTTATGGTGAGGTTTAGGTTCAAATCCTATTAGCGCTATCTGGTCTGATCTTCTCTTTTGGCTCAGTGCGCTATCAATGTCCTCAGGTGCGGGGTAACAAGGAGATATGAAGGCGTCTATGCAAATCAGTTGCATTGATCAGAAAAATCGAATATGTACTGAAAGTATGGTCCCTTGTCGTAACCACCTACCAGTCCTCCCTCTCGCCCTGGACAAGCTCATGATGCTCCGGACAAGTACCACCTTTGTGGAAACAGTCTGCACATATATGAAGCTCCCCGTACTTGCAAATGGGACAATGCTGACAGCCATGGTCCTCAGAAATCCCCAGGTGGCAAATCTCACAACAGTGTTCGAATTGGTCGCCCGTTCTGTTGCTGACCTCCACATCCGTAAACTCGTCGTCAAGAGATAGTCCCCGCCGCTCAGCATCCGCAACCAGAATTTGACATATCTCACCATGTCCGCATCTTTTCGCCCACCACAGGGGCGTCTTGTCGTTGAAGTCCCGAGAGTCTATTTGGACAGCGTCTGTGGCCAAGAGGGCCTTCACGACCTCCACGCGGCCTTTTCTAGCCGCTACCGAGAGAGGAGTTACGCCGTAGTAATCTTTCAAGTCCACGGCTTCGCGAGCACTCTGCAGAATACAGTTGAATAATTCGGCGTGTCCGTGGAAAGATGCGTGAAATAGAGGCGTTCTGCCGAGCACATCTTTCGTGAGGGGATTGCTGAGTTGCTTCTCAAGCAGGAGCTGAACAATCTGCTCGCCGCCGCTCCACGCTGCACACGCTAGTGCCGTCCACCCGGTAGCCGGGTCTACGTCTTCTGGATCCAGACCTGTCATGTCTAAGATGACCTTGAACATCTTGAAGTGCCCGATTGATGCCGCGCCATGCAGGAGTGTCAGGCCACCCATGTGCTTCACCGTTGCGTCAGCCCCCTTCTCCAGGAGAAGCTCGACTATGTCCACCTGGCGGTTGAACAGCGCATGCCACACAGGTGTCAATCCATCCTCACCAGGCTTGTTGATGATAGATTCGTCTTGCCTAATGAGCAAGTCAACGACTTCCTCTTTACCCCCAAACGCAGCTGCGTTGAGGGCGGTGCCATGAGTACCGCTCGACTCATACATGTCGGCGCCGTTTTCGATGAGAATTCGGACAACCTCTTCATTGCCGGCGAGTGAAGCAACTTGAATAGCTTTCCCGTATTGACCGCCTGGTGTGCTGACAGCTGCCCCGCGCTCAAGGAGCATCTTGGCTACTTTTCCAGTTTCCGCCCATGAAGCGGCCGCGAGGGCGTTGCCCCATAATCCGCCAACGGCGTTGACATCCGCTCCGTGATCGAGAAGTATCCGGACAACCCCCTCATGGCCCATTCCTGAAGCGGCCTGAAGAGCGTTCGCGAAACGACCCCCTTGTTCGTTGACATCCGCGCCGTTCTTCAGTGCTTCCTCTACAGCGTACTCAACGCCGCCGTGGGCCACGTTGTGTAGCACAGGAGTATCGTTGACGCTGGGACGCCCTTCCAACTGCCTATCGGGACCATGCAGTCGGAAGCAGGTTGTGTAGGCGTTCCTGCTGCGCAAAAACTCTACGATGAGCTCGCGAACAGTGCCGGTATCGGATGAGATGGCATGTTTCATCCAGTACTGTGAAGCATACTGCGCTAGTGGGAACCGGCGTCGTACGTCTTTGAGCTCAGCGCTGTGATCCAATTCCAACAGGTACACGAGACAGACTTCCGCAATGAGACCCCTAGCTGAAGGTTCCGTGAAGTGTTGAGAAATGCAGTCGTTCGAGACCAAGAACTCCTTGACCGAGAGGTGTGCAAGTTGCACTTCTTCCACTCCGTTTTCCCCAGGCGACACAATTATCAAGCTTGAACAGTAGTTGGTAATCTCTCTGGGTCTCGGCATTCTGTTCTTGGTGTCGAACCTGGGTTTGTTGGTGGGGAAAACGACGATGGCATCAGCAGCTTCCTTCAGTCGTAGAGGTCGTTCGGAGAAGGCAAGAAATTGCAGGATCTTCCTGGCGGTGTCTTTTTTCGTGGACGGCACGTTATCCCATATTCGTTTGTAGGTTTCATCTAGAGTTTTCGGGAGTCTGTTGAGAGCGCTGTCGAGTTCGGCTTCATTTAAGCAACCCTCGAGAGCATCTAGTTGGCACTGGACCCAACGAAACCTATGGTGCGACTTAGGACCTGGAAGATGCAAGCAGTTCCAGTGAAATTCTTTTACTCACATTCCATTGGATTTCTTGATCAGATTGCTTTCGATCTTGCGTCGAGCTTCGTCGTGTTCTTCTGGGTCCCATCTGTCGAGGCCTCCACATTCGAGTCGTCCTTGGATATAGGAACATATGTCGTCTGAAACCAGGTCGCTTTGTATGGACACCTGATAATCAGTCGAATCCTTCAAGACCAGCTCTATGTCAGCTTCTGGACGACTGGCAGCAATCAAGTGTAAGGTCGACTTCGGAAGATTTAAGACGCTTTTGATCCACGACAGTAAACGCCCCTTCGCGGCGCCGTTTCCTGTCTTGCATTCGTCAAGAGCGTCAATGACGATCCAAATTTCACCAGTTTGCTGAACCATAGTCTCAAAGGCCTTGCATAGGACCTCAAGGCCTGGCTGCTGTGCTCTTTGCATGAACAGAGAATGGAGAGAATCCAAGGGCTCCCGAGCGTTGGGAAACTTGGTGTACACCTGGATTACGAGAGACCGAATTGCATGCTCAAAGGACGTTGTGCTGGCATAGTTGAAGTCGAAGTAGAAATAGACACATCTGTCCGTACAGGGATCATTATGGATGAGGTCCTGGACGATTGTCGAGATCAAAATTGTCTTCCCACAACCAGGAAAGCCGTGAAGCCAGAGAGATGAAGAGCCCGGTGCCGTTTTCCAGTTTGAATACTCTCCATTGTCGAGGAACCACTTGCCGGTACCTTCATGCCGTTGTCCCAAGGCCTTGTTGTAGTTTATTGATGGATCCGGTGCAGAGATCCACTGCTTAAGCTGCTGAAAATGCAAGTCATCTTGGATGGCCCTGGTGGTTTGGTGCACTTGGGAGATGTTTTCGTTTACTGGGAGCAAGTATGAGTGATAGTTCCTTTCAATTATAGATGCAGTATACTAACTCTTTCCCATAAACTGATCTATCCTCCGCGACTTTTCCACGTTCTTCGCATCCAGGACCTGCAAAAGTTCCTTCGTGAACGCGGCCGCCGTCGCCGCCGCGTAGTTCTGCCATTGGTCGTTCTTGTGCATGTCTGCGTAGTCGCAAATCCCGCGTACTACGAGGCAGGGGAAGTGATCCATCAGGCCATCCGCCTCCATTTCGATGCACATGCAATTTCCATCCAGTCTGCGAAGGATCTCGTCTCTAGAAACGCCACCCTTGACGACCGAGTCACCGGACGCAATGACGCCGTAATGAACTTCGGGTTCGGTGGATTCCCGTTTTTGCCGGACGATTTCTTTCTTGAGGTCGCAGTTCACGCAGGATCCAGTCCGTTCAGCAGCTTTTTGGCCATCCTGACGAACTAGAAATGTCCCGGTGTTTCTACTCCCATTGGCTAGCCGTCTGGCGGAGGCGTAGAGGAGCAAGAAAAGAGACCACACCCAGGCCAGCGGAAGGCAATAAAGACGTGAAGCAATTTGCACCTCTGGGCGTAGGATGTGCTTCGAAGACGCCTCAAAAAGGCGGTCGTTCTGTGCCCCTTGGTAAAGAAGGCGGCATCGTCCCCTTTCGCCTTTGCCAGATTTGGTTTGTTCCGAATCATCTGATCGAGAATAGTAGATATCTGAGATCCTTCCATTCTCTGTTTAGACCTCAATTTGGTCAGCCCTTTTTGAAGGACATCGGGCGGGTTAGCAAGAGCGCCCTTCAGCTCGAACTGATCGTCCTTTTGCTTTCCCAAGTCGTATTGAACAACCGCCGGACTCGAACCAACGGATGTGCTGACAACAACGTCTCCGAGACGGATGTCGATATCTTCTGCGAGCCTAGGAATGCCAGCACCGATTCCAACCATGAGACCAAATCGGAGATGAGGAAGAGAGCTGGTCATGCTCATCGCCGTAGTGGCTGCCGACACATTTCCTGTCTTGCCGTCTGCCAGTGACGCGATGACGATGTTGTGGTCCCCAATCCGACCCCAAACATAACTGTTCGTATCTTTGGGATGCGCGGTGAAGTCTTCGGGCTCTGCATGCTCCTCATCAACCACAGCCCACGCTGCTGTGAGCTCCTTGTGAAGGGCAGCGATCCAGCCAATGGTATAGTCTTCGGCCTGTTTTGGGGATGACATGGCTCATGTCTTGAATCGAGGTACGGTTCTGAGGGGCCTGGCGAGTAGCGGTGCTGGGGGTCAGTGAAGAAAGTGAGAAGGTGAGATTCCAGTGTGATTGAACGACAACCCTCTGCCTTTAAGTATCCAACCTAAGCTGATGGACTCTCCAATCGTGGCGATGAAAACATGCAGGGTGAGCGTGTCGATGGCCCCCACCGAGCTCAGCCTGATTTTCTGCTACCCCTGAAAAGATGACAGAGTTCAAAAGGGGAAGTTTTCGCCTTCAAGAACTCACATAATTCGGCTATTATTATTGATAAGTTCAATTACAAAGTTTTGTTTAGGTATTGTGAGCAAACCTTGGCGGACTTGGGCGACAAATCTCCCAACCCTGAATCATTAGACTGAACAATGATCCAACTAGAAGCTCCCAGGAAAACTATTTACAAAGGCAGCACATGGATGCGGGGAATTAGTGTAAGCGAATGAGTTTCGAAATGAAATACGCCCATGTGAATAAGTCAACCACTGAGAAATGATGCGACCGTCATCACGCAGAAATCTACCCCGGAGCCTCGGCACCTACTTGGAAGTAAGAGTGGTTATCGGAACACCGAAGTCATCTAACTGCATTACTATGCTATTAAATGGCACAAGCCAGAAAAGCTACCGCTCATTCTATGTACTCCCTTCATTATGTACTGATGAGATGCAAAACTGCAGGCTGAGCAATGCATGAAAATCAAACGGCATGCCGGATCTATTGCAGCTCTACACCGGAAGCGGCGAGAGTAACGTAGAACAGCTTGGTCTGCCCGGTGATGATCATCCGGCCCTTCCCAGCAAACTGAAAGTTCGCAGCAACAGCTCCTGTGTAAATCTTGCCAATCAGCTTGCCGGAGGGGTTCCAGACGTGAACACCGTCGCCACAGCCAGCATACACGCGACCAACAGAGTCAGTGTGGACACCTGTAGAGGGTTAGCTGTGAAGACCAGCAGTGGAATGAGAACATACCATCAGGGATGAAGGAAGCTGTGTACGCAAATGTCTTGCGGTTCTGCCAGGTACCGTCTTCGTTTACGTCGAATGAGTAGACGGAGGCGGGCGAAGAGAGGTTGCGGCCGTAGAACCCAAGAGCAATGCCGGTGTCGGTGACGTACGCCTTCAGGCCGTCGGGGGAGAAGGTAAGGCCTGTTATTCGTCAGACGGCAACCTGACATGAGTCGGGAGAGTGTGGCTCACCATTGGGCAGAGTAAAGTCGTCGGCAACGACAGCGACAGCGCCGGTCTGGAAGTTGTAGCGGTAGACTTGGTTGCGAAGGCCTGGAGGAGGGCGGAAGTCTTGCAGGAACCCGTAGAGCGTGTCGGTGAAGTACAGCTCTCCATTCCGGGGGTTGATCACAACGTCATTGAGCGAGTTGAACTGACGGCCGAAGTAGTTATTCAAGAGAACTGGACAGATTAGCCTCAAGCACATTTGTGTAAATAGTTCACGCTGCGTTTACCTGTAGTGTTGAATGGGGCCACCGGGTTCATGAGATACAGGGAAGAAGTGATGTTGGCGCCCTGTCCCTCGCCAGCAAAGACGATGTTGCCTTTGTAATTCGTACCACCTATTGCTGTGAGCCGTCATGCTCAGAGAAGGAGTTAAGTTGCATACCGTTGGGGTTGATGACTTGCGGGTTGGAAGGCACAACCGTGACGTTGGCCGCATTCCTGAGACCCTTGCGCACCGCCTCGGCCTCCTCAAGTGAGATCTTCTGGATGATGGATGACTTGTTCAAACCAGTGCCTGCCGCAGGAGCACCGGCATTCTGAACGAAGAAGACCTCCTCAGTAGGAGGATACCAGACGACGGCTTCGTGGAAAATAGGATCGGTGTCAGAAGTAGCAATGAGAGTCAACGAGGGATCCTGTCCAATGACATCGTAGAACTCGTTGTCGTAGATGTGAAATGGCTTAGCTTCCAGGGACTCTTTGGTAACACCAGGCCAAAGGAAGAGCTGGAGACGAGTCAGCAAAGACAGATCCACGGGCTGAGAGTGACGGGCTGCGAGTGACGGACCGTTGAGTCATTGGCCTCAGCGGGAGGGGGCACGTTCTCAAGGACATTGAAGCTTTTCCAATCAATGAGCTGAGCTGCGGCTGGAAGTTCGGTAGCAACGCTAAAACCGAAGGAAACCAGGTATCCGGCAGCAATCACAGCCAACAAGGACGGCATCGTTGCGTTTCAGGAGGATTGTCGCTGATGGTGTGAGACCGGACGCAACTTTCTCGCAGGAGTTGGGCGCGGGCAGCTTTGTATGCTGCAGTCGACACGACCCAGTTTCTCAACCCTTGCCGCCTTGAAATTGCATAGTCGCAACTCTTGATAGACTAAGATCGATAGACTAAACCATTAATGAGTGCGGCATACGGAGAAAAATATGGAGTACCAATGAAGCTTCCCCAGATTCTACACTCCGAAATTTAGCTTTCGCGGAGGTGTTCCCGTCCTGCAATTCCACCTTGGCAATCGTTCGAGTCAGTCGAATTTGGCAATTCGTCCGCATCAGGGACGTAATCGATGTAGCACCCACGGCATATAAGCCGGGAAAGATGCCAAGCGACCGGCTGCTTCACAACATGATGGTGATGGAAGTCCAGAATCTTTGGCCTCATACGAGTACATGTCCAGCAACATGTCGGGATGAAGGAACGACGCCACAGGTGATAGAATGCAGGTTTTGGAAATGCAACTCTCAACCCCCAGCGGCTCACTAAATATCAGTTTTCCGCGATTCTTATATCTCTAACACTCATGCTTCTGGTTATGATCATCCCCCTTCTCGAGAAACACTTGTCCAATGCCATCATCGTTTTATGAGTGCCTTGGGTATAGCACTTACTCGTGTCTTTTGGAGTAGAGTTGTGGCTCGTGTCGACTTGACACAAGCTTTTTCGCCTTTTCCTGTTCGTGACTCGCGAACTATCTTCTTGTTCCAACATCGTTTTATGGACAGCTTGTGACAATGGCGGAGAGCGAGCTCAACACCAAAAGAGTTCTCGTCGCCATTATCATCTGCGTCTTCATCAGCATCGCTTTCTACAACGTCGTCGAGCTCACCGTCTCGATCTTCACTTCTTTCAGGAAGCGGTCGGGGCTGTACTTCTGGAGCACTCTCATCGCGACGTGGGGCATCGCTTTCAATGGCACCGGCTACCTCTTAATGCACCTGTCGCTGACGGCAGAGAAGACTCTCTATGCGACACTTATTCTCATCGGCTGGTGCGCCATGATTACGGGCCAGTCGGTGGTGTTATACTCCCGGTTACACCTTGTCATGTACAGCCAAAAGCGACTACGATGGGTGCTATACATGATCATCGCAAACGCAACTTGGCTGCATATCCCGGTCATCGTCTTGGTCTACGGAGTCAATTCTGCGAATCCGGATCCTTTTCAGAACCCTTACAACATCTTCGAAAAGATTCAACTCACCGTCTTCTTCGTTCAAGAGATCATAATATCCGGTCTCTACGTATGGGAAACGACCAACCGCCTTCGCCTCGAGAAAAGCATCGCATGCGGCAACATGCGCACGCGAACGATCATGAACCACCTAATCTTGGTCAACATCCTGGTTGTCTTCCTCGACGTGACGATCCTGGCCCTCGAGTTCACCAACCTCTACGACATCCAGACAGCATGGAAGCCGCTGGTCTACAGCATCAAGCTCAAGCTCGAGTTCAGTATCCTAAACCGACTAGTCAGCCTGGCACGAGGAAGCAATTCGAACAGCAGCTTCTACGCGCGCAGCCAAAGGCGCGGGCAGACGAACGATGTTGCGCTGGAGACGTTCAGCGGCGAGCGTTCAAGACAGTTCACGCCAGCGGATGAGCCGGAATACGAGATCCGAATCGGAAAGGGCGAAAATAGCTCTGTTCCGCCCATGCCGAATGCGTATCCGACGAAGACAACTGAAATCACGATACACACCCAGTCGCGGCCGACTCATGGCAAGAACGACAGCGATGACATCAGCGTGGTGCCGGACAAAGACAGAGAAGGAGACGTGTGTTCGACATCTTCGGAAATACAATTCGCGAGATACTAGCACGGCAAAATTCTACAGCCAACAGGTTCAATCACAAGTCGAGAACGCCAAACAAATCATCATATTGGTTACGTTTCTTTCACATTGATGGTTCGATCTGCTTTTGTTTTGTTTCGTCACCATTTTGCCATTAAAAATCATTTCTAATACCATTCCGCGTGTTCACACCAACGATGTTACGATTATCTGGAGAAAAGGGGGCTGAGGGTTGGGACAGCCAGGACAGGCGTTGGGACTGCCACTGTTGAATATGCGCTTCTTGATATCATAGCACTATAGAAATATCATGTTCGCACGTACATCTCAAAGTCGAATTCATCGTTGGTTCAGACATGACTCGAGAACCACGGACGGGGCTTTCCCCCCTTCCGTGCCAGTAATTCCTAGGTAAGGCAGCGGGCTGGGACGACGAGGGCACGTCAAGCAACCGAGATGGTAGCAGCGACCCACGGCGCTTGTTAAGCTTAATTGTCTTTGATATTCTTCGGCATTCTGGTTCTCAAGGCAACTTTCCTCTCCTTTTCTACCCCGGCCATTCCCTGATTGAACATGCTTCCAAGGAGGTATGGCGCGATGCCCCTAGACATGGGTCGTTACCTTGGTGGGTAGTAATAGTCGTCAGGATGCTTTCCTCAGTGTTGCATTTTGATTTCTTGGCCTCAACTCTGCCCGATTCCCATGGCCCCCACGTGGAACACACTAAGGAGCAGGTCAAACTACCTAGGGCTTATCGATTGGTGTCGCGACAATACCCTTTTCTGGTTTGCTACTCCGGTCTATCCGTACCTTGTTGCTCCTCGACCGGACTGACGGATGTTCGCCGTTGTGCATGGTGCCTTGCGTCTGGACGACTTGCTCCGGCAGCTTCAATGTCACCACTTGGCTTGGTAAGTAAGTCTGAAGCTGGCAACTTCAATTTGGTCGTTCATGCCAAGCATTCTGCCCTACTTCGAATGGGCAATCTAGTTATCTTACCAGTGAACCTTTCCATGGGCGATGGAGCCTGAACGGCCCTGTCCTTTCGACTGCCTGACCGATCCGTAAGGGTTGCTGAGCAGGGTATGATGGCCCGGTTTCCTTGGCCCGAGATCGTACTTGGTTTCTCTACTTCCCCTTTCCGAAGCCTTCTCCATCTGAATATCTCCGAGAGTCTTGGCGTTGGGAAGAAAGGCACGGCGCTTCAAGGACTAAATACTACAATATCATGCAACCTTCAGGATCCTTCAAGCGTGCAGTCTTAATATTCCTTTTACGACAGGGCCATTGATTATGCACAACGCTATGCTGATTTGTCACATTTGGAGAGTCTTGCTCGAAACCCGAAATCAGGTTTCCTGATCGTAATGTGACTTCCGGACGACCGGCGAGTGCGACAAGCTATCACTCTGTGTAGTCGGAGAAACGACGATACTGGGAAGCAGACAAGCCTCACTGGGGAAGCTAAGAGTGCACGAAGATAATGTTACATCTCGCAGTGTCACTCTCTTCTATCCTCAGTTGGCCGGTGAAGAACCTGTTCAAATCAAATGCGTCGGACTGATCCTCAATATGGTCAGGATGCAACTCTTTGGCATTGAATCTATTGAAAAATGGGAGAACCATCCCTTCGACTTCTAAATGACTACGCCTGTTTTTTAGAGACCATTGCAAAACCTCCAATGATACACACAGCCGTATCAACGTCGAGGGATCAGGTAAACATTCATCGGCCCCTTCTGCCACAGAATATACACCTCGCTCTCATCGTACCATTTGCCGATGTCCTGCGTGGCGCGAATCTCAAAGTTCCAAATCAACCTGGCGAGAATCAATCGCATTTCGGCGTTGGCGAGACTAGCGAGCATTAGCAAAAAGACTGATCGAGGAGTCGGGTAGTCAGGCTTGCAGATCAGACACATACTTCTTGCCAATGCAGTTGCGAGGGCCAACCGAGAACGGCTGAAGAGCTGCCTTCGCATCACCGTCGAATTCGGGATCACGCAGCCACCGTTCGGGAATGAACTCCTCGGTTCTCGCGAAATGCGCGGGGTTGTGATAGATGGCCCACTGCCACATATCAACGGTCGTCTATAGCCAAGGCTTATATCAGCTCTGATGATAGACTTTCAAGGCAAAAGGCGCGGTAAGGGGTTCTCTTACTCCTTCTGGGATGTAATGTCTGAGAATCGTGTCGCCTCCTTCGCCAATCATCCGGGGGCTCGGGCTGGGCACGGGAGGGTACAGTCTCATACTTTCATCCAACACAGCAGAAAGATAAGTGAGATTCTGGACGCTCAACATATCTATCTGGTCCTCGCTCTGAAAGGCTGACATGACTTCTTCGGTGAGTTTCGCCAAAGGCCCCGCGTTGGTTGCCAGGAAATAGGTCGCCGCGGTCAGTAATGTGGCTGTGGTCTCCGAGCCGGCGACGATGAGGACGAACGCGTTCGATGTGAGTTCTTCAAAAGACATCGTCTACCAAGAGTCAGCAACACAACATCCAAGCAGTCTTTTCGACTAGTAAACTCACTGAGCCAGCGGATTCTGACTTCCTGATCATGGCGTCGATGAAATCGGGACGGCTAGTGCCAAGATCAAGCCTCTTCCGAACCTTCTCCCGGGATAACTCCTTGTTCTGGGCGAACTTGCTAGCCAAGCTCCGTGGGATGGTCATCATGAGTAATGGCCCGACCCACGACAGTCGCCTGCTGCTATTCAAGAACGCTATATTCTTGATGCTCTGAAAGATGATATCCACCCAAGGGTGGTACGTCTCGTTCTCTAAGCATCCGAATGGCTCACCGAAGGATAAATCACCGATAACGTCGAAAGTAGTGTAATTGAACCACCTTTCAACATCGATAGCTTGCATACCGTCCTTTGATGCTTCATGTAGCTTTTCAAACAGTTGATATACGTATTTCTTGAGAATAGGCTGCTGTGCCAGCATCGACTGGGCTGAAAATCCATGGGCTAGCGCGCGGCGGAAGCGTTGGTGATCTGAGCGATTGGAGCCAATAATGTTATCTCTGTTGGGCCTGGCGTTGATGAAGTCCTTGGGGTTTTCGCCTGTCTTTCGGTGGCCTCGGACCTCTTGCATGCCATCGGGGTGGTTTATGGAAATGTGTGTAGGCCCGACCCGTACAATCGGCCCATATTGTCGATGAAGTCTTAGGATATCGCGATGAGCGTGGCCTGAGACGAACATGCGGACGTACGGGATGTAGGAAACTGCCCAGAACTTGGGACCTGGGAGCTTTCTCAGTGGACTGAAGAAAAGCTGATAGATGCAGTAGCCCAAGAGGTACGTGAGAAGCTGGGGGATGTTAACAAAGCCAGTCGGGGACGTGTCCAGCGCGTCTAGTATCTCCGAGTTTCCCTTCATGTAGGTAGATCAGAACTTACAAGAAGCGCTGCAACTGCTGGGCCCTTCAGCGCCCAGGATAGCTCGAAGGCCCTGTTATTTGGGTCGAACAGCATCGTGCCGTTGATGGACTGGGGTTAGTCCAGGTCCTTGATCAGGTTCGTGGACAGAAGATGTTGTCTGACTCCAGGTAGTACTCGTTTATCCAGTGTGACCGTTCCGATATTTTAAGTTCAGACTGATGCTTCGTGGGCGTTGCCTGCTTCTTATTCAGCTTGGCCGGACCTCCCGAGCCAAACCGGCCGGCGGCCGCGAGCGGATTTCGGCGCCCTTCTTCATACCGCTTTCATATAAATCCGAGACACACTGATTCTATCGGTACTTGTCCAGAGTTCCTGCGTAAAAGAAGAGGTCTCGTTTCTTCTCCCGCTGTTCGACTTAAGGTGCCGCCCCGAGACGGACTACTCCGGGCGGGCCCGGTCGGCGTGCTTACAAGCGCCGGCCCCGAGTAAAATGAGGATTGGGGCATGAGTTTTGAAAATATTGGCCAGAAATATATGCGAGATAACCATGTCATCTCTGAAAGACGCATGCACAAAGCCGTTTTGCTATTTACAAAGTCCTCAGCAAGATGCTCTGAACGTGCTTCATGGTGACAAATGCAAATGCAATATGCCGCGCAATACAATGCAGCCACCCTTATAATCTGGCCATCAATATCATCTCACCATACCCAATGAGTACACATTTGTGCTTCATGGTGACCCAACTCCTCGTTTCAACGGCAAACTCAAGTCGGATCCTGGAATTTGATCATCTCCACTATCAAGCCGAATGTACCGTGAAGACGCGCATTGTGTGTCTCCCATGAACTTCTCTTCTGTATCAGATCTGGCCCGTTGAGCCTCCAGACAACTTTCACACACCATTGCTTGAGGATGATTTGTCATCAACAGTCCCGTGATGAACTGTAAAATCTTCCACGCCGCCTGTAAAAACACCAGATTCGCCAAGACTATCGCCAAGATCATGTTTCCCGTGCTCTTCTGCTCCGGCACTAAGCAGATGTATTGAGCCGCAATGGTGGCGTTGCTGCAGGACAAAGGACCCATGAGTGGCTGAAAAGTGCTAAAAAGTCTCGTTGAGACGAACCGGCTCTCGGTCAGCGTACGGTCAGTGGATGTTGTCCCGCGTAAACTTGCCACGAGTGAATTCAGAAGCATAGATTACAATGCCACACTCGTGGTCATGGCGGGGTCGTTCGTCCTCTCGACTGCCGTCCACTCGGTCGTCGAAATAAATGGCCGCTTTTTGGGGGTGGCCACTTAGAAAATCGGCCATTCAGTTTGACAACCGAGTGCCGCCCTGGCTGCTCCTGTAAAGGTCTTGTCGCTTTGCTCACTTGCCAGCCTGGATGTAGGGACAGTGCCGAACAGAGTGTCGATCATGGACGGCAGAGTGTTCCCGTAGACGGTTTCGAGTTCACGTTTGCTGGCAACTGCGGCCAGCAGGCTTCTTCCATTCAGGCGGACCCGCCATCGGGTTGCGCTACGGCGGCAACAGACGGTTGGGCTGGCCCACCTTTCCCTCCCTGACGGCGTTATTAAATAGGTACCTTACCTCACACACTCTCTCTCCACCGCAGCTCGAGAGCTATCTACCCTGACATTTGAACACCGTCCCTCCCAGCAGCAAAGGAAAAGGGACAAGGAGACAGAGCGACGGTAAACGAAATCTTGAAGCATAAATGTACGAATGCTGCATCTCTTCTGGGCGTAACTTTTCTTCACGAACATCCGCTGACCGTCTTACAGTGAGTGGCCCAATGACGACAATGTCTGGCCATCACACTACAAACCCGCCAATGCTGCCGATCATCCTGTCCATGGAAGTGGACGATGACGATTTGGTTGAAAGCGAATACCGACTGCAAATCGGGAACCAAGTCAAATATCTCGTAATCGCTCCCGGGACCTTTGACAGAGATACACTTTCCTTCCCCCTTCAGTCCCTGCCCCGCCTTCCTTACGACGAAGAATGGACCGTGGCCAACATCTCACGAGATGAAACCAGCGGCGACTTGAAAACCTCCCTCTCGAACCGAACCCTAGCTGGCGTTAAGTGTCAATGGCATCATACCAGGGTTGATTGCCTCGAGTTGGAAAAGACCAAACTGCTCACGGCAACGGTTTTTGAAGCCCTCTCACATTCGATCTTCCCGACCACTCTCCCATCAGCAGCCACCATGATCGCCAAAAATAGCCCGTTTCGAGTGGGAGCTGCCTCGCATCGAACAAGAAACGAGGGCATATCAGTTACTTGAGGGTTACGGGCTGGCCCCGCGCTTCCTCGCCCATGTCCATGAGAATGGACGCATCGTGGGTTTTCTATTGGAGAAAATAGAGGGACGCGCTGCTTCCTTGCAGGACCTGAGCGACTGCGAAACCGCTCTAGGGGAACTCCACAAACTGGGGTTTCTACATGGGGATGTGAACCGATACAACTTTCTCGTCACGAAAGAAGGGGTGAAACTACTCGACTTTGAACGCCTTCGGGAGAATGCTAGCCCCGAGTCAAAGAGCAAGGAATTGGAGAGTTTGCGTGCCGAATTGGTCGACGAGTCGGGACGTGGCGGGGGTTTTATTTTCCACGGCGATAGCGATAGCGACGAATATTCCTAAACGGGTTTTCAGGAGACAGGGTTATCTAAAAAGTAGGCAAGGGGGTCTAAACGCACAAAAACGTACGTTTTATGCTAGTTATTCAGCCAATACAGTACGCATACCGCTGCTATGCAGATAACCCTACTGCTGAGTTCACGAATGAGATCCACCGTGATGGCAGTACTACGGAATCGCTTTTCAAAAGAATGAGTTACAGCTGACTCATGAGACAGTTCTCGAGTTGAGTGTTCTGGTAGCCAACAGTAGATCGGATGTCAGGAGCCTTGGTGCTGTTCGTGAGAAGTCCGATGCTTTTGACTTTGTATTGAAAGCCACGATTCGACGTAGACAAGCTGGTGCCAATCGTTAAAAGATGCGGCTGGCACTCGGCATGCATATCACCTTGCCAGTTGAAAGGTAACTTTGCAGACCATCTAAGCAGACGGAAACATAAGTATCAAACGAAATCTTAGAACGGTTGCGAACTTGGCCGATTGTACTTGGAGTTTGCTGCGGCTTTGTTTCTGTTAGGATCTGTTGTATAAGAGGGTCTTAGATTGAACCCATTAGAAGTCAAGTTGATAAGTGAGAAGACTACTGTAAGTATGAGGGCGCCGCAAATTACGACTGGGGTGAACCATACGAAAGGGTACGGCCGGGCAATGGGGTAGGAAAGCGTTGAGGTATGCATGTTGCGTATGAGAAGTTCTCGAGACATCTGGATCTGAGTGAAACGAGAACAGGAAAGACGCGAGGTGTAAAATGTCCATCCATTGAGATGTCAGCATCCTTAAGGAGTGCCTCGCTGTCACAAGGCTGGCCTTTTCTCTGACTTGTCACTTTCCCAGAAGCCGTAGAATCAGAATCATGCAGCCAAGAAACAAACTGAGAAGCGATCTTCGAGTGATCCACGACAGGCGGAGAAAGCCCGACAACTCATAGCCTCATCTGTTTCTCCCACATGTCGATCCGGGCTTTTCTGCGGCGAAGCGCAGGGTGATATTGGAAGATCAGGCTGAAATTCTCCCAGCGACCGTCTTGAATGGGCCCTGAAAGCGCCTGTAGCGGAGAATGGGATGGACCTTCTTCTTTAAGCCCCCATCTCTTTTCCTTCGGCGATGTAAGCAGAAAGCATTGCCCCGTATGGATCCACGATGGCTGTGTTGGTCTTCATTTTGAGGCTCAGCATGACTTCGCACAAATCACTACTTTGGATTCTGGCTAGCCTTTATCATGGGTGTGAAGAGAGCCCTGTTCTTAGTTGAGGCCCATGAGAGAATGCCCCGTTCTCTAGCTGCCCATTCGAAGTTGTCTTCTCTGGACCGAGAGAACATACCGCTTCTATTTTCGTGTCAATTCTGTCAAGTTTGCTTAAGAATGAAGGCAGATGAGCTGGGTGTCTTAAGAGGGTCTTCGGCATCGCTCTCAAAAAATAAGAAGTGGAGTTTCAGAGTCAAGACGACATGATAGAAACAAGTAGGGCATATGATTGTAGCATTAAAGCAGCGAGGCTCGGCAGTGAGCTCGGTCTTAACTGCTCCATCTGGATCGACACAGATCTACATCAAGACATGGTTCAAGCGAGCCCGGTGACCAAGTCTTAACTTGGCTTCGCTGGTTCCCGGATCGACGTCGCTAATCTCGCCCATATAAAACTTAGGATTTAGGCTTTTGGGCAAGCCTTTATCAATGTTAAGACAGTAACTTAGTATGAGTAATCAAAAGTCGACGCACGTATCCAAAAGCCAGTGGAGCTTGCATCGTGGACACCTCTTCAACGCAGCGAAAACTTGATCACAAGCACAAAAAGGTCAAAAACATACAACACCAGGTATTCGCTGGTCGTCACCGACCCAACTACTAATCCGGCCCTCACTGGCTTATCTATGGGAGAGCGGACGGGATCCCGAGTTCTCCAGTGGGTATGGTCGTATGTGCCAGAAATACTCGCAAACTTGCAAAATATACCCACAAGTTCACCGCACAGGGCAATCTACTCTCCACTACGCACACTTCTTAGTCCAGTTGATGCTCTTCACAGGCGATGAGCACAATGGATCTTATCAAGCTTGAGTTAAAGATGACTAAATGTAGCGGGTATACTATAATTCTTTCCCCTACAAACAAAGGCTAGGCTCTCTGCCATATTCTCATTTCAAGGTGGATTATTTTAGACCTGTAAAATATCCTTCTCTAAGGGGTGCTCAAAGGGACGTTTTACGAAGGAGCAAGCAAGGATGAGCGTTGATTTTATGACATGAAGATGGCTAGCGGTTTCAATATGTAACAGGGGGTCCTAGCCCCAGGATCTTAGTAGATTGGAGCGAAACTCACAAGACTAAGGTATCTTCTGCAGCACTCTGGCTTCTAGCTGGCTATCTTGAGGTTGGGCGTTTCAAGAAATTGAACTCGTAACTCCGTTGCAGATCTGATCCTGCTTTCAACAAATGGATCTTCTGATCTAATGCGCTTGGAAAGGCACTTGGCGTGATCATTGATGCCAGTTATTTCCCACAACAAGTTCCACGATAGTCACGGAAGTTCAAGAACCTGACTCGGGCTTGCTTTATTCAAAAAGTGTTGAGATGCCTCTAGAAGGCTTCTTAACCACAGATGGAAGATCATAGACACAAGCAATATCAAGCTGGGTGCTAACTGGGCATGAGCCACATTTCTTTTATGAGCGAGCAACACAGCATTGGGAATACGCGATGGAGAGTCTGTGTCGTCTTAATTTAATGGCGAGACACCAAAGATATATGGCTCAATCAGCTGATAAATGATAAGGAAACGTCAGTTTCTCACCTTTAGATTGTTGCATACAGATGCCGAAAGGCTGATCACGTTATGCCTTGCTGACATGTACTCTAGATCTCCCAGTACAATGAGGCGATTCGGAAACTACAAAGCCTCTGCACTCACTACGCTTACTTGTTGATCTGAAACATCTACATTCTAGGATATCACAAGCCTTGACGTTGCTTACGATTATGTGACGCAATAGCAAAGACTACGGGTCGCAAAATTTTCAAAGTCAGCTGCTGTAACTTGGACTCTGACGAGTAAGTCTCGATGTGACCTGGCTGTGGAAGCATAAGCAGCCGATCATTTGAAGGTCAGCTTATTGTTAGACCAGCAGAGCATGACATTCCGAGAATCCCAGACGTCAACTGTGTGACGTGAATCTGACCAATCAACTAAGTTCTAACAAGCTCTGTCAAATTTTGTAAACGTGATTCAAGTTCCCAGCGCACGAAATGGTAGATCGTGAGCTGAGGCTCTTTTAGTGCCTCTCCGATATCGTCGTGAAGCATCATTTCGATGGCTATGACGCAGAAGATCTTTAGTGGCATTCAACTCGGCAAATAGAACGTTGCCATCATTCGGTCATGGATGAGTCAGATTACACTCATTGATTGTCAGCCTTCTTGCCGAAGAACACTCGAACCAAATGTCAGTTGATCTGAACAAGTGCAACTTACTGCATAAAACAACACAGCCACCCTTATTCTTTGGCCTGTTTAACATCTCGCCATACGTGTACCCAACGAACACACATGTAACGTTTAAAGTTCAGAAAATCTTCGTAACAAGCTTCTAGGCTACTATGGCTCTGCCGCGAAAGTTTGCACTTCTCGAGGTTACAGTCGAGAACCCTGAGGCCATTGGATCTGGGGGGCATAAAAGGCGCGAAAATCTTCCATTCTCGGAGCGATTCTATCCTCTCATCTATCCACTATTAACCACTTCGTCAACAAAAACATCGCTCTGCCCTAACACCGACAACTCTACAGTCTTCTTCAATCACCTTTCAAAATGAAGTTTATATCTATCATCGCCGTCCTCAGCTCCATGTCCGCGTTCTCGGCGGTCCTTGCAGCCCCTACGTCCGACGTCAACACCTCGCCCGCAGAGCCTGTCAACGCTGTTTTCAAAAAGAAGGAGTGCCCAGACGACATCTTGCATCTTACTAGAGGCGTAAGAAATCCCCAACACCAGAAGGCTGCGGCCTACCCGAGATATCCTCTAACGTAAATGTTCACAGATGTGCAACGGCAATTCATGCAAATGGGCTGGAGTTAACTACGACTGCCAGGTTGGCACGTGTGTGAGTCTCAAAATCGTTCTCTCCGGTTGATGAGGGAGCTTTGCAACCGTGATTTATGGAACGTACTGACAGCTTTGGCGCAATGCTAGACCGGCGAAGGCGGCGGCGACGACTCGTGCTGCTTTTGGAGGGGTAGCCTAGCCCACTGCCCTAACGGAGGTTGGTGAACGATCAATCTTGAGGATATCGTATAGCGACAAGAGTGCAACAAGGAATCTTCAGAATAGGAATGCTAAGCGTAGGTGCTTTGCGGGGGACTCGGAACACAACCTTTAGGACGATCTCACAAAAATTGAGAAACCACGCTCGTTTCTGCTTCATCTTCCCAGGCCTTCTCTGGTCTATCACAAAATGCGGATGTTTATAACTTGAACCTGTGATTATGGATGCGTGCAACCTTTTGGGCCACCCCACTCGCAAGTAAAACTAATTTTCGAATAGTCGAGAGGTCTATTTCGACCCTCTCTGGTTATTTATGAGACAAGATTCAAATATTGCTTGTTTCTTAGGGCAGATGATCTACTGATACATCTGCAATTAAAAAGGCAATGGTTACCACTACAATGTTTCTGCGAGATAATCCAGAAACAATGAAGTCAAGGAGGTTAAAACCTATATGATTCAGTCAAACGGTACGATCATGACTGGCTTCAGTCAGAATGCGTGTAATCTACGTAGTCGCCCAGGGTGCTGCGAGACGAGAATGTACAGTTTTTCATGCGCCTCGGAAGACAAGTCACACGTTATAGATGGGACTGCGAAGGAATTCGAAGGAGCAATGGTCTAGACTCAAACGTGCAACCATCCTGTGCGCTCTCAGACGAAGGTACTTGTCGAATGGAAAAGCTCAAAAGGAGATTGAAAAGCCTCATGGCTGCCTATCGAGTTCAACCGACGGCTTGGTGTGAGCGCCTGCGGTACCAGACCTGTCTTACTTCTGACGTGGCACTGCGTGCGTTGACTAACCATACCGTCGCTGTGGCAGTCAGATTATGCATCTTTGACAACGCCAAGAATGCACAAGTGTGCTCTGTATCTTGTGCGACAATCGCCAGCGGAAGAGAGTCCACGGAAACACGATCCAAGGTCGGGCACTCCGAGTTATCACGAGGACGCCCGTCTTGTCACACCTCAACATATGTGCACAAACAACAGCCGCAAGTCTTGTTCATGATCCGATGACACGCATTTTGTGGGGTTTCGACTTAATTGCGCCTCGGATCGAAATCCTGCAGGCCGCCGCGTGTTTGAGAAGCCATCTCGAAGGATGGGCGTTTTTGGCGCGGGGGAACGGACGCGTCTACCGCACACGGGAACTAACACGGAAGCGACGCCAAAATCGGAGGATTTCTGGTCGACTGACAGAAACAGCCGCGTGAAAGGACTTGATTGCTGAAGAGTAGGCCCGATTTTGAGGCAGGTTTTTGGAAGCTACGTAGAAGATGACGGGACGAGGACCGAATGCGTTTCCGAGCTTTGACGCGCCATTCTATAGCTGAGCTGACCATATCCGTAACGTTTGACGATTTTTCATGTACACGATGGACGTGTACGGATACGGGTATTTTTCGTGTTTGTAAGTTGCGGTTGCAGACTCAAAATTGTGATGCGCAGAACGTGAGGGTCTGCGGGGTGAATACTGACTCGATACACCGCGGAAACCAGGAAGTCGGAAAATGACCACTTTCTCGAATCAACATAACGACCAAGTTGGAGAACTCGGATGGTATCCGTACTGCGCAAAGCCACCGCGTTCTCTCCCGTCCTCCCCGTGCACTAGAAAGGGGTCATCCTTGAGCTCATTCTGTGGAAACCTCGGTTGGACTGCCCCGTGATTTGGTCTCAGCCGGCACTGACGGCTGACCAGATCGTTCCACGAACGACCGCCATTCTGTTCAACAAGATAAAGTAGAGCTGAAGCGGTGTGAAAGTACAACGGCATGCTTTCTCCAAGCCAGCCCGTCTAATCCAGCCGAAATCATCAACCCCGAATCAGGCAATTTCGAGGTCCCACTCTGACGAGATCATAAGTAATGCCATGAGTTTCAACCATCATGGTCTGGCTGGTCGGAGGTCTGGAAGCTAGCTTTAGAGGTCCCATCTCGCGTAACATCAGGCCTGGGGCCTAGACTGATGACCAAACGGCAATTTAGGGTGTTGGACATGTGTGGTCCACGCGTGAAAGGGAAAGGTATCGAAGGCTTTGGGGCCAAAGTTCAGATGAACCACAGACTGGTCTAGGCGTCGCGCCTTTCGTTCGCATGACATGAGCCCAAATCCGCCCCAAAACCAAATCCCAACGCCACGGATTGAACGGTGCGGGAGTGTGGGGCCGCGCGGCCCGTGCAAGAAAGTCTACCGGCGCAAGAACTGGTGTATGGTGTTTGTTGTGTGATAGTATCTTGCTCTTGGATTTCAGTCCTTCTTTCTGAGCAATTGTTTTCCTTTTCTGGGGCTGAGAGACTGCGTGTTGCACGAAACAATCCTATCTAAGCGCCTGTCCCAATTCCAGAAGCCGGAGGCAAAAGTCTGGAAAACTTGTGTGATTCAGGGGCAAACGAAGAAGAAAGACAGAGAATCATCACACCAACCCTCATTGGCCGTAACCCCGCAGGATGGGATGACACCTTATCCCAGCTTGACGGGATGATCGAGGCATAATAAACAACCTTGACGCCAGCACTTCGGAGGTTGGCTTTGTATCATGATTAATTAGCGGGAAGGGAAGTGTCAGAGACTGAAATGAAATGCGGGGCGTCGAACACTAGGCGAGGAGCACCCAATCGAAGTTCGTTCAGCCCCGGGCGGGAACATTTTTCATCCCCCGGAGCGGAGGGGAGGACGGCCTGTCATCCGGGAATGGTTCTGGACCTGGAAACTGACAGGAAGACTGAGGAGATTCGACCGGGGCCTGGACCGCCTTGCACGGCCCCACGTAGGATCCCTTCCATTTACCGGCAGCAAGTCTAACACTTAAACCACGCATCCATCAACTAAGGAACCCACTCAGATGGCGCCTGAGTGACATAATCTGGTAGGGCTACTCCCTTGTTCGTGCAGTCTTCGCCGACAATCTGGGTAGCGAGACATGGAATTGCTTTAGTGTCCGTCAAATTGATCGTTCATCTGGGGGAAGACAAGCACAGAGACCAGCCATGATTCACCAAATCCTGTGCCCGGTCTCGGTTCTCAACCTCGACCGATCCCTCGCTTGCAAAAAAGAATGAAAGGTTGCCGTGTTTGTTATTTGTTGTTGGCCCATGTGGAGGCCGCTAGGAAACCCCCTCGCTCCCATTCCCTGGTTAGCGCTCCAGGGGTTGGTGCGAGGGAAGGATTCGTAAGGCTTTTTCTTCTCCAGTGCCAAGAGAAAGCCGGACAGCCAATATGGTCAGACGCCACACTTCCCGGTTTAATCATTTCGAGGTGGAGGGCTTGCATACGGGAGATCACCCATGTTGAATGGCTCAGCGGCAAAATGTCCCGACCTCACGAGGACTGGGTCTTGTCTTGCGCGTACGTGCGTGTGTAATATCGTAAGAGTTGTGAGAGGTATATATCATGACTTGATCCGCCTTCGTCCAACGTTCTTTACTCTCCCACCTCAAGGTACATCTTTCGACCTACCGCGTCTGTCATTCTTTTACAACACCCCTCGGGTTATTATCGACGCTTCTTTGGCAGGATCCATCCTCCGTTCACTCATTACAACACACAAATCCCGGTGATTTCAACTCCCTTCCAACAAATCAGACAAGATGCGTTTCTCTGCTGTCGTCGTCGCCGCCATGGCTTCCAACGCCGCCGCTTTCGGCACCTACCGCCAGGCCGGCTCTTGGGGCTGGGGCAACTTCGGAGGTAACTGGGGCAAGGGTGGCGGCCAGGTCTCCACCATCACCCTCCAGCCCACCGCCGTCCCGGTCCCCACCACGGCCCCCGCCGTCGTCCCCACCCCGACCGCAGTCCAGGAGGAGGCCGCGGCCACCACGCCCGCCGCCGCTGCCACTTCGGCCGCCTCCTCCTCCGGCTCCATCGACGCCGACCAGCAGAAGGCCCTCGATGCCCACAACGCCGCCCGCGCCGAGGTCGGTGTCTCTGATCTCGTCTGGGACGCCACCCTGGCTGCCAACGCCCAGGAATGGGCCACCCACCTGACCTCCGTCGGCTCCCTCACCCACTCCCAGACCAGCGGCGAGGGCGAGAACCTGTACATGCAGTCCGGCGGCGGCGCTCCCAACCTCAACGCCGCCAACGCCTGGCTCGGCGAGAAGTCCCAGTACAACGGCGAGACCATCTCCTCCACCAACTACATGAGCTTCGGCCACTACACCCAGGCTGTCTGGAAGTCCACCACCAAGGTCGGCATGGCCATCGCCACCGACTCCAAGGGTGCCACCTACGTCGTTGCCCGCTACTCTCCCCCCGGCAACTAGTAAGTTTCCCTCGAAGCACACTTCCATGTAAAGCACAGTTCGCTAACAGCATCGCAGCATCGGCGAGAAGCCCTACTAAGTCACATCGACCACACACGAGAACCGCCACTGGAAGGGCTTTGTTCATGACGGGATCATACAAGGCATGGCAACCTGTTTTTTCTGGTTAGCTGGGCTGGGTCGGAACTAGTTTTCGACGGAATCCATTTGCAACACGGCACCTTTTTCACTTCTTGGATATTTTTGGCGGGTTGAAACAAACCTCTTTTTGGACAAACACACAATCTAGGCCGGAAAAGATGGATTTTATCTGGTACTATGTCGTGACCCGAGGCGCAAAGCCGCATGACCTGATGAGACATAGCAAAAACACTGCCTTATGATACTTCATGAATTTCCCCATCCCAAAGTTCTGTGTGTGATGCATTTTACTTTGACAACAAATGCATAGACGTGGGCCACCCACAACGTCAATGTGCCTTGGTGAACAAAGTTGCAGGCAAGCCGAGCTCCTCGAAGGTTCCGCATCATTTGTTACCGGGTATGAGAAGTTTCATGCGAACCCCATTGTCGAACTGAACCACCTCCGCGAAGTATTCCGAGCATGTGGACCAAGTTTCATTTTGATCATGGACAAAGATCCTGATACCTCGCTTCCAGAAAGGTTCCCAGATGGAGCAGCTTGTCCCCAAAAACCCGAGGCTGGGATATAGACCAATGTTGAAAGGTATGAGACCGTCGGCGTACTTCTCTTTCGTCTCTATAAGTGCTATGTCTCGCTTGCTCGACAGAACGATGGTCTTGAGGTTCGGCAGATTCTGAAAGTTGTGCAGCTCCGTGCCAATGTTGAACGAAGAAAGCGAGAGTCGGAGGTTTTGGATGTGGGCGAGCATCGAAGCGTTCATCTGTGGCCGACTTGCAAGCATGAGTGCCGTGCAGTCATCATAGCGGGGCTCTCCCGGAACAACCCAAAGATTCTCCAAGTACGCCAGCTGAAAGATGTCGGAAGCCAGGCAGACATGAACCCAGTGAAGTTTGTTCTGCTTGCAAAAATCGTCCTTGCGAATTCTGTAGTCATAGATGCTCCGACCAAGTTCTGCAGGCACTCTTGGGAAGCGCTTGAGGATCATATCGCGGACTTGGTGGTTGACTCTAGACATGTTATGTAGGAGGAAGTTTCGGTGTACGGCGGTGTTCCGGTATGGCGATAAACCCCGCGTTCTGAGTTCGCGCAGGGTGAAAACCATCGGGGTTTTGAGACTGCCTCTAAAGGCCCAGGCAACTGGAGAAACAGATTGCCCGGCTTCAAAGTCGTCGAGGAAGGCTTCAACGAAGAGAAGAACGATTTCGTTCGGGAGATGGGGAAGCCCCTGCTTCATGGTGTCGTTCGTGTCCATGGTGTTCGAGGCCGGGGAGATAGCACCGGGATGCTAGCTGCAGAAGGGGCAGAAATGGAGTCCTTGGAAGATGTGTCAGACATAGGGTCTGTCTGCTTGTATATATGTCAATCGGCTTGTATAAAGTCAGAAGAAGATCCATGTGGCTTTCAAGGCCCTTCATGCACGTGGTTCTTTCTCCTGGTTGCCGTAAGAATCTTGGATGTCTGCACCAGATGTGAATTTTCGGAAGATTCCCTTTGATGTAAAAGACTCTTCTGCAAACAAGTAGGCAAGTATAATATGATTCGAGAGTTTGAGGTTTACAGTATGCAACGTCATTCATTCTTTTCTCTTCCCTTTGCCTGTTATTTGGAAGTTTCAGGAGTTGCATGGCACACATCTAGCTCTTTCTCCCCTTCATAATTTGAAACGTGCCTCATCTCTTGCTTGGGGCTGAGATCCCATAGGCTTCAGCCACATTTCTCAATGTGCACAAACCATTCATGTATGACACCGCTTGAACCACTATCCCCGCTGCTGTAGAGTCAGCAAGATGTACGGGTGGGGGCCGACCAAACATAATACATTTGAGAAATTGAATGACTGTTTGATGAATGAATTCCCCACTACTTGATCCAAGGCCCCAAATATAGTTACTGCAAGCCAGGAATCACTGCGATCGAGACTAAGTGTAATTAATTGTCATTATCAAAGTCTTCGTCACCGCACTGAAAGCGGCTGCCCTTGTTGCTCGCCAAGTTGTGTTGCTCGAAAGGAGCTGAATGAGATGCTTCTATTAGTTTGGTTCCCAAAACAACAGACAGTTATCATGTATATCTCGGCCATCATCTGTATGAACCTCTTCCAGTTTCCACCCTCCCCTCATCATCATTGTCCTAGTAATGAAATAATGTATTTGTGATTGAAGCTGGACTAAAATGTCGTCGCATTCGGCCTCAGCGGATAATCATCTAGCTCTTCATCAAACACACTGGTAGCAGCCGTGCTATGGTCGTTCCATGAACCGTCGTACGAATCTCCATCGCTAGATGCGATTGACAGCGCTCGATCTCGACGAGACACACTTGACATGATACTGTCAGGGATGACACAGTTTCCTTCTGCAAATCTGACCAAGCTTGCAGGAGATCCTGGCACTTGTAGATGATTCTGTTGGGTAGAGATTATTATAATGTCTCTATCAGAACGATGAGGAAACTCACCTTGGAAGACTTTGGCTCCGGTGACGGATAGGTTTTGTCCTTAGTAACCGGGAAAGGGGTGAGGCCTTCAGATGTTTGTGGCAGCCTGGATTCAATACGTGACAGTTCCAGCGAGATGATGTCGATGGAGTGTCTTCCTTTAGGATCAATAACAAGCATTCCGTTCATGATCAGATCCAGCATGTGGTGTGCGAAGCTTGTAGATGGGACCAAATTCCTCAATTTTTTGACCCACTGATGACAAGGGTGTTAGAGCACTGTCGAACTTGTACGCCTCAAGAGATTTCCTGGACTCACCTTCTGCACAGCTGGGTGGAGCTTAGCTCGCTTGCCCCCGTGAGGCATTTGCGAAGTCACGAAGTAACTGTGATCAGGCTCTTCTATGTCGTCCTCATCATCCGACAAGCGATTGAGATTGCGGTCTCTCTGAAAGTTCTCAACGTCGTCATACCCAAGTAGAAACCAGATGCAGAACTCGAGAAAAACGCATCCGAGGGACCATATGTCATACTTCGCAGAGATGGGGTTGCCAAGGTCGATTTCTGGAGCTCGGTAGGTCCCGGTGTAACCGTCCACTCTCATGACGCGTGACTTCGTGAGGCTGGAGTGGTATCGGGTCAATCCCAAGTCAGCAACAACGAGGTGGTCCCGATCTTCTCCATGGGTTGAGAACCACAAGATGTTGGTGGGCTTGATGTCTCCATGCCGCCCCCAATCCTTGACAAACACCTCATCGGAGTTGGGGTTTAATGACCTCTCCTCCTTCTGCCATGTTGTAAGTCCATGAATGCGTTTGATAGCATTTGCGATACCGCGACATTGCTGTGCCATCCAATTTGTCGCCGAAGGTGATGTCTTAACCTGTTTCTTCTTCCAGAATTCCTCCAGGTTACCATCTGCCCACTCAAAGACAAGGTATGGCGTGTTACCATGCTGGAAAGTGAGAAGTAGCTTTATCAGATGTTTTTCCTTCTGTACCTTGGCGCATGAGCGCTCCAGGGCTCGAAGCTCGTTGCGATAGGATTCGTGGTTGGCACCATTTATCTCCTTGACCGCAAAACAGGTCGGTCTCTCCTGGGTCTTGAGCAAAATAATCAGCAAAGCACTCAGATAGAATAGGTAGGAGCCTCTCACGTTGTGACTGTTGTAGTCGTGGTGGCTCTGGTGAATCTCGAGCCGGTGGATTGTTCCGTGCCCACCAGCCGTCTTCTGCTCGAACTTGTCCCATGGAAGCCTGACGTTGCCATCGAATACATATGAGCAGAGGATGCCATCTTCCATGCTCAAGAAAGGGACGAAGATCATTTTCTGGTAAACATAGAATAGATCGACATGAACGCGCTCCCAACTTCGGAACAGTGTTGTGTTGGTTCGGTCACCACCAACAAGGGTTCTGAACTCTTTCCTGCTCTTGCTCTCATGGCACAGTGGTAAGTGATGATCGAAGATCTTTTCCTCAATAAAGTCCTCGATGCGGCTCGCCTGCTTCATGAAGACCAGCGTGGCGATGATCCTTCGCCGGCTACCCATATCATCACCCCAGATCTGGCTAGCCTTTTGAATGAGTTCTTCCTCGGTGGCGCACGTGGTCTTGTAGATAGTTCGGACGAGAGACATCATATTGTCGATGTTGAAGATCTTCTCAAATGCATCGACTGGAAGGTATTCCTCCCGGTCCATCGCGCTCCAACTAAGATTGCTCTCGATTTCGCAGCGTATTCTGTCCTCGATATCGGTAGCTGACTGGGTATGATTTTCCGAATGCCCTCTGCATGAAATGTGATCGGAGATATCGCTTTGGCTTGGCCTGCGGCTGCGGGAGTGCTGTGTTGGCCAACGTGCCGCACTGAAACCCAAGTCGTGGACAGAGACGACGGCGTCTGTCTCGCCAGCCTCAGAACGCCCGCACCCTTCTTGATGCGGGATCCACGCTTGAGCTTCAGCGTCGTCGTAGTCTTGGCTTTCTATGGCTGATCCGCCTGGAAATTCATCTTGCCATGCAACTGGCGCATTTGTCACGATACTCGGGGTCTTGTCGCCAGACGCACCGTGTGCCTTGCTTGACACTGGAAGGTTATTTGTACTTTGAAGCACATCTGAGATACTTGGAATATCGGCCGTGGCGTTATAGTTGACCGCGTGCGCGTTGTCCACATATCGGGCGTTTGATTTGCTCGTGGATTGCCTCAATCTGTGTATACCGTTGACTCTCGATGGGACAAGCATGATGAGTTGGGACCGATACTCCCGCCTTAATAGCGATACGAGACGCTTTCAATATCGGGATGCAGGCAGAAGACAGGAAGGTTCAATCTAGTTGGTAGTGCTTGAAACGAAGGATAGAAGCCACCTTAGGGTGATGTTGTATGCGGGTGCGACCTCCCACCCACAACTGGACCTTGAAATTGGGAGGTCTAGTATACATATATCCATTAAAGAAGAAAGCCTCGTCAGGCGTTGTTGCAGTTGTGCCTCACCGGCTGACCAGGAATATCGGGCTGCGCCGCGGTGGAGGAATGCAGAATGCAGGGGGCCGTTGGGGGCGGCAGAATTTTGCTACAAGCCTGGGCCAATGTCTCAATTCCGATACGACTGTTACATGCCAGCCCTTTCACCGCCACTCGGTATCATTTTGCTGCGCCAACGCAGCCGTCTTGGCTTGCTCTATTCCTCTCTCGACCTACTGAAAGTAGAAAAATTGCCAGCTACTTATGGAACTGCGTAGCTGTTCGCCTGAGGCGCATGCTGACAAGTCTTCGCGAAGGGTTCTGGCGAGATGCCCACGTCAGCACGAATCTACATCCGGATGCGTTGTCCTCCAATACCCATTTGACTGTACGATGTGCGGGTATGCACCATTCAGGCATGAATGCCTGAAAGCAGATGACTATGAAGAAGGGGAAAGTGTCGATGTTAGATCACGCAAAGGCAGAGAGAGGCTACACGAAACAGTACGTGAGGCGAAAATCATATTCCTAAGCAAAGCAGAAATACATTAAGAAGTAGGTAATTACCAAATGTCAACCATGACACCTTCCTCCGAAACCTGCGCCCCTGGAAGGGACGCGACCCCGACCCTTTCATACCGAATGTCCCGAGAATCGTTCTGGCTTTTGCAGATGACAAGAACGTGGGCTTTCGCGTCGAGGCCTTCCTTATCACGGCCGACGATGACAACCCGTAAGTCCTCAGATTTGAGCTCGTTCTTCCTGTCAAAAACAGCTTGTGACGAAATTTGCTCTTCGCTTATATGCATGCGTCTTGCAACGCCCCGAAGGATGGTATGGTCCTCGTCGCGACCGTAATATGACGCTCCTGAAAGCATGTCTGGATGGCGAGAGAAAGGGCTTTCAAAATCTCCGGTCATCCACTCAATTTTGTCGAACTCTAGGTTCATGTACTGAATCTTTCCGCTCTTTGAGAACCATGACCAAGTGGGAACAAGCCAAGTCGACTGAGTAATGGCCGTCATGTCTTCTGGTTGATTGCGTTTCCAGAGAATACTCCGGGCGAAAAATACCTCGAAGGACCCGTGGGAAGCTTGACTTTTTAGTGCCCGCGCCAGCCTCGTTTGGAGACCAAGGATTGCGACGGCCCTGTCGGAAGCCATCGTAAACGCAAGCGCAGAATATCTTTCGTACAAATCTTGAATCAGCAACTGCCTACCATCTTTGTAATGGTCTAAAGCAGACTGGGGGAAGTTGGCGTCCCCAAGAAATGCGGCTTTCGAGCTATGAGTGACATGGTTAGATAGTCTTTCGTCTCTGTCTTTGGGCTAACGCCAAACTTACTTGTACAAGCGACCCAGAGTCTCACACCGTATTCCATCTCCACATTCCCAGTACACCTGATTCGGAGTAAAATAGATGGAGCGTCTCGATAAAGCCCTTTCCTGCAAGACCCAGCCTCGCCTGTTGATCTCTGCCAGCTCGACGTCTTGATGGAAATCGTCCATGTATGGGCACACATACAGGTCTGGAGAGCCCTTCACTCGCAGATGAACGCTTGCCCTAGGCGGACGATCGGACAGGAAGCCATCGAGTGACGATTTGGCAGACGCGGCACTGATAGTACAGTATGCCGCACTGAATACTTCTTCCATCTTTGTTGACTCGTTCTCCCAATCGTCTTTGTCGCCCTGGATGATGCATAAAGTATCAATCCAAATGTAGTCTATGCCGAGGCCGCGAGTGACTGTGATTGCATCCTGGAAGGTTTTTGGTAAACGGTCGAAGTCGACATGTTCCTGTAGTTGAGAATAATTTTCCCGGTTAAGACAAAATCGTTCGTGGTTTTGCAACTGGCCCCAACAGTGGCTTAGAGCTATGTACTGGCAAGGCTCCATTGTGCTCGATCTCAAAACTTGGATTGGCTCAGTGACTTTGACCAGGCGGGTTGGCATCTCCAAGTCATCCTGTCCCGCGTGACGCTTGCATGCGTCATGTGTCGAATCACAGCTATATAACCACTGTTTCAAGAGAACGAGCTGTTCTGGGCTGTTCGATCCAGGAAGCCTTGGCAAGCCAATTTGTCTCCCCGGTGGGACATCACGACCTGGGTGAAAAGTTTAGCTGGAGTGAAGTTATAATGTTGCACAGCTGCGTACCTGGTTTGACATAGATCGAAAGAAGATTTGGCCCGCCTTCTAAACCTACTGTCGTATGAGTCTGGCGTAGCTTGACAAGTTCCGGAAGTTCAGTATATAAAGACTTCAGGGCGTCTAGAAGCATGCCGCACAGATCGCAGTGTGATTGGGCGTCTGATGGTCTGAATTCGAGTGGGAACAGAGCTTGCGACGATGCCGTGCTGCATTTCGCACAAAAGATCTTCTTCCCTGTGAATAAAGGTCTCGATTGATCCCAGTGAATTTTGTTAAAAGCTTCGGAGGCGAAGGCATTGTCAGCTCGAGACTCCCAAGAGTCGTTAAGCTTGCTTCGTTGCTTGGAAAGCTACATGTTAGCTTCTTGCTCATCGATACATCAGGTGAAATCTAGTATACATACAACCTGTTGTTCTATTAGCAAGGTATTCTCTCTGGATACTTGGTTCTCGACTCACCGACTGGCCCAAAGCGAAATTAGTAGCTGCAATATCAAGAAACATCTGAGTGAGATTGGGAGATGACTAACATTCTAGTCGGTCGAGATATTAGCATGATAGTATACTCACGTTCCTAACAAGGCGCATACTGACATACTAAAACCAGCTTCCAGTCAGTATTCAACCGCTTCTTGACTTCTTCTTTGATGTCCAAACTTACTTCTTCAAGTTTGGCATTTACCTCGTGGTCGTTGCCCTCCGTCAGGGAGCGCTTAGGTTTTGGCTCCAGCTCCTCCGTTGCCTTGCGCTCAATACCAACCAGTCCATCAAATTCGTCGAGATTATTTTCGTGAGAAGGTAGCGAAGGTTTGATGCCATTGCGTTCATAGTCGTGTCCTGGGGCCAGTCCATCGCGCGTGGTGCTACTTTTGAGTTGGCTATTGGTCACCTTCGAAAGTTGAAGTTTCTCTTCCGTCGAAACTCACACAGGGTAGTATTTCTCCTGGATTCTTCTCATCGCCATGTGAGCTGCACGCGCAGTTTCGCGATAGTTAGGCGAGCTGACCTGCCAGCTCTCTGAAACGTTGACGACGAGAAGCCTGGTTTCCACCAGCGTCAAAAGCTCTCTCCATGCTGATTGCGCCTGCCATTTTGTGGAAAGAGCTTTGATGTAGCGCTGTGTGTCGGATTGGACACGATACATGTACATGTACCTCCCCCCTCTACCTTTGACCTTGAATCTCTCCCAAAGGTAGGCGGTATCCTCTCTAAACTTTCTCACGGTATCAAAGCCGTAGGCAAGCCAAACGAGTAGCTCCAAGATAACACAGCCCATGGACCAGATATCATATGCTCTTGAACGAGTCTCGTGGACGAGTAGCCTCCTTTCTCGGTCTTTTCCCGTCTCAGGGGGCTCATACCGGGATGTTCCTGGAGGTGTTTTGGTGAGAATCTCCTGGGCTCTTCGAATCTTGGTCGCAGCTTCTAGCTCGTGGAAAGTAGTGAGTCCCATATCGGCGATTTGCAGCGTCATGTTGTTATTCACATCGATGAATAACAGGATGTTCTCAGGCTTCAGGTCCCCGTGTCTGCAATTGTTTGCGTGTAGTTCTTCGAGAGCTTCGAATAGGCCTGTGAGCTGGCCGAAAATCCAGGCGAGCTGGTTCCTTGTCAAAGAATTTCCAGAGTTACGACTCCAGTACTCGGCCAAATTCCCGCCTTGTGCCCAAGGGAAGAGGAGGCAGCGATCTTCATTGTGTTGGTAGGCCGCAATGGGTTTGATCAGGTGGTTCGACTTGTAATTCCTCAGCTTCTCGAGATTATCTGCCTCCTTGTCAAAGAATTTACGAAGTTCAGGATCGTCGTTTGCCTTCTTCAGTGCAATCGCTACCGAGCCGTCTGTGTTCTGCAAGGCAAGGTCAATATGCGGTGTAAGCATACAATGCGTTGAGTGCTCACCTTGGGCATTTTCGAGGCCTTGATATGTGCTGCATGAATGTTGACCTTTGACACCTCCCCAAAGAATCCCTTGGTTCCTGTGCTCCAGTCGACTGTGACGTATGGAAGTACCGTTTCATGCTGGAACCAGAAGCGAAAAGGTTGGCCTTCTCCGAATATTGGGGCGATGAATTTCCACTGATAGACGTTGAAGAGGATATTCTCATAGTAACCCCAACCCGAAAAGTAAAGAGTGTCTTGGAGACCGGGATTGCCCGGGGATGAGGCAGGATTCCGTTTCCAGATCGTCTTGCGGCCGGTAGCATCTTGCGTCACTTGAAACGTAATGGGGAGTGACTTGTTGGTGAAAAGATGGTCTCTCAGAGCTATCAAAAGCGACACCCACTCAGCATTAATGGTTGACATTGATGCGAGGGTCGAGAATAAACGGGTGGCATCGCTCATCACAAAGTGGATGAGGCTTCTGTCAGTCCCCAGGTTAGCCGCCGCAAGAATTTCAACTACACGTTCTTCGTTGACGTGGAAATGAATCTTGTCATCCGGTAGAAATTCTTTGCCATAATGATTGTGGCACATGTCATCAGCAATCCGTTGGCCGAACGAGGAGATTGTTGCATAGTCCGGGGGCCTGTGGCACAGTTCTTCAGTTAGCCGCGACATATCAACGAACGAACATTTCACGTTCGTACAGAAGCGGACTCAAGAATTAATGACAATAGACTTTGAACTCTTACGGATCCATTTTTCCTTGGCTTTGGCCAGCAGTGTGGCCTTGATCAGTTCCGGGGTCGAGGAAGATAGAATACGAGAACGTGGCGGCCTCTCGTCATAGTACGGTCTCCAAGGAGGCAGTGACCTGGGATCTCTGCAAGAGGATTTGAGCTGGGGAGTGGCCGTTATTTTAGGACCGGTCGAAGTAGACAAAAGGCTGCGCAGTGACCGGGCACCTTCACACCCTCGCAACCAAAAAGAGCAGCGTGAATTCAGGCAGATATTACTCGCATACTTGGCAGTTCATGAGACGAGGTTCACTGGATTGATTGAGAAGGTGGCGTGCTTCGCAGTTGCCTTGCGACTGTTCGGCTTTGCGAGGGTGGTTCGCTTCAACCATAACGGGGGCCAGAGGCTGATGGGTGTCATTGAGATCGCACATGGCCCCATCCCAGAATGGAAACGAATAAGCGTGTAGGCAGGCTGCGGCTTAAGCCCGAGGCATGTGTCTGCGAATTCATGCGTGTGAAAGGGAGGGCAGAGCTGTGAGTGGTGGACAGTGAGAGGAGACATGCACCGCGCATTTGCGCGGAGATTGAATACACCGAATCTCCTCGTTATTCGGATTGAGCTTTTCAGAAAGTTATGAAAGGAGCCCAGAATGTCCAATGTGTATTTGACTATCATATACACAGTATTCATAGATGGCGGTCTTCGTCTCTGAGACGCAAGCACCATGAATCTCGGAGAGAAATCCTCCGCCCGTCTCTGTGACCAAGCAGGCTACATGCAGTCAGCAATAGGCTCTCATAAGGCAACCTTATCAAGACCCACATATGGTGTCGGGTCTTGATATGGCTGCAGGATGGTCTCATATCTGTTGGTTGCGACGCCAAGAAGAGCGGAGACGCAAGATCGTGAAAACCACGGTATGTCTTGCTTACCCCGCTTAGCCTGCTCATCCCAATCGCGCAACCAGACGTCGACGTACGAGAGACAAGCTGGCTGGGTACATTCCAATGAGAATGCAGAGGGTGGATGCCGGTGAACTTGAGCCATGCGAGACCGGGCAACCACCAATTGATTCCAGTTGCAAACCTCGTGTGCATTCCAGCTGCTCTAAAATAAGAACTCTTGCAGCAGCTAAGGACTGGGCAACAGTGACTGATACAGCCTTCTTTTATCAGTGTCACCACAGTAGCCTCCTGGTTGGGGGTTCAGTTAAAAATGAATGATCCATCCTGGCTGCGATCTCACATGTCGATGTCCCTCCCAATGACAACATTTCCGTTGAAGTTGGATGTAGCGAGCAGTCCATAGTAAGTCTTCCATCCGCGTGACTCAGTGTGCACGTTTATTAAATACAAATGTAGAATACCAATCTCGAACGTAACCCATCACGATAATGAACTCAGCATCGGACATCACAGCATATGATACCGAGCACGATGCGTCTACCCGGCTCATGGACAGATGCTCTACGAGAGATAAAGAGACATCAGTGGCAGGACAGGTTCTCAGAAAGCCAGGATCTTTTGGCTGCATTCATCAGCTTGTGCTAGATGTGGTGTTGACACTCCCAGCTATTTGTTTCATTATCTATGCTTTCATCGTCCTTATCAACAGCGGGCTATCTCTCGACCAAGACCCTATTCCCGCCCTACAAACAGCAGCAAAATATAGCCCTACTGTGTTCCCAATTGCTTTTGCTGCTGTAGCTGCTAATCTGCTTAAAGCAGCAGCTGCTTGGAAGCTGGAGCAAGGGATCTCAGTGCTCAGTTTAGAATATCTACTAAGTTGTCGAACGGTCTTTAGCGCAATCACCACGCCTCTATCACTTCGGTCGGCAACAATGTTGACTCCCGCCTTGCTCTTTCTATGGGCTCTTTCCCCCCTAGGTAGCCAGGCTGCGTTGCGAGTAATGGAAGTTGTTCCCTCTACAGCTGCAGAATCCTGGCCATATCAGCTGCTTAACTTCACATCGGTATTCCCGCACGGTGGAAGTAGCTCCTCTGCGGGCTTTGAGGTGATCTCCCGGATACAGAACGCATTTGTCACCGCCCTCTCAACCCCTGGGGATGTCAAATCGGCAGCCCAAGACTTGTTCGGTAACATCAAAGTGCCAATGGTGGAGTACTACCAGGCCGCAGACCAAGTTCCGGGAGTTGACGGTGACGGCTGGTACGACGTTGATTTGACATCAGGCATACTTCCCGTATGGTCGTCAATAGCGGGTATTCCCGTCGCCGCACTTGGAGGAATATCGAAAGGATGGAACTACACATTTGAATTCGAAACGTCCTACATGAGCGCCAATTGTTCCCTTGAAGGGACTTCAATGAAATTTGGCACCTGGCTGAGCTTGATTGGAAATGCAAGCGAAGCGGTAAACTGGCACAACGACAGAAATCTCCTCATTTCACCAGGTCTTGGGTTCGGGACAATGCACCTAACTGGAAGTCCTCTACAATTACAAGTTGCCTCATGGGGTCATGGTCGACTCACCAATGCGACATGCTTCTTTGCCCAGGTCTACGTTGAGGTTGAGGCTGGTTGCCACGGCCCTCAATGTGCCGCCGTCCGGGTACGACGAATTCCCAAATCAACAAACGACACTGCACGCACTGTTTTGCACAAGATTGGAGGCGGTCCAGCAAATATGTTTGAGGCGTACATGAGTACCTTCATCCGCGCCGGCCTATCACTCTACGACCTCGTAGAAGGCCGTCAAGTCAAACCCTACGCTTCAGCGATCGAGACATACTTCACCGAACCAGATGCTCCCTACTCAGCTGCCGGAATCAGTTCATGGAACGGGACTGACATCTATCCAATAGGTGAGGTGGCATATTCTCAAAGACTCTCTCAACTACTCAACACATTCTGGCTTGCGTCGGTTGCACCACACAATATTACCGGCACCTTCAATTTTCGCGCTGATGATTACCCACGTCCAACTCTAGAGCCAGGGCAATGGATGAGCATCCAAAACAGTACCGGGCTGAGAGTTCCTGATCACTTGGTGATGAGGGTTAATCGAGGCTGGCTGTTCACTCTCTTTTTCGCTTCCACGGGCATGCTCCTCTCGGCTGTCACCACCGTGGTCTTCAACTGTTTGAGACGAGGACCTGATATCTTGGACTATTCTGCTTTCTTCTCAAGGGACAGCCCATACGTCAATGTTGCTTCAAGTCAGCTCGGGTCTGTGGAAGATGTCAATAAGCAGGTCAGGAGAAATAGACATATGCGCGTGTGCGTTGGCGACGTCAATCCAGCCGGAGATATGGGGCATCTGAGCTTTGCAACGCTGGACAGAGCCATTCCAGTGGGCGCTCAGAAGGCCGAGCGAGTTTACGATTGAGACAGTCGTCGAGGTTCACGACAGATTGTTCAAAATATATTCGAGAACCCATTCATAGGCTGGGGATCTGAATACAGTAATTGCCACTTGGCTTGGTGGCCGATCTCGCTTTACATCCCCAATACACTTTCAAAGAGGGTCTAATCCATCGATCTTCAAATTCGAAACAGTGATAAAACCAGTTCTTTTGAGTCTTCAAAAGAATCGAGGGCTTACGCATAAGATTCACTATGAAGCTTAAGCTTCTTAGGACATTGATTCTGATCTGAGCATTTGTGCCCTCGTATTTAACATATCACGGGCTTCCCGACGTTTAATTGGGTAGATACCAAAGTATAAGACTACACTTTTCGTTGTTACTACCTGCGTCTGCCTCTAAATTATCCCTCAAACGACCAGCTAGCTACCGAGACTCATCCATCAAGACAGCCACAACATGGACACTCCGCCGCATCCAACCTACGAGTCTCTTCGACAGACAAAACAGCAACTAACAGCATCTGTGTCTTTTCTGCGGCTTCGCTGGTATCTCAAGGGCTCCGTCGAAGAGTCCATCAAACTGCTCGAAGACGCCACGGTTCACACATCCCAACAAGACCAATACCAGACCTCATCCGCCTCCTCAACCGACGGCCAGCAGCCTGAAACCCGGCTGCACGAGGTCGCGTCCGAGAGCATCACGGAACCGCCCGTCTCTTCCATCACCGTCACCATCCGCGAGCTAGACGGTTGGGAGTCCAACTGGCTCGACAACCACCACCCTCACGCCGAGGATGTCGACTCAGCGCTGTACGCCGACGACGGGAGCCTCATCCGCTGCTGTGACGAGGATAGACCGGGCCCTGGTCCCTCGCTGCTGGTCGAGGCGGGTTCGGGGGCGTTTGTGACCACTCAAGACTTTGCCGCGGCAGTGCATCCGTGGATGAGCACCTTCGAGGCCCAGGTCAGGAGCGCCAAGGGGGTCTTCAGAGGCAGGCCGGTACCCACCACTCATGAGTTATTTCTCTACAACCTGGAGCCGAGCCCGCTGCATGTGGCCGACGCCGTGGGAGCTGGTCCTGGGTGGTGGGACTTCCAGTGGAAGAAGATGGCGCAGCTGGCCGCTATCGTCCAAAGCCGGACAGCCGAGACGTGATGTGCTGGCTGGAGGCCGCTCGTTGAGACCCTTGACGAAAATTATCATCCCTCTGCTCCGGAGCGGCTCCAAGTTGTCTCAAGGTATGGTAAATCAACGCAGACGTGTGTGTGTCACAGTGAAATTAATACATGTTGTCGTATATTCCTACGTGTCCGACAAAGGGTACATTCCGGTGATGGAATACCGAATAGACGAGTAGGCATAACTACAACAGGCGCCATGTTGACGTCGAATGATTCCAAGCTGCCCACTCTGCGCGTAAGATGCCCGCCTAGAGGCGGACGAGGAGCGCAGGTCAAGTAAGTCATTCGACCAGGTCGGCAATGTGAATGCTGGCTTGCCGGTCAAGTGGAATACCTGAATAACGGGCTGCGATCGCCCATCTCCGACAGTTCCTGGTCTGTGTACCTGGCGTGTATCTCCTCCAGCGGAATGGCGGCTCTCCTAGCGTTGATGCGCTTGAGTATGAGCCAGTAAACCACCGGCCAAATTACGCCAAAGACAGAGAGCATCCCAAGACTGATGCCGAACCCTACCGGGTACGTAGGCGACTGTGCCGCAATGTAGATGTTCGAGCCAACAATCTGCAGAGGTTGTTAGCAAGTGTCGGGTTCGGTGCAAAGGTGGTGCTCGCGGAGTCGCGGGTTGACCTACTCCGCCCAACTGAGAGAAAGAAATCATGGCACCCATTCCAACAGCACGCTTCATTGAACCGGCACAGTTCAACGCGATCCAAGCCGTGACTGCGGGGGAAATTGGATACAGCCCAGCTGTTGCGAGGAACACCCCGAAGACCGTGGAAAAGTCAGCGCTCAGCTGGCCGAGAAGAATCATGCCGCAGGGCACCTTGTATCGACGACTTACGTGTTACACCGGGGAGGTTAGGATACCGGGACGTGATTATCATGACGATGAAGCCACTGGGTAGCGCGGGTTAGCTCTTGTATTACTTGCAAGATGATGAATTCTTACAACACGGCCAGCAGGTTTGGGAGAAGGACCGAAAGCATCCGTTGCCTCCACCTATCTGCCGCCCATCCAGAGAAAAGAGTGATCATGCAGGCGAAGATGTAGGGCGGGGCTGTCATGGCTTGGGCCTCAGCAGCGGTGTATCCAAGATTGAAGATACTAGTTGGCAGAGAGATCAGCATCACGAGTTTTCGAATCGCCGGCAATCCTTACATGGTAGGCAGGATGAATGCATAGCCGTAGACAGCCACGCAAAGGGTGAACTCTGTGGCGGCGCTGTTGCACGTGATGTTAGCGGCAAAAAGCTCAATGACGATGGTGACCTTACACGGCATAGATGTGAAAAGACTGTATCCATCCAGTACACCTTGCGTCAGCAATGTACTTCGTTCCGTCTTGTAGGCTGTTCTCACAGTGAATGCCTCTCTGGCAGCCTTCCAAGAGAACTCTTCCTTTTCAGCAATACCGGTTTCGCCGCCTGCTGCAAATCGATGACGCAGAATAAGGAACCGGCGCTCCTCGGGCGACAACCAATTCGTCACTTTGGCGGGTGTGTCGTTGATGAGAAACCATGCCCCGATTGCGATCAGAAGTGAGAAGAGGCCTGCCGATGATCTCTGCTTAGAGATGTTACCAAGAAACATTGTCTCACATCCACAGCTTACCTTCGAGGCAGTATATCCATCTCCATCCTCTGAATCCCCAGGTATGGTCCAGATGCCCGATGCCGTACGCCAGTAAGCCGGAGAATGCACCTGCTCTGCAGAGAAGGCGGATTAGCTGAGATCCAAAATCCCCTTTGACCTCCGTTGATCGGCTGAGAGACTTACGCAGATGCACCACAGAAGAAGATTGACAATCGGGTATGAATCTCTGCTGGCGAGTACCAGATGGTGAGGATGAACGAACAACCAGGGAAGACGCCTGCGCGTGTTCGTTGTGAACCTTGAGGTCTAATGTGGTCTTGGGCGACGCCTACCTGCTTCGAACCAACCGAGTACTGTTTGATGATCAGCATGTGCGAGTGTCACTGGGTGCTTTCTGTGACTTACAAACCCGAAATGTGATCCAACCGGCCCTATTATTCTGCAGGGAGGATGAGATGAGAATGAGGGATACCGTGAACAGGAGGAAGGGTAGCCAGATCTAAGCGTCGTCAGCAGCGTGGACCAAGTCTCTTCCTAGGGCTAGGATCAATCAATACCCTTGGACCAAACCGCTTCAGGGCAATGTTAGAAGGCCTGGAAGACATCGGAATTAGCCAGATGATCTGATTCCTGCATCACGCTTGCATTGTCCTGAGAACCTACACTCCACCGGCTGCATAGGTGACGAAAAACACGGCCAGCCCAGTGTTCCAGTCTTGCCCAGACATTCTCATGTCCGGAAGGGCTCCGAACAGCTTCGCGTTACCTGGTGTTGGCAACGAAGTCAGAGAGAATGACCGATGAACGTGGTTTCGTCGGAGGACTGAAGTGCGGGGCGTGTCGACGTGTAGGGTGCCCATACCAACATTGTTGCGATCGATGTAGGATAGCAAGTAAATGATGATCAATTGCGGCAGTACGTGCCAACTGGATCGCGTGAGTGGTTCCGAAAGGGATCTAGAGATAGACATGGAGAGACTGGAAAGACCACTAACTCGACTTTGCGCACCAGCTTCTGCAACCGCTTGCCGGTGAACTCTCGACTCAGTTCGAGGTACTCCTCGTACTCTCCGCGAGGGTTATCGGAACCCTTGCCTAGATCAACTGTCGATATAGTGTCTCTTCCGGGCTCCATGGACGACCTGCTGATGGACGCGTTCATCGTATCAAAGATTGGGGAGGGTTCTCAGAGCGCTGTGGACGACCGGATTGGAGTCTGTAGAACCAAGAACAAACGACAAGGAAAGGCTCGCAAAGCAGCTTGTACAAACTAACATATTGGCCAGGCACTCAGGGCTTCAAACCCAAACCATATATACTTGAGTTATAACAGCGCAGGTGATCGAGTCTGGACATGACTATGGCACGTGATCGTTTGCAGATAGGTTTTCTTGGAGAATCCCCGTGGTGGAACTCCAGAAGTGCGGGGCGACCCCGGGGATGGCCCAACCCCTGAAAAAGACTTGGTTCATGCTGAGTCGGTGATATTTACCGATCTGTTGTGTTCGTGGGTCGCGGGGTCGGCTTGATTTCCCTAGCGTCTGTGGGGTGTCGTGAGGCGGAGTCTATGCACCTCGCGATCGGTGTTGTTGCCCTAGACTTTACTGGATGGCGATGACCGATTTGCTCCATATTCGAGCATATATCATGGAATTCCAATGGATGATTGGTCTCTTAACTGGAAACCTGGCAGAGCTGCCAACAAGACCCAACAAACGCTCCCATTATCGGGACAAGCTCCCTTCAAATGAGCTGCGGTGCTCGGCGTGCCATGTTTGTGTATGAAATCCGGTGTTCTCAAGTTAAAAAGCCGGCGCACATCTCTATCGTAGATGCGCATTGTAGCTTTGCTATAGCTTACTTTACATGATCCACCAGCTGGGCACTTGGCATCTCGTAGTCTCTCTTTGCCCAACATAGAACCCCAAATCATCACTTCACGCAATTGACGCGCTTCACAAAGCTCTCGGCCGCAATGCCCAAGGTAACTATCGTTGGAGCCGGGTTAGTTCTTTACTGTTTCCCACTCTTCGACTCGGACACCAACCCTGCCTGCCTTCGCTGATCTAACAGACATCCAAGCATCGTCGGCATGGCCGTTGCCAGTATGCTCTCTAGATTTCACGAAGTCACGATCGTTGCGCGAGACTTGCCCGGGGACTCCCCGAGCCATCAGTGGGCATCCCCATGGGCAGGTGCAGTGTTTCTCGGTCTAGATGGCTCAACCGCAGCCGAGCAGAAGATGCAGAGGGATGCGTTCGCTTTCTTGTGGGCTCTGGCAGACTCGAACCCTGAGTCAAGCGTCAAGGTATTCAACTCATGCGACAACCCATCAGCCCATCAAAACTGAGCTAACGGAGGACCCTTGCAGAGAATCGAGATGATTGACCTCCAAGAGGCGACCACTATCGACAAGATCTGGTACAAAGACCTGATGCCCGGGGTACGATGTTTCAGAACTGTCTGCTGGAATATGAAAGATAGCTGACCCTGAATAGTTCAGAGCCATGCGTCCAGAAGAGCTACCCCAGGGTGTCGTCTGTGGGATGAGCTGTATGACATATGCACAGGCAATAGCCGCACCGATATTTACTTTTGCTAATGGCCCTTTTCTTACAGACAAAACCGTTGTTCTCACCCCCACGACGTTCCTTCCTTGGCTAGCGCAGCAGTTGAAAGACAGAGGCGTGGTGTTCATGCGCCAGAATATTGAATCCCTCTCTGATCTGAAGCACCTCAACCACGACGTTCTGGTCAACTCTACCGGCTGCGGTGCTAGGTTCCTGCATGACGTCCGCGATGAAAGCGTGCAAGAGGTCCGGGGCCAGACGATCTTGATCAAAACGGATTTTGACAAGATTCTAATGCGCCATGGCAAGGCATACACATATGTCATTCCTCGACTAGATGGCACTGCTATCCTGGGTGGAATCAAACAGGTCAACAACACGTAAGTAATAGCACCGTTCCAATGACATCTCCATCTTGGTCAGAACTAACGAGTTACTCAATAACGATGCAGTGACACCGCTATTGACCTGGACATCAGAGACGACGTGAGTGTGCTTGCCCCAAAGACGTTGACTTTGATCTTGGACATAACGTTTTCGTCCCCCCTCTAGATCCTAAGACGTGTGCACGAGAATGCTCCATCAGTATTCAGGGACAACAAGATCGAAAACGTCGAGATCATACGGGATAACGTCGGGTTCCGCCCGGCTAGGACTGGAGGAGTGCGGGTAGAGAAGGAGAATCTGGACGGCCAGAGTGTCGTTCACGCCTACGGTGAGTCACCATTGCAGCACAGGCCTTGTCGTCCACACGATACCGCAGACTGACTATCAAAGGGACTGGCGGTGGCGGCTACGTGTTCAGTTTCGGCGTTGCCAGGGCAGCGGGCACTTTGGTCAATGATTTCGTGTTCACCACCTCACGAGCGAGGCTTTAAGATAGACACATTCGAGATTTCAATACCGTTGGTGATGAGCGAGGGGTACGGAAGACCCCAGAATTGAGACTTTCCCTACCAGAAGCGCTTCTTTCTATGATGAGCAAGGGAGTTATTGATACAGGTGCTCCTAGCCGCTCAGGTTATCATTATGCCCTACGACGCAAATGCTTTTTTGGATTCCAGATTCAAACGTAGATGATACTTCGATTCTCTGAAGGTTCTGTGTATGGTAGAGGTACCGGCGGTAGCCATCAATCCATAACGCTACATGACAGGTCAAGCATTGAGGATAGATCATGGCGGTAAATGACGTATCGTCTATGTAGTGATGGACGGTATTTCTGGCCTTGACGAAAACGAGGTCAGTCAGCAGCTGATGGAAATGCCGCTGAGGCCGTGATCTCTGCCACATTCCGTATGTGGGACGCCTGAGTAATGGCAAGACGCGACCTCCTACGAGTGAAAGGAAATGGCTGAATGCCTTCGCCGGTCTTGATGGATTCCAACTTGGCCTAAACGTGCCCCGGTATTGATAGAGATTGTGCGTTAGTATCGTGCAGGGACCTAGAAGCTGTTACGCTGGACCATGTCCAACTGAATGGCACGGCATTCGATGTAGTAACTTTTCGGCGGCCGGGGCCGCGTGCAATCGGAGTTGGAAGCCTCAATTACCGACGCGGAGATAGGCGGTGATGGTTAGCGCCGGCCTCATTTCCCGACGCCCTTCGTCTTGAGTAAGCTTCAGGAACTTCAGACCCCCAAAAGATTGGAAATAAGAAACTATATTTCTCCTTGTGCTCTGGTTTCTCGGAAACAGTATCATCGGGTCTGTATTCGTCACAAAGTAAACTCTTTATAACCCAATTAGTCCCCGATATGGACAAAACACCCGTTACTAAACAGCTGGCGGATTTCTTCACGTCCCTTTCTAGCGACAATGTGTCCTTCGGCGTGCGAGAGTCAGCACACAATCTCTTATTAGATACTCTGAGCTGCCTTCGCGCGGGAGCCAGTGTCCAAGCATCACGCAAGGTCATCGCTGTCTCAAATGTCTTCGGCGGACCTGGGAAGGCGTCAATGGCGGGCTCATTGGATCCTCAAGGGGCCTCGCGGGCTCTCTACGCCAACGCTCGGCTTAGTAACCTTCTCGACTGGGACGAGACTTATCCCGTCGGCGTGCATTTCGGCATTGGTGCGGTCTGCGCGGCGATGACAGCAGCAGAGGCTGAGAACAGATCTGGCGCAGATCTAGTAGCCGGCATCATCGCGGGGTACGAGGCGGGTGGCCGTCTCGCCAGCGCCATCGGCCCCATGATGTCGGTTGAAGATGGCCAAGTCACAGGGTTCTCCGAGATCTGGGGCGTCGCTGCGCCCGTCGTGGTCGCGTCTTGCGTTGCCTATGCCCGGACCATAGGGCTAGATTCGGACTCTCTGCAAATGGCACTAGGAATATCCTGCTCCAACATACCTCTGCCCATCGGCAGTCGCTGGTCGGAAGCCCTTCATCTGCCGGACAACAAGTATTGCGACTCTGGTTGGTGTGCGGTGACGGGGATGCACGGCGTCATCTCCGCGAGAGAAGGTCTCACGGGTTTTGAGGGCATTCTTGACGGGGCGGTCGGCATCCCGGAGATGTACGCTGCCGCCATGCCTCGGCGTGAAAGCATGGCCGAGGGACTTGGGTCCGTTTGGCATCTAGATGCTATAACTTACAAGCCATGGCCCACGTGCCGGTTCATGCACTCTCCCATGACCGCCCTTGCCCGTCTTATCGGGGAACACAAACCCGACCCGGATGTCGTGGACGAAATCGTCATATTCACTGGCCCTCTGGCAAACTCTTCGCGGTTTAGGAACCCCAGGCCGAAAACGTTCAGCAGCTACTGCTTCAGTTACCACCACGCTGTGGCTATGATGGTTATGGGTATTACACCGGGCGCGGAGTGGTTTGATTCCCAGATTGCCGAGTCTCAAACTGCACTGGATTTACGGAAGAAAGTCCGCATTGAGCTTTTTGAAGACTCGCGGTCCTTTGCGCAGGACATGGCTCAGGGCCAGATACGCCGGATGCCAGGGGCAGCGAGTTTAGTGGTTCGGGGACAAACTTGGACGCGACGAAGCGATTACGCAGATGGTGACCCATGGGACCAGGAAGTAGCTTATGGCCGTGACAAGCTGGCCGACAAACTTGCGTCAACAGCCCGCAAGCAGGACTTGAGGAAGTTGCTGGACTGGCTGAAAGAGATCGAAACCGCAAAGAGCCTCGAGCCGCTGTTCGCCTTTATTAGGAATAGCTAAGATCTCTGGGTAGTAAACTTGTATCTTGTTTAGTCAACGGGATACTTTGGGGCTCTTACCCGATCACTGAGAGCGAATAACGAAGTCAATAGTACCGTTCAAAACCGACTTGCTGGATTGGCTCCATCCAATCATGGATTGAATGACGATCAACTAGTTGAATGGGGCAATTTAGGGATCTTGTGTAAGGTAACTGTGTAGACGAATTCGCTACGGTGCACACACTCTTTCGCAGTAGAGTCTGAAGATTGTAAAACTATCGCCGCACGCTCAAAGGCGGTTTCTTAAGTCGACAATTCATAATTCTTCGAATAGAAGACTTTGAAGTAATATTGGTGAAACTATAAAGGGTTTGTAGTTGTAAAGTAAATCTTTCAATGTTTTGTAGCTCTCAGGCTTTGGCGCGTTGATGAGGCAGGAGGTGGAAGGGCTGGAAGGAGCCCGGGGCTCCGTGGTTAACTGCTGGAGACAGAGCCAGGTCGTCGCCTCATCGCACGACTCATGGGACAAGTCCTCCGTATAAGCAACGACGAGGTCTTCCAGGTCAGCGGCGACGGGAATATGCAATGAGGCCGAGGCTCCAGAACTATGGGAGCCGTCGCCAGAGGCGTCCGAATGATTCGAGTCCAGCACTGCATTGCTCAAAAAAACGAGTTCGCTAAGGTAAGAACCATGCCGGATAACTAACGTAGGGTTAAATGACGTCCTTGGTATGAACTATTCTGATGAGGGGAAATACATAGATAAGCTGTGGAGAAGAATTTCCAGGCGTTATCCAGCACCTCATGAGATCAGGGCAGTACCGGTCCCTTGCTAAACCGAGCACCGTGCACGGGGAGTTTCCCAATCACCCTTCCTCCGCCCAATGCGAAGCAACCGCGACCAAAGAAAGTCGGCATGATGGCGGACAGCATGCGTCAGAGCGCTGGGCGAAAGAGTACCGCCTGTCGTCGCTGCCACCGGCAGAAAGTGAAATGCTCGAGAGGTATGGAAAATTTCATTCAAACCACTTTAACCCGGCGCCCGGCTAACAACAAGCCAAAGAGAAGCCGTGTCGCAACTGCGCAGCTGCCAAGACGGACTGTGTCTATCCAGAGCGCGAGAAAGTCCTTGCCGTGCCCGAGAACTATCTTCGGAGTCTTGAAAACGATAGAAGACGACTGCTTCGAAGCCCTCATCACAGCTCCCGCTCCGAGGAACCCGAAGGCGCAGGTTTCTTTGCAAATGATGACCCTCCGATTACTTCTAGCCAAGCTACCGTGGAGAATTCGGCCGCCGAGTTTTTCGTGGAGAAGGTGAAACAGCTTCAACAGAACGCCGCCGCAGCACAGTCCGATCCGTCCCCAGACGGAGGGAGTATGCTGTGTGAAACAACGCGGGAGTCATCAAAGCCATCAACCTCGTACGAGTATTTTCACTTGGCCCATGACACATCACGTGAGAAAATGACCTCTACTTCCGTCTGAGTTTACGAGCTGTGCCCATGAGACTAACATGTGCATTGCTGTAGATCCTCAAATAAGCTTGTCTTTGCCTCCGTATCCATACGCCTGCCATTTACTGGATCAAGTCGAAATATACATGGGCCACGACTACCATTGGTTCATGTGGAGAGAATTTAAAGAACGGATGGACTTGACGTACAAAAGTCCGGAATCACCTCAGTCACGAGACCGACTCTCCCTCTGCCGGATGCTAATAGTGTTCGCTCTCGGCGAGACTTTCGTCCAATATCCTGCACCGTCCATCAATCTTGCTTCGACAGAAAGCGGCGCAGATAATGATGATTTGGGGACTAGTCAAAGACCACCTCCAGGAGGGAAGTTCTTCGAGCAAGCCCTCTTGCTGTTGAAGTTGCCATGCGAAGAGCCCAGCATCGACCACATCGAAATATTAAATTTAGCAGTACGCCCAGTCAAAACCTCATTACATACGCCCTATTCTGTTCAAGGTATTAAGTGAAGGAGCTAACTTCATCTCACAGGCCTTTTACTCCTATTCCCTCAACCGTAAGAGAACGGCATATATGTACGCAGGGATGAGTGCCAGGATCTGTAATGTTCTCAGATTACACCAAACAGCGTTGGCGTCTTCATTCGCCCCGTCGGAACATGAACACCGGAAGAGAGTGTGCTGGACATCGTACTGCCTGGACAAAATGACCAGCAGTGAACTAGGGGCTTGGTCCTCTTTCCAGCCTGAACAGATCAAGGTCGATTACCCAAGCGAGGAACCATTGGGCCCTGAAGATGCCGGCAATTTCTTCGAGGCCGACTTCCTCCGCGCACGTATCCAGATCACGATGATGAAGGCAGAAGCCGACGTTTTCATTGATGCGTGGCAGTCTATCAGAGACGACATCCCTCACTTTGAGAGGCGAGCACGGCCCATTCTGCTGAAGCTGGAGTCTTGGAAGAAGGAGCTACCGGCATGTATGTCGTTTGACTGCGAGTTGGGAATGCCAGACGCCATGGCGCAGATGACGAACATGAGGTCTCTTGCCTCGCTTTACCTACGATGCAATCATGTGCGTTACCCAGCGCTTGGGCATCGCCTGGCCACAAACTCTGGTTGCCCTGGAGCATCATCAAGCTGACGCTACTCACGTGTGCTCTAGTGCTTCATTCTACTTCTTCGCCCCTTCTTCCTGAGGCAGATCACCCATATCATGTCCAATGAAGCTGGAAACGCATCTCGAGAAAGCCTGGAGGCTTTCAGTGACCGGTGTCTCCGGGCCGCCCGAACGAATGTATGCATTATGATCGGCCTATGGCACAGAGAAAGAGTCGGTGAGTGTTACGCAACGTCCATATCCATCCGCCCCGGCCGCTTCTCCGAGACTGTGTGCGTCTAACGCCGTCAGCCAAATTCGGGTTCTGGGATAGCATCCATCTATTCTCAGGCCTTACGATTCTCTCCCTAGCCATGACGGTGAACAAGCGGCGGACGGCGAGCTTCGACGAAAAGGAAAGCGATTTCGAAACGTACTCGACGGGCAAGAACGTACTGAATTACATGATGCGGGCGGGGAACCTCGCAAGCAAAGGCCACGAAAAGATGCTGATGGAGATAGAACAAATGGAACAAGTTCTTGGGACGAGGCAGACCGAGGGCTTCGAGCCGCTCATGGAGCAGTGGGACATGGATGAATGGATGGCACAAGTGATGGGCTACGACCCATCTACCTCCTCATTCGTTTTGAATGAGTTTGAGTAAATGAGGCTAGCTATATCAACTCTCTTTGAGGGAATTCTTACCCCATGCTATTGTACCTTTGCAGCCAGCTGCAGCATTAAGTTTTAGTTTTATCATATTTGACGTTGTAGTAGCAGAGTGAAGCATTACTCTAGATTTTTGAAATATGTTTTATAAAGAGTATTAAACATCAATAACATGAAATATGTATCTCACTATATCGCACAAAGCATCTATCCACTTCTAAAGACAAAAGTCTACCCATCCTGGACGCTGGAGGGCGATTCTAGAAGCAGGGACTCTTTTGCGTGAGACTCAGTCTCTGGGGCCAGATCTTGCAACCTTGTCTCAAAGAAGGTCTAGTGGCTTTCAATGGTGTTTCTTGGAGTGTGCCTGCTTACTACAGAAGTCTCGTTTTCTTTGTCATTTAATATGCATCATCCTCACTTTTTGATGCAGATCAACAAGTGGAAAGAGTTGTGTCAGAACGTCTTTCATGCATTAATCTCATTGAAGCAATGAGAATCTCACCCAGAACGATAATGACGAGAATACAACTTAAGACGGGCAATCTGGAAAGATGAGAAGCCATGATCTTCATCCATCAAGCACTAGTCGTCATGGGTGACTCTGCCTTACCCCTAACGGCACAAGCCACGACCCTTCGCCCGATGTTCCTCCCTCACGAAATCTTCCTCCTGATAGTTGAGGCCATCATCGACGACGCAGAAGCAAAAGCATTCGACCAGCCGATGACCTGGTGGCTGCACGGGTTCGCCGGGGAAGTATTCGACCAGTTCACCATCTTTTCCGTAGACGACATACAACCCAAACTCGGCGGAATACCCAGACATCCGAACAGAGCCTTGAATGACACCCTTCGCATCTCTGAAGTCAACAGCAGCGCGTTCAGAATTGTTCGTCGGAGATTCTCTCGCCTCCCGTACTGGTGCCCCTACGGACCTACGACCGATCGTGTGCCCTATGCGTGGGCGCATCCCAAGATCGACTTCTTCCATCCTGTTATAGAGTTTTCAACAACCACTTCCAATCGCTTGATTATCCGGCTCGGCAACACCGTCCTATATAGGCTCATTCACCAGTCGCCTCGGGGTAGGCAGATCACGGCACACATCCAGAACGTCGTGTTCGCACCTGTTCTGCGGAGTGTCGAGGACATGAGAGCCAACTGTCGAGCCCTACTGACACTGGCGAATCTCAGAGTCCTCCATCTCGGGATAAGAGTGGCCGTCGAACCGCTGCCCGAGAAGTTCTGCGGGCCCGGTGTCGTCGTACCTGTCGATGCGCCCGAGGTCGGACAGATACGAGACTACCTCACGCATTATGAGGCCCTTTGGACGCCTCTCTTGGATAGGGGTGTTCGTGTTATACTTGATGGTCAGACGTTTGACTCGAACAAGACGCGGTACTTATTGGAGTTGTGTCGCGAGGAGGACGGCTTGTACTTGCGGCATGTTGATCCTCGGAGTCATTGGTTCAAGCTCAGGTCAGCTCTGGAAATCCCTGCGTAGATCTGTTCTTCATGGGAAAGTTATGACGGGACTAGCGGCACAGGCAGAGGGTTGTGTCTTACGTCCGGGCGGTCGTAACACCGGGACGGGTCCCGGCGCCGGCGGCACGGGGGTGTGGGGTCCGAGGTGGGTTTCCGCCCCGGGAACCTTGTCGTCTCTCTTTCCATCGTGGAGGCAATGGCTCCAACACGATAAGTAATTGGGATTTTAATGAGTTTTCACATGCCATACCTTTTGACTAGAAAAGTATCATGCAAAGTTGTTGATCTTATGGGTTTGGAATTCCAGGACAATTTCAACATTCATGCCTATCGTACCAGTGAATCCCCTGTGATTCGAGTTTTCGCACCCCACGATTGCTGTAGAGACGACGCTTCGCATCTTCTGCGCTCTTTGCCACGACGTACATCAGGTTTTCGAACGGCACCGTTCATGGTTCTAAGATATTCTTACAATGCCGAAATAATCGTAATTCGGCGGGAACAAATATCGCCTTTACTTGCCGAATGCTGGCATGAGATCACAAACTATTCGAAGGCGCAATGGATGTCGAAGCTCGCAACGAATATCACGTCGCAGTGGTGTAGATAGTAACTCGTAACTGTTTGCATTGGTTCCGCAAAATAAGTTACACGCAATTGCGGATGCCTCTGATTTCTGCGGATACTCTGTTCTGAATGCCCTTCAAGCATCGCTATTCTCATTGTTCCTGACTATGAGATTGGAGGTTTCCCATTATCGTATGAAAGGTCTCTTCCGCCATTGCCTTCAGGCTTTCGATGATTCTTATTCTTCCCTCATATCTATCATCCTATCGCCTAAATACCTCCGCCGCTGCTATCGTCGGAGTCGCCGTCATGCCATACAATTGGAAGCCTGTCCCAGCCCGCGTTGTTGACGATTTCTTCATCCGTAGAGTAATAATAGCAATAACACTCAAGATCGAAGAACCTCATTCGAATGCCCCAATCACCCTCGTCAGCCTGTGGATTAGCGTCGATTGTACGAACCAGCTCGAACGCGCGGTCGAGACGCTCGCCGTCGTGCGTCGCGAAGATGACGCGAATGTTGCGGTCCCAGAGAACTTGTGACGTAGCTGTTCCAAGCACAGTTGCTACATGCTCTAGGTCGGGCCACGAAATCATGTCGAGTGGCAAATCTTCAGCATGGTTGTGAGGCTCGTTGTCGAGGCGCTGCGCCCACGTCTCGCTGGGCGTCAGGTAAATGGACCGCAAGTTCGGCAAAGCCAGGACGCAATTGGCAATTTCTTGCGCGTCCAGACTTATCGCCTTCATGGTTACGTTCTCTATACGCCCGAAAATTCGATCGTCCTCTGGGAATTCGTTGATGGATGGGTACGCGAATGCGTCAGCTTGAGGGCACGTCCAGATCATGACGACGGGCAGGCATCCGTATATCCGCTTGCCATGCAAAGCCGCAGGAATTTGAAAGAACGTGTTCTCGACCAAACATCGAGCTTGCCGGTTGACCTGACGAATGTCGCGGATGAGATGGAAGCGATTGAAAAGGTCGGTGGGCCACTTGACAATGAGATGGGTGCCGTGGTCGTTGTCCGGGAAATCATCTGGGAAGTCCTCATGGATATAGGCGGTCTTCAAGATTCTGGGTTTCATCGATGATTGAGACACTGCGTTGTCGATGACGGCTTCGACCACCATGAGAAAGATCTCGTAAGGAAGAACGGCGCCTTGTTTTGGATCAATCAGTCTCAAAGTGCCGAGGCGTTGCATGAAGAGCTGTACTCACCCATGGTCACTTCTTTCCTTGCTTTATGTTGGTACTTTGGTGTGGAGAGAGGACGGAAAAAGTAACTGGTAGTGGAAGGAGGGAGGAGGATGGAGGATGGAGGAAAATGCGCTCTTGTTTCACACAAAGAGACCTCCAAGACTGACGATGAGGAAGAAGTTGTCGTCACCTCACTGCTTTTTGGTGTTTTTTTCTGTCTGGGTGGTGGTTCTTGGTTGAAGAATGTGAAGAATCCATGTGATATCAGTTGTGTTTGCGGAAGCAACGGAAGATCAGAAAAGTAAAGGAAGGCAACAGAAGGAAGTCAGAGTAAGCTGAGGGGGAAGGAGGGCCATTAGCGCCCCACCTGGCCGACTTCACCTTCCAAACTGCAAACTGCAAGAAATTACAACTCCTGAGCCTTCTATTGAATTCTTCTGGCAACCGTTTAGAAAGGCTACCTAGGAAGGACAAAGAATTCAGTCGACCAATGAGGACGGTCTTCAAGCGACCACAAGTTCAACATCGGCTGCTCAACCCATCGCATCAACCGAATAGAAATGTCAGACGCAGTCTCGCGCAGCTAAGCACACGCAAAATGGACGACTCGTCTCTTCAATATACTAAGACCACCTATGCAGACACACTGGCACCCCCAAGGATCCCGATCAAGATCTTCCTCAAAGTCGTGGAGGATGACATCGCCCCTAGGCTACCTACGTTGATAGCCCGCCTTCCACATCCTCGTTGCCCCGAGACAGGAGTTTCAAGCCAGACATTGAGAGAGTGTCTTTCAGAATGGCTCCAATCATCTTTCAAACTCGCCGAGTTGACCCAGCTCAAACAACCTCCTACTCCCCTTCCTCTACCATCTCGCCACTTCCCAAAACCATCTCTCCCTCGTCATCGAGAACCGATAGAAGAAGAAGCCTCCCGACGAACCACACGCCACCGACGACTCGAGAGGGAAAACGCAGACGACACTCGAGAACAGCCCCAAAACCGAGAAACGGAGAAAGCCCCCCTCCTCCTTCCCCTCTTCTCCTTGGTGACTACTTCGATACCACCACAAACCTGGCTCTGATCCGATCTCCGCCGTCACAGACGCCAATTCAACGACGATGACCTCGTTCCGGACGCACCAAAGACTACGAAATATCGAGACCTTCAAGACTTCTTTCCCCTGTACCATACAAATCTCACTTCATGACACACATCTATTCACATCCAGCCAGTAACTCAATCCGCCTCGAACATCACGTACCACAGATTAACAACCTCCAACCTAGAAAGAGCACATTCAACAAGCTATAAAACAAACCCATCGTCCCTTAACACACTCTATTCAAACAAACTAGATCCGTATCTTTTCATACAAACAACTTACAAAATCCAGCAACCTCTCGCTGTAACAGCCCCTCTAAAACGAAGTTGATACCACGATACCCTAAACCCGACTCCCAAAACTCATCCGATCTCCCTCACTCCCGGAAAACAAAGCCAAGCCATCCCATCTCCGAACCGGGAAAACCAAAAAAAGAGCATACCCCCTTCCCCCCTTCCCCTTCCCCTTCCCTGCCTCACAAATCCACGCCACCACCACCATACGCAAATCTCGGATCTCCAGCCCGGAAAACCCCCCCTCCCCCGGAACACACGCATGAACCCTCATCTCGTCGTCTCATTTCCATCCATTCCCGCCCCCCTCCACATCTTCCATCCTCCAGGGAGTCATGGAAAAAGGGGGGTGGGTGTGTTCTCCGAGAAAAGAATACATCCGGGCAGAAAAGCTGCCAGTCAGTTTTCCGAAGCACAAACACATACACATCCGGGCAGAAAATACGTCAAGTGTCATCTCAAACCAGGAAAAGAAAACGTGATATTAAATTCTCCGACGAACCTCTGTTCTTCTAGATGATCTCGACTCGTAAGTCACCTCCCCCGGCTCAAGTGTATATGTGTGTAACTCATGTCGAACCTCGCGTATATATACTCCCCCCATCACCAGCAACGCAATGCAATTACTCCTCACCATCACCTCCATAAATCTCACAAACCCATACATTTCTTCTTCAGTCTTCTTCTCATCTAACGGGAATCTCAAACAGAACGACCAGGATAAATAAAGGAAATAATGCAACCTCATTCCCAATCGAGAGCGGTGGTAATAGTACTGGGCGTGCGTGTGTAGTAGTAAAGTAGTAGCGGTGATCATGCCGTCGGCCGTGAGAAAAAAAACATGAAAACAAACGGATCTCGGGACGGATGGATGCCCAATGTTAATAAAACCAAACCCCTCCCTCCCCGCCCTCTCCCCGTATCCCAATGAAGGATTTAATAAAAAGGAAGGGCTTCAAAAAGAGCAGAAGCCTCGATGCAGCACCAGCGCTGTAAATATGCCATTTGCCATACCCGTATGCCTCTGATCCACACACAAATTTCACTCTCCCCGTCGCGGCGTAGTCCCATCGTCCCGCCTACGACACCGCGCCGTCGTCTTCCTCCTCCCCCGGGCGCCGCCCCGTCCCTACAAGACGCCGCCCATGTCCCACTCGCCCTTCTGCGCGCGGGCGAGCACCTCGCGGCCCTTGTCGGTGAGCTCGGGCCGGCCCTCGCTGCCGGCGACGGCGCTCTGCGGCTCGAAGAAGACGGGTTTGAAGACCTCGCCCGTCTTCTCGCGCTCGCGGGCCTTTTCGCGCTGCCGTTCCTCGAGCTCCACCTTGACCGTCGTCGCCTTGGAGAACTGCTTGGCGTGGATGGCCTCGGTGACGCCGGACCAGAGCTGGAGGGACTCGTTCTCGAGCTGCTTCTCGGCGGGGGGAAGGACCTTGGGCGCGACGTTGAGGGGGCCGAGGTCGATGATTGTGTAGCGGGCCTCCGGGGGGTGGGAGTCCTTGGACAAGTTAGTACACTCTGCAGATGGTAAGGGAGAGTTGGGGCGGAGGAAATACATACCACCGGCTTGGGGCCCAAGGTGAACTGGACCTTTTCGCGCCAGGGACCGCTCAGGCGGGCGACGACGTCGGCCTCGGGGACGTCCTTGATGTTGACCTTGTCGTCGTTGTCCGGGTCGTACCTGAAGATGACGCCCTCGACGCGGTTCGTGGAGCGGCCGAGCCAGCCCGCCTCGACGTAGTGCAGGATGGTCTTCAGCTTGGTCTGCGGACACGTGATGTAGGCCATCTCGCTGACGCTGACGCTCAGGCTGCCGCGGAGGATGCCGCCGAGGTGGGCGGCCGGGTGGGTGAGGCGGTAGGTCTCGCCGCCGCGGTTCTCGAGGGTGACGAAGATGCCGAGGTTGTGCTCGCCGGGCAGGACGCGGATGGAGGTGCCCGTGAACTTTGCCGTGATCTGGTCGTACCCCCGGGCGGAGAGGCCGCGCTCGGGGCAGCTGATGTGGAAGGCGCTTACGGGGGGGTGGTGGGAGGTCTGCTCTGTGAGGTAGGAGACGCGGATGGGCTTGTTGTCCGGGGTGGAGGTGCCGTGCTGGGGCACGGAGAGGGAGACGGCGGAGGCGTTCTTGTCCGCCTTTGCGGACTTGAAGGAGGAGGAGCTGCTTGCGGTCCCGCTTCCGGTCTTGAGGGCGGTGGTGTTGATCTTGGGGGCGTTGTCTTCGGTTTCCCAATTACACTGGTCGGGTTTCCGGCGTCAGCATCACGACGAGTCATGGACGGCACATGGTTTTCCTTCGTGGAAAAGGGAGGCCAGCACTCACCCTGAAGAACTCTCCCAGGCACGAGTTGTATGGTTTGCAGGGCTTTCCCTTTGCGTACTTCAGGTCCTTTGTGAACCAGAAGCGGCAGACCTCGAGCATGCGGTCGAGGGGCTCGTCGGAGGTGCCGATGGCGACGAAGGCGTTGGGTGCGTCGAGGTAGTTCCAGTATTCGAGGTTCGGCGTGGGCTCGAGGAGTTGGGAGGGGAGCGAGAAGCGCACGGCGGCGAGGTCAGCAACGCCGATGAACCTGGATGGGGGCAGAGGTCAGCAAAGGTTGTTCCGATCTCTGTTGTTCTTCTTCCTGCTCGACAAAAAACGCTGCGGTTTACCCTTCGAGGGGCACCATCGCTCGTCAGGCCCCCGCGCCGCGAAGCCGCGCAGGATTTCGCCTCCATGTTGGCCCTCTGCCTTCCTTCCCCTCTGAGCGGCGCGGCGGCGCATGCAGAGACAGACCGCTAGACTTGCGTGCGTAGGTATGTACTCACTTCTTCAGGATACCGATAAAGGTCTTCAGCTTGGACCCGTCGCTCTGGGTCTCCTCCGCGGGAGTATCGTGTGCAGTTTTGGAAGCCATGGTTATTGTTGTCGTCGTCGCGGGTGGAAGTGTGGTGGTGGTTTTTGGGAGGTGACGGACGATGACGACGTTTTTCTGGTTGCTGCTTGGTGTGGAAAAATGGCGGCTTTGCTGCGAAAGATAAGGTGGGGGGCCGAGAACGGCTGGCGGGGGTGGTTGTTGAGAGAGGCGTGGACGTGGGGACCGTGTTCAGCAAAACCGCTGTTAAAGCTCTCGAATGATGACGACGACCTGGAGGGAAAAGCTGTTTCTGTTTGCGCGCGCGCCTCTTCGTGTATCTTCTATTCCTTCTCTGCGTTGTCTCTCTCTCTCTCTTTCGCAGTAAGGATTTGAAGACGTGGTCGAAGAAGAGGACAACCAGTCGGTAAAGGTACGGTAGTTCTAGACCGATGGATCTCGACGCCGGGTCAAGGATGAGGATCGTTCCCGTTTCGTTTCAGTCGTCCGACTCATGCGCGGCGCGGATATCCGAGCAGAGGATGAAAGAAATCTGTTCGTACGCAGGAAGGAAGAACAACTCGGAAACACATATAAGAAAATTAAAAGGAAACGGAGATGAATCTCAGTGGATTTGTCTTCTCCTTTGGCGGTAAGGTAGGTCGGTCGGATGGGATAGGATAAAGAGAAGAGGCGTGGGTGAGTTGGTAGGTATCCGTAGGTAAAAAGGTAGGCAAGGTAAGAAAACGATGCAGAAGCGCGGGTAAAGGAAAAAAAGAATACACGTAACTCGCCTTCCCTCAAGGTATCCCAAAAGGCAAATTCATGGGAGACAGGTACATGAGGAATGGCATGCACCGCTCGAGGAGCGACTGACTGCCGTGACGATGTCGACAGGCCCCGCGCTAAGGCTGTTCACGGCCCACGGCAAGGGCGACACCACCTTGGCGTACAGTGCCAGACCGTGACGTTTTCTAGACGCTCTTCCGGCGTCTTGGCGCGAACCGGTGGCAGCGAGCACTGTCTTCGAGACTGTGTGTCCCGCTGATAAGGTTTCAGATGGGCCGCTGATTATCAGAAGGAGGGGCACCCTTTGGGGGAGGACAGACGGAAGGTACAGCGCAACGACAGCGGGCTGACCTTCTGAAAGACGGGACGATAAGAGCTTTCGGCGCTTATCCACCGAAACGAGGGGGACCGGGGCCTTGCACCTCTGACTTTTCGCGACTTCGTGTCTCTTCAGTCCATCTTACAAAATATCAATCAAACAATCTCAACACAACTCAAGGCAAAGAACAAACTCTTGAAAAACATCTCCAGAAACCAAATATCCCCCCTCTCTCCCCTCATCATCAACTTCCATTTCCAAAGGCAGACGTACTCTACCTCAACCCGGTACAAAATCACCTCATCCCCGGACCGAAAACATGTGCCAGTGCCAACCAAAGGTAAACGCCGGACATCGGCCAATCATCCGCGCACATGGTCCAATCCAACCGCCATCACAAGCCCCGAGACATACTCTCACACTCACTCACTCTCGTCTCGTCCTTGACTCGAGAGCTCTCCCCGGCTGTAATAGCACATGGCGTCAACGAGAGGCTGCGGCGGCTTTTTCTTCTTTTTCATCTGCTTGTGTGGTAAAACGGTTGGATCCCCTCCTTTCCCCTCCTCTCTCTTCGGGGCCAGGTGACTTGACTTGATTTGATCCGACTCCGGCGTTTTCTTTCAGCATCTCTCTTGTCTGTGTGGTTATGTGTGTGCGGTTGTGGCTTCAGCCGGGTCTTCTTCATCTCCGCAATCGTGGGATCGAAGAGAGATCCATCTGTGACGGGATTTGATGATATCCATCCACTCCTCTCAAATGAACACTGATCCCGCCATTCGACGAACAGCATCATCTCTCTCGCCTCTCGCCTCTGCATTAAAGTATCAAATGTCGAACGTAGCAGCTTGGGAAATCAAATGAGGGGTTTCATCAGAAGTCCACATTACCACGCGATCAACCTTTCCTTGCAGTCCTCAGAAAGAAAGAAGCTACAACCTCTCTACGCAACGAACACACGCAAACAAAGCCAACCGTCAAAGAGAAGGCTCGTGAAAGGAACCCCCTCTTCCACTCCTCACAAGAAGCACCAAGAAAGCCCTCGTAGCCTCCTCGGCATATCCTTTCACCACCATCACCAAGCCGAAGCTAAGGTAAAGAAAGCTGGTCTACGACGAGCAAAACCCCGGCCCGGCTGCAAGCCGACCAAGATCCAACTCGCCTTAGTAGCAGCCGACGCAAAAAGCGTCACGAGTAAAAAGAAATCCCAAATCCCACACTCACGACGTATCCGCATCGAAAAAATGCCATGCTATGCAAACACGCCCGCGAGACGTAAGCCTCCTCGCCTCCCCGGTCCCCATCCCATCCCATCCCATCCCGTCCCCCTTTCCCGCTCCTCCTCTCGGCCTGCCAACCTCGGCCTGCCACCGGACTGCGCTCCGCCGCGTCGTGTATGTGTCTCGTGACCTCCGTCATCTCCTGAAGCCATCACGAGACACGAGCCGACCACAGAGAGAGAAAAATAAGGCGGCTCTCTTCTGCGTCCGCCCTGGGGTGTCCGGCGGCCGTTTTTCCAGGAACACCCCCAATTCCCACCGCATTTCAGGGTCCTACCGGGGTTCCTCCAAGGCCCAACGACATCCCGTCCCATCAAGCCAACCCTCATCAAACTCTTTCCGGAGAGATAGATACTTTGCACGCTCCGTACCCTTCAGTATCCTCATATCAGGACCCTTCAAAGGGGAAGGGCGAGTCAAACCCAAGAATAGCACGCAGAGGGAACATCCCCGTCCATCATGCTACCCTTCGTGCGTCTCTTGGGATCGTCGTCAAAGTCAATGCTTTCCATCCTTCCCACACTTTTCGCCTTCGCATGGACCCCAAATCCATCGTCAATCGTCGATATTGGATGTGCTAACACCACCTTCCACAGAAAAATGTTGATGGATGACGGAGAAAAAAGCAGACCAACCCCCCACCACCGCCGTCCAGTACCTGCATTCGGCAGTCGTTCACCGGAGCTCTCTTCGTATTGCTCACCCCCAACTGCCAACTTCAGGGTCCTCGTCCGCATGGGAATCTTGGAAGATCTGCATTCTTACCGTCGAAAGGCATTCCAAGTGACGGGTTCACCTGAAGCGTTGCATCGCCAGAATGCCACCCAGATGAGTACCAGCAGCGGCCACCGAACCGGACGAGCTCCAACCGCCGGCCCCCGCCCAATAAGCACCGCCGCCATCGTCAAATCTCCTCGAGACTGGGTTGCCGCAACCCCAATCGTCTGGTTCGAGGTGTTCATCTAGCGCCGCGCGCCCCCTGTGGTCCCCGGGCAGCCGGCCGAACACGAGCGATCAACGGGTGGCAAAGCCTCCGGTGGAAGACGGAGCACAGGGCCCGGTCATCACCAATCCAACGCCCATCCCGCGGCCGCCTCCTCGAGACGTACGTCCGACATGCGTCTCGGGGAACCGGGGGGTTCACGACGGTCGTGACACCCACCGCAACATGTCGACCCCCTTATTCCCAAGCGTCCCAGTGTCCCAGCGTCTCCCATGTCCGACATCTGCAAAAATCGTACGCAAATAACGTCAGTGCCTCCCCTCCAGGTCTCCCCCATCGTGGCTCAGCCCGCTATAAATATCAATATTCAATGATTTTCCCAGGGGACCCGCGATCAAGGGTTCCATCCACGGATTCCCACCATCGAGAAACCTACCTGTGACAGCAATGATCATCGCTGTTTTCCTTTCCCGCCTTCCTCATTGTCCCCTCGATGCCAACAGACCATTAAACCCAAAGCTCCTCGACCCTTGTTCATCCGTCCCTTTCGCCAACCTTGATCATGGTAATCGGTCAGGGACCAATCTGCCTCTGCTCGTGCGGCCCCCCCTCTCCGAACTCGAATCCCGGGTTGTCCCCGCAAGACCCACGGAAATGGAAGTCTCATCGAAGATTTTTCTGCCCTCCCAACTGCCATCTTCCTTCCCATCGCCTATGACATCATGATCGACAAAACACATACTCTCTTGGGCAGCAGTGGCCGTCAATAATCGCTGCATCCCGGTGGCGTCGATGGGGACCCTTTATAAAGTATTCCCAGGGCAAATCCACATACTGAACCCTGATCCTGGCGATTGGAGGGCGCGCGCACGCGGGATGCTCTCCGATGGCCACTGAGGATGCCGGACCACAGCGAAAGCAACGACAAACATGCCCACCGAGCCCAAAGATCCAACAGCGAATCCGTTGAACCGACGTCCGGTAAATTGCGCCGTGGGCTGGGCGGCGATCCGGCGGAACTTGTTGCTGCTTCTTTCTCTGCCCCCGCATGTCCCGTGAGAAGACTCAAAAGAGGTTTGTTGTGTTGGTGAGTACCTGCGCAACGAAGCACATCTTCGCCGCCCTTAGTGCTGCAACCTCCGCCTGGCAACCCTCGTCGAACACCGCGCTTACAAACTTAACCCTAAGCGTCGTCATTTCCTGGACCCGAGCAGAGGGCACGTCCCGGGGGGGATGACAACGGTCCCTGGAAGGCCAACGTCCATGTCCCGGCACAGGGCATCGTCCTGCCCCGGGTCTCCGACTGCAACGTGAGGTGGCCCTCAACCCAAGCAGGTCAAGACAACCGTCCGGTAAGAGGGCTTGCCCTGACGCATATTGACGAAAGCTTCTCATCACCGGCGCGCTTGATGGCCACTTCGCGTCTCCACTGCCCGAGATGCGCCGCCCATGCTGTCCAGTGTCCACCTCCGGAGGCGGGGCTCAAGTCCCGAGAGCATGCCTTTGTACACTGCCATCGTACGGTAATTGGGATTAAGCTCCAGGGTAATGAGACGTGGGCATGCATCCCGTCGACTCTTGACGATGCTGAGGCTCTCCCGTCCAAATGTTGTTTATGGTTCAAGCTCTATCGACTGACTCGCGCCTGCGTCGAAGCGAACTTTGACAGGTTTGTTGAGACTTAACGAGCCGTGATAATGCTGAATCTCCGTCATCACGATCTGTGCCTCAGGCG